TTTTTGGAAGCATAAAATACGATGCACGTTATAATTTAGATAATTATAAGGAACGATTTTTTCGTTGAAAGAAAACGAATCTTATTTTTTAACCCCTGTTTGACCACGACATCAAAAAAAGTATTTTTTTTATTCTTTTGATAAAAATTTGCGTTTTTCCAGGTGTAAAGGATATTTTTCTTTTTTTTGACCGTTTGCAAAGCACAAGCTAAAATTTTTAGAAGTCAAAATTTTTTTTGGTTACTTACCGTAACTTCTATTTTCGAAGAAATTTGCCTGTGTCAACTTTTAAAAAAAATCTCACAAGGAAAGTACTTTTATGGGGGCTCCTACTTTTGTACGAGACATACCTCAAAAAAATCGTGTGATAACGCTGATCACGGATATGTAATATTAGCTGCCCATTTTGGTTTTTTTTGGCATGTTTTGGCCATTCGAAAGTTTTGGAATTCGCAAAAGGAAAGAATAAAAGACGATTTGAAAGGCAGGGGAACCGATGAGTGCGAATTTCAAAACTTTCGACGGCCAAAACATGCCAAAAACCCAAAATGGCCAGCTAATATTCACATATCCGTGATCAGAGTGATTACACGGTTTTTTTGAGGTATGTCTCGTCCAAAAGTAGGAGCCCCCATAAAAGTACTTTCCTTGTCAAAATTTACTCCCAAAAAAGTTTTTTTTTATTACCACCCACTCCTAACAGCAATTCCCCAACTCCCCTCTGCGCATTTGTCGATGCCAATTAACGGTTTCGTTGCTCATAAAAAAGATATCCGCCTTCCAAGATACGTGTTTGTTATATCATGATGAGCGCGACTATGGATGGGATTACTTCATCCATCTGAAAAAAAAACAAAAAAGTAGAACGGGAAAATGTTGGTTGTGTAATACATTGCCCATGTACTTGTTTTTGAAACAAAAAAAAATAAAAATAACTTTTTTGGAATTTTTGTTTTTAATTTTAGTAGTGAAAAACTTTTTTGGGATTTGTCTACAAATTTTGATACCTTCAATTATTTAAAATACTTTTTTTTATTTTTTTGTGTTTTTAGATCTTAAACATCCAAAAATTCCTCGGGGTTTTCAGAGATCCAGACGGGTTAAAATCTGATAAGCGAGGAACGGCGATTTTTTTCACTTTTTTGAGGCAGGACGGGAATCTAGAGAAGAAAAAAACTAAAAAATTATGAAACGCCCTAGACAACTTTTTTTTTAATGGTCATAAAGCGCTTATGACTCGTCGGTCAAGTTATTTTTTTTATTTTTTTTGAACTATTGGATTTATATCCGTCTTGCAAAAAAAATCTTTTGCATTTTAGACTTCTTTATAAAAATTATGATTAAAAATTATAAAAGATTGCAATTTTTTACTTGCGTTTTGCAGAAACCAACACAATTTTTAGTTTCCGAATATTTTTTTATTAGTTTCAAAGCCTGCAGAAGGCGCTCCATTTCTCGGATTCGATTATCCCTTCATTCGCTTATTAATTTATTTTTTGTTCGACTCGCTTGCGCGAACATAAAGTTTCCTGGATGGATTCCTCGTTTGCGTATAAAACAATAGACGCCATCGAACAGTGCGGGCATAAATCCATGGATAATTCCTTGTTCACCGCACTAATTACATAATAATACAGTCGAGAAAGCAGAGGGATGACTTGTGATATCTGAGCGCGAAAACATTTTTAGAGTTTGTAAAATACGATGTCTAAAGAATGACCTTTTATCGGAGATTTTTTTTAAAGTAAGGCATGTTTATTGCAATATTTTTTAATACCAAATTGAGCAGACTGAGGTACTTTTTTGACGCCAAAATTTGTTTTCCTATATTTTTTTGCCTTAGGGCACCATAAGTCACAACGGACTGCGATTTTAACCAAAATTTTTGGATTCATGAATCTTCTCGCTCTCAGATGTCATGGGTACATAAAACCCAAGATTTTTCAAATCCTGGCTGCTCAAATCCTGATGCATACATCAAATAGGCTTTAATATGTCTTTTGCTACACTTTTTAGACATTAGTACCGCTTTGTAAATTTTTTACAGCCTTTAAACTATCAACAATTATCTTTATCCCATCTGATATCATAGGCAATATAAATGGCCTTTTTTTCAAAATCTAACAGCTTCAAATTTTTCTCAGGGCTAAGTTAGGCATTAATGGAACATTTACTATTTAATTTTACAATATTACCCTCTAGTATATTTTTTACAGCCTTAAAATCCTCAAACATTCCTTCAGCTATCATGTGTAATATTCAAACTCGATTTGATCAAAGTCCAGCCGCTCTAAATGTTGCTTAATCTCGGATTGGTTATTAATAAGCCCTATACCCCTTGATTATATTTTATTACTTTTCAATTTACTTTCTACTGCCTCAAAATCCTCAGAAATCCCCAGCCGGAAGCCCTAAAATATCCTCAAAAATTTCCGTCGACCGCCTTTTCCAAACTCCTCAACAAACTTTCCGAAATCGACTACACAGTTTCTGCGGGCTTCACCGACTCCGCGACATCATAATCTGTTTTCCCAAAACAGTCGTAGGCGCGGAGAGAGCGGCAGAGAAAAGGAAAATCAGAAGAAAAAAAAGAGTCGAAATCCAGTTCTTGCGTATTTTTGGCGCGACCAAATTTGCCATCAAAAGAAAAATGAAGGGAGCGCGGCAGGGAGGAAGAAGAAGATCGCCTTCAATCAGCTCGATTCATCGATAGAATCGTCCTCCAGAAGCCGCTGCTTTGGCGTCATCATTCAGCGTAGACCTGTTGGGCTGCAGCCAATTTGATTAAGGAGGGGAATTGGGGTGGAAGGTGATTAGAATGTGGTTCGCGGGACAACCCGATGAGAGCTGGGTGGATATGTCAGGGTATTAGTTTAAGGTGTCATATTTGGCTAGATGGTGTTGAAATATACTGGAGAAAATTTGATAGATATACAACGGTTTTAGAAGAGAAATGGTCAAATGACGCGCTCAGATCTTGATGAAAATTAGCTCAAACTTAGACTGAAATTTGTTATGTGGGAAATTGGCGAAGATTTGATTTTTATTCTGAACAGTATGACTGGATAATTGAAAGACCAAAATCTTCTTTGAATTACGTCAAGCGTTTTTCTGGATTTGGTCAGTCAAAGTACCATATTTCTATAATTTTTTATACAGGGTGGGCCACTAAAACCTTCCGTCCTCTTTTTTTATATTTCTCCGCGGAGACTTCGCCGATTTTCATGAAATTTAGATTTTTCTGGAGCTGAGATGCGCCATTTTCAACCGGTTGAATTTGAGAACAAAATATCTTGTATTGATCTTTCTATGCCTTTCCAAAGTTTTTGAAAATTATTTTCGAGCCGAAACCGCTAAAACTTAGGAAATTTTTGGAATGATTTTGAAAACTCGCTCATTTTTTCGGGTTTTTGGGTGAAATCTTACTTGGTTTGCCTCATGTATTTGCAAAGTACTGTTGTAAAAACTAATCTATTTAACAATTTGAATATTAATATTTCTATCTCAGTTCGACGTGTCCACCTCCTCTTGCAGCACGAACTTGTAGGGGCTTTGAAAGTTAAGAACAGCTCGAATTGCGGATCGTGAATATGGTTTAACCTCAATCGAGCCTGGATCCAAGCCTCAATGCGCCAAGCCATGGTTTGTAGCCTTAATGTGGACTTTTTCACTCTTGTTGAAAAAAAAATTTTTTCAACATTCATACCCTAAATGTAATACAGACAACACTTTTTTTGCTTTTAACTTGCTTTAAACAAAGTTTAGAGAAAGCGTACGGAACTTTTTACTCCACAATTTTACCAAAAAAGCCCGAAATTTTCCAAGTCCGAGAAAGGCAATTGAAAATCATTCCAAAAATTTTCAAAGTTTTAGCGGTTTCGGCTCGAAAATAATTTTCAAAAACTTTGGGAAGGCATAGTAAAGTCAGTTCAGAATATTTTTTCCTGAAATTCAATCGGTTGAAAATGGCGAATCTCAGCTCCAGAAAAACCTAAATTTCATGAAAATCGGCGGAGTCTCCGCGGAGAAATCTAAAAAAAGAGGACGGAAGGTTTTAGTGGCCCACCCTGTAGATCTTTCAAATCCATTCACCCCTCTTTTTTACAAAAGAACATCCTCGTATTACACTTTTAAATTATCTTCAAATTTGGCGGACCTTCCTTCTTTACTCTTTTTTTTACGGTGGGGGACCTGATCCAGTGGCAAAAAACGTACCATTTTGCATCCGGGAAGCATCTAAGATGTGGCAAAATGCTTCGCTCTCCAAGTGAAACAAGCTCCGATTTCAAAAGCTTGCTGTTTTTGTGAGGGAGCCCTTCAAGACGAAGTTTTTTCGCTTGGAGAAGGGAGCATTTTGCCACATTTTTGATGCTTCCCGGATGCAAAATGATACGTTTGTTGCCCCTGGATCAGGTCCGTCAATGTAAATTCCTGAAAATCTCAGCTTGCGCTGTGCATTTTTCCCATTCTTCATTTACTAATATACTGTAACTTGACCAGTTTCTCAATTTACTTATTTGTTTCGCCCTTTTTGATCCTTTACATTCCTTCACAGTTTACTCTCCCATTCTTTGTGTTTACTTTGTCCGCCGAGCTTGTTTGTGATGAGCGCCGTCAAATTTTTACGTCTTCCGGTGCCATTTTGTGCGTTTTTCGTTTCAACCATAAATCATCCAACCGCGAAAATTTGCCCTCTGGCGAGATTCCCGTGAAAAAAATGAAAATTAATTCAAAACCATTTTTATGATTTAAAATTTTTTTGAAAAAAAAATTAAATTAAAATTGATTTTACCTCATTTTTATCATAATTAAAAATTATTTTTCGAGTTTTTAAAATTTTTGAAAATTAAATTAAATTTTACAAAATTTATTGTTTCAGCCCGAATCGCCAGTAAATAGCAAAATTGGAATTCACAAAACTTTTTTTTGTGATCCTGGAGACCTTTTGGAGGCCGAATTGAGTTGGTTGTAACGAACTCCGAAGCCCATTTTAGGGCGGAATGGACTGGCGAACAGCGCCATGGCTGGCAATATTTGTGTTGAGTTGGTGCACGGTACTGGCTATTGTAAGTTTTTTTACATTTCTAGAGATTTAAAAAAAATTTCAAAATACAAAAAAAAAATTTTTTTCATTTTTTCGAAATATTCAAAAAATTTTTTTTAATTCAAAAAATTTTTTTTTTTCATTTTTTCGAAATATTCAAAAAAAATTTTTTTAATTCAAAATTTTTTTTTTCATTTTTTCAAAAACTTCAAATTCGCTTCAGGACGACCTTCACTCCGCGTACGAACGCACTCCCGGTAAGATCCACCTGACCGGGATCCGTCGAATATCGCGGCCGGTGATTCGCGGCGCACCAACCGCCGTCCGGCCGCATCCTCATCAGCTGCCCTTGCAGCACACGGGAACCGAGCAATTGGAGCATATCAACCAAGAGCCTCATCTAGAGCATCATGTGGAATTGGAGCATCATGAGCGGCCGAAAGTCCGCCAAACGGCCGACGTGAGGATCGGCGCTCCGATGGCCGCCATCCCCCCAAATGTGCCGTCGTTTCCGGTGGTCAAGGATGAAGAGGATGGGGCGAATCACTTCTCGGAGAGCTTGGAAGAGCGTGAGGTAGGGTTGCCGACCCTTAACTGTACTGTTTTAACATTTTTTTTGCAGTTTTATCGCAATTTTTTTGGCCGTTTTTCCTCGATTTTTGGCAATTCCAGAGGTTAGGAGGTTCTAGAATAGTTTTCTTTTTATTGCTACGGCATTAGCAAAAATAATCAAGTCAAAATCAACGATCTTACGATATACAGTGGGGGACCTGATCCAGTGGCAAAAAACGTACCATTTTGCATCCGAGAAGCATCAAAAATGTGGCAAAATACCTCCCTCTCCAAGTGAAAAAACTTCGTTTTGAAGGGCTCCCTCACAAAAAGAGCGGGCGCGCTTTTGAAAACGGAGTGTTTTTACTTGAAGAGGGAAGCATTTTGCCACATTTTTGATGCTTTCCGGATACAAAATGGTATGTTTTTGCCGCTGGATCAGGTCAACCACTGTTTTTTTTTTGAAATACCCGATTTTTTTTGGTTTTCATCAAATTTCTTTCTTAATTTTGAAGTTTTGGCAGTTTCTAAATTTGATAAGACTACTTTTCCATTATTAATCAAAGTAAAATTAATCATTTTACTACAACTTTTTACGATATTTTTTCATTTTTTACTAAAAATTAGAAAAAAACTCTATTTTTTCAATTTTCATTTTCAAAAAACTTACAGTAGCCCTATCCCGACTCCCAATAAAAAACTAATTTTCATAACCCGCTTGTCCATGTCCCGCTACTCTAATATTTTTGCCAATTCTCTCCTTTGTTCAGCTTTCTCCGTATTTGCATCGGCCGCGGCGGCCCAACCGACTTCGTTGGCTTCCCGCCGAAGAAGGACAGTATTTACGGTCGCTTCAGAGGTCGCAATTCCATCATCCGCAAGCCTATCGACCGGTCGAAAATGCGCTGGGTCGCGAGGTGGAACGACAGAGGAGGATTCAGGTGAGGAATGGGGCTTTTTGTGTAATGTCTTATGTCAATGTTGATGTCGTGGCAGTGAAAAAGGTTCATGTTGGCAAAAATTCCGAGTCAGAGGTTAAAATGAGTCCAGATTTGGTATCAAAAAGTATCAGAGAGACGTAAAATAAAGATTTTTTTTGGCAAAAAGTCCTTCCGGTAACTTTTGAGACGTTTTTTAAGTATCAAAAGGTATCCAAAAGATTCGAAAATGCCCTTCGTACAAAATAAATGTCCTGTGATTTTGTCCCACAACTACTTTTGGTATCAAAAAGTATCACAGAAACGTAAAATAATGATTTATTTTGGCAAAAACTCATTCGGATCACTTTTGAGACTCTTTTTAAGTATCAAAAGGTATCCAAAAAATTCGAAAATGCCCCTTGTACAAAATAGAAGCCCTATGTTTTTTTCACAACGTACTTTTGGTATCAAAAAGTATCACAATTTCAAAATAAACAGATACTTTTAAAAAAAAGTGGCTAGCTTTCTTTTCGAGGTTTTTCTTAAGTATCAAATCGTATCCAAAAAATCTTAAAGTGCTTTTATTTACAAGACGTATGTACTGTTGTCCCTCTGTCATGCTTTTTGCCATCAAATTTGGACTCTTTTTGATCCTTTTTGAGGGTTTTTTGCCAGCTTGAACTGTAATGTTAATGTGCAAAAATTTATTAAAATAATTAATATGTGTTAAGCCAGCTGTCGATTCGAGGGCTTGCAAATGTTGCAGAAATCGCGCTGGCAGATTTATTTTTTAGAAAGAAAAGTTTTTGCGCCGATTTTTAGCGGAAATTTTGAAAATTTATTATTTTTTGTTCGGGATTTTTTTCAAAAAATAAAATAAAAGTGTAAAATACGGAGGCTCCAGGTTTTTAAACGTTTTAATTCTTCGTTTTCCCTCCTTAAAATACGATTTTTTTTGAAAAAAAAATTCAAAGAATCTTAAAATTTCGACAATTTTAAAAGTCCGAAAATCGCTAACCAAATAACAAATTGTAGGCCCGTTGGCGAAAAATCGGCCCCCTGGTCGGCCCCACTGGCTCTCGTTTCCAAAAAATGAGACTAGTCCAACAGAAGAACTGGCGGCACCCATCCACAACTCCAGCTCCATCTACTACAATTTCCACTTCTCGGATCACACAGATCCCCTCCTCCACCTTCAAATCATCTCGAGCGCCGCCCATAAAGTACGTGACGCCCAGCACGGCAAGGCCTTACACCGCGCATGTGGTGAGCCCGGCGGAAATGGCGATCAAAGCGACCGAACAGACGCTTGTGGACGAAAGTCTGGCCACAAACAATATTCGGAGGTGGGTTGGGAAATTGATTGTGCACTAATGGAATTCTAGGGACTCAGAAGTAGAAATTTTGCTAAAAAATTTTAAAAATTTGTTTAATTTGCTGTAAATTTTGATGAAAATTGCTGAGTTTATATTAGAATTTTTTTGTCATGCTTGATTTTGATTTGATTTTTAATTATACTACGTAAAACTATAGTAAAAGTCAAACAAAATTTGGCTGATTTCTGTCCAAAAGTCTCAAATAATTTTTCAAAGCGGAAGCTAAAAATCTGGCGTATTTCTTGTCAAATTTTAGTCGAAATCTAGCACGGGAAGTACCCCGAGTGCGACGTTAAGATTTTCTTTAAATTTTGCACACATGTCGGGCATCAACTAAATATCAATTCATGAAAGTTTTAGCTCGCGCTTTGCAAGCGCCATCGAGATATTGAACCATTTTTGCCGCGGAGAGAGCACGCCTAACGCGGAGAGCGGTCAGAGAGATTATCTGACCGCTATTTTGCGGTCAAACGCCTTTTGACCGTAACTTTGACAGTTTCGTGCGGAAAAAATTGATTTTTTATGGAAACATTACCCTTCACGGTAGAAATAGGTATGCAACTTTTCGTGCCGAAATTCGGCAAAAAGTCCTAAATTTTCGCCGACTTTCGATCTAAAAATCTCGGCTGTCTCTGCAAAGCGCGAGCTAGGATTCTCACATATATTTTAGACAAAATTACTCTAAATCTGTGCCAAGTTTCATCAAAATCTGAGCGTTGCACTTGGGGCACTTCCCTTTAAACCAAGTTTCACTAGTTTCTGAACAAAATTTTAATTTTTTTTCCGTATTTATTTTCATTTCTAGGATTTTTTTTTGATTTTTTCCTAACTAGATTTTTGCTACTCTTGTCTAACCCCAATTTCTTTCCAGACAGCCTCCCGCCCGCGTCTCGGCCCCTTCATTTTCCGATTTTTCGGAAACCCCATTGGTAGACAAGCCGCCGAAGCCAGCCCGAGCTTTCGGTCAACAAATCGCCTCGCCTTTCCCGAGACGGCGGAATTTAGGACGGCACGTTCAAGGGCCTGTTCTAGCGCCTCTTCCCGAGAATCCAGCGCCAATTCAGACGGCTCAAACTCGAAATGTACTCCAGCCAACAGCGGATGATGGGCCAAGGATAGTGGAAGGTCGGTTTGGATAGTTTTTGAGGCATTTTTGAGGGATTAAACGTAGATTTAATATCGTTTTTGAGGTTTAGGAAGTAATTGAAAATTAGTTACCAGTCGAAAAAAAAACTTTTTTTTGTTGATTTTTACTGATTTTTTTTCCTCCAATTTCTTTAATTTTGAATTTTATCGCCTTTCACAAGCAAAATCACCAAGCACAGACCTATACACCTATTTTAAGACATATGAATGTAATTTTAAAACAAGCACCAAACGAAATTTTAAACAAACTTATATTTTCCCTCCAAAAACTTTCTTTTTCCACGCGATTTTTCGCCAAAATAAACCAATCTAGCTACGACACGATCCACATTTTACCACAACATTGCTCGATCCACTTTGCACTGTTAAAATTTTTAGACTTTACACCTTCTGCACTGCCTGTGGCCGAGACTAACAATGGAGATTATCACCATCGCCAGTTGGGAATGAAGGCCGAAAAACGCTTCAAGTTGGTGCCAAATCGACTGTCGTACCGGCCGAGGCTCACAATTCGACGACCTGGTAAATTGCGTGGACTTTGATGGTTTTCGTGGTGGGACTCAGAATCGAAGTTTTTCTGGTGTTTGGGTCCCACTCCGAAAACTTCTGAGCGTTGGAGTGTCTTCTCAAATGCTTTTTTACACATTTTGCAACCTATAAAAACACTAGGGATGTTTTCGCGTCGAGACCCGGCTTTTTTTGAAAAAGTCGCTGGGTCTCACCACGAAAGTCTGAAATAGAAAAGAATGGTTCTCAACAGTTTTTTGATTAGTACTAGGCGCATTTCAAACCATTTCTGTTGTTTTTCGAAGCTTTTCTTCTCAAAAAAGTAGATAATTCCTAGTCTTACCACATTGTGGGTCCCACCACGAAAACCTGTATTTCCCTGAAATTGCATCCAACCCGCTCGATAACATCGTTTGCACTCTATCACTAACCCTAAACACTATCTTGCATTTATTTTGCTTAATCTTAGTTAATTTTCCAATTGCAGAGAGACTTTGTTCATCAAATTTGTTGCTGTTGCATAAATCTTATGAAATCTTTTGCAGGAGACAAGCCACAAGCCCGCGCAGGCTCTCAACATGGTAGTAACACCCCCATCCAACTTCCCGGACTCACTTCTTTTGATCCGGATCAACGCCGGCCCTTGCCGGAGTCGAATTTGCCTCAGCCAATCGCCGCTCATGCCACGCCCAAACACCGTGGTCAATCGGCGATGAAACGGCCAGTTGTGACGTCGTGGGATACCGAAGGCGACAGCGGCTCGGATTCCGGCGTTCCACCCGAGTCGGCGATAAAATCGGGGTCTTCGGCGGATTCCGGCGCCTTTTCGGATTCGGCCGCCGGTTTCCCGGATTCGGCCGCTGGCTCCAGCCTTGGCAGTGGAGGTGGCAGCCGGCCGGATGGCCCTCCACCCGATGAGGAACCATCGGGCGCCGCGTTCGGCTCCTTTGGCACACCGCCGCCCGGCTTCAACGAGGCCTTCGGACTCAACGGAGAACTTCCGAACGGCGAGAACGTTGAAGTAGAGCCACCGACGACGGTGGCGACCACCACAACCCAACGTCCAAGGCCCACTCCACCCGAGGCACCACTGGTTATCCCCGAGAATTCGGGCTTGCGGCCAGTAGCGCCCCCGAAAGAGTTGCAGGGCGGATTCGGCAGCAGTGGAGGCAGATCTCCGTTTGGCGGCGGAGGATTCGGCGGTGGAGGAGGAAGCCTTGGAGGCAGTGGGTTTGGAGGCAATTCTGGAGGATTCGGCGGAGGTGGCGGTGGATTTGGAGGAGGCGGAGGAACCCCACCACCAAAGCCTAAACCCCAGCCAGAAGGCCCGAAAGGTGGGAAAAATGCTATAAAGGAAATTAAGATGAAATTTCCACTGACTCAAATTGAAATTTCTAATCAAAAAAACCCATATAAAGTGAGGGACCTGATCCAGTGGCAAAAAACATACCATTTTGTATCCGGGAGGCATCAAAAATGTGGCAAAATACCTCCCTCTCCAAGTGAAAAAAGCTTCGTTTTGAAGGGCTCCCTCACAAAAAGAGCGGGCGCGCTTTTAAACCGGAGTTTTTTCACTTGGAAGCATTTTGCCACGTTTTGGATACTTCCCGGATGCAAAATGGTACCTTTTTTCCCACTGGATCAGGTCCGTCACTGTATAAAATGTAAGATGAAATTTCCACTGAAACAAATTGAAATTTCTAATCAAAAAATCCCATTTATGTATACAATTTTGTATAGAGTCTGTAGAAGTTATTGTCAATATTTTTTCCACCAAAAAATTAGTTTTATAACTCTTGTTTCCAGAAGAAGACTTTTTCACCGGCGATTCGGCGCTACTCCCCAACAAACGCGGCCCCACCGGCGATGGCTACGGTCCCCCGGTGTTCCCGGGCCAAGCCATTCCCCCTCCCGTCCCGGCGGTTTCGGTGGGCGGCGAAGCGGCCGGAATCCCTCCATATGGCGATGAGATTGGCGCTCAGCATGTAATGGAAGTGACCGAAAACACGCCGACGACTGTAAAACCCTCCGCCTTGCTGAGTATCCTGAACAAGGCGGACGAGGGCTTCAACCAGGTGATCAGTCATGTCGAGGCGGGCACCCCGGTCGAAGCGGCGTTGGTGGACATCATGGAGGTGGCGCTAGGCAGTCAGAAATTGGATTCGCAGGCAAAATTGTTGAGTCATGTGGATCGAACGATCGGACTGGATAATCTGCAGCGACTGCAAAGGTGGATGAACACTGGCGGAGCGTTCGACATGGTCAAGGAGCAGGTGAGATGATTTTTTCTTGGTGATTTTGATGTTATAGAGAACGTGTCATGATTACGTATTTTCTAAAAAGAAAAGTTTTAAAATTTGAATTTTTATGATGTCATAATGACTGATTTTTTAGAAATTTATCATATTGACGCTGTCAGTGTATAAAATTTTAATGTAAAAAATTTTTTTGAGTGTCCTAAGGGCTTTAAAAAATTTATGGTAAAACGAAATTTCCAGAAAATATGATATTAAAGATGTCATCATGACGGATTTTATAGAATTTTTAATCGAACGCTGATTTCGAGTTCATATTTTGTTCCAAGGAAAATATAGAAGATTTTTATGTTCGAATTTTGCTGCTTTTTCATCTATAATATTTATTATACATATTATCCATGCCCAACGCCTACTACAACATAAATAATCTCATTTTTTCAGTTCGCCAAGATCCTGCAAAACTACAAACCGCCTCCAGAGCGACAAATCACCATCCCGCCCCAATTCGAGTACCTTTTGCAGCCGGAGCGCGGAGGATAAGCCGTTCTTTGCGGGGTTTGTCTTGTTGTTGAACCGGTGCAATATCTGTTGTTATCTGTATTTATTCTGTAATATTCAGTTATAAATTAAATGCCATGATACCCACACACTCTTGTTTTATTCGATTTCCGTGTCTCTCATTACCCGGGAAAGACTTGACTCAATGAGTCAAGTGTTTCTCTCGGATAAATTTTGATAGAAAGAGTCGTATTTTTAGGTAAATAGTTGTCGTAACATAGTCTAGAAGTAAGAAAAAGTTGTTTTCCATTGTCTAAATTAGTCTAAAAACTATCAAATTAAAATATTTCGCTAAATTAATAAAATTTTGCATATTTTAGTTAACCTCTCCCTCTAAACTGCCTTTCAATTCGAATTTCTGGTATTGTTTCTCTCTGCTAAAGGTTGTACGTCTAACTACTGCATTCCACGACGGGGATTTCCGATATTTTGATTGTAAATTCATATTATTTTCCATATTATGAACAAAATAAATGTAATTTTATTGAAATCTTTATTCGGAATGAGATCAAAACGTTGTTCCAACCGGAAATCATAATTGGTTTTGCATTTTGGAGAGCTAAAATACGAAGAGACTGTTTTTCCACAAAAAAAATGGATGTCTAAAGTAATATAAAAGTTGCCAAACCTCAAAAATTTGATGAAAACAAGGAAAATCTCGTTGTATTTTAGCTCCGTCTAGGTATTACACGTCAAATCGATATAAAAAATAGTCAAAAATGCCCGAATTGACGATTTGAGAGAAATTACAGAAAATCCGTCATTATGACGAAATTGTTTTTGAACGGTGAAAATTTAAAATTTTTTATGACGCCATAAAATATACAAAGCTTGCTGCTAAAAAAGAATCATCAAAAAAATGCATATTAAAGATGTCATCATGACGGATTTTCTAGAAAATCTCTAAAATTGTCTGTACGGCGACATTCCGGACTGGAGATACTCCGGGATTAATTTACGGTCATTCGACTTGCTATTATGCATAAATATATCATATTAGGTCTAAAAGTTTCCCGCGAAAAGTCACCTCTTCTTAAGATGAAGTTGGTCATCTTTGAAGATTTATAAAAACCGTTATATAAGGTCCCACTGTACGAAGCGTATATCATTAGATAGCGTTTTCAACGTCCTTTCACGGCATATAAACAGCAAATGTAAATTGTATTCCAACCTGTAAAAATGCAAAACAAAAAAACGGCGGGGTCATACTTTTAGACCTAATAAAACTAGCATTGGTTGACTACTGGCCGAAATTTTTTACATTTGGCCCGCGAAAGAGTTGAATTGCATAGCTAAGGACTAAAATGGCAGCAGAGACCCAAAATCGCTTGCCAAATAGTTGGAATGAGTGTTGAAGAATAGGAGAGTCATCCACATCCCGTAATGACTAGCCAAAAAAAACTCTATAAGCGGGAATAGTCAAGCCCGGAATGTCGATTGTGCCAGATTGCCAAAAAAAAAAGAAATTCGACTACAAAAACTTGACATTGGAATGCGTTATTTCTTCTTTTCCTGCGCTTTCTTCGCGCTCTCCGCAATCTCCGTGCAGAAGGCAACAGTTGACCCGTCCGGCTGTTCGATTGTGTGCAACACTCGTCTCTTCGACGGGTCCTTCGCCTTGGACGCCGTGTTTGGGGGAGAAGGCGCCGAATCCGAGGACCGACCGCTTTGAGAGACCCGACCCGCTTCGACAAAAGGCATCCGCATGATGTCTTCGTTGAGGGACGCGGCCGAAGACGAGTTCGCCGTGTCCATGCACTGAAATGAAGGTGAATTTAGTGTACTACTTGATTATGAAAGGGGTTTTGGCGTGTAAACTGATCGGTAAAGCCTTGAGGGTTATTCTGGATCTAGTCATAGACATATTTTAATATCAAATTGCATATTTTTCCCAAAAAACCATCAGATGGTCATAGATAATACAAATTTGATAAATTAGATCTGAACCAGGCAAGATTATGGGCAGAGTGATATTATAATGACACCTAGTACATAGCCAATATCTCAAACATGATGTTAGTTCAGTCCAATCCTAGCAAATTCACTTTCTTACCAAAAGTCATCAAATCCTGATGTGTAATATAATTTGATCTCAACGTCTGAACCATGCAAACTCGTGCACAAAATTATTGTCTGCACGATATATAATAGCCTTATCTGTGCAAACCGGACGGTTTTGGTTAAGTTTAAGGGCAAAAAATTGTGTTTTGGGACAAAAACACATGATAGTATGGGTAATATAATTTTGACCGCCATCATTGCTAACGACGAAAGCAAGCCAAATTGAGGACAGATCTATAGAGTCTGTTGTATACACTCTATGTTAGCACCAAAATTTGAATCCCTTTAGGTATCAAAATAAGAAATTTTTGGCCAACAAATGATCAGCTCAGCTCACCATGGATAATATAATTTTCATCTCATAAATCCCCTATATCAAAGCTATGAGGTATACTGCGTATTTTAAAAAATACTTTAACTTATTCTGAACCTTTAACAAACGTTTCCTCACCATTTCCACATTATCGCTGCACATGGCCAACGAATGAAAGGTTTCCTGTCGATTATTCTTGAAGGCCATCTTCCGCAGCGACGTCTTCACTTCGGCCGAATTTTTGCGCCAAACCGTCGAATTGGCGGCTTCGTCCGACTTGGATGGGGACTGTTCGCGGCTCCGGCGTTGCAGCAATCGCCTAGGGCCATTCATTTCTTTCTCGTTTTTGAGGGCTCTCAGCTCCGATAATGGCCTGAAAACGGATGAAGATGAGAAATGAATAGAGGTAAAATACGACATATCTAAACTTCTGAACATTTATATACTTTCTTAACACTTATTATATCAAATCCGTCAAGAATAATTTCGAAAATCCCAAAAATAGACCAAATTTGTTATGGATAACATAATTAAAGGCATTTTAATATCTGAAAATGCTTTTAAACTTAATCAAAAAATTTACTAACTACTCCAAAACATTTCTAGACTGCATTTTTATTAATTTTTCGCCTTTGGACTGCTATCCAAGCCATTGGAACAGAATGCCAAGGATGGCGGGAAACTTGAACTTTTGAATTTTCAAATCATCTGGATCGGTAAAATAAGCGGCCAACCGAAAAGGACAGGTCTTCAAAGGCATACGGAGTAGTTTTAAGCCTCTCAAAGTCATCAAATGTTAACGAAAGCGCCTTAAAACGCTGGAACAGCTGTTTTTGCCAAAAAAGACTAGTGACTTACAGTAATTTCGGAAATAAAAATGATTACTACTCAACTAGACGGCTGGACATTACCTCTCAACACCTTTTTTCCGCCAAAACAATCCAAATTTATAACTAAAAAATGAAAAAATTGGAAAAATTTATTTCACTCATGGCAAAAAAGCTCTCAGAACTTTTCGAAATGAGTGAAAAGCCTCGGAAAGTCAGGATTGCTCAACCGAAAATCATTTGCAAACCCGCCCGCCGCCCAAAACTGTGACATTCGGCCCCCCGAAGGCCGTCCGGGGCACCGGCCGAAGCCGGTTATTCGATTACCAACCGGTTTCCATAGAGAATTTACATTCATTTATAGTGCAAATCAGCGGGTCCTGGGCAAAGGTCTGTTGGTGGAGACCGATGAGAATGAATGGCAAGAAATTTGAGCCAACCTTTTGTTGGAAAAATTCGAACAAACAGAGAAATGAAAAAAGATCAAAAAAACTCCAAAAAATCATCAGATTTGGATGAAAATCGGCATAAATTAAGATTAAAATTTTCTCTAGAACATGTGAGACTCTTAATATAGTCCTAAAAAACTGTTTTTCTCTAACGGTCTTACTGTGGGTCAAGTCTGACTAGATTGGGTCAAGTCTTTCTCTACCGTATCTCTCCTAATTAAGCCTTTCAAAACGTCTTATATCTCGATTTGAACTGCAAAAGAAACGCTAAAAAGTCCAAAAAAAATTTTTTTGGATTTTTTATTTTATTTTTTTATAATATCTTACATTTTTTCCAATTCTTTCCCCGCATCCAGTTTGAGCTGATCCATTGATTTGATAAATTCAATCACATTCATTTTCTCCTCTTCTTCTGCCTCCAGCATTCCCTGGAACTCAAATTTCTCTTTGCTCATCTGAAAAAAACAAAATTAAAATTAAATTTGATAGATGATCAAAATTATATTCCTAGTGCAAAAAATTACATATTAGAACATAAAAAGCGGTAAAAAATTAATCCAAAAATGAATAACCGTTTTTTTTGTCTTTTCCGTTGTGAATTTTTCACTGGGAAAACAACATTTTTATTGCAGAATCGTCCTACACACCAAACCTTTTTTTATTCCAAAAATAAATTCTTTCAACCTAAAAGTGTGCCGAAAGAAAAATCAAAAAAAATTGTTTGGATTTTCAATTTTTTCAAAATATCAGAATTCCAAAAAAAATCAAGCTTCTATTCAGTAATTTTATATTCCATTTTGAAAATTTTGGCCTTAAAACAAACAAAAAATTTACCGGAAATTGAGTTTTTCCGAAAAAAGAATCTATAAAAAGAGGTAATTCCCACGAAAAAGTTTGTCTCTAAACTATTTTCTAAGCCTCTTTTTCAATAACCATTCAAGATTAAATGACGGAAAAAATCCGAATTTTGAAAAAAAATTGAAATTATTATAAAAACAAATCAAAAAATCCCATAAAACTTTCTAGAAATCCCCGAATTTCCCGTTGATTAGCTCAAAAAACCACTTAAAACCTCACAACTTTATTCGATTACTAATGAGCGAGAAAAAAGAGTAAGAAATTCCCACAACTCCTTCGCCTTGACCCTCTTTTTCTTTGGTATTTGTTTTTCGGGCCCGAAAAGGTAAAAGGAAATTGTGAATGGCCTGAGGGCTTCACACACGCAAAGGGGCAGGAAAGATCACGCAAAGGAGTTTTGATCTCCGCTAACTTTATTGTTTTGAACTTGAAATGTCATGCTTTCATGGTCTTTGAATGTTTTTCATTCGAAAAATATTAAAATTGAAGGAATAAAGTGATTTTTTAAAGGGCAAAAAATGAAGTTTTTGCAAAAAAAAATTTTATTTTTTGGGGTCATTTTGAAAAAGAAATAAAAAATTTTTTTTTTTTTGAAAAAGTAAAATCGACAGAAAATCACAAAAAATTGTAAAATAAATTGCCAAACAAACAAAAATCCAGGTTTATGAAGTATAAAAAAACCTTTCCTTAATTTTCTCAAACCAAGAAAATCGTAATTTTGAAATAAGAAAGGCCTACCTTTGCCAAAAAAGCCCTTCCAAAAGTCGTTTCCCCACCTTTTCCTTGCTTTTTCCCATCCAACCAAACCCACGGCCTTCACCTTTTCGTGCCTGTGGCCAATAAACCCATTGTATGAAATGTCTGCTCCCACAAAAAAATTAAAATAATATCATTTCAAAAAATGTCGGCTAATAAGGTAAGCAGATCTTGTTCCGGATTTCGACCCATAGCCTATGATTTTCGGAGGAAAAAAAACGATTTTTTTGATTTTTAGAGTTTGATGAAACTTGAAATAAATTGCTGATTTGAAGAGCTAAGCCTATATAGGCAAAAATTTAAGCACTACTGTAAAAGATTTTTGTCAAAAAAAATTAACAAAGATAGGGGTTTTTTGCGATTTTTGGTATGAAATGCAACTGTCTGATTTGTAAGGACGAGTGCAAAATTTCCATAAAGAAATCGATTTTTTCCGGTTGAAATTCGCAGAGATATAATAGATATGGCTATCAGTTTGTCTGGAAAGTAATGAGCCCAATGTCATCACGCCAATTACATAAAGTCGCTGAATTGAAAATCAATTTGATTTTGTCGCGACACAATTCATTTCTCGGCGACCATACGATTTTGAAACAGTGTTCATTATTTTTCAGACAGACTGATAAAATGCGTTTTTTTGACCGCTCTGCACACTTTGCATACCAATTTGCATATCCCAAGGTCGTTGAATATCTCAGCGCTCTCTCAGCTGCCCCAGCGCTATCTAAGGTTCTTCCTATACCGTTCACCCCCAATTTTTAGCTCACACTTTGCAGAGGCAGTTGAGATATCCAATAATCTTTGAGACTAGGCAAAATGCAAAAAGCAGGCAGAGAAAAAAACGTCATTGGCCATGGTTCCGCCACGGTAAATTTTTAATGCAAACGGTGCTCTTTCTGGTTGAAAAAATCTGAAATTTTGTATGGATAATCTTGCAAGAAACGTGTCAAATTTTCACCAAGGTTTGGGCTAAAAATCTCGGTTCTTTGATGCTAAAAATATCGTATTTGCCTTTGCACACATTTATCAAAATTTACGCCATGTTTTGCCGATGTCCAAGCGCCGTGCTCTGAGCATTTTCCCTGCGAACTAGTGCCCCATTACCTCCCCAAAAATGTAAATTGAACACCCCACCCTCACCATTATTTCATTGTGCGGGCGGAGGTAATGGGAGGCAGTCTACTCTCCGGGTTTTGCAGACGGCCCCACAAAGTTTCACCTGCGCCTGCGGGCAAACTTTTTTGAGGGAAATCAACCTTTTACGGAATGCTTAAAGGTCGGGCAGAAGTCAAAGAAATGCATATTAGACATGGCCGGGTTTCTATGCAAAAAGGTGTTGCAAATTAAATTGTGATGATTAAAGAATGAGTGAAATTGAATTTGGGTGAGCTGCAAAGAGAATTGGAGAGGAAATACATGTTAGAAGGTTTACGGTAAGATACACAGTAAAATATTTTAAAAAGCAAAAACTTTGCATTTTGCTAACAATAAAAAATTGCAGGTTCTCAAAACCAAAAGCTAATAAAATTGCCTTAAAATTAGCCCACGTTCTCTGTGTAAGTCATGCATCAACTGCTGAAAGTTTTAGCTCTTGCTTTGCAGGGGCAGCCGAGATATTCAGCAATATTTGTAGGCGAGAGGGTACGGAAAATCAAGAAAAAGTATGCAGAGATTTCATCATCAGATTTGGATGAAATTCAAAATTAACTTTCCAAAGAGATTTGGGCGAATTTTAGCCTTTGCTTTGCAGTTTCCATCGAAATTTTTAGCACAAAATTGTCCAAAAACTCCCGGCCGGCTCTCTAAAAGAAAAATTTAGAATGCCATCTAAAAAATAATGTGTATCATCTCTACACAGTAACACTAACAGGGGAAGTACCCCAAGTGCGACGCTCAGATTTTGATGAAACTTGGCACAAATTTAGAATAATTTTTTCTAAGATATATGCGAGAATCCTAGCTTGCGCTTTGCAGAAACAACCAAGATTTTTAGATCGAAAGTCGGCGAAAATTTAGGACTTTTTGCCGAATTTCAGCACGAAAAGTTTCATGCCAATTTCTACCGTAAAGGATAATGTTTCTACAAAAAATCAAATTTTTCCGCACTAAACTACCAAAGTTATGGCCAAAAAGCGTTTTTCTCTCTGACCGCTCTCCACGTTTAGCGTGCTCTCTCGGCGGCATAACTCGCCCGATATCTCGGCGGCGCCTGCAAAGCGCGAGCTAAAACTTTCAGGAATTCATATTTAGTCCATACCCGACGTGTGTGCAAAATTTAAAGAAAATCCGAGCGTCGCACTTGGGGTACTTCCCTTGTAAGCTAACTTGTGTGCTAAATTCTTTATAGGTCAATATGGCCAAAGAAATGTGGTAATAAAAGGAAACGCAACGGTCCCAAAGTTGGGGTGCTATGTATACTGGTCGACAAAATTTTCTTTCCACCTGGATCTCGGGAACTGCTGGGCTTAGAAACTTGAAATTGGGCACAGAAACACTGTGGAACAGTCTAACACCATACCCAAAAATCGTATCATTTGATGCACTTTACATGCCTTTTTTGAAAAAGGCAAAAAGCCGGATGACAAAATTTTCTTTCCACCTTGGAAAAAACGTTTGTAACTCAAAAGCCAGAGGGTGTTAAGACATCACTGTGGCATCGCTGTGATTGTGAAAAACTCCTCTTTCGATCGGTGTCACAACTTTACCGGGGTTTTCGTTTCTTCGCCCTTGGGCGTCGCCTCATTGCCGCCTTGTCAGTTTTCAGCCAAATTCGTCAACGACATTGCGCTCATTATCTTCCCGACAGACTTATATGCCTCGAGATATTCGCCCCCCGAAATTTCAACAAAATCAAAAAGTCCCCAACAATGATACCACTATTCCATTCCACAATCCCACCCTCACTCCAGACCCTACAACCTCCCCAAAAAAGTTGTGTAATATTGGGTAGTAATCGGGAGAGAATGGGGCACGGAACCCCCCACCCTCACACATAAACAGTATGAAAAGGTGTAAATAACAGGCACGATTTAATTAAAATCCGGTGCAAAATAAAAGTGGCCAAAGTATCGCGTCCCTACCGCCTTCCAACCAATGTCAAGCAAAGGTCATTTTTTCAATTATTATTCGTTACTGGAAGTATTATAACAGTAATGGTTGTAAGGGTTGGGAAACAACGGTAAAACAGTCAAATTTGTGTTAAGTGATGAAAATGATGATTACAATGTCGCTGCTTAATTTTGCTGCGATATATCGATCATGCAACTTGCACTTTTGGGTTGCAGAAGTTTTAAGAATGAAATTTTTCAATCGTTATTGCGAAGTTTATGCAATGGGGTTCCTTACAATATTTATATTTTCTGAAAGCAGGCTTCTTACTCTACTCTCCTGCCAAATTTTAGCCTTCTAGCTCAAACGGCTAGCGAGATATCGAGAGATAAAGCAAGCGCATTCCGAAAAAAATAGAAAAAGTCGCGGAGATCGGTTGTGTCTCAAAAGTACAGAATGCCGTGCGATACAGTTCATTTTCTCGGCGATTTTCGATGCGACACTGCGTTCGTTATTTTGGCAAATAGAGAATGGAGGTTGGTCAGTGCTACTGACCACCATTATCATTAGAAAAGCTGTATGTATGCATTATGTAATAGCGGGCTGACTGCTTTGAGTAGTTATTGATTTTACCTTGGCCAGTAGAAAAAATGACAAGGTTTTACTGGATCCTGACAAGTCTTACTACGTGAATCACTGATTTCCCCTGCACTTTCACAAATTTCCATCAACAAAGATTGTCTCGAAAAATATTGTTTTGTTTTCTCTTCAAAGGTGGTCTTTTTTTCTCGATGTGACAATTTGCCGTTAGCTCTTGGAAGACCATGTAATCAGACTCCAATATGCTCTCCAATTACCTTCATCTCACTGTTAAAACGGCTTTTTCAACGTTTAAGATGTTCTTTGCAAAAGGAGAGATAAACTACAAGTGTTATAGTGCTATAAAAAGAGACTTCGATATAAGCAGAGAAGAATCATCTGTTTGATTTTTATATTTTGAACATATTCCTATTTCAATTCGTATTTTAGAATGTCGATTCGAGTTTCTGAAAGCGAAATTTACGAGGTCGAAAGTGGGAAAATCAAGGGAATCGCGTATAATATCGACAATTGTAAGAATTATGTGGCTTGTCTGGGAATCCCGTATGCTGCAGCGCCGATTGGAGAGCTGAGATTCGAAGTATGTGAGGTCTAAAGACTTTTCTGTCTCTCAAAAAACGTCTCGTAAATATACCTTTAGCTTTGCCATATACACTTGTTACTGTTCCTATTTTAGAAGCCCCAACCGCCAAAGAAATGGCGAAATGTCCGGAACTGTACCCACTTTGGAGCCCCTTGTCCGTACAGAGAGCCTCCTAATGGAGAACACAAACCTCAGCTGGTGCATTCGGAGGATTGCTTATTTTTGAATGTGTTTGCGCCGGTTGCAAATAATCAAGTAAGTTTTATTATGTTTTTTAAGTGTAGAAGTGGCCAAGTTTTGAATGCCAACTTTATCATAATTTACATCTGATAGTGAGAGAGGAAATAGGGAATTTTATAAAGTATATTCAGATCAAACGTGCTTTTTTGAACCCTTTTTTGAGAGTTTTAGAATCATCAATAAAAATTGTGAGTCTTTTTTTCTAATTTCCTGGTCAATCTCTTCTTGTTTTCGATCGTCTCGCGCTCGCAGAGATTGTTGAATATCTCGACTGCCTCTTCAAAATACATATTGAAATTTTCATAATTTGTTACATGTTGTATGTAGTTCACGTCTGCGAAATTCAGAGAGAATCTGGCCACTTTCAGCCAACCAAATAAACTTTTTGATTTGAGGCTCCCTACAGTAATATAAAGTAAAAATGAGCCTTTTTGCTAATTCCAATTTTCCTCAGCGCCCTTATAAATGTTGACTAGACCACTCAGTAATCTAACTGTCTCACTGAACCTGTTTTCAGTATTACAAAGCCAAGAAATTGCCAGTTTTTGTCTTCATCCATGGTGGTGGATATGTCTTCGACAACGCCGCCAACTACGGATGCTCCTCAATCTGCCAAAACCTTTGCTCCAAGGACGTGGTAGTTGTCACCCTCAACTATCGCCTCGGGCTTTTCGGCTTCTTAACATTGAACGATGGAAAAGTTAAGGGCAATTTTGGGCTTTGGGATCAAACCGAAGCCCTAAAATGGGTCAAAAAGAACATTCACGTGTTCGGAGGGGACCCGGAGAATATCACAGTTGGAGGACACAGTGCTGGAGGCTCGTCGTCTGATTTGTTGGCCATTTCTCCGCATTCCAGAGGTAAGAAATGGGGGAGAATGAGATTTTTTGGAATAGATGGTCATGTATAATATAAATTAATGCTGCAAAGGGGTTTTGGCAATAGTATATTAACCAACTTGTGTTTCATGAGCATTTTTAAAGCAAATCTTTCATTTTTGTTAGTTTCGGGGCCATAGAAACAGCTAAAACAGAATGCCAAATATGGCGGGAAATTTGAATTTTTAAAGGGTTCTTCCCGATTTTTCAAGTTTTTCGGACATTCCCGAGAAAGTAATGATCTTTGCAACTAGTAATTTCCCCATCCTTGAAACACTCAAAAATCGACAAATTTGCCTCAGTATTACCCGTTTCACCTTGTTTTAGACCTCTTCCAACGCGTAATCCTCTTCGCTGGCGCCTCCAAATGCGGATTTGCCGTGGAATCCCCGGAAACAATGCGGCGACGAGTCTGGAAGTTCGCCGCATCCAAAGGCTACCCCAAAACTGAAGCCGATTTTTCCACAAAATCGGCGGCGAACGAGGATTTGATGAGATTTTTGAGATTGCTGAAAGCCGATGATCTGAGACTTGGCCTGGCTGGACTACCCGCTTTCGCCAAGGAGTTTACAATGCACTGTGCGCCTGTTGTTGATGGAGACTTTTTCCCGGAGGAAATCGAGAAATTGAGAAAAAATGCGCCGAGAAAGCAGATTTTGGTTGGAGTCACCCTGTTTGAGGGGCTGAATTTGGGTGAGTTTATGTTAATATAGCATTCAAAAAGCTGTTTTATGAAGTAAAAAGTCTTCTACATTCTTTTTTTTCATATCTTTTCTGCAAATTTCGGGAATTGTATATAATTTTTGATCCAAAAACATTAAAAATTGCCATGGATAAGATAATCTGATGTTTGAAATCGGCAGAACTTTAAATAAAAATACCAAACACAAAGGTCGGACGTATTTTACCATCAGTCTTGACATTTTTAACCGAATTTTCAGCGTTTCCAACCTCTAAAACACAATGCCAAAAATGGCGGGAAATTTAAAAATTTGAATTTTTAAGCTTCCAGTCATGGGTAAAATACGGTAGAATTAGCCGTGCTGTAAATAGAGTGCAAATTTTCAGCAATTGGCCAATCCGGAGACAAGCTGACTAAATTTACCCTGAGGCAAATCGGATTTGGATTGAAGCAAAAGAACCCGCAGATCGTCCAAGAAGTCTACAACGAAATGTTGGGCTCTACAACTTTCAAGAATACTCATGAGCAGAACGTTTTCAACGTCAATGTAAGCGATTTTTCGACTAATTGAACCACTTTTTTATATTGCTTTAGGTTCTTTCCGACTTTTTCATCAATAACGGAGTCTGGGAGAGTGCCAAAAATTGGCAAAATGCGGGATCCGAAGTGTTTTTGTATACCTTCGATTATATTCAAAAGGGCATGCTGAAAACGATGCAAAAATATCTTCCATTCGAAGGTGAGTTGGTGATGGATAATATAAAATTTTATCTGAAAAGAGTTTTTTGATGGTAAAACGTGGTTTTTGAGGGTTGAAAAGCCTTCAAAAAGACTTCTGTGGCCATTCTTACATTAGAAATGATCTTTTTGAGGCTTGAAACATAATGCCAAACTTGGCGGGAATTTTAAATTTTGAATCGTAAATGGATGAATTTTGGTTTGTTATAACGCACAGCATCCCCACTGCGTATTTTACACTCATTTTGATCATTCTCTAACGAGATCGGTTATCTTTTTAGTGCTGAAACAGAATGCCAAATTTTGGCGGGAAATTCAAAATTAAAATTTTTTATTGTTTTCAGCGGCTTGCCACGGAGTTGAGATGGCCTTTATTTTTGGCCAAAATATCCTGGCCGACTCAAACTTGGAACGACAAGATCTCGAGGTTTTGGAGCGATTCACCAGCTATTTGACCAACTTTATCAAACATGGGTAAGATCATCAAAATTTTTAGACAAAAAATTAATTTTTTAGTAATCCAAGTGGCGATGGTCAGGTTTTCACTCCACTTACTGGTCGGAATCTCTTCAAACATGTGGTAATTGAGGGCAACAAGACCTACGAAAAGGATGACTTTTGCGGTGGAAGGCCTGAGAAATGGATTCAGATCAGAGAAAGCATCCGAGCTGGTAGTAAATTGTAGAAATCAAAGAGTAAAGTGAATAAAAATTCTGTAATTAGCAACTTACTGGGAGAAATCAATAAACTCATGAAAATTTTGACCAAAGCCATCATGGATAATATAATTTTCATCAATAAAATTTGGCGGGAAATTTGAATTTTCATATCTCTAAAACGGTATGTAGCACAAAGCCAACAGAAGGTTGCTTGTATCCAAATGCCTCAAAAATTCATTAAAATATTTATTATTTTTGAGTCAACAACAAAAAACAAGTGACTTGTTACGAATTTTGCAAATTGTAACAGTGTAACAACAATCATTCCTTATTCAAAATTTTCGTTTCTTTCCTTTGAAGTGGGGTTTCTGTGCCTTTCTCTTCCTGAATTTCTTCTCCTGAGCTTCCCTTCTTTCGCTGATATCTTCCAATAAATCGACGGCATGTTCCGCGTCCTGAAGATAGCTCAGAGATTGGCCAACATCGAATGCCTTGGCCATGGCATCGCCATCCGCATCATCTTCAGAGTCCTCTTCGAAGCCGCGCTTCTTGATTTTCTTCAAATTTTTCTTTTTGAACTCGTTGTCATCGTCCGAATCATCTTCACCGTCGGAAAATTGGTCATCAAAATCTCCATTTTGCTCCAAATCCGAGTCGTTTTCGTCATCATCGTCTAGTTCGGCGTCTGAATCATCATCATGGTCTCCATCGCTCTCCGAGTCTCCACCTTCATCAGATTCGTCATCTTCACCTTGTACTTGGTCATCATCGTCTTCAGAGTCGTCAATCTCATCCAAAGCGTCGCGATTCTTTCGCTGCTGCTTTCTTTTGGCTTTGGCTTCCTTTTCCGACAATTCTCGACCAAATGCTTGGCCAAAATCAATATCAAAAACATCATTCTTCTCGCCGGGTTCAAATCGCTCCAAAATTCCTTCAAATTCTTCCGAATCCACCGAAGCCACATCATCAAAACCATCATCCTCTCCACCATCCTCCTTCTTCTTGCCGGCTTTATTGAGTTTGACAGTGGCGAATCGGTGGAGGAACTTTTCGTCTTGGGGAATTTCTCGTTCTTGCATGTTCGCGTACTCCTAAATAAAAAACATTTCGGAAAGTTCATCCAACTAAGCTTCTACTACCATCAAAAATCTAATTCAGTCATAACTTTTCAATTTACTGCCCAAAATCATCAAATTTTGACCAAAAATTATCGGAAATCCTCATGGATAATATAATTTTGATATTAAAAATACAACATTCTTGTAAGCAACCTTTCCAAAGGCCATAAATAACCCAAAAATGCCCATTAACTTTCAAATCACAAACTGAACATCAAATTTGCCAAAAAATCAACAACCCTTCATGGATAATATAAAATTTTGGCCAAAAAGATCTTTAAACCACTACTCCAAAAGAAAACCTGCTACTACTACCAACTATAACCTCCAATTTCCCCATTTCAATCCCTTTTACACCCTTATCCCACCTTAAAACACAATGCCAATTTTGGCGGGAGTTCAAATTTTTAAAGCCCAAATCTCTCCAAACCAACTCCAAAACACTTTAAATCACTTACCGTCGACGTAACATTCATTCTTTTAATTCCGCTGGGCACATATCCTCGATATTTTCCATCTTCGGCCGTTTTAACCTTGGGGTTTTTAAAAGCAAACCGATCCAAGAATCTGATCAAAGTAAAATCGATTAGGGCGTTTCCTTTGTAGCTAATCGAGAGTCCATCCATAATTCTTTGCGCAAAGACCGCTACGGACGGATGGTAATGCTGGGAAAGGGCCAAAAGTTCCGTGTCGACCGATTTTTCGGCGTGTGCAAAGAGTGGATTCCGGGCGAACGGATCATAATCCACATTCCCTTGATGCTTCTGGGCCTCTTTTGTAATCAAATCACGGTAAACCCAGCCTGTTGCAGTCTTTTTCTTCGATTTTTCGCCGACTTTCTGTTCTTCCTCGGAAATTTTTCCATTTTCGACCTTTTCCTCGGTCGAATTCACTCCATTTTGTTGGATTTTGCCGTTCAGCTTCTTCTTCTTGAACTTTCCGTTCTTTGGAGCGTCACCTAGGCCGTTAACTTGAGGTTTTTCGGGTAGTGGGACATCAAAATATTGTTCTTCCTCATCACTGTCCTCCTTTTCCTCCTTTTTCACGGCCAAACCAGTCTCCGACTTCGGGATGGTCTTCTGAAAATTATGGGCGATTTATTTTTTATTTACAATTATTACTTATAACTTTGCAGTTTTTTGAGATTTTTCTGCACTGTGCAAAAAATTTACCCTCCGACTGCACAGTGCGAAACTTTTCCTTTCCGATTGCACCGTGCGAAAGTAGCGACAAAATTCGAAAACATGCGCACAGTGCAAGAAAAAGCGGTTCGAAAAATGCACAGAAACCCAAAACAAAAAAAAAAAAATAAAAAAATCGTTCTCGGAGGATAGGTTACCCCTAACAAATAGGTTACCCCAGCGGATAGGTTACCCCACCGGATAGGTTACCCCAAGTTTCGGATAGATAACCTCGGAGGATAGGTTACCTCGGAGGATACGTTACCCCGAGGATAGGTTACCTGAAAAAATGTTTTTTTTTGAAATGTTTTCGCTTCGGGACTAGGAAAAAAAGGACTTCTTGTGAAATTTGAAAAAATTTTCAAATGTTTTCGCTTCGGGAGTTGGAAAAAAAGGATTTTTTGTGAAATTTGAAAAAAATTTGAAGTGTTTTCGCTTCGGGACTGGGAAAAAAAGATTTTTTGGAAAATTCAACAAAATTTTGAAATGTTTTCGCATCGGAAGTAGAAAAAAGGGTGTCTGACTGAATGTTAACTGTGGTGCCGGCAGCACTAAAATTTTGTCTAAAACCAATGGTACCACCTGGTACTATATAGTACCACGTGTTTTTGGGCTCTACTAAGCACCAAACCATCACCATTACTGCATCATGGCCAAATTTTCACTTCTCACAAAACAGTACCAGTTGGTACTATATAGTACCAAGTGTTAAAACGTGTTTTTGGGTTCTACTAAGCACCAAACCAACGCCATTACCGCCTTACGGCCAAATTTGCACCTCGTACCAGGTAGTACTATTTAGTACCAAGTGTTTAAAATGTGTTTTTTAAGCAGTACTAGGCACCAAAACAACACCATTAACGTCTGAAAGTGTTATAAGTCGAAAAATTTTCAAAAAGAATCCCTAAAGGCAGTAAGGTAACAGAAGCCCAGTTTTCATATTCAGTCAGTTCATACTCAGTCAGCTCGAAAACCTTTCAAATTTTTTTCAATTTTCACAAAAAATCCTTTTGTTAAAAGTCCCGAAGCGAAAACATTTCAAAATTTTTTCAAATTTCACAAAGAATCCTTTTTTTCCAAGTCCCGAAGCGAAAACATTTCAAATTTTATCCAAATTTCGCAAAAAATCCTTTTTTTCCAAGTCCCGAAGCGAAAACATTTCAAATTTTATTCAATTTTCACAAAAAATCCTTCTTATTAAACTCCCGAAGCGAAAACATTTCAAAATTTTTTCAATTTTCACAAAAAATCCTTTTTTTCAACTCCCGAAGCGAAAACATTTCAAAAAAAATTTTTTTCTTTTTTTGGTAAGGGGTAACCTATTCGTGGAGTAACCTATCCGGTGGGGTAACCTATCCGTGGGGAAACCTATCCGGTGGGGTAACCTATCCGGTGGGTAACCTATTCTCGGGGTAACCTATCCTCCCCAAATCTAAAAAAATCGCATGGTGGGAGAAAAAAATTTGTCGCACACGCACTGTGCAATCCAAATCTCCTCGATTTTTTTGCACTGTGCAATCCAAAACTTCTCGATTTTTTGCACTGTGCAATCCAAAACTCATCATTTTTTTGCACTGTGCAGCATAAAATAAACTCAAAAGGTGCACAGAGCGCTCAAAACTTCAGTCCAAAACCCCGTCCAGTGCACTGTAACCGCCCCAAAAATCAATTTCAACTCCTTTTTACCCCTCAAACTTACATCCGAATACCTGACCAACTGGATTAATTGTGGTTTCTCGGTTAGTAATGCGTTATAAAGCAACAAAACCGCAGCTGCAAAGGCCGGGGTGTTGATCAAAGCCAATTGGAGGAGTCGTTTGATGAATGCGCGGACTCGTTCTTCCACCGGGTCCGTTTTGAGGACTTTATGGACCAAATCAAAGAATTGGACATCGGCTTTGGAAGAGCGGACTGTCAGCATTCGTTGGTAAAAAGCTGAGTAGAATCGATCCGAAAGGCCGGAGCTAAAAATAAAAATGAACAAAATTATTTGAATATCAATTTTTTTTAAAAACAATTTATAAGCTCATAAATTCCCAACTCACTTGAAAGCCATTGCTTGGTACAATAATCTGAGCGCACTTAGGGCGGTCGCCAACTTTTTCGCTGTGTGAACCACCTTATAAAGATCATCAAACTGCTCCGTTAGTTGTGCCGCTTGATCTTTAGCGAACGGGAAAGCCTTGTTTGCGCCTCGGATGACGTTTGTGAGCATCCGATGGTTCACGGCCTTCTTCAAGATGAGGATTCGGAACATGGAAAAGTAGATTTTCAAAAGTTTCACCGCAACTTCTGTGTCGCCATCTCGGAGGGGCATGATTGAGAGGGTGTGTATGGCGTAAAACTGGGTTCTTTCTGGGATATTCTTCCTGAAAATGGGATGCATTACATAATTTTATATTCCACTAGGTCAGAGATGATAGAAATTAAATTTTTGAAATAGAAATCCATGATATGGTGATCAAATTCCTCTAAAATTCCAGCAACTTACCTATAGTACTCCAAATATTATAAAAATTCATTAAAACCGACAAAAATTGTCATAGACAATATAATTATCATCTAGAAATGTGGCATCCCCATCAAAAAGTCATCAAATGGCCTATGCAGATTACACGTATCTTCTATCCTCCTAATTTCAATATTAATAAGCCCGAAAAAATCCCAGGCATCCAAAAAATTGTTAATATTATCCATAACCCTCGAATTATATCTCTTACCTAAAAATCAGCCGTTCCAATTGCCCAATCAAGATCAATCTCATATTTCCATGCTTCTCCGAGAGCTTATGGATCTGTTCGGTTGCTGTTACTGCAACCTTCTTCTTGGGATGACCAATTTTTTCGATTAAAATGTTCAAGAGTACGTCTTCTTGTTCCGGTCGTTCTGTGAGTAAATCCGCGATGATTATCACCGCCTTCTCCGCAACACCTTCGATTTGACTTGAAGTTAGAGCCTAAAGACAGAAAAAATCAAATCAAACAAGACAAACGTACTTGTGCGCCATTTACGACATCAGCATAGAGTCGTTTTAACTCGGATTCGAATTGCCAAAGGATCAACCGTTTGTTTGCTAGGTCCACATTGCCTCCGGAAAGTTCTTCCACAAGGTCTAGAGGCCTCTAAAAGTTTCGAAAAAAGTTAAAATTATCAAAAATACAACTTACTCTATCCAATGGGACCAATTTCCTGTCAGGAGGGAGCAAATTCTTGATGAAAATTTCGCGAAAACTCTCTGGAAAAAATTCAAAGGTCAACAAAAAAGCTCCATGAACTTACTCATAACCGCAACAAGAGATCGTGTTTGCTTTTTTGTAAAGAAATTGACCAGAGTTTCGAGATGTTTTATCGAATGGACTGGATCTTGAACAATCTTCAGCTGAATGGCACTCAATTTGTCGGACATTGTTCCTTGTTCCACAATCTTGTCCAGGAACATGTCTTCCGATGTGAGGGCGCGTTTATTGGCTAAAATAGGAGTAGTTATATTATCCATGTGAAAAACACCGATTTTCTTGGATCACTTATATTCTTCTTGGGGAAAAGGACACCCAAAAGACATTCCAAGTCTTTCTATAGGTGAACATGAGAGATCGAACCTAAAACTCAAAGAAAAATATTAAAACCTTACTTTTAGAATGGGCTTCGATCTCCTTTGCCAAAAGTTTCTCCGCTCGTTTGACTTGATTCAGATATACTTCGTTCATATGGTTCATAGGCTGGTCTAGGGTCTCATTGAAGCCATGATCAAACCATCGTTCATCTACATCAAGCTTTACTAGGACTTTTCTACTGAAACTTTCGGCATCTCCACTACTCTGAATCTTAGGCTTTCTATTGCTTCCGAGCTCTGTATCCAGGGATTTGAAGGTCTTAACCTTTCCATTCTCATCGAACTTCTTATGCTTGCCCATCTTATTCTAAAATACAATAAAAAATTGTCCATAAAAATACCAAAGTCATCATGGATAATATAATCATTGGATTGAAACCAAAATTTCTTCCCATCAAACCTCAACATAAAGATTTATTTTCATATAATTACTGAGATCGATCTAAAAATGGGTAAAATAACAAATAAAATTCCGAAAAATACACGTAATATTCGTGTTTTAGACTTGAGCTAATGGAAAAGAATATATTTCGAATGTGCAGATTGAATCCAAGGCATCTGTAAGGCATCTAGAACTCAGATTGGATTCTGAGTAAAGTAGTCCAACGCAAAATTGAATTGGTCCTCGCAAACGTTGAGCAGGACGTTTGTTTTGGCCTAAAGTAAGGTAAATTTATATAAAATAATACCCATAGATAACCTCAAACAGTTTCATAAGCCATAGCAAGAATTTCTTACCAATTTCTCATCATAATTATCACTGAGCCCTTGGCCATGTTGAGCTAACGACAATCCACTCAATGCATAACATGTATGATATAAATCCGATGGTTTTGTTGGTTTATCCTTGAACCCGCCAGAAACACATTGGGAAACAAATAGGATATACTCTTCCAGTCCTTTTGGGTTAAAGGCAACCAAAGTTTGAGGTGGGGGAACCAAACAATTTTGGGCAATAACAGCTGCTGCGCCTACCCAATAGCTGTAACATACGTCGACCAATTTGCCTGCTCGGCCCTAAAGATAAAGAATAATTGGAAATAAAATCAAGAAAAGGTAGATGAAGAAATTTAGACAGTAAAAATCCCGGGTTTGAACAAAAAGTTATATTACACTAGGCAAAATTCACGCGAAAATCCTCAGAAAAGAATGTAATTCTTCGCTCTATACTTTGCATAACAACTAACAGCCGTTATACGCCCTACGGCTCCATTTTAATCTCAAGATCGAACATAAAATTAAAAAAATTATACTATACCATACCTATCTTATCTTCATAAAAAATCACCCTTCTTACCTGAAATCCCCCTTCGTAAGGCATTTGCCGCATAGCACACCACCTAACCAATGCTTGAGCGTCAATCAAATGCGCTTTATCCATTAAAACCAGCGCTGCAGCTCCGCATAAAGTATATCCGCCATGAGCTTCACAATCAGGGGAACCCGCAAATCCACCTTCATAAGTTTGACATCTAAACTTCAAAACACTCAAAAAACTTGTCCTACCTTGTCAACCATCCTGCCACTCCTTCAAACAGCTTATCGTTCATCAATCCTAGGACAAAGCAACAAGCGACCATGCAGTAGACACCTCGGACATCAATCTCTCCATTTTCATGCATCCGAAAACTTCCGTCAACCTGTTTCAGCGACCAGTAAAAGCGGAGAAGAGCTTTTCTAAAAATAGAAGAATAAAAATAATGTTGTTTTAGATTACCTGTCAATCATGGCTAGCGCTTCCTCAGTGCCGATGGAAACAAGTGACATAATTGCGGCATACGTAGTAGCCATATGAGGGTACTGTCCTGGGGCACCTCCGAACCCACCTGACGGATGCTGACAAGCTTCGAGGAATTTTATAAACCTAAAACTCGGATATTGACCATGGATAACATAAAACTTGGAAATTGTGGGGAACAACCGTTAAACAGATGCACAATAAGAAGTGAGAGTTCTAATCTCACCTCGTCTTCTGCGTAGAAGACAAATCATGACCCATCAAGCGCAGTGAGTGGATTGCCCAGAAACAAAACCATGTTCGACCAGCTTCTTGACCCTAAAGTAATTTAAAATCCCGGCCTCTCGAAAAGAATCGAAGTTCAATAAGGCATCGAATAGTTCGATATAGACCTGAAACAAGTTGTACGAAACTCTTACCGAATAACCAGAAGGCAGCGTTTCCAGATGCTTAAGAATATAATGTACATGTCGATCCCGTTTAAAGTAAAAAACTTCTCGACTGTGCCTCGACAGGATATCTTTTACAGACAATTCAACCACTTTCTAAACACAAGTATTCAAAAAAAAAACAAAAACTCACTTGTTCCGAGGAAGTTTCGGTCTCGACACCTTGGTCATCATAGAAAAATTGAGGATCCGCGATTCGATATGAATATTCCGCTTCATCCGGTCGAATATCCATCGAACTAATGCTGTTTTGGTTCAGGGATTCATGAAGAACAGAAACAAAAAAAGGAATAATTTATTTCCCATTGAACGAAATGTCACAACGAAGTGGCACTATTGATTTTTCGAATAATAGACATGTACCGTAAACGGACGGCCAATATTGCAACACGCTCACTGAAATACATAATTTTTTACCGATTTCAACCACGCTTTCACACAAAATCAAACTTTATAGCAATCTATACATCTAAAACAATATAATTGCAAACTCAACCCGTAAAAAATAAAATACAACTAGTAACAGTATATAGGTACAAAAAACCAGTAAGATTTCTAATGGGCTCCATGTCCAGGTCGACAATGACAAAGGTGATCCAGAATTTTCACGGTGCACTTCGAATCGGCATGTTTAATATAAGGCTTCAGAAGCACTTTTCCATTATTGTCAAATAGAATTTCCACTTGCAATCCCAGGCTACCCAATTCCCATGAGATATCAAGAGGAACCGTTGCTTGATAGATGTTTCCTTGGATCGATTCAAAGCGCTTTAGATCAGTGATATTGGAGATGGAGAACGTTTTGGGACATTCTAATTTGTTCAATGCGTTTTCAACGTTGACTTTGGCTTCTGATGAGAGGTTTGACTGTAATAAGTAATAAAAAAAGTATAATTGATAGGATTCTAGGGGACAAAGGAGGAGATTTTAGGGGTTGATTGTATTATCCATGGCGTTTTGATGACTATAAAAAAAATTTTTTTGAAAGATCTCCTATAATAAAAAAACAGCCCCAAAAATCCAATAAAAGACCACGTACCACAAAGTTGACATCATCAATTCTTCCAGGAGCCTCTTTTATGCATTGGCATTGCTCTTTTCCCACCTTCATTCCCTCACAATCCCGATCAACTGAGATTTCCTGCAGAAAAGACACTCCATTATCAACTTTCTTCCCCATGATCTCGTTGACAGTTGCATAGACGTCATCCAGCAATACAAACGAGTTCTTATTTTTGAGTAAAATCGAGTATTTTTCGGGATTTATCCCAAAAAAGCTCCTCGGAATTGTTAGGCCCAAAAATGGATGAGAATTCGCTTTTTGGCCAGTGATTACGAATACGGTCCTCTCAAATCCTCCATTGAGATAAGAGCGGTCCAGTATGTGAGAGAGATGAGAATCCAGAGCACCAAGATCTGGGAGATCGGAGACGTCCAGATCAGTGATGGAGAAGGTCGGAACTGATGGGTATTTCGATAAAAACCTGAAATATTTGCTCTGTCAGGAAGGATTTTTAGTAAAAACTTCATGGCACTTAGATCGGAATCACTTTAGATTCAAAAATTCAAATTCCCGCCATTTTTGGCATTCTGTTGCAAGCGTTCAAATGGGGCAAAATGACCGTATTCCATCAAAAAATTGCTGTAGATTACTGAAGATGCACAAAATAATCTTCCTATTTGCTTACCTCTTCAAAACATTAAGGACTCTCTCATACGGATGTTCCGAACATTGTACATGACTTTGAGATGAATTTTCAAGTAAATACTTATTGAATGAGCTGAAAGATTTAAAATTAAACCTCTAATGGTTCATAAATAGTCGTATAATACATGTAGCATCTTTTAGAAAACAAATTGGCCCTTACGACAGGTCAAAAGTCGGTGTAATATCGAATGTTGTTGATGATGACATTGTGTTCAACATAGTAATATATCCGTCATCTGAATGAAAAGAAAAATTTTATGGATGTAAATCTTACCTTGTGCTGACTTCATCAGCTTTTTCATCAAGTCATCATTCAGTTTGACAATATTTTCAGCCTAAAAATGATGATTTTTAGCGTAAAAACGAATAAAAAATCAGAAAAATCTGACTATAAAGTATGTATGAAAAACGCCCAAATCTCCATTAGGTACCGAATGGAATCCATTGAGCAGTTGGGTATTGATTGTTTCCAGAGCATCGACAGTCAATGGCATTTTGGAGATCAAGTCGGATTTGGAGATTCCATTCAAGTTCAAGAAGGCAAACGAATAATTTCGATGACGATTGTCAGAAATCTCTGAGTTGTTAGCGACATGATTTTTCGGTTGAAGAGAGAAAAAAACGTCGGAAAATACTAAAAATGGCAAAAATTTAGACGACGATGACTAAAAATACGGTAATTTTTAGGGTGGAAAAGAGGTCAAAAGTACCCGTATTTATACCGGTATACGATTTTCAGTCTAAAACACCACTTACAGCTCTCATTTTGCTGATTAAAACACTCGATTTTCACTTGCTCCACGTCCAATCTTTGCTTCCCTTCTCGTAATTGATACTAAACGAACATAAATTTTTGACAGAATTTATTTCTACCTTGTCGCTACTATCCGAAGAAGCAAGATCGCTGTAAAAACATCGAAATTCTGGCCGTCCATTCTTGATTTCGGCGATTTTCACATAAAAATCACCAAAAGTTGTCTGTCTAACAAGTTGTTCCTCCTTTTCTAGGCATTTTATGTCGGCATTCACTGTGGTAGAGATTGTTGAGTCATCTGGAAAACGATTCGAGGTAATATTTGAACACTTCTTGCAAGATTTCATATACCTATTACGTTACAGTGGGACCAGATCCAGTGGCAAAAAACGTACCATTATGCATCTGGGAAGTATCAAAAATGTGGCAAAATGCTTCCCTCTCCAACTGAAAAAACTTCATTTTGAAGGGCGCGCTCTTTTTCCTCACAAAGAGTGGGCGCGATTCTGAGTTCTTTCACTTGGAGAGGGAAGCATTTTGCCACATTTTTGATACTTCCCGGATGCAAAATGGTACGCTTTTTGCCACTGGATCAGGTCCCCCACTGTATTATGTTATCCAAGATGAACATTAATTTTTTGAAAATAAAACAAGTTTACCCGTTCGCTGAGCTGGTATAATCTTGCATCTGAACTCTTGAGGATGTGAGAATTTGTATTCAACAGCCGTCATATCGTATCTTGACCTCTTCCTAACAAAACTTTTGAATTTAGGTGGGACATCAAGGTATTTTCGAACTTCTGCTACTGATGCCAACGGAAATCGATGTCTAGGATCAGGGAAAAACATGCCAACCACAACATAAGCCAACACACAAAGGGATGACGTAACAATGAACAAGATTCCAAGCTAAAAGTTCAGAAATCCGACCAATTTTTATATTACCCATGCCTTTCTTGGGTAAAGAAGGAAATTTCACGTGGAAAAACTCACTTTTGACAACAAGATTCGTTTCATAAGTTCGTACGAACAATTGATGCGATAGTTCAACAGTAATTTGTACCTAATACTCTCCATTCTAAGACAATATTTTAAGAGTTTATGTCAATTTCACATTCAGACCCCCGAATGGAGCGGCACTGCTCTTGAAGCCCGCTTATCAGATACATCTACGAACTAATTGAGATGTCGGAATGAAGAAGCCTCCCGGATCCTGTTTTATTATTAATGACTTTTTGGAGATCTACTAGGAAGTTTATTGAGGAGAGAAATGAAACATGCGCAATATTGCCAATGATTTATATTTTCGAAATCTGCATTCCCAACACAATCCTCGCCTTTTTTAGATAACGTCTAACCAGTATAACACACCAAAACAAAAAACGGCATTTCAACTGGTAGCCAACAAAAATTTTATATTGTACTACCGACTTCCAGCAAGAAACACGGCAACACTTCAGAAGTCCATGCAAAGGGAAGTGGTCTTCTTCTTTAGGAGATACAAGACGCCTGAACACGCTCTAAAAGCCAAGAAAATAACAATTCACCCTTTTCACATCAGGTAAAACCTCCCCCTACCGTCCGACTTATTGCACTAGGTATTTTTCGATCACGAACTACTGCTCCTACCACGACTTCTTCGTTAACACAGCGTTTTTACATTATTTTCACAGATTTTGCAGAATTCTGCAAAATTTGACCGCAATTTTTCCCAAAACATATTTTTGTTCCGAGTCCCACCACGACTTCCTGATTTCGGCGGTCCCCCCTTGCCGAAGGCGTTGCCGGTCGTTCGGCGTGTGCGATCGATTGTCGAAAACGGTAAAATACAGTACTAGTCCGACCGGAAAGTCGCCTGAGGGGTTTTTGGCGATTGCATTGTGCGAAAAAGTCGGGGTGCACGCCACAGCCGAAGCCTGCAAAAAACAGGAAATTGCGATTTCAGTCCGGCGACTTTCCAAGCACTAGTATGAAGAAGAAAATTTGCGTGAAAGTCGGAGTAAAGTGCAATATTGAACTCGATGTAAATGAGACTTACATTTCGATTTTCAGCGACGAATTTCTGTTTGCCAAAATTGAGGACCGAGGATTTTTGAAACCCAGCTCATTCAACGTTTTGTGCTGTAGTCGGACGGTCGCTTTTTCTCAATCAAGATGGACGTGGACAGTGGCGAAGCAAAGCGCAGAAGAGAAGACGAATTGAATGTGTCAAGCTTGAACATCAGCCTCAACGAAGCCCCCAGTAAGTCTTGTTGCGAAGTGTTCGGTCTTTAGGACGATGTCTGAACAGTTTTGATGGGCAATTTAAGCGTTCGTTCGAGGTATCTGTGCTCTAAATCTGATTATTTTACAGAAAAGCTCCCTCCGCAATCGATTCCGTCAGGGTGCAACACCTCAATCAGGTTGAATGGATACAATATCTCATTGGCCAAGAAGAACGAGCCCGGATACCTGGAAAAAATCTACAAGTATCGTGTCACCATTGCCGCTCAGTACCCGGATAGAATTACGAAAGATGAAGCCGGAAATGAATTTTCGGTGCCTCGTAAGGAGCGCCTATTGCATGATGGGATGAACGGAGAGTGAGTTCATCGACTTTGTGATGCAAGAATATCGAATTTTTGTATTGCTGTTGTTTCATTCGATCACTAATGGATAAATTTTTAGTGTGGCGAAGTCTCAACGTTCCAACATCTCGTATGTTGTCTTGGAAAATGTTGCCCAGCAATTTTATGGTTTCAAGGGAATGGAGTACGTATATGATCGAGTAAACATTGTCTATTCTTCCAAGAAGTTGTGCGAGGAATCCCGCATTGATGTAATCGAAGTGGCTGGAAACGTAAGACAGTGATGTTTCGATTTATTTTGTTTTTAGGAAAAGCTCGTAAGATTGGACACTTCATTTTACGGCCGTCCCTCCGCCTACAAGGTAGATTTGTCTCTCGTGGAGATTGTGAATCCCCACAATCAGGAAGAAATCGGGGCCTTGGTTCAGTTTTTGGAAATTGCCACCTCAGTGAAAGCCTATAGGTGAGAGTATTATTCGAAGTGCATGTTGGGTTTAGAAACATCGCCGAAGCTCTTGCCAAGCGAGAGAAGCCGAAGGTCGAAGTCACTAAGAATAAGATATATTTTCCCTTGGAAAGCAAGCCTTTCAACAATGATCCGCGTATCTTGATGAAAGGAATCGACAAGTCTGTGACTGTCGCTGGTGATTTGTTCAACCCAAAGTTTATTTTGAAGTTTGATGGTAAGATTTTAATATGGTTTTATTATTTTTAGTGTTGATACACAGTAATCTTTGTTGTTTTCAGCAAAGAGCAGTCCGTTCTTCCCCGAAGGAGAGTTGGTCACTTTTTTGAGCAGGTTGATGACGGCTGGGAGACAGTTTGGTGGCCCGGGTGGTGGGTTCAGGGATCGCAGCTCGTCCCGTGCATCCTATCGCGACAGTTCCCGCGACAGCCGTGCAGGTTACGATCGCGGTGGATACGAACAAAGTGGAGGTGGCGGAGGCAGTGAAGAGCTGGCTGGGATCCTCCGAGACAACAGAAAGTTGGATCTTGCCACTTTACACTTGAAAAGTAAGAATTGGATTTTATGGTTGATATTGTCTTTAATTTTTCTCAATTTCATTATCTTGTTGTTGTAGATGTCGTTGTCAGAACAACTCATCTCGGCGAGAAGAACAAGGTGTTCCCAATTCACGGACTAGGCGATCCAATTGATCAAATCAAATTTACGAAGCGCGATGGAGCTACCGAATACGTATACGACCGTTTCAGAAATAATTACGGGCTCTCCATCAATGGACGCCTTCCAGCGGTTATTCATTATGACAAAGGCAGGAAAGTCAGCAGTTTCTATCCCATGGAAGTCTTGGAGATCCTCCCGAACCAACGTGTTTCGGTACAGAAGTCTCAAATGGAACCAAATTTGGTTAGTTTATATTACTTTTCGCTTGTAGCCGTGGTGTTGTATATTTTTAATCCTTACATGACAATTTCCATTTTTCAGACCGAGATCATGACTCGTGAATGTCAACAGACTCCGACTGTCATGACTAGGCTGTTTGAAGATGCCAAGAGGGAGATCCACATCAACAATTCAAACCCTTGGTTTAAGCATTTTGGAGTAAGTGGCTGTTTTTGTTGATGTTGTTTTGTGTTTAGATTAGAGTCGAAAGTGATCTCATCGAGACGAACAAGGGAATTCTGATTCCTCCACCAGACCTTGTCCTCGGAAACGATCGGCGTGCCAATCTGGACAGAAATCAAATGAACTTCCGTCTGGACCGAGATATTTTGAGAAGCACCCCAAAAGACAACATTCATTGGTGTCTTGTCGATGTTCAAGGATGTCTGGGAAGAGATATGGAGTGAGTGTCGCTATGATTTTTTTGTTTTAGAAGAAACAGTGTGTAATTTACTGTTTTAGCCGCTTCCTGGACAATTACATCAGAAGATGCGGTGAACTCGGCCTTCGTCTTCCCGACCCGGACCAAAGAAGAGCCCCCGATATGCGTGGAAGCCGTGAAGATGACTTTGATCGAGCTTTCAGACAGCTGAAACAGGACAATTTCACCTTTGCTATCTTCATCACTCGTGGAAAAACTGATGCCTCACATGAGTACATCAAGTACTTTGAAAGCAAGTATGGTGTACTCACGCAGCACATTATTCAAAAGAATGCCTCCATGTGCAAGTCGGACACCTTGAACAACATTATTTTGAAGACCAACTTGAAATTGGGAGGGCAGAATTGGCTCACCAGGGTTAATCAACTCCAGTCCTCCAAGTAAGCGTAATTTTTAGAGTTAGTCGTTGTTTTATGGGAGTAAAATTGTTTATTTGCTTTCAGATCGGTCATAAACATGACCAAAACCATGTTCATTGGGATCGGCTTTTCCCAGGCTGGGCCTCAAGGAGTGGAACGGAACGAAACTTCGGCTCCGGCAATCTACACCGCTTCGATTACCTACACTGTCGACCCCGACCTCAGACTGAACGGGGATTGGTGGTACTACGAGAAGCAGAAGGGAGCCAATGCTGTTCCACTTGGTGGAGGGGATGAGGAACCAAGTGAATACGAAACCAATTTGGGAGGAATGTTGAGACAAGCATTGGAGAAATGGAGAGTCAATACTGGAAATTTCCCAGCTCATGTTGTGGTTTACAGAAACGGAACTGTAAGTGAATATACTTTTTTTTGTTACTCTGCTTTTAGAGTGAGGGAGAGTTCGCCCAGATCTTCAGGAAAGAAGTGAAGCTAGTCGAGCAAACTTGCGCTGCTCTTGGACCAAATGCTCCGACAAGAACTTTCTTGGTGGCCATCAACAGAAGCAACAACCGCCTCTTCCGTCTGGCCAGGGAAACCAACCCCAACGATAGACCTCCTCAACAGAACGTTCGTGCCGGAACTGCCTACTTTGCTGGACTTACTCATCCAAGACTTACTGAGTTTATCTTGCAATCTCATCGTTCCATCCAAGGCACTGGACGTCCGGTTCGCTACGTTGTCCTCAACGATACCTGTATCCCAAGAGTATCGACTGAAGAATTGATCAACATCAGCAATGCTCTGGCCTATTCTCATGGAGTGGTAACTTCCCCGGTCTCCCTCCCGTCATGCCTTTACGCTGCCCAAGACCTGGCCGAACGCGCTCAGAAACATGTTAAACATGTGCGTGGGAACATGTCTATCAAGCAACTGAATGAGCAGATCCGCCCGAACGTTGACCACAGATTCTGGGCTTGAATCAATCAATATCTCCTCCTATATTATCTTATATTATTGTCTGTTGGTGTAATTTGTTTTTGCTTATTGGTCTGTGAGGTCTTGTATAATATTATATTATTCATGTCTACTCACTTGCTGGTATATAATATTTATTTTTTATATTCATGATTTATATGTCATACTACAGCTCGCTAATTCAGCTGCAGTGTTGTGTATGTCAGCACACTTTTTTCATAAAGTGACCAAATTGTTGCTTTTTGGCCTATAGCCAATATTATTGTTATGCTAAAATGTTTTTCGTTATTAAAAAAATAAAATTTGGTATTGACATGTTGGAATTTGCCTGGAACGTAGAGAAAGAGTGGAAAGATAAGAAATTGGGAAAGTTTGTTGGTAATCAAACGTATTTTATTTGCAATTGAAATGGCTTGTTTTTGCAGTGAATGCTGACCCCGGTTGCGCGCCAAAATAAGCCCCGCCTCTCGCAAAAGCGTCGAGTATAAAAGCTGACCACTCCCCGCTTTCGCCATCAGTCTCCGACTCGATTTTTGTCGTTCGACTTCAGCTCTCATCGAAGCAATGGCTCGTACCAAGCAAACTGCTCGCAAGTCCACTGGTGGAAAGGCTCCCCGCAAACAGCTGGCCACCAAGGCCGCTCGCAAGTCCGCCCCTGCCACTGGTGGCGTGAAGAAGCCTCACCGCTACCGTCCCGGAACCGTCGCCCTCCGTGAGATACGTCGCTACCAGAAGTCCACCGAGCTCCTCATCCGCAAACTGCCCTTCCAGCGTTTGGTTCGTGAGATCGCCCAGGACTTCAAGACCGATCTCCGCTTCCAGTCCAGCGCCGTCTTGGCCCTTCAAGAGGCCAGCGAAGCCTACCTCGTCGGACTCTTCGAGGACACCAACTTGTGCGCCATCCACGCCAAGCGGGTGACCATCATGCCCAAGGACATCCAATTGGCCAGACGTATCCGCGGCGAACGCGCCTAAATTCAGCTCCGTACACCTTGGACTTGCGGCTGAAGCCCAACTGATCCCAAACGGCCCTCTTTAGGGCCACAAATTAATTTTTCATATTTATTTGTTGTGAATAAATCTGCATTGTGATTATTTGTATTGTTTCATGTTGGTAAGGCTGATTTCAATGTTTTTTAGGTTGGGAATTCGGATAATACTGGGTGTAGAATGCGAGATAAGCGAATTAGTTCGTATTTTTATCTATGCAATCGTATTTTTATCTATGAGTATACGAAGCAAGAATAAGAAATAAATTAGAAGAAAAATATGTGTTAATTGACCCTGACGCCTCTGAAATTGATGTAAATTACATTTGCGATAGTTTTTATTGTCTGTTTTTACTAGTTACACCAACTTTTTGCCAATTTTTTGGATTTTTGACAAAATTGATACCTAAAATTTCAAAAACAAAATTCGATTTTTAAACTGTTTTGATGGCATTTACCTTGCTGATATATACTTTTGGCTTGATGATCATACATGTAGGTGTATACACATCTATTTTACTTCAAAGTCTGGTTGTCTGTATATTGCACTTGACCAATGCTTTTGTTTTCGCGTCGAAACAGGGAAGACGCGACCTCGCCTTTCGCGCTCAAAACAAGCTCCGCCCCTTCTCCACCGGCAGGGGTATAAAAGCCGGTTCTTTTCCGCTTTCGTTCATACGATCTGTTCGTACCCAACTCAGGAATCAACTGAACAATGTCTGGCCGTGGAAAAGGAGGCAAGGGACTCGGAAAAGGAGGTGCCAAGCGTCATCGCAAAGTCCTCCGTGATAACATCCAGGGCATCACCAAGCCCGCCATCCGTCGTCTGGCTCGTCGTGGTGGAGTGAAGCGAATCTCCGGCCTCATCTACGAAGAAACCCGTGGTGTTCTCAAAGTCTTCCTGGAGAATGTGATCCGAGATGCCGTCACCTACTGCGAGCACGCCAAGAGAAAGACCGTCACCGCCATGGATGTGGTCTACGCGCTGAAACGCCAAGGCCGTACCCTCTACGGTTTCGGTGGATAAGTTGATCGACTCTCGCTGGTCCGTGTCCTCCCACTCGACACTTCATTGATCCCAAACGGCCCTCTTTAGGGCCACAAAGACTTGAATTTTTGTTTGTTTTGTGAATAAAGTTGAGTTTCGTGTTGTTGGTAAAATTTATGTTAATTTAGATATAACAGGTGGAAACCTATGCGAAAATAGAATTTCAGGCCACGCTGAAGATGTGTAGACCTCCGAAATTTACCCTGAAGAAGATTCACTGACATTGGAAGGAAAATTTGCGTAGAATTTGACGAAAATTATGTTGTTTTAGGTATTGACGGGTGGAAACTTATTAGGTTTGCATAGTTCGTGAATTTTTGTTGACCTTGTGAAATTATGTTGTACTAAGCGAGTATCCGGCTTCCATGCAATTTTAGGTACGCTTTTGGAACGAAAAAGTTATAGCTGACCTTATTTTAGATCTAAAATGCTTTTTTAGGTAAAAACTGCTGTTATTCTTCAATTTCGGCGCGTTTGGGATGATTCATGTTCTTTTCCAGATTGCTAAATTGCCAGAGCACTTGTTTCTTTCCGAGTAAACTCGATTATCATGTTGTTTCAGGTTTTTTTCGTATCGTTGGTCGCTGAGCGTTTGTATTGACCCTTGTTTCGCACCCTCCTCTTTTCTTCCACTATCTCGCTTCGGCTTTTCCTTGTTTTTGGCGCGCGCGGGTCTTTTCGAAAGCTTGACTCCGCCCACTCCATCAGGAACTATAAAAGAAGAGGATCTTCGGCGGTCCGCTCATACCAATTTTTTGGTTCGATCAGCTCGCGCTCAACTCTCCCAAACTCATCATGTCTGGACGTGGAAAGGGTGGAAAAGCCAAGACCGGAGGCAAAGCCAAGTCGCGCTCCTCTCGCGCCGGACTCCAGTTCCCCGTGGGTCGTCTGCACCGTATCCTCCGCAAGGGCAACTACGCTCAGCGTGTCGGAGCCGGAGCTCCCGTCTACCTCGCCGCCGTCTTGGAGTACCTCGCCGCCGAAGTCCTCGAGTTGGCCGGAAACGCCGCTCGTGACAACAAGAAGTCGAGAATCAACCCTCGCCATCTTCAGTTGGCCGTCAGAAACGACGAGGAGCTGAACAAGTTGTTGGCCGGAGTCACCATCGCTCAAGGTGGTGTCCTCCCCAACATCAACGCCGTCCTTCTGCCCAAGAAGACCGCCGACAGCCAGGCCTAAGCCCAGCGAATCTTGGATGTCTCTGCCCGACGAGCAACTCTGATCCCAAACGGCCCTCTTTAGGGCCACAAGAACTTGGTGTATTTACGAATAAAGTAATGGTTTTGTTATGTTTTTTTCTTGTTTTAGATGAAAGGATGGCAATGTAGCAAATTTGATGCATGCCTTGACTTTGCGATTTTGCACCTGGTCAAGTATAATTTTTCTTCGAGTAAATGGGTAGTATCTTTGGTATGTTCCATGAAGATGTCGGGCTAGAGCTACAGAATCTTTCTAACGGCTGTTTTCTCAATTTGAAGTTGGCCAATCGGGCGCTCCGATTAGGTCTTTACTCGCTCCAGAAGTGTAAATTCCCGGAGTTTCATATTGTTCCAGCCGTAATCCTGCGAGTGGACAGTAGAATCTACCCAAGGGAAAGCGTCATGAAGAAGGTGAACAACAACTTCAAATTCATGGTCGGTGAGGATCTATGCTCACATTTCCACTCTCTAACTATAATTTCTGATGAAAGAACCGCACTAACTCCACTTCCGCTACTGATAAGACGGAACCAGGGTTATTAAAACAGTAAATGAGTATCGAATGGGACCGCCTTATCTCTCCATTATTGTTTTTTATTGTGTACTTCGAAAAAAGTCAGGTCGAAAAACTGAATAGTAATTGCTATAAACTCCTATTTGTTTTATAAACACCATTTATAATGGAAAAAGAGCCAAAAAATGAGGAAAATGAGGAATTATTTACCGAAAAAGAAGGCGAAATTGTTGAAAAAGGGGCGACAGAGTTGAGTTCTGATGCTGTTTTGAGCTCATATGGTAAGAAAATGCACTGAATCTTGTTGTGCTACCATAAATGCGTGTTATATATATTTAATTTTTGAATAATTTTTCTTCTTCTTCGACTTATTGTTAATCATCATGGATAATATAAATTTAGGTGACAGAAACCCATATCAGCTATGGGTATTCTTTGCCATGGCAATGTGTTGGTGTTATATCGCGCCTGCAGGGCTTTTGGGACCGTTTGCCATCGGTGACATGTGCATTAATGCAACTACGTGTAATATTACAGTAGGAAGTGTGATAGAGGAAGTAAGTCGAATTTGGGTTGATAATTGTGGATAATTTAGCCAATTGTGACGTTAATCGATAGCGGAGGTCTTACGACGTGTTATGGTAAAAGACTCAGAAAATAATTTTGATTTTTTTTTGGAAAAATTGAAGTTTAGTTTACATACTTCTTTGTGATCAACATAGTGTGATTTAGAACCAATTTTCTAATTTTAAGATGCTGATTTTCACCCTGGTTTATTTTCCAGATTCTAAAATTGATCTCAGAGATTCCATTGGTGAATAAATCAAAATTTTCAATCATGCCCTCAGGGCAAAATTCACATTTTTTCGAAAAAGTCATCAAAATTTTCGAATTTTTGCCATTTTTCATTTTTCCGGTATTTTGACCCAATGTATAGCTCAAAATGAATCGAAATTACAAGTAGTAAGTGTCTGCAGCCTCCTAATCTACGGATAAGATAGAAATCAAGCAGTCTTTTCGTTAATTTTAACCAAATTTTAGTTCAATCTTGTTGGTGACAACGCTTATGCGGCTGAAATGGCGATGACCATCCCTTCGCTAGGAAACATGATTGGATCTACCATTCTTTCGCATGTTTCCGATGTGTAAGACAAATTTTTTATTTTTCATCAGCTTTAGTGCCTTTTGGAAGTTACAAAGCACCCTAAATTTGTTGCAGAAAGGGCCGAAGACCAGTTCTATTGATTTGCATTGTTGGATTTGGGATTTTCGATTTGTTCTCAGCATTCTCTCCGAATATTTATGTTCTCTCTTTCTTGTGGATGATGCGAGGAGTCTTCTCGTCGGTAATTTTATGTTTAGTTGTGTTTTTTTGGGGAATGATATTATTCTAGACCATTATATGAGGTAAGTGTTTAAAGTAATATATTGTTGGCATTAAATCTAAACAGTGATCTATTGGTTGTCCTAGGTGGACATCAAAATGTTATTTGAATATGATTTTTTTCAAAAATTGAGCCTTCTTTTTATTCTTACACGTTTTTTGAGTTTTTTGGTCGAATGATTTTAAAGGGTTCTTAATGCCTCTAGGGCAGGAATTTGGAAAAATTTGAAAAGCGATTTGAATACCACTTTCTTATGCTATAAAGTGGTATACATTTCAACTTTTATCTCCCAAGAAAAGCGCATTAATTTTGCCTTACTTTAGCCGGATCCCTAGTATAATATAATCCTTCCATTTCCAGGGTCTCGGAACGATAAATTGGGTTCTGGCCTACGAATCCGCCTCCATGGGGCTTCGACCTCTTTTCTCTTTGATTTTTGGTATAACCTGGGTTGTTGGTTATGTTGCCGTGCCCCCTTTATGCTACTACATCCGTTATTGGAGACATCAGCTTCTTTTCACGGCAATTCCCCCATTATCATCTGCTGCTGTGTATTATTTTACGGTCCCAGAGAGCTTCCATTTGTGTGTTGTGAAAGGTCGAACAGCCGAAGTTAAACGATGGTATCAACGGATGAATACTTTTTCGAGATTCAAAAGAGAAACGGGGGAAGTTCAGAAGCTAATAGAACAACATCAAGAGCATAAAGTGAAGGGAAATGAAGCTGAAGTGGTTACTAAAGGCTTGATTAGTGGAATTATGCATAACCGACTGATTCAACTGTATATTGTGGTCTTTGCCTACACTTGGTATGTTGTTAAAAAAAGATGATAAAAATGATTTTGCAGGGCAACCGACTCCTTTGTCTACAGTGGCCTCCACATCATCTCCACTTCTTTGGCGGGCAATAAGTACTGGAATTTTGCGCTAGGCGGTCTGATCGAGATCCCTTCGTATCTCGTGTGCCCTTATCTGTTGGAGACTGTAGGGCGGCGCGCATTTGGCGCCTCAACTCATCTGTTGACCTTTATTGCTTTCATGGCCACGGTTTTTATCGACAACGCAATGGCCTCGTTTGTGTGCTGGCTGATTGGGAAGTTCGCAATATCCTGCGCGTTCACTGCAATTTTTGTTTACGCATCTGAAGTCTTCCCGACGATCTATCGAAGCGGATGCTTGGGGATTTGCATGTTTATCAGCTGTTTTGGAGGGATCGCGGCGGGAGCGGTGAGATCTATGGTAAGAAAAGTCTGTTTTGGGTGAAAAATTACTTCAAAATTTTGTAAAAAAAATTTTGTATAAGTCGCGTATCAATTTACAAAAATTCTCTTTTTGACAAGAGATCATGGAAAATAAGCAGAGACGGTCAGAGAAAAAAAAAATTTTGTACGGTTTTCCCTTTGTACAACAAACATCCATACAAAAACCTATCTTTAACGGGCAATTTACAAATTTTCATGAGCCCTTAAGCATTTCAAAACACCTATGTCGTTCCGCAAACTGTATTGAGATTATAATTTAGAATGCGATTTCTCCCCATCTTCCAAATGTAATCTTCGCGTTGGCGTCGTTACTCGCCGCTGCGTTGACAATGCTACTGCCAGAGACAAAAGGAAAGGAATTGCCAGACAATACTGAAGAAATGGAGAGATTCTTCGGGCGGAAGAAGTGCGTCAAGAAATAGTATTTGTGGTTGGTGGAACTGCAGCTGTTCCACACTATGGGATATTCTGTAATATTATTTTTCTGGGCGATCTCATGTTCAAAATATAATTGTGATAATATGAAAATAATAATAAACGTTTTATTCGCTCTCAAATTTATTGCGTAATATAAGTTGCAAGCGCTGAAATTTTATCGAAATGTGATCAGTGGCGCTCAGAGTAACCGTTGTGCCGGAAAAGCGATTCTTTTATCTCAAAACTGAGCAAATCCAGAGCCGTAAAACTATGTTATCATATATGCTTTTGGGCACTGGGAATCCAACGGAGGTGGTTCTGGTGCGAAAGGATTACTGTAACATAGAAAATCTGCGACTCGCCCGCACACAATCGGCCGTAAAAAAGCTTTTTCGAAAAACCCATAGCTGAATTTTATGTTAATCAGCATAAAATTCTGCCCTAGAAACATTAAAAAAGAGGAGATGCTGTTTCCGTAGTTTAGTGGATTTTGACGAAAACAAACAATTTGAGGTCACCGGTTCCGGGTGGATGCAAAGCATTGGAAATTGGGCGACAATGGCTTGAATGGAGGGAAAATGCAAGATTAAGTTTACCACAGGCGGTTTTGACATGATTTCCAAGCGATTTTGACATAATCTTCAGGCGATTTTGACAACTGTTTTCAAATTTTTTGGTGGAAAAGGTAGAAAATACAACTTTTGGACAAATCGTATGGCTTTTGATGGCTTTTTATAGGTATCAAAATCGAAAATTTCCTATTTCCACAGGTGTTTCAGTGGCTTAGAAATCGCGTCTTAAAAAATCAGAAAATAAACCAAACGTGAGAAACGTTTCTCCGAGACGAACCCGTAAAGGTAAGATGGTGTAACTTGCTGTTTTCAACGGCCGAAAAAGATCGCAAGTTTTAAAGTGTTATTCATAAAAAACGGAACTTTTTATTCTGTGGTTTTGTTGGAACGAAATGCAAAATCTATTTGAAATCATGACAAATTTGGCGCTGATTTCGTAACAAATTACAGTCAACGACGAATCGTCCGGACGTCTAAAATAAATGCGTTGTAGAAGGGTTTTGCAGTATCGGAGGTTCGTTTTGATACAAAATTGACTCGGGAGGCTTTTGAAATTGTTTGTTATAGACAGGCTTTGCACGGGAGTTTGTGTTCGCCCGAAATTGGCATAGATGTGACTAAAAAGTGTTTTTCTTCCCTCCTCGCTCTCTGATTTTCGCGGAGTCTCGGGATAAACATCGCTGAATATTTCAGCTGTCTGGGCAAGGCGCGAGCTAAAATTCACAAGCTTTGATATGTGGCCTAATTCAAAAATATGTGCGAAACTTGAAGAAAATCTGACCATCCCACTTTGAGTACTATCTCTGTAAATTTTCTGTTCTTACAGGCAACGGGAAGGCCATGGAAGATGAAGTTTCTGTTGCGGAAATCGAAGAGCTCGACGACAACGACAGTTTGGTGGAAAAGGAGGAGAAACTAACTTCTGATTCGGTGCTAAATTCGTATGGTATGATATAAGATTCATGCCCGAAACCCGGTCAAATGATTCCTTAAAAACCGCATTTTAGGCAACACAAATCTCTATCAGATATGGGTATTCTTGGCGATGGCGTGTTGCTGGTGTTACATCGCGCCACCCGCTTTGCTGGCGCCGTTTGCTTTGGGCGATATGTGTGTAAATACAACCAATTGCAATGTCACGGAAGGCAGTATTATTCAAGAGGTAATACGGGTTTTTCAGTCGTTACATTATATTGTTTTTTCAGTTCAACCTCATTGGAGAGGACGCTTACAAAGCCGAGATGGCATTGAGTATCAATATTTTGGGCAATTTGTTTGGGTCCACCGTTTTGTCGAAGGTGGCTGATGAGTAAGCGTCATTTATGCGATATTCCTCTGAGCTACAAGCTAAATTTTTTATTTAGAAAGGGCCGTCGTCCAGTGCTGTTATTTTGCATGTTTTCCTTTGGTATTTGCAATCTGTTTTCGGCATTTGCCCCGAATATCTTCGTATTGGCGTGCCTTTGGATGCTCCGTGGGGTTTTTTCGTCGGTAAGTCATCGCTACCGGCTCGGTTGAGCACAGTAACACAAAAAATGAAAAAAAGCTAAAAATAGAAAAGTTTTGCCGTTGATCTTCTACAGACCCACTCTACACTCAATTGGATATAAGCGTCTTCAGGGCCTGGGAACAGTGAATTGGGTGCTCGGCTACGAATCCGCTTCATTTGGCCTGCGCTCGTATTTTCCGATGATTTTCGGATACACCTGGGTCTTTGGCTACGTCGCTGTAGCCCCTTTGGCCTACTACATCCATTACTGGAGGTATCAAGTTCTAGTTTCATCAATTCCTTCGTTGATTGCCGTCGCAGTTTATTATTTTACCGTGCCTGAAAGCTTTCATGTATGTGTTTCAAAAGGCCGAAATGAAGATGTAAAAAAATGGTATACAAGGATGAATTCATGCTCAAAGGTGAAAAGAGGTCTAGAGGAGGCTGATGAGTTGATAGAACAACACAAACAGCACATTAGGACAGATGGAGGTGCGGAAAACAAGGACAGCTTGTGGACAGCGTTGAGGAAGAACAGAGCGGTTCAGTTGTACATGTTTGTATTTGCATATACGTGGTGAGTCGAGTTTAATTTATAGACTTATTAAAAAAAAAGGTTCTCAAGTGAGACGCTCAGATTTTTTAAATATTTTTCACAAACGTTCTTCATAGTTAGAGTAACCATTCCTGAAATTTTTAGCTCGCGGTTTGCAGCCGCAGCCGAGATATTGAACGATCTTTTTTTGCCGAGATAGCACGCAAACCGCGGAGAGTGGTCAGAGAGAGAAAAGCATTTTTTAGCCGTATCTTTGTCAGCTTCGTGCGGAAAAAATTGATTTTTCGTGGGAACATTACTCTCTACACGGGAAACCGGCATGAAAGTTTTTCAATTTGCAAAAATATGTCACATTTTTTTCTAACTTTTTGACCAAAAATCTCGATCATTTTTGGGAACCGCGAGTTAGGAGTTTCGCATATATCTTGGAAAGAATTACTCTAAATTTGTACCAAGTTTCATCAATATCTAAGCATCACACTTGGAGTAACTCCGCTTTAAATACGACCTTTTCAGGACGGTTGACTTCTTTATCTACGCCGGCCTCAACATCATATCCACCGCCTTGGCCGGCAACAAATACTGGAATTTCGCGTTGACTGGACTTGCCGAGATCCCCTCTTACATTGTGTCGCCGTATTTGCTGGACAAACTGGGGCGTCGCGGCTTTGGCATCGTCTCTCATTTTCTCACGTTTTTTGCGTTTATTAGCGCCGCTTTTATTCAAAATCCAACGTTATCCTTTGTCTTCTGGTTGTTTGGGAAGTTCGCAATCTCCTGTGCGTTTACCGCAATGTTTGTTTATGTTTCGGAGGTGTTTCCGACCGCTTATCGAAGCGGTTGCATTGGGATTTGCATGTGTATTAGTTGCTTTGGTGGGCTGGCGACTGGAGGAATAAGGGCGGTGGTGGGTGTCCGCGATTTTTTTTGACTGTATTTGACGAGTCAGCGAAGCAGATTTGGTTAAAAGTTTTGCTCTTTTTCAGAATGAAATTCATCCGAATCTGCCGAATCTCATATTCGCTTTGGCGGCTCTGGTAGCCTCGGCGCTGACAATATTGCTGCCAGAAACACGAGGCAATGAGCTTCCAGACACTACAGAAGAAATGGAACAGCTTTTTAGAAGGAACCGAAATCAAGAAGTGCCTTTAGGACCTTAATTTATGCGTGTATAGAGATCAGATAAATTTTTGTTGATAAAACTATTGAATCCCCTTGCCAGTTCAAGGAGTTCACATATTTTTTTTGCAGTGTTCTGATTTTGTGAAGAACTCATTCGAATTAGTTAGTTTTTTTTCTTTGCCTTTCTGCAGATCGGCAGTCTTCGAGCAATAAAGTGCAAAGAACAAACGACAAACTCATTTGGAATACTGCATTTTGATCGAAGAACTTTGCTGGTGCCTCTAAAATATAGGGAAGTGAGCTGGTCGATCTCAGCAGCGCAAGGAGTTGAGTTATATACACATTATTGTCGCTTTGTAAAACATGTAAAACATATGTAAAAACAGAGAAGTATGTATATAATGAAGGTGCAAAGCTTGGGATTAAAAACTTTTTTCTCTCACAATTAGGTCCAAAACAAAGACTTTATGGTCGCAGAACCTTTCTTTGTCTGCCCCTTTTCCGCAGTTTTAATATAATACATATATCTCGGTTATCCCTGCAAAGCATCAGCTAAAATTTTCAGGAAATGAACTTTAGACCAGATATGTCTTACTTACTAAATTAAGTGAAGATATGATAGTCACACATCTAATACATGTTCCTTCTGTGGTGGAATTTTTGGTCAAACAGTCAACTGAAGATCTAAGTGACCAAAAAAAACGTCTTACCTAGGAGACAGATGTTTATGTATTTGTCGGCATTTCCAAAGACATTCTTTTTCCATCAATGACGTCAAACTTTAGATTACTAGCTTCCGAAGGCGAGTGCTTGCGGTGGTACTCTTCTGGCATCAATCCACATCATTATTGCTAATGTCCTCTGTCCATGGTTTAGCTTTTGACATCAGTTTTTGCCTACCAACTTACTGAGAGCCTGAAAAACACAATCACTTCCGAAGAGAACCCGGCCTCCTCCTCAAATGCAATATTACATCTTGAGTGTGTCACTTCCTTTCTGATTTGGTTCTGTGATCACTCGCACGCCTTCTAAAAATCGTGTCTTCGTCGAGTAATTACCTCGCAGGAAGGCGATGTGATTTGTGCCCCGAAATGCAGCACAAATCAGACGTCTATGTATAAAAATGGAGAAGCTCCTTCAATACATTTTTTGTCTTCATTTTTGCCACCATGTTTTACAGGGCTTTATTTTTTGTGACCTTAATTTCCAATGCAGATGCATATAATATCCTGGTCTACTCTCCAACCATCAGTAAGAGTCATATGATTCAGAATGCCAGAGTTGGCGACGCACTGGCCAAAGACGGGCATAATGTGGTAAGTATACACACTATGGATGGTTTTTGGGAGAACAGAAGCCTTTCTATCACTGTTTTTGTATGGTTTTTTAGACCGTTATGGAGCTAGAGATGGATGAAAAAGCCGGGTCGCTGAATCAAGTGAAGCATGCCAAGTTATGGCCGGTGGTTCATGATTGGCCAGAACGCCCGCCAGTGCCGCATATGGACGCGGGAAACCCGTTGGACTGGCAACTTCTGAAGATGGTCACACTACTCAAGAATTTCTTGGAGCCATATGGAACAAGTTGTTCGGGTAAGCAAATTTGTGAAAATCTATGTTAATATACAAATATACACACATAATACAGTTGGGGGAGTCAGTAAAACACATTTTTTCGAGGCCGAAAACCGATGTTTAACGAAGAGAAGACATGACTCAAATTTTTTTAAATCTTTATTTTTATGAAGAGAAGACATGACCCAAAATTCATAAGACTTTTTCCAGCCCTTCTACGCTCTCAAGACATCATGAACCAGATTCGCGACTCCAAATTTGATGTCATAATGTTCGAACAATTCGATTATTGCCCATTCTTTATCTCTCATGTGTTGGACATCAAGGTGAAGGTCTGGATGTCAAGTTGTCCCGTTCTGGAGCATCAGGTCATGTTGTCCGGGATACCCTCCGCGTACAGCTACAGTCCAATTGACGGGTACTCGGACAAAATGAATTTCTGGCAACGCTTTCTTAACATGGTGGCTTCCTTCGCTTTTGGATACAATTTTAATTCGTTTTGGGGCAACTTTCATCAGAAATTGGTGGAACAGTACGGGTAAGTTGGGAAAATTTGGAAACAAATTTTTGTCGGAAGTTCTCGACATGTGAGGCTCAGATTTCGTTTGATTTTGGCGGACGCGTTGCACCTAAATTTAGCAAAATTTTAGCTTTCACTTTGCAAAAGCAGTCAAAATATTCAACAATCTTTTTCTACGAGAGAGTATGCAAAATTCGGAGAGCGGTCAGAGAACACTTTTCTGGTCCATAGCTTCGCCAATTTTTGGTGAAAAAGTAATTTTTTTTTGTGGAAAAGTTTTCGTTGTAAGCAAAAATCGGCCCGAAGTTATTGGTGATAAAACTCGCAAAAAATGTAAAATTTTGGTTTACTTTCAATCTAAAAATCTTAGTTTTTCCTTTAAATCGAGGGCTAAAAATGTTGCACATGTTTTGAAAAATAGTAGTGTACATTTTTGCCAAGTTTCATCAAGATCCAAGCGTTGTGCTTTGAGCACTTTCTATGTCAGCAAATTTTGAATTTTTTTGAGAATATTTTTTTGCATTTTCTTCAATTTTGATTAAAATTGACCTTGTAGAAGTAGTATTTCTGAAGCCTTCATTTTCAGTCCCTCCTTCCCGAATCCGCTTGATCTGGCGCGGACCGCGGATCTCCTCCTCATCAACACCGATGAGCTTATCGACTTCCCCCGTGCCCTACCTCCAAATGTAATTCATATTGGCGGAATTGGAATGCAAAACGTCAACACAACTCTGCCAGTCGAATACGAGAAGTTAATGCAAAATGGTCGAAAAGGAGTGATTTATTTCTCATTTGGGAGTATCGTATCGACCGAAAAAATTGGCCAGAAATATATGAAGAAGTTTTTGGATGCCTTCAAAAAGTTTGATGATTACTTTTTCATTGTCAAGATTTCCAATGAAGATGAGTTCTCCGAAGAGTACGCAAAGACGATTGAGAATGTCAAGACGGCTCATTGGGTGCCACAGCCTGGCGTTTTGGGTGAGTTTTTGGCATAATTTGGCTAAAAATCGCTTTTTATTTGACGAGGAAATTGCTGACCGTATCTCTTTTAAATTTTGAATTTTTCAACCACCTAGGGAATATTTCAATTACTAAAAACTTTAGCTCACGCTTTGCAGGGGGAGCTGAGAAACTCAACAATCTTTGCAGACGAGAGATTATGGAGAAAGCGGAGAGAGGGCCAGAAAAAAACTTTTAGGGCCTTTCTTTTGTAAAGCAAAAAAAATTCAGAAAAAAGATTGTCTATGTCAGTTTGCGGTGTCTAAAAATTTATGTAGATAAATTTTTTTTTGCAAACCATGACAGTTTCAAATTTTTGCAAAATCAATTTTACACTTTTTTGAGGATTTGGGTTCTCACGTTTTTTTTGCTTTGACTGCTGAAAGAATTATTGCTACTGCAACAGCTTAATAAAATCAGTGCTTTTTTTCACAAAATCCCCAATGAAATTGAAAAAAATTGTTTTTCTCTTCTGCTTTCCGCATTTCACTCATTCTCTAACATGTTATAACAGACAAAGAACGTTGAATAGTATCTCCGTTCTTCCTGCAAATAACGAATAAAATTTTTCAGAAATCAGCCCAAGGAATATTCAAAATCCGTAGAAAATTTGAGCCATTCACTTTGACCACTTTTCTTATAAAAAATCACCATTCTTTATCAACCAAATTTCAGCCCATCCCCGTCTGAGGCTCTTCATAACTCATGGCGGATATAACGGAATCATGGAGGCTTCTCAGTTCGCTGTTCCACTCTTGTCCATTGGAATGTTCGGAGATCAGCCGAGGAATTCGAAATTGGTCGAAAGAAATGGCTGGGGCCTTTCTTTCGACAAAACATTATTGCTGCATGGCACAAAAGAATTCGAAGAGAGGCTGCGGGAAATGCTGGAAAATCCAAAGTAAGTTGACTAAAATACATATAATAGTAATTTTGTTTGAAGAATCAAAAAAATAGTATCAGATTTTTCAAGCCTTGTCAGCCACAAAAATCATCAAAATTTGTGATTTTTGCCGTCCAAAAAATTTTCAAAATTTTTTCACTGATTTGCAAATCAATTCCAGATACAAAAAGAACGCTTTGAGGACCGCCAAACTGTTGAGAACCAAGCCTCAAACCGGCGAACAGCGATTACTTTCGTATATCAGATTCCTGGAAGAGAATGATGGCCATCTCCCGGAACTCCGCTCAATTCTCAGCGAGCTTTCGACCGTCGAGTACTACAACTTAGACGTCTGGCTGGCAATTGTTGTCGTTGCTACTGCATTAATTCTGATTTTGGGATCTCTAATTATTATGTTGGCCAAATACTTAACGAAATTAGTGAAAAAAGACAAAATGGAGTGAATAATAAATATATGACTTTTTCTATGACATATGACATAAAAACTTGCATACCTGTTTCTAATGTAGAGAGTGATGGTTAAGCAAAAAAATAATTTTTTTCGCCCGAAACTGGCGAACATACGGCCAAAAAGTGTTTTTTCTCGGGCCGCTCTCCTCATTTGGCACTCTCTCTCGAGCGCAAAAGACCGTTCCATATCTCAGCTGCCTCTGCAAACCGCGAGATAAAACAGTTGATATACGTGGCCAATCGCCGGCACGTGCGCAAAACAAAAAGAAAATTAGAGAATTGCACTTGGAGTACCTCTCTTGTTAATTGAAATTCTGTAAATATTAGCTTACGCAACATTTTGGGGTAATTAAAAAATAAAAAAAGTGAATTTAAAATTTAACCTTTAGAAAATTGCATCATGTCTTTTGTTGTCACCATAACAAGAGCTGACTCCTTCCTTTTTTGGGCCGTCACAAATAAAACAAGCGACCTTTTGGAGTTGAAGCGCAGACATGGAGCGATTATAGACGTGATTTTTTGTTTAGTTTTTTACTATTTTTCAAATTAAGTGTTCTTAAATTAAATAAATTGGTTTTATATGGTCATAGACAGAAAACACAGCCGGATTTTTGTCATCAACAGGGCTAAACAACAAGTTTAAGGGCAAATTTAAAAAAAAGCGAACGCGACGTTTTTTGGGCGACTCTTCGAGACTCTTGATCGATAAAAGTATACTTTTAAGGCTTGTTTTATTGCTTTTAAAGTTCAGTTCATGTGAAAAAACTTTTTTTTTCATTTTTTGCTATCTTTTGTTATTTTTCACACTTATTTTTTATTTTCTGAATTTTTACCTTTTTTTATTTTTTAATTTTACAAATTTTAGGAGTAAAATTTATGATTTTTCTCGTTCAATTTTACGTTTCTTTCTTATCGATGAATTTATACTTTGTTTTCTAGTTTCAGCCCGCTTTAAGACGCCTTGAAAAGCGGGTGGTTTTGATAAAAAATTTTAATATCAAAAAGACTACATTTTTCGTTTCAAATCTTTTCCTTTCCCCTAGTAATTACCCCTCAATTTCCTTAGCATTCAAAATTATTTTTTTTAAATTTTTTAACTTTAAATTTTAAGATAATGATGTTAAGAGTATTCATTTTAACATTATTAATCTCATGGGTAACATGCTACAAGATCCTGATCTATTCACCGACACTCAGTCGATCCCATATGATTCAGAATGGAAGAGTGGGTGACGCGTTGGCTAGGGGTGGTCATAACGTGGTAAGGTTGTTTTTTTAAAATTATTGTTGCTCTGTTTTCAAGTGCAAGTCAAATCAAAAAAAAAAGCAACAACAGAAGCGGCTCTTACAAGTTGGCTTTTCGTCACAAATAAAAAGCACAAGAAGTGTTTTTTACCGATTTCTTGTCAAAATTTGACAAAAATCAAGTCTGTTTGACAATGTTTTTACCATTTTCATTGACTTCTTGATACTTGTTTTAACAGAAAATTACAAAGAAAATTTTCCGATAAGTTTTAGAAAAAAACTCATTTGATGTTTCATTGAGCCAACTTTGAGCTTCAGGGGTTCTTTAACCGTTGCACACAAGCTAAATCTATATACATATTATTTGTGCCTTCCTCAATTCGCTTTCCATCTCTCAATACCCTCTATTCAGACTGTCCTCGAACTTGATCTGGCCATTACTCCCGGCTCGTTAAAACAAGTCAAGCATGCTGACCTCTGGACAGAAACTTTTGATTGGCCAGACCGGGTTCCTGGGGAGTTTTACATCTCCGATCCCATTACTTTCACCTCCATTGATTTGATTACGGGGCTACCCGAATTCTTGGAAATGTTTGGTGGAAGTTGTTTGGGTAAGTGAAAAAAAGTTAAAAAATAAAAAACATGGTAGGACAGCCCTGTTTTGTAATGAGGGTAAGACTTGACACAAAAATTTTGTGAGAACAAGACTTGACTCATAGATCTTTGAGGGCAACATTGGCCACATTATGGCCGAGAACTTATCGCTTTTAATTTGGGGGAACACTTGACTCACTTTCTCTGAATTTGAGAGGAAGGCATGTCCCACAAAGGTCAAACTTTGCCTATTTTTTCGAAGCAAAATTAGATAGCAAATTCGATATTAGTACAAAATTTCACTCATTTTTAACGTAATATCAATTGTTGTTCAAGAGGAAGACTTGACTCAATTCCCAAAAACCGATAAACTGGCGTTTAAAAAGTCGCGATACCATAATCACCAATCTTTTGTAGCAATTCTCAAATCTCCCCACATCATGAACAGGATCCGCGACGCCAATTTTGACGTCATCATGTTCGAACAATTCGATTTCTGCCCATTTTTCATCTCTCATCTGTTGGGTATCAAGGTGAAGGTCTGGATGTCGAGTTGTCCCATAATGGAACATCAAGCCAGTTTATCCGGTGTTCCTCCGGCTTATAGTTACGTCCCAGTTGCGGATGGTTCGACATGTAGTGATAAAATGACGTTCCCCGAGAGGTTCGTCAATGTTTTGCTGGCTTATGGACTGGAGAATGTTTATTTGAGGTATTGGAATGCATACCATGACAGGCTCAAGCAGGAATTTGGGTATGTTCTGGCCGATCTTATGATGTTCACTGTGCTCGGGCATTTTCTTGGCCTAATGCTCTTGCTGGACACTTTATGCGAAGAAACGTGTTTTGTCGTATAAAATGTCTTTTCCCACATTTTTTGCTGGAAGTTGCAAGCTAAAACGAATTGCTTACACAATATATATTATTATGTACAATCATGTGGTTTGATTCGTTAGGTCGGGCCGCCATTTTATACGACAAAACATATTTCATCGTATAAAATGTCGCCCTTTTAAGTATCAGCTGAGATTTCAATTTAGCATAGGCGGTTATAAAAGAAACTTCCTAGTACAAGAATTTTTTAGATCCCGAAGTCTCAATGGTCTTCAGTTGACATTTTATACGGTCAAACATGTCTCATCGCAAACCTGTCATGATTAGAGGTGGCAATCGGGCTGGGCCGGCCCGGCCCGGCCCGGTGATTGGGCCGGGCCGGGCCGGGCCTGAGCAGATTTGAAAAAGCCCTGGGCCGGCCTGATCGCTTCGGCCCGCGGGCCGGGCCGACACTTTCGGCCCGGCCCGGCCCGGAAGGTAGATAAGTAAAAAATTTTTAACGCTAAACCGGCAAAATAAAGTACAAATGCTTTGTAGAATGGATGGAAATTAGATTAAACCTTTTTTGACTTATACGCTGTTTTACTACCCTTTAAAATTATGTATGTGTAACTTATTATGTATATGTAAAATCCCACCCAAATATGTAAGGGTCGGGCAAAAGTCTTCGAATTTTTTTATGATAAATTTAAAAATTTCACTGTAATTTTGAATCCTCTATGTAAATAAAAGTGTTTAACCAGTTTTTGGTTAACCATTTACCTTATAACGTCCATAATTTTATATAGCTAACTTCCTACAGGATTAAAAAATTCAACACAATCCAACTTTTTGGCTAGATTTTAGCTACCTGTACGGATGTTCCAGTCATCCGACTAGACTTTTTAATTTCACGCAGACACACGTAAAAACCTTCTGGAAAGCATAAGAACTTCCAGTAGAAAGTGCAAAGACTTTTATCCAACTTTTCTGTATTAGCGGGCCAAACCGGGCCGGGCCGGGCCGGCCTGGGCTTTCACCGGGCCGGGCCGGGCCGAGCCGGGCCGGGCCGGGCCTGAGCAAATTTGAAAAAGCCCTGGGCCGGCCTGGTCAATTCGGCCCGCGGGCCGGGCCGCAAAAATCGGCCCGGCCCGGCCCGATTGCCACCTCTAGTCATGATGACATTTTAATTTTCCTTTCAGTCCAAATTTTCCAAATCCTCTGGATCTTGCAAAGACCGTAGATCTTGTTTTTATCAATACCGACGAGTTGGTCGATTTCCCTCGCCCCCTGCCGCCCAACGTTATCCATGTCGGTGGTCTGGGAATGAAGAACGTTGACACCAAATTACCCTCGCCATTTGATGAGTTAATGACACGAGGGAATAAAGGAGTGATCTACTTTTCATTTGGCACCATGGTTTCCACCAATCATCTTGGAGAGCGCTATATGAGCAATATTTTGGAGACTTTCCGGAAATTCGATGACTATTTCTTTATTGTCAAAGCTACGAAGAACGACACGAGTACACTGGAGTACGCAAAAAATATTAAGAATGTATATGTGAGCACTTGGATTCCTCAACCGGGAGTTTTAGGTGGGTTTTGGAAGCTCTAAAATAGTCATTTCATGGAGTTAAAATATAGAGATTTTTTCTAAATCTTCAGCTCATCCCCGCCTAAAATTCTTCATAACTCACGGTGGATATAACGGGATAATGGAAGCTTCTAGATTCTCTGTTCCTCTATTAGCTATTGGAGTTTTTGGGGATCAAACAAGGAATGCGAAATTGGTGGAAAGAAATGGATGGGGAGTGTCATTGGAGAAGACTTCGCTGCTACATGGGACGAAAGAATTCGAGGAGAAAATCAGAGAAATGATCAGCAATCCAAAGTAAGTAGTGGTGTGAAGGTACTGTCAAATCTTTGTACATACAAAAAATCCGATGTAGTCTAGGAACTATTTAATTGAAGAACGAAAAAATTTTTAACTGAAATTCTCCGTTATAACAAAAGTTCTTGTACAGCGGTATTTAGTACGTAGATTACACTATAAAAGATAGTCAGTCAAAATCATTTTTTTCCAACATGACATTTCGTACAGAAAACCCCTTCTATAACAAAAATCTCTGGCCCTTTGTGCTTCCTTATATACGGAGTTTTGATTGTATTTTTAAAGGACGGCTAAATTTAAACCGTCCGTTTTTCTGGTTGAAAGACGAAATGTCACAATTTTTATGTGCCTTTTCGTCAAAACGAATCTTTAATAATTCAAAGTGATCAAATAGATCGTATAGAATACATTCTCAGTACACCTACAACTATTTTTCTTTTGTTTTCTGGGCATGGGAAAAAAAATTTTGCTACATTTCTTTTTCAAGCCAGATTAAAATTAATATAATCGTCATTGTTGCCTTAAATTTGCACTTTTTTGATTCTCTTCCATACTATCATTTACTTTTCAGATACAAGCAAAACGCCATTCGAACAACAAAGTTACTGCGAACTAAACCGCAGAGTGGAGAGCAGCGGCTTCTGGCATACATGAAGTTCCTCGAGGAAAACGAAGGGCACTTGCCGGAGCTAAAGTCAATAGCCAATCAGCTGACGACTATCCAGTATTATAATATCGATGTTTGGGGTGTTGTATTCGCCTCCGTATTCTCGGTTGTGGGATTGTTGTTTTGGCTTGTTAAGGGTGTTGTTGGGTTTCTTTTGTCAAGTTTGCGGAAAGAGAAACTGGAATGATCCAATTGAAAATTTGAACTTTAGAAATCTCAGTAATAAATATGGGTATTATAAACTTGGTTTGTTATTTCTTGAAATGTCGCATGGACGGATGAAAAATAAAAAAATAGGGTAGGAAGGGAACCAAAAATGATTTTTAAAGATCTTCAAAGCAACTTTTTTTCTAAAAAAAATCGAAACCATGTCTTACAAGGGAAGTACCCCAAGTGCGACGGTCAGATTTTCTTTAAATTTTGCACACGCGTCGGGCATAAACTAAATACCGATTTCTGAAATTTTTAGCTCGCGCTTTGCAAGCGCCACCGAGATATGGAACTGTTTTTGTCGCCGAGAGAGTACGCGAAACGCGGAGAGCGGTCAGAGAGAAAAAAGGTTTTTTGGCCATAACTTTGGCAGTTTCGTTTGGAAAAATTTTATTTTTTGTAGAAACATTATTCTTTACGGTAGAAATAGGTATGAAACTTTTCGTGCCGAAATTCGGCAAAAAGTGTAAATTTTTTGCCGACTTTCGATCTAAAAATCTCGGTTGTTTCTGCAAAGCGTGAGCTAGGATTCTCGCATATGTCTTAGAAAAAATTATTCTAAATTTGTGCCAAGTTGCATCAAAATCTGAGCGCCGCACTTGGGGTACTTCCCCTGTTAGCTGATAAAAAATCAAAACTATGGCAAGAGGGGACCAAGCTAATAACTCACTTCCAAAAAATGAAAAAAAATTAAAGATCTTTTTTTGTCGAAAAATGAAAAAAGAACTAATAAAAGCATATTGGCATACAAACTCGTCAATCTAAAAATACAAAATTACGCAAATTTTTATCCCAAAATTAGGAAAAATCATCATTTCGATCGTTTTTTCTCTCCAAGTTAGCGGTGGTCTCGGAAAACATGGCGAATAACTCAAATTCTGGCACCCAAGGTAAACTACCGACTGTCTCAACAACTTTTATTTTTCGTATTTTAGGCCTCTACACCTGCGCGGAAGCCTATTCGGAGATTACGGTTTGGACCTCGATCATGCTGGGCATCCCGTTGGCCATGAATATGATCACGTGCGTCCTCTATTTCTACCTTTTCTTCATGTTCTTGTCGTTGAAACGGACCGGCGAACATGTTCATTCATGGTAAGAGGTTGTTTTTATTTTTTTGAGGTTTTATTGGGGCTTTTGCTGAATAAAATCTCTTTTCAGCACGATGTGGCTTGGTCGTTCCGCCGTCCGTGTGGGTCTCGGCCCTTCGGCCAAGAAAGCGTTGCTCAAATTCGCCAAAGAAAAGCCGGAACTCGCCTCCCTCACTCAGAATATACCCGATTGAATTGTGTTTATTATTTGAATAAAAAATTTGTTTTTTATGTCTATGAAATCTGGTAAAAAACTGCGACAAAAGCGACAGGTTCATCCTTAAACAAGCTCTCCATACACAAAACAAAAAAGAGTGTGCAAAAAAGAGAGGCGGCCAGAGAATCAGAGTTTCCTTGTTACCCCAGCCGAAAGCGAGCCGGCGTTTTTTGTGAAAGGTGAAGCGACTGGTCGGTCGGCTCTGCAGGCTTGTGAAAAATAGATTGTGAAAACGTGTGAAAGGTGGTTTAAAGATCGGTAATTTTTGGGAAGGTCGCACGCCAGGGGTGCGACTTATTTTCAAGGGGTAAAATACGAGGTTTAATCTATGCAAAACTTCCGCGAACTGGAAAAAAAGACAATTCTGATTGCACTAGATATCAAGCTTAGCATCAGGCTTAGTTAGGCGTAGGCTTAGTTCAGGCGTCTCCCAGGCTCGGTGGACCAAGCAGGGCGCAAGCTGCCAAGTCACGGAAAAGGTTTTTTAGAGTGGGCGAATTTGCGGCAGTTTTTCCCTGATCTTTGCGGCAGAGAAAGTACGCAAAAAAGACTGTTGGCTATAACTTTGCCAGTTTTGTGCGAAAAAAGTAATTTTTATGTGGAAAAATCACCGTCGGCGGTTGAAAATGTTATGTAACTTTTGCTAAAACTCCCGATCGTTTCTGCAAACGTTAGGTGGGAATCTCACATACGTCTTAAAAAAAAGTTATTTAAAATTTTGGCCAAGTTTCATGAAAATCTGAGACTCGCACTCTGTGAGACAAAAAATAATTTCGAAAAATTCTTGCTTGAAACGAACCCTAACATCTTGTGCGTGTTTCTTCATGTAATAGCCTTGATCGAGCACAATAATCGGCTGCCTAATTAACCCTTCGTTTACAACCGATTCTTGTGATTTCGGCGTTTTCTCTCCAAAACACTCGTGTTTCCAAACAAATCGTAGCAGCAATATTTTATCTGTCTTTAATGTTCTCGTTATAATTGCTCTAGAGAACGAAGCATTTGTATTTTGCCGGGGAAAAGTTGGTAAAACAGGTTAGTTTATGGTGTTAAGGGTACAAAAGTTATGCTTATAACTGGTCATCATTTTCTTCTCTCAAATACAGACAAACGTCTCTACAACGAACTGCAAGGGACAAAAAAATTATTCGTTATGTTCCGGGATATTTAGCGATCTTCGTTGATTAGACAATGGGCAAAATGCGGAGAGTGGTCAGAGAGGCAGGCATTTTTTGCCCATTTCTTGGCCGATTTTATGTAAAAAAAGTTTTTTTTGTAAAAACGATCTCTTATTCGGTTTTGGTATTCCGCGGCTTCAATGGTGTTCAGTTGACATTTTATACGATCAAACATGTTTCATCGTATAAAATGTCCGCACTCTGAAAAACTCGATATAAAGCTTAAATTTGTCTTCGCTCGACCTCCCGATATATCTGTTGATCCAACAAGTCCTCCTATAGATTATGCACCGAAGATTTTGCTTTCAGATGTCCGTAGAACGTCTTCAAGCCGCCGGCGCTCAGATACTTTCATATTTTTCGTCAAAGTACAGTCATCTCTATCAAAGTCATCCATGGCTGACACTAATCGGTTCGGCCATTATTTCCTATAATTTGTACGCCTCTCTTCTCGAGAAGTTGCGACTGCCAAATCTGAATAAGAGAGCTGTGTTCATCACGGGCTGTGACTTTGGAATGGGCCGCGTTGCGGCCATAGAGCTGGCCAAACTCGGAGTCCCAGTGTTCGCTGGCTGTTTGAGTGATGAGGTAAAAGTTTTGGCTGCTGCTCTGTTTTTATGAAGACAACAAACATTTTAAAAAATTTCAGGCCATTGTTTCGATCGAGCAGGAATCTGTAAAGCTGAAAGGAGAGATTATTGGAGTCAAGTGCGACATAACCAGTGATGATGACGTTCGAAACGCCGTGGAGACTGTAAGAAGCCATTTGAAGAATGGAGTCAGTAAGTTGGCTTGTAAAATTCGCCTCGTAAAATTACATACATACGAAACAACAAAAAAACTTGTCTTCAAAGATCGTTGAACATCTCAGCTGCCCTGCATGGAAAAAGTTAAGATTCCTAGGAATTATTTCCCGGTTTTCAGAGTTATGGGCCGTTATCAACAATGCTGGCGTCTTCAGCACGTTCGGCCCAGCTGAATGGTGCAGTGTGGATGTTTATAAAAAAGCCATGGAGCTGAACTTTTATGGTGCTGTCAGGGTCTCTAATGTAAGTTGAAGGCATGCAATCAGGTCCGGGCAGAGCCTTCTGACCGTTAAGTCTTTACAATCGTAAGATTGTAAAGAATGTAACTGGAGTTTAATATTTTGTAAAGCCGTTTTATGGACTTTCCGGTAATACGTAGAATCAGCAATCTCATTTCAGCATATTGTATTTTCCCGGATTTTAGCTTTACCTCTAAAAACTCCGTTTTTAGGCCTTCCTCCCTTTGATCCGTGAGAGCCACGGCCGAATTTCCGTTACCACCTCTGTAGCCGCCCGAATTGGAATCATGGGCGGCTCTCCTTATTCCTGCGCCAAAGTGGCCCTCAATCATTTCGCCGAGGCCGCAAATGTTGAGAACAGGGTGTTCGGCGTCTACTTTGGAATCATCGAACCAGGCATCTTCAAAACGACACTGTTGGACAATGAAGCCAAGAGAAAAAGGGTTAATTCTGTCTGGGAAACGCTTGATCCAAGTATAAAAGAGGTCTATGGAGAAGAATACAAGGAAAAATGCAAGTAGTCTTTGCTATTTTTACCGCCTACGTATCTTGGAAAACAAAAATTTTTGAGGAAAATGCGATTTTTAGACCAAAAAGCAAGCAAAAACCTAAAGCGTAATACTTTTGATATTACCTATACTTTTAGTCATCGATGACTGGAACAAAGTTATGAATGATCAAGGGAGTGCCGATATTTCGCCCGTAATCTGGTCTTACGTCCATTTTGTGACTGCCAGATACCCTAGATTCCGCTATCAAGCTGGTGCGAATTCGAAATGGCTGTGGGGAAAGTTGGCGCTCCTTCCATCGAATTGGTTCCATAGATTGGTCCCGACGATTAGTGGAGAACCGCTAGTTCCTGCTTACATGCAACCGAAAAAAGAATTGTAATTAAAAAATCTATTATCAATTTTTGACACAAACTGAATTTTAAGTAGAATTGGGTCGTTGGAAACCGATTTTTGTTGAGTTTTAGGGTTCTACGTCATAAAAAAGGCTTGCATTTCGAAGTAGATTTTTGGCCTGAAATCTTCTTAAAAAAATTTTTTGTTATAGAGGCTTCTGAATTACCCAGACTTATCTTACAGATTTCATTTTCCCAAGCTATGAAACGAGAAATAAATGCAAAGAAATGCTTTCCTCTCGCTTTTTCTCTCAAGTCCCTTGCGGGAAAGAGGCCGGCCCCAGTTAGCGAAACAAAAGAGAGGCGAAGCCTGTGCCACCTTAGCTTAGGGGCAGAGCGTTGGTCTTGTAAACCAAAGGTCGTCGGTTCGATTCCGATAGGTGGCAACTCGCTTTTTTGCCGATTTTTCGGGGAAATTTTGAAAAAAACGTTGAAATTATTGTTTCTGTCGCATAAAATAGTTACTTCAGATCGACAAAATCAGATGAAATTTACCCTATATGACATATTTCTGTTTAAGATGTCAGAATGCCCACTAAATACAGGGCCAAAAAAAATGGACAAAAATTTTTTGCCAATATCTGGCTCTGGGTCAAGGTATTTGGGGAAACGTTTAGATGGAATAAATAGCGGAGGTATAACTTTATCTCAACTTTTTTCTTGGGAGTTCAAGTTGACCATGTTCTGATCGCAATTCTCGAAAGCGTGTCGTCTGGAAAGTGAGGCATAAATATTTTTTGAGGCGTCACGAAAACTTCAAATAAAAGTTCTCCAATTCGTTAGGATCTTTACTATCACATACATAAAGGAATAGTATTAGTAACCTTTCATTTCAATACTATGGACATCCAAACTTGAGTAGCAGAGGCATTAAAATAAAACCCGAAATTCCGAAAACCAGAAAAAATATTGTAGTGAGAAAATGATGAGGCTTCGGGCAACTGTAAAGTTTTGAGTTAATTCCCGGCTGAGGACTTACTGAACACACGGATTTTTTGCTTTTCAGCGTCGTCATGCTTGGAGGTAGTGACAAAATTCCAAAAAAATGGACGAAAACCGGAGATTTTTCTTTAAAGATATGCTGCAAAGCTGCGGTTGATCCTACCTCGCTCAAACGGCACTTATTATATAAATCTACGTCTATTCTATAGCGTCAAAAAGTTTCATGCTGAAACCTCTGCTTTCAGCGGAGATCCGAGGGCTCAAAATGGGAACCGGTGGGTGCCCGCAAAAGTACCGTGTCAGTGGCTTCTTTTCTTAACTTTCGGAAACACTGAAGCCGTGTCTTGCATCTCTCTGTTGAATCAACGCATGGCCCGCATAGAATAGAATATGGGACATCTCATGCCGGTTTTTACAATTATTCTACCCGATAAAGCCGAGATATTCAATTTAGAAGCCATTCGTTCCAACGACCTGGAAAGATCTGGGTCAGTCCGATTTCTGAAGCTCTTCTTCAGAGCCGGAGCCTTTTCTGTTTTGGGTCTACCGCTTCCTGGGAACCTCTGGATGCTGCCAACATCCCTAAACATATATGAAGTCCGGGTGACAGTTGTACGGAGAGAACCACAACGACAAACAATTTTCTTCCGGGAAAATTCTTTAGAAAATAAAAACACATTTTGGTACCTCTTCGCATTTTTGTCCATATTGCAAAAATGTGAAGGCAAAGTAAAAAAGGGATTTAAAGGGTTTGCAAGTGACTGGTTTGTGGTCATAATGGTCACTTTTTCCCTACTCGTACCGCTTTTCGTGGCGATACACAAACGTTTTTATTTTTGTCCATTTTTTTTGGCGCACCCTGTAGTATAAAAATTTTTATTTCTCAAAAAATAAACTTTTTTGAAAGACAACGTTCGAAAAATACGACAAGCCACAGGAATTACAATAAAAAATGTAACATTTTGACTAATACTTTCAGAAATAAACCATGTCGTAAAAGAACAGGACAAAGAATAGAAGATACGATGCTTTTACCGCATGAGGTAAAATGATATTTTAGACGATTTTATTTCTCTTCGAGGTCTACGACGAGGTATACGTTACGGTGATAGAGAGAATATGAAGGAAAGGCCGGCGAAAAAAGGCACATATTTGACTGCATCAGTAGAATCGTTTTCGAGACGGAAACAGAAAAGGAATTTGTATGTTACTATACATAAATCTATATACATACTATGTACATATGATTTACAGTGAATGTACAGTAAACAATAGAAATCAGAAGATAATATTTAGGGATTGGGGTTCAAAACGAGGCAAAAAGAGGCGATGTTGGGATTATATATCAGCTGTAGCATGAGGTATCCGAGAAGGAGACTGCGTATACTACCCCAAGACAGCCAAAGGTTCGCGCAGATCCTCGACTAGTTGGATTAATTTAGCTCGGCATATTGCCATCGGATGGTCTGGCGCAGCAATCATTGCAATGGTCATATTTGCAGCCTTTGCGGCTAGAATCGTGAATTCTTTGTAGTGAAGAACCATCTCCTTAAGGCGATCACGAGCTCCCTGACGGTCAAAAGAATCCCACAGCTTGGCCGTGAAGACAGCGTTTATACTGTCGGTGGGTTGATGACCAGAACGAGCGACAATTTTGCCTAAAATAAAGCGGCAATTTTTCACAGACGTCCTAAAAGACAAATGAATAAGCAAAACACTTACCATTCTGATCAAAAAGTAATACTGCTTTGACACCCGACTGGGTTGCCTGCCCGAGGTATCTTTCTACGGCCTTTGTTTTCAACATCTTCCTCTATCTTTAATGCAAAAAAATGATGTTTCATTTCATAACGCTTTCAGGTATTCTATCGGGCACAAAACCGATGATTATTCCACTCTATTGTTTTGTATTCAGTTTACTTTGCGGCCACATAGACCGGCATAATTAACAAACGTTATGAAATTACAATAATCAACAATGCTATGAAAACAATCAAGAAAATAATAAGTTAAGAAAACAATAAGAGATCTCAAATAAGTTAATCAGTCCATCGATGGCCGCAACCAGCTGCGGCACACACGTAATACAACCTCATTTCTTCCTCGGCACGTCGACTTTGGGCTTGGAAGAAGACCGCCAGTTTATGGCCACAACGAGGGCAGGGGTGATCCTCAGTTTTTGGCAAGGTGGGATCTTGAGAGACATCAGCAACAATTTGAGTTAACTCGCTGAAAAAATAACGTTACGTTTTATTCAAAGCGTGCATACATTATATATCCCTAAAATAAAAAGAGAAAGCCAAAAAAACCCACTCAATTTCGTGTGTCAATCGATTCCTATAAATGCATGGATGTTCAGCATCTTCTTTGTGGTCACAGTTCCGACAGGCATAGATTAGTTTTCTCTCCTCTTTGTCCTCTCGTGGGTACAACATGTTGTTGCTGAAAAGGTACTGATATTTTAAAAAGAAAAATCTTTATTTTTATTTTCGGTACAGATGACCGCTGCTAATGATCGAATAAAAAGTTAATCGGCCAGATCGAAGATGATGACCTACTCTAAAAACTTTATTATAACAATTTTTAAAGTAGGCTACACCTTTCAACGCAGTTATTAAATTTCAAAAGTTAAAAACGGGAGAAAAATTTCTAGCTGTGCCTTTTAACGTCACAAAAAGGTAACCAAATATTTAAGGTCTAATTACTCAGCCTTGCCAAATCCCTCCTCAATTCCTAAAACTCAAGCGCAGCAAAAAACAACTTACCATTCAGGGCAGAAGTGAATTCCGGCAAATCCACTCATTCTGAATTTTTTTTTGGTTCCAAATAACAGCTTCACGTGATTCTTACTGAATTGGCCCGCGTGAGTTTGCCCTCAGCTGACCGCCGACGTCAAGCAAGAAAAAACGAGATTGTGCGAAAAAAATGTGGGGTTCTTTTCTATGCGAAAAAAGCAGAAAAAAGCGCTAACCCACGACTCAACTATTGAATGGGGCGAAGTGTCCGGAGAGAGTTAGGTGTGGAAAGGACAGACAATTTACGCAGAAATTATCGCGCAGGAGACGAGAAATATCGACAGAAAGATCCGACTAAAAAGAATCGAAAGAGAGAAAAGATGAACGGAAAGGGTCAGAAAAGCGTCACCAAATAGTCCAGTGGAAAAAGTTCCACGCACAAATCTTTTGGCCGAGGGAGGTCTTGGAGGTTCGAGTCCAGCCGAAACGGATATCCTCGGCTTGGACGTACATGTCCGTTACTGTATTCTATAGCTATGTAAAAAAAAAAATTTAAATTTATTCAAGTGTTTTACAGATTTTTTTGCAAAATTTCAAAAAAAATTAACAATTTGGCAACATTGTTGAGTTTTCAATGATAGCATTTGTCAATCTTCTGGTACGTTAAAAAATTTTTTGGACCATTCCAGAAGGTTTTTCAGGAACTTGCAGATTTTTTCGAGTTTCCAGAAAAGAATATTGCCAAATTTTCACCTTTTCTTAAAATTTTGCAAAAAAAATTGAAAAGACAATTTTTGGGTCCCTGCGTCAGCGTACAGTGGACTGCGCGTATATTTACGAAAAAGTCGATTTTGAATTTTTTGGTATAATTGAATTTTTTTGGTATAAACTGTAGACATGTGTTTAACAAACGCCCAAAATATTTTTCCCAAATTCTGCCGGGAAGGTATAAATTTGCGTAAATTTGTCCTTTTTAGAATTTTATGCCTCACGGCGTCATAAAAAGAGGTAATGACTCGAAATTCTGGATATATACGTTTTTGGTGATTGAGCATTCAATTTTTTGAAAATTAAGTTTCTAAGATTACTGTAACATAAATATATTAAAACTGGTCGATAAAAATCGACCGTCCCAAGACCATTCGGCAAAGACGGAAAACGGATTCCTACTAAATTTTTTACGCTCTTTCAGAATTTGTGGGTCTCATGTTGAAAGCTCACGGACAGTTCAAACCACGGACAGTTCAAACCTTGTAAGGGTGAACGTTGGTCCGGAAAGAACCTCCGTAAAACGAAATCATCGTAGCAAATCAACATTTTGGTACGTTTGTTGTATAGATTAACTTTTGTCTAAAAGAAATATATGTAAAGTTACGTAGTTGCTTTTCAAATGTCTTTTAGTATGACTGGAGGCTTCATCAACACAAACGGCTCGAGACAAATTCACAAGATCACAGAACAGTATTCGCATTACTGCAGCATTAATCAATCCAGTCTTCCTTATTACTGTTTTGATTGAATTATTTCTTTATCTTACATCGTAAAAAGCAATAAAATTTTTAACAATTCACGTCACTTTGACCACAATGACTCACATCACAAAGTCAGTTTTTGAAGTCATTTTTGCCATATTTCCGCATACTTCGTCATTGATAATCGCGCAAACAGAGTCGAATGTGGGATGGTTTTTGGGAGTGCCGTCGCTAAAACTAGAGGATAATCAAGAAGGTGTGGTGCTTATAATACCCGTGTTGTCGCTCTTAAATATTTCAAAGCGTCTTGCCGGCATCTCATTCTGAACAAGACGCAAAAAACAATGCGGTCCTTGAGCGTATGTTTCCTTGTGTTGGCTGCGACCATCGGCAGCGCTGTCGAGTACAATAGCGGTATGTTGTGACACGGTTTTGATATGAGGCATTGTAGATGATGGAGTCATAACCGTCGCGATTGGCGAGAAAGAGGTGACAAACGTCAAGCTGGGACTTGTTTTCCAAAGAGACGACGTTTTTGTGTTTGGGCCGGCATGTAAAGACGCCGATACGTGCACAACGCGGTATCACAGTGTGTACGATCCATCGTAAGTGTAATAATTCAAATTTATAAGAGATCCGGGCTCATAAGAATTAAATATTTTTAGCAAAGACTCGAAGAACGTATCTAAAAAGGGCAATTTCGGACCTTATGAATACTCTCAATACGATGACGTTCAGGTTGCGGTAAGTCACTTGAATACTTGGAAGCCCGTGTTACGTCAAATTTTGAAATACGGGTTCTTTTCCAGATCGGAGACGTCAAAACACCACTATCCGTAAATGTTATCACTGGACTGACAAAAAAAGAAAATAGCACCGATGATTCTGTTGATGGGAGTCTTGGAGTTAGCATTGCTCAAGGCGAAAATTCAACATTTTCAAAGCTGGTTTCTGCCAATGGCAACAGTTCATATATGTTGGTTATTGGTGGAAATCCATACGTAAGCGTTAAATAATGTAGGTTAACGAAGATGTTTAGACAAAAAGCTCAAAAGGCAAGATTGTCATCGGAGAAGAAGACAATGTCGCATGTGGGACTTTTGTCTCTGTAAATACTGAAACTGCGACCGACTGGGCTTTCAAGGCGAAGTAAGGTTGTTAAAATTGTGGGCACTAAAAGACATTGAGTTATGAAAATTTACTTTATTTAAGAGCAACTTTTGAGAAAGATCCCATCGACGTTACAGTGGATTTCGCCTTCCAAAATCTTGCATTCAGCAAAAATATAACCGAACGGTTCTACAAATCAAATAACATCAAGCAAAAAGATTACGATGAGCTTAAGGATATTACTATCCAGGTCAAAAACATCACCATGACCATCACCAAAGACCTTCTTTATGAAAAGGTCGGAGAAAACTACCAGCAACAGTTCTCGATATCAAATAGCGATATACAAGTTCCACGAAAGGTTTTGAACAACTACTGCCTTAAATTCGAACAAGACGGCTCCACGTTCAGCGTTGGGGTTGCCGAGCGCAAGAACTCAGTTGGCGTCATCATGGCCAGCCTTGGAATGATTTCATTTATGTTGTCTTTATTGCGGTTGTAAATCTTGAAAATGTTGTAGTGTATGATAAACCACACCTAAATTAATAAAGTTTTGGTCGTTTGCATGGGCAAAGACTGATAAGACTTAATTCTTAAATAGTATTTCAATGCGTCTCGCCGACATTCCACTCTGAAAGAAGACGCAGGAACAATGCGGTTCTTGAGCGTATGTTTCCTTGTGTTGGCTGCGACCATCGGCAGCGCTGTCGAGTACAATAGCGGTATGTTGTGACACGGTTCATATATGGGGCATTGTAGATGATGGAATCATAACAGTCGCGATTGGCGAGAAAGAGGTGACAAACGTCAAGCTGGGACTTGTTTTCCAAAGAGACACCTTTGTTGTGTTTGGGCCGGCATGTAAAGACGCCAATACGTGCACAAAACAACAGCATGCGGTGTATGATCCGACGTAAGTAATTCAACTTTTTAAGTGATCGGGTCATATAAATTGAATATTTTTAGCAAGGACTCCAAGGAAGTATCTGAAAATGGCACTCTCGGACCTTTTGAATATTTGCGATACGATGACGTTCAAGTTGCGGTAAGTCGCTTGAATACTTAGAAGCCCATGTTACGCCAAATGTTGACCTACGGGTTCGTTTTTAGCTCGGAGACGTCAAATCAGCGCACACCGTAACTGTTCTTACTGGACTGAAAGAAGGTGGAGAAATCGCCGATATTCCTGCTGATGGGTTTCTTGGGCTTGGCATTGCTGAAGGCGAAAATTCAACATTCTCAAAGCTGGTTTCTGCCAATGGCAAGAGCTCTTACTTGTTAATCGTAGGCGGAAATCCTAAGGTAAGGCGCTAATGAAGACATGAACGAAAAGGTTTAGACAAAGAGCCCAAATGGCAAGATTGTCATCGGAGAAGAAGACAATGTCGCGTGTGGGACTTTCGTCTCTGTAAATACTGAAACTTCGACCGACTGGGCTTTCAAGGCAAAGTAAGGTTGTTAAAATTGTGGGCACTAAAAGACATTGAGTTATGAAAATTTACTTTATTTTAGAGCAACTTTTGAGAAAGATCCCATCGACGTTACAGTGGATTTCGCCTTCCGTAATGTCGCATTCAGCAGAAATATAACCGAACGATTCTACGACTCGATTAACATCACGCAAAAAGATTACGATGAGCTCAAGGATGTTACTATTCAAGTCAAAGACATCACCGTGACCATCACCAAAGACCTTCTTTATAAAAAGGTCGGAGATGACTACCAGAGACAGTTCTTCACGACCTCAGATAGTGATATAGAAGTTCCAGGAAAGGTCTTGAACAACTACTGCGTCAGACTCGAAAAGGACGGCTCCACGTACAGCGTTGGGGTTGCTGAGCGCAAAAACTCTGTTGGCGTCATCATGGCCAGCCTTGGAATGATTTCATTTATGTTGTCCTTGCTGCGATTATAAACCTTGTAACTGCTGTAGTGTATCATAGAACTCTAAATTAATAAATTTTTGGTCGTTTGAATGGGAAAAGGCTGATAAGACTTAATTCTTAAATAGTATTTCAATGCGTCTCGCTGACATTCCACTCTGAAAGAAGGCGCAGGAATAATGCGGTTCTTGAGGGTTTGTTTCCTTGTGTTGGCTGCGACCATCGGCAGCGCTGTCGAGTACAAAAGCGGTATGTAGGGATAAGATTCATATATGGGGCATTGTAGATGATGGAATCATAACCGTCACGATTGGCGAGAAAAACGCGACAAACGTCGAGCTAGCCTTAAATTTCGACGAAAATGACGTTTATGTGTTTGGGCCAGCATGTAAAAACGCCGATACGTGCACAACACGATATCACAATGTGTACGATCCATCGTAAGTGTAATAATTCAAATTTAGAAGAGGTCCGAGCTCATACGAATTGAATATTTTTAGCAAGGACTCGAAGAAAGTGTCTAAAAAGAGCACTTACGGACCTTATGAATACTCTCAATACGATGACGTTCAAGTCGCGGTAAGTCACTTGAATACGTAGACGTCCATGTAGGGTGAAGTATTGATTTACGGGTTCTTTTTCAGATCGGAGACGTCAAAACACCACTATCCGTAAATGTTATCACTGGACTGAAAGAAGATGCAAATATCACCGATGCTTCTGTTGATGGGAGTCTTGGACTTGGGATTGCACAAGGTGAAAATTCAACATTCTCAAAGCTGGTTTCTGCCAATGGCAACAGCTCTTACTTGTTAATCATAGGCGGAAATCCTAAGGTGAGGCGTTAATGGAAACATGATAACAAAAAGGTTTAGACAAAGAGCTCAAAAGGCAAGATCGTCGTAGGAGAACAAGATAACGTCGCATGTGGAGCGTTCAGTTCTGTAACTACTGAAACTGCGACCAAATGGGTCATCAAGACAAAGTAAGCCTGTTAGCATTTTAGTCATTTTAATTTAAAAAAAAAGACATTGATCATGAAAATTTATTTTACTTCAGAGCCACTTTTGAGAAGGATCCCATTGATGTTACCGTGAATTTCGGTTTCGGATCTCTCGCATTCAGTAGCAACATAACCGAACGATTCTACAAGGCGGACAACATTAAGCAAAAGGATTACGATGAGTTCAAGGATATCACTATCCAGGTGAAAAACATCACTGTGACCATCACCAAAGACCTTCTTTATAAAAAGGTCGGAGACAAGTTCCAGAAACGGTTCATTACATCAGTTGACGATATATCACTCTCACGGGAAGTTTTGAACAACTACTGCGTCAGACTCGAAAAGGACGGCTCCACATACAGCGTTGGGGTTGGCGAGCGCAAGAACTCAGTGGGCGTCATCATGGCCAGCCTTGGAATGATTTCATTTATGTTGTCTTTGTTGCGGTTGTAAACCTTGTAACTGTTGTATTGTATCATAGAACTCTAAATTAATAAAGTTTTTGTCGTTTGCATGAGAAAACACTTTTCGCCTGGGGCTTGAAACTGATAAAAACTGGGAAAGGAACCGGATGACTCAGCGACCACCACACCTTACGCTTTTATCAAACAAAGGTGAGGAAGGGAAGAAAGTCATTGCCGTGGAATTGAGGAAGATTGGAGTATCAGCGGACGCAAAGAACTCATCGGAGTTGGGCTTTGTAATCGTCTTTACAAGGAATTTAAACGGCAAAATGCAATCTTCGAGAAATATGAGTGAAAAACGCGATCACAAGGCGGTGATGACCGTCCGGAAGGACACGTCTGCTTTAGAAAAACGTCCGAAAAAACATGTATACTGTAGAAAATCGAGAGTTTTGACACTTCTTGGACTGCTCTAGGATTTAGGATTTTGTGATTTTAAGCCGTTGCAATAAAGTCAGAGAGCACAAAAAAAGTGTGAAGGAACTAAATCATACAATAAATATTCAAATCTCCGGAACATGACTTTATTCAAATACTTTTCTGTACTGTTTGTTGTTTACATTGCTGTGGCGGCGTCGTATTCAACAATGAACTTCTTGATGTGTTTCTCGATCTGCGCGCCTCGGCCCTCCAAAAGACCCATTTTTTGGAAGTATTCGAGGAGGACGCGGTGCACAAAAAGGTACTGGATGTCATTCTGAAAAGAAAAATTTAACATCTTGGTCGATTTTTTATAAAAAGATTGGTCGATTTTAAACTAATTTTCTTCGATTTGCAACTTTTCGACCACGCCATTTTCCCCTTCAAGACATCGAAAAAACCTCTCAAAATACCTGAATGCTCAAAGCTCGCTGTTCCCGGATCTTCAACAAGATTTCGTCGCTTCGCTCGAACGGCGCTCCGCACTGGAAAAACTCGAGAATCCCTTGGATCATGCAGACCGAGCCGGTCCGTCCAATTCCCGCCGAACAGTGGATCACAATCGGGGTCTTGATCATTCGCACACACTGCATCAAATAAACCGGCGTCAGGTCGGCCGGCGGCACTCCACGGTCCGGCCAATCTTGCCAATGATAGTGGTCCACATGCATGACTTTATCCGATTTCCCGATTGAAAGCTGAAGAGTGGTGATTTGGATCTTGGTGGAAGGGTGACAATACTCCTTGGGGAGGTCGAGCTGAAAAAAAAGAGACGGAATGTCAATTTTCTGCGCAAAAAATCACAAAAGGTTTCAATTTTTTTCTTTTTCGAGCAAAAAATCCCGGCTGTTTCTGCAAAACGGGAGAAACAAAAATTTCGCAAATGTTTATCTTTGGATCTTCTGGTCCTAATTTTTGCCAAACTTGAAAAAAATTGTCAAATTTTTTTCTTCAAAAATTTTTTTTTATGTGATACCGTATACCCTCAAGTAATTTTTTCTGATATTTCGACTATATTTTCCCAACCTCCCCACCAAACCTACCAACTTCGAGCTTCTACAAATAAGATTGAACTCCTCAAAATTCATTTCCTGGCTCTCAGTGGTCGGCAAGTAATCCGCGCACTTCTTCATCCCCTTCTCTATGTAATTGCACAACATAAAGATAGTCATGCACTGTTCTTGATAGACCATTCGCCAAAAGTCGCCGCAAGTTTGTTCGTTCGGGCCCTGCGTGCAGATGAAACGGCGGTCGCTGAGCGGACTTGACACGTAATTCGCGTGAATGTAATCACTTCCTTTTGCGCCTTTGAGGACAACCCGCGAAGAGTCAAGACAAACAACATCCCGGTAACGGTTCTTGGTGCCCTGGGGGATGGCGTTGAAGGCTTGGCAGGCGCTCGGATCAACGGTCCGCTTAAAAGCGTTGAATTCGGCGCGGAGGCCGGCAACTCCTTTCTCAACACAGGTTCGAAAAAGCCTAAAAATAGAAAATTAGGTAGGTAAAAAATCTTGAAAATTCGCAAAAAATATAAAAAAAAAATAACAAAAATTAAATAAAAATAACAAAAATTAAATAATTTTGGAAAAACTTTCTTTTTCTAGCAAAAACTGAAAAACAGCCTAAGCGCTAAACTAAGCCTAGCCTGCCTAAGCCTGAGGCTAACAAGGGAAGTACCCCAAGTGCGACGCTCAGATTTTCTTTAAATTTTGCACACACGTCGGGTATGGGCTAAATATTAATTACTGAAAGTTCTAGCTCGCGCTTTGCGGGCGCCGCCGAGATATCGAACGATTTTTGCCGCCGAGAGAGTACGCTAAACGTGGAGAGCGTCAGAAAGAAAACCGCTTTTTGGCCGCAACTTTGCTAGTTTCTTTCGGAAAAAGTTGATTCTTTGTAGGAACATTATCCTTTACGGTTGAAATAGGCATGAAACTTTTCGTGCCGAAATTCGGCAAAAAGTCCTAAAATTTCGCCCACTTTCGATCTGAAAATCTCGGTTGTTTCTGCAAAGCGCGAGCTAGGATTCTCGCACATATCTTAGAAAAAATTATTCTAAATTTGTGCCAAGTTTCATCAAAACCTGAGCGTCCCACTTGGAGTACTTCCGCTGTAAATAAAAATTCCGATTAAAAAAATTAACATCAAGACACAAGCAAAATTGCTTCCAAAAATCCTACCATCTCAGCACATTATTCTCAATGTCGGTGTTCACTTTCTTCTTGACATCGTTGCCCAGCAAATTGGTGATAATTATCTGTGGTGTTACTACGTAACTTTTCGTGCCCTCATCATCCATCGAAGTGCTCGTTTTCTCGCTGGCTTTCTTGTTTGCCCGAGTTCGAGTGCCGCCTCGTCGCGTTCTTGCTTTTTTACCTTTGGCACCTTCTGCAAGATGAATAAATTTTAAGATCGAAAATAGCGAAAAAAGCTTTTAAAAAATAAAAAAGAAAGAATTTTGGTTGGTGCTTTGCAAAAGATGTTATATAAATAATTTTTGAACCAGAGAGTATCAATTCTTTTTGTATTTTTTAGTATGTTTGATCCGAAAACCTTTATTTTTCTGCTAAAAATCTCAGAAATCCCTCTCTGAGTTAGTTTTCTTCAAATTATTTACTTCAAAATCGAGACAAAAATTTTTTGCCAAAAATAGAAAATACAAAATTTTTTGTGGCACCCCTAAAAATTCCAACTTACTGGCTGCCTTCCTCACGGGAGGCGGCATGATGATTCGGATGCCTTGCTACCACAGAATCTTCACTTGTGCTCTACGTCCAAACACAGCGTCCGAAAGAGAGAGAGGGCGCCTCTCGACCGACCGTTCTAAACACGACGTTTTTGCCAACTGAAATGATTTTCCCATTCTGTCAAAAATTTTTGGATTCCGAATAAACTGTCGGAGGGAAAATTATGAAATTTTTTCATTTTTTGGAAGGTCTCTGAAAATTTAATTTACGGGTTTTTAAAGGAAACCGACAATTTTTGATGACTATTTCCCAATTTTTGAGAAAAATAAACGTTCCGAGCTCCCTAGAGCCAACAATTTTTGGTCGAATGTTGGCAAGAATTGGATACTTTTTTGAGAGTTTTCTCTTGAAATATTTCAGCCTTATTTCTTCCGGAGAGTTCAAATTTGCTGCGAAAAGTCGTATTTCCGTCTGATTACCTTCAAAAGACTGATTACGGTCCATAACTTTAGGTTGATTATTTATGCTAAAAATGATTTTTTTTTGTTATTTTCCATATTTGCAGTGTAATTTGGATGAATCCTTAGTCAACAATTCTCAAAACGCAAACGTTTACACGGATTTATTCGGCAAATTGCTTGCAAAAATTGCATCCTTTACACTACTTACATACCCCTTATTTTCTCTTTTCAACTTTTCCCAGAACTTCTTTTTTTGAACCTATTTGGTGAATCATCTCGATGCTTCTTCCTTAACAATAGTAAAGGCGCAGTTCGGTCATTGACTGCGGCTCTTTTCCCGCAACAATTCGCATGGGTTTAAAGTAACTTGAAGCCAAAAAGCCGATCAGTTTACACTTTACACAACTATAAATTATCTAAAAAAGGTAATCGCCAATCAGTTTTTTTACTTTACTTAGTTTCTTTAGCGACCACGCAAGGCGAGGCGATGAATCATCGCTTGTTTTTGAAAAATCAAAAACAGATAAAAATAAGCAAAAAATATCGTAAAACTCATAATTATTATCTTTTCCAGATGACCGAAAACGACCTCAGAATATCAGCCCAGCTTCCCAAGAGAGATTGCCACGGCTCTGGAGCCGGCTCTTGGCTCCAGTTCTGAGCGGCTCCGGCTCCGAGACGGGAGCTAGAGCGGCTTTGAGAGCTAAGAGCCGGAGCCGAAGCCGAAATTTTGTCCGTGGCAATCTCTGCTTCCCAGCTAATCCAATTCAGCCCAGACTTTCGGCACCCTAAGCTGGATTACCTGATTTTCAACTTCCATTCATGACGCGATCAAGCACCTCCACTGCTCCTTATGGCATGCGCTCAAGAGGTCTAAAAAAGGGTCAACGTGAGTTCAGCTTTGGCCAAAATAATATAACAGACAGGCTTGGAAGATCGTTTTTATGAACTGTTGTGATACCATTTGTTTCATTTTTGAGCCGTTGAAGCGATATAATTTTCTAATTTTTTAAAGTGCTGTCTTCTAATAGAGACACAAGAACCGTATTTCTTGTGTCTCCGTGGTACTTTTTTGATGCCTGATTTGTATATTATATGTTCTTTTCTATTTATTTTTTGCTCCTTTCATTAGCTGAAATCAGCTTGGGCCTTACCTTGCTTTACATCACCATCGGTAAAATGCCCTTTGCTCTTTCAATTTCCCTCCCAAAATGTTTAATCCAACATCTTCCGAACGCCAAATGTTCCGTTACTTTTCATGAATGCATAAATTAATTTTTATGGGTCCGCCACGATCCGTAACGGCATTTTTTTCAAATGTCGACGTTCTCGATTTCGCAAGAGCCATAAGTTTTTTTGAGTACGCAAAAAAATCTTTTTTTTTCTATGGAACGATCAAAAAAAGGAGGGAAAAAGGGACGTCGCATCGTTATTTTTTATTCGAGGAAAATAAAAAATCTCATTGGGAGAGGGAAGGGCAGTGTTTTCGCTTTTTCGAAAACTTTTTGATGGCTTCGTGGAGGTCCGAGATCAGGGTTTAACTCTTTTTCAACGGGGTGTTCGAGGGGGTTCAATCATTATTTTTATTGTAGAAAGCATATCTATTTATAGGTCAAAAAATGAAATTTTTTAAAAATAAAGTAAATTTATTTTGGCAATTTCAAAACCACGGTTTTTTAATGCATAGTGCGTGTGTCCAGCTCTCTTTCGAAATATCTCTCCGAATCGCCAAAGGAAATAAAGAAATGCTGTTGTAGTGCTACTTCTCCTTTCTTGGTGTTGAAATAATGGGTTCAAATTTGGAGTCCAATGCCATTTTCTCGTATTTCGAAAGAACTTGATGTAATCTTGGCCTCAAAAATTTTAGAGAGGGCAAAATTAAATATTTCATCATAAGGGTGTCCTTGAAAATTTTGTGGAATATTTGGCACAAAAATTTCATTTTTTTAAAAAATATGATTTTTTATGGCTAAATTTTTTTTCCTCTATTTTCTATGTATCTTATAAAGTCAAAAAAAAAAAAGAATCTAAAAAATCTTCAATCTTCTGTTAAAACTCCAAATTTTTCGTCCGACACAGGCCGTCAGAGAGGTATTTTATGTTGTTTATGTAATGTTTATTGCTTTTTCGAGACCCTGGCCTATGTTTTTCGTTCTCGTTCTCACAAAATCTATTTTTTCCGTTTATGTTTGCCTTTTCAAAGTTTGGAGTTGTCTAGCTATTATTCAATTACCTACTGTTGTTTATAATTCTACATAACTTCAAGTCCTTGTACTGTCTGCTTTCAAATTATAAAATTTCCCTCGCTAAGCATTGCAACTCATTAATTACCCTTTTAATATTAGTCTACGTTCACTGATTCTGCTTCATATTATTTTTTTTTCTTTCTTAGAGCAAATAAAATAGATCGTGTAATACTTTTTTCCGCAGCAATTTATATGAGTTTAAAGTGATTTGAAGCCAAAAAGCCAATCGGTTTACACTTCACGCTAAAATAAATTGTCTAAAAGAGTAATCGCCAATCAGTTGTTTACTTTTTTCTTTGTCTTTTCTGTGTATTTTTGTTTCTTTGGCGAGCGATGACTCATCGCTTGTTTTTGCCCTCCAACCCCAATTTTTACACGCCCCTTCTGTTTTCGAAAGAAGTGGGAAGTTCGAAAGAAACGTCAGTGGTTTAGAGGATGGCGGGAGAATTTGAGGGGTTTTTGAAAAAGAGAAACGTTTTATTCATTTTAGTATCTTTGAAACGTTAATGACGGATATGAGACTGATAACGTCAAGTCTCTATACAACGAATCCTAAAGTATTTTGAGCCAAAAAAACCCCATAAAAATTAGGTTAATTTTGGCTCAAAATTAACACGGAGAGCGGTTTGATGAATACCACTTTTGTTGTACAGAAGCTCGTTGTACAGAGGTTCTAGTGAAATTTGGGATACCTGGAATTTTGTGAATTTTTAGAAAAATAGTTTACTTGACATCCGTACGATAGAAAAGAAGCCTTTCGCGAAGACCTTGTTATTTTTTTAAACTTTGGCCTATATGTCTAATCTGAGCGAGCCACAGGACATTCCCTGCAAGTTCTAGCTTGCACTTTTCAGCTGTTGTCGAGGTATTAATCGTTTTTGCGATTGTGGACGTGAAATGAGGACTGTGAGCTAGAAAAAGAAAGGTTTTCATTGATGACTTTCCATTTCTTTATGTAAAAACTTCAACTTTTCTGGTGAAGAACCAGCATATAATAAGGTGATAAAACTTCCGCAAATTTATATAATAAAAAATATAAACTATATTTAGTATGTGAGTAGAATTCAACAAAATTCCCCCTGTTTCAAGCTGTCGTCATGTATTATAATTCAAAATCGCTTAACGCTTTGATTAACCGATCCTTTTCCATTTTTCGATCTCACCCTTGTTGTCAGGAGGCCCGAATTGCATTAAGGACCGCATATTTTATCGAATCGGAATTTCACAAGCCGTCCATTTTCATTGAATTTCCGTTTATCGAATATTTTAATCAGCGATATTTTGGGATTGCTAAATTTTTCTGCCTCTTGTGGGACCAAAAATATATTGTTTTAAGCAAAAGCGATAACTTTGAAAAGTCTAAAAACGAGATTTTTAATTTCAAAACCCTCGATATTTTTGGATTTTCAAACATCTCTAAGAAAAAGGATACGGACCGAAAATTATTTCTACTATAACTTTGAGAGAGTTAAAGTTAAAACTAGTACAACAGCGACCAAGAACCAACTCCTTTCCCAGGGATTAGGCAACATTTTGGGCCCGATTGGCCTTGAAACTCAATCTTAGTCCCTGCAATGTTTTTTCGCCCGGAAAATGAATGTCCCGATGCTTAGGGAAGAATTATTTTCGCCCTGACAGATTTAACAATCCTCCTTTCTACCATCTGGCGCCAAGCGCCGTCGTTCCAGGAGCGGCGTTCCCTGCGATGTTTTCGATTGTTTCTGTTGTTCGGAGATTCGAAAAACACTAAAAATAAATTTAGGCCCTCCTTGTTGTTTTGTGATTGTTTTTGCGTAATTTCTCGGATTACTGTAGGGTTGTTTGGTGGGGAAAGAGGAGAATGGTTGATTGAAGGTTTTAGATTTTTTGATCGGGAATTTTGAGATTTTTTTGGGATTATGGAGAGATTTTGGCTGTGTGTTTTGCATGGGTATTGTTTAGAATACATTGCTCAGACTTTGACATAACTTAAGGCAGTTAAAGCTCATGATGTCATAGGAAATATAAATATATGGCTCGCGCTTTGCAGAAACAATGAAAATTTTTTGGTCGAAAGTAAACGTCATGTGGAGATTTCTTTAGAGTTTTCTTTTGGTACGTTTTGACCCTCAGAATTTGATAAAGTTTCAATTTAAGATGCCCCATAGACTGTTGCTTTGCAAAAAAGCTTCATTTTTAGTCATCATTTTTATTTTTTTACCATAAAACTTTCTCCACATTCCCTATCCTCCCTCAAGCTTCGCACATCTGCAATTTCTCCCATCGCAAATGCCGTGGCGATCTGTAAAGCCGACTAATTACCGTCACTTTCCACTCGCTGCCCTCGCCTTCTTCCCGACCTTTAGTCCGATCCCCCCGACGGACCTAATTAATTCCATTTCGTCCGAGATTTAAAACATCTTCCAACTATTTTTTCGCCTCCTCGGTACTCCCCCCTCTCTATGAATTTTCCATTCCAGAAACCGAATTCCGATTCGTCGCTCCGCGAACGTCGTGTTTCCTGATTTTTATATTCAAAGGTCGTTTCGGGCGGATGGGATGAATAAATGGGTTTTTATAGCGACAAAAACGCCTTTAAACTGCGGTTAAAAAATATTTTGTAGTTTTCCGCGTTCTGTACGGATCGAATTCCGCAGGAGAGCATAAACGATTAATCGTTTAGAAGAGTGGGGATAAGGGTTTAGTCTGGAAAGTTGTTTTTGTATTCCAATCGAGGTCAGACTAGAGGGATTTTTGGCTTTTCGGGAATTTAATGCTGGGGAACGGATTAGGAAATTTTAAAATTTTCGGTTTGTGACCTCAAATTTTTGAAAACGCTCTCTTATACAGAGGTTCATAGAATCCAAAATTTTTACTATTACTTATTATACTATATGTACTAAATCCATTGCCTAGGATAGATAAAGTAATCATTCAGTTGCTTATTTTCTGTTAAAACCTTGGCTAAAAAATCTCATAGAACATTGATAAATCACTCACACACACGACGTACCGTATTTTACCATTGATTATTTTAGAGGACCTGTAATATAAAAGCGTGTTTGAAGTTGATTCTGATTTCCTTCCGCAAGTCTAAACTCTATTTTCTCCAACTTGATTTTTGCTCTATCCGTTGCACTATATATCCGCTTGTTTTGCGATCTCAAAATCCTTTTTTACCATTTTGAACAAGAGCTTTTGCGAGTCGTAGTTGAGGTTTGAACGGTGTGTAATTGGGCAGCTTTTTTTGGAACAATATTTTTCGTCAGTTAAAATATAGGGAACTTGATCACGGCAGGCCCGATTTGCTGATAAAAGGTGTGTAAAAGATATATAAAAAATCAGCCGAGAGATTTTTTGAATATACTTTTGATCCAAGCTGAAAAGGCTGTCCTTCCAGAACAAGCAACTTTTTCTCGCCTACTATACTTCATAGTGCCAAATTTGTGATACTTTTTGATAAGAAATTCATTTTTTATGTCCTCGGACTTTCTTTCACCCATTTAGAGCATGTTAAACCACCTTTACAAACTGCTATCACATTTTCACCGACGTTTATTACCTTTTACGGACCCCCAAAGTGCTTAACGCCGTTTACCTCCCAAACTATTTTCCCATTCAGATGCGAGCGAAAAGACCTTGGGTTTGAGCGGAAATCGCATCTTTTTTGGGGCTCGTTTCTTGCGCAGCACGACATTTTCCGAGAGTTTTTTTACCAAAGCAAGTGCGGCGTTGCAGAAAAAGGGATGCGCAGTGCCAAAAAAGGGCATTTCCGCAGACGCAATTTTTTTCAATCTCCGCTTTTGGGGCTGTTTTAGTCGTCTTGGGACATTTTATTGTTAGCATTAAATTTTCAATATGTTGAGATTTTAAAAAAATACATTTTTTTCGCAATTTTTGATTTTCGGGCCAATCAAAGATCTCCAGCCGCATTTTAAGCCCCCCATTACTGATCAAGGCCCCCTGTGCACTTCAAAATTGCTCTCTATTTTGCACATTAATTCCTCGCGCGAACTTTGAACAGTTTTCGAAAACAACGCCGGATCAGTGCGCGGTTGTTTGCGAGGGATTTTAGCCGGCTTAAGGTCGTAGTCGAGTGCAAAAACTCCATTTTTTCGAAAGGACGTTTAAGGTGTTTTGATCGTAGCCATCTATCGATTAGATTGAGGGGCCCGGGTTCCGGCTGTGCGGCATATTTTTTGGAGGGGAGGGGTTCTTCAAGGACAATGAGTTGAGGGAATTTTTGTGGATAAGAGAGCTTTAGGGGAAAATCTGGATGATAATTTGTATTCTAGAAGTGGTTCACTGTAGTAATTTGGCATAATTATTCTAAAAATCGCCTTTTTTAGCAAAAAATCATCAAAAACATATTTTTTCAACCTTTGCATCGTTTCTTGAAGGTAAATTTCAATGTAAAACACTCCTTGCGGCTTTAAATAATATCCGTCTCTTCTTGCAAGATTCTGAAGTTATCCTCCGATAGAACTCACAGCAATTCGCCAAATTCCCATCATTTTCTTTAACTTTCAAAATTGATTTCCTACGATTTATTATTTTTTTGATGACTTTTGACCGGTAACTCAAGCCGATCTTTTCCCAAAAACTTCATATCGCATTCCAGAACTGAAACTCTTCCATCTTGACCGATTTTTCTTCCTCAGAATGCAAGAGAATGTTGATTTGCCTCCTTGTGATCAACATTCCTTCAGTTTCCCTCTTTTCCCGCATCCCAAGTTGGTCGAAGAAGAGCACAACCCACCATTTTCGCCGCATTCATTTCCGGGATTCCCACTGTGCACAAGCCGCAAGCGAGGGAATGGCGGTGCGTCGCGGGCTCTCGACCGAACACGCAGGAACGGAGGGAATTTGTCGCGCGATCGCAACTTTGACCTCGAACCTGCGACAAGAGAGAGCGCAGAGAGAGGGAAGAGAGTGGAGGTTTTTGTGAGAGAGGGAGAGAAAAAGACAGGCTGTGAAAAAGGAAAGGAACGCGCGACAAACGATCGTGAGGAGAAATCGCTGCGGCCAAAACGAGGGGGCGAGAGAGTGCGTGCGGCCGAGAGGGTTGTGAGAAAAAGAGTGAAAGTTTTTGAAACCGAAAAAGAACGAAAAGGGAAGCGTCGCGCAGGCGCATCGCAGCGACACAAACGAGATCGGTGAAAGTGAGAGAATGCGTGTGGCTGAGAGAGCGCAGAGAAAAGAAATGGGAAAGAGGATTTCGAAACGGAAAAAGAACGCTCCGGAGTTTTCAAGAAAGGAAACGCGGCGGATCAATGGGCTTGTCGCTAAATGAAGAGCGATGCGAAGCTTGCGACAAAAAAGAAATTGAAGCATTTTGAGATGGGGGTTTTGACGAGGAAAACAGCAAAAATTCCGCGACAAGTCAAACTTCAAACAAAGTGACGTTCCATTTTTCTGCGAAAGAACTGGGCGAAAAACAAACGTGATCGCACAACAAATCACCCGTCCCAGATCAAGAGACCGCTTGTTCCGAAGAGAGCGATCAGACAGGCTTCGCTTCGGTCAGAGAGAGCGCCGAGAGAGTGCGCTTTTCGAAGAGAGCGCGCTGCGAAACCGGAGTTCTCTCGAAAAAGAGGGAAAAAGGCGGAGAGAGTGCGGAAAATGTGGAGAATTCCGAGAGCTGCAGGGAGGAGTGGAGAGCGGAGTGCGGGTTTGAGGGATTTGAGTGCGTTTCGATTTTTTTGATCGAACACAATTGCGCATTCTTACCAAATTCAAAGATTTTGTCGGGGCGTTTATGGCGTGGAATTGCGTTAAACTAAGTTTTTATACTATCTGGAAGCGAAAATATAGGATTTTGTTGAATAAAACATCTTTATTCTTGAATTTCACCTCCTTTTCTATTCATTTTCCCCTTTATTTTTCCGTTTTTCACAAAAAATTACGTTTTCTTTTCAATTTTCTGCCAGTCTTTGTCGTAATTCTCCATAAAACTATGCTTATGAGTATTAACCCAAAAGTACCCTCGTTCTCATATGTTAAGTCGGGAACAAGAATAATTCAACAAAGCGTTGTGGGCGTTTTGGGCGAGGTCGCACCTTTCGGTCGTTATCAGCGGGCCGATTACATTCGCGAAGAACTTTCCGTCAGGGGAAAGTTTGTTTTATTTTCCTCGAAAATTTGGTTGTATCAGCGTGGAAACGTTTCCATGCAATATTATGGGTAAATTTTTGTAAAACGAATAGTCAGCGGCATAGAAATTAGTTTTGGCCAATGAAATTTCATTTGGCCTCCATTGCAACGATAGTTGTTTTCTCGGTTGCTTTAGCAAAGCGCCAGCTAAAATTTAAGAAAAATGACAAGCAATCGAGGCACAATGTGTTCCTAAAAAGTCCGGAAAATCAGAGTGTTTCATTCGGATAAACTGCATTCAAAATCTATCTTGTCAGCCGCTTTCGCTTGTTCTTAAAGATCGTTGAATATCTCTGCGCTGTCTGCAAAGCGCCTGCTAAAATTCTCATGGTATAATTTGTACTACCTTGTGGCAATTTGCGATTAATTTCAAGTAAGTTCCATATTTTGATTTGAAGATTTTTCAATTTGAAATTTCCTCCTATAAGTTTATTTGTTCATGATTAGCAATCTTTTTACCCCTCCGTTACGTTTGCACCTCTCTCTTACGCACATCCATTGATTAAACTTTACCCCGCTTCCGGTGTGTTGTGGAAGAGTAGGGAGTTGTTTTAAGGAAGTTGTGATAAGAGCTGAGCGAAACTCCTCACTTATCAGCCCCTCATTTCCGGCGGGGCTTACTTTCGAATGGGATGTAATGCTCGATTTTATGCTTTTATAATTATTTTTATGTGGGTTTTATTGCCATGGGAAATTGGGACGGTTTTATTGTCAGGCGGTGTGTTTGTGGGGTTAATTTTGTTCGCCTTAATTCATTTTCAAATCGTCGAACTTTTTGTTAAACATGTTTTTTAGGCTTTTATTGGTGGGGAGGAGATAAAAAATGCTCTAAGAATAGAAAGGAATGAATGAATCTTGTTTTTCAATCAAAAATTTTTCAAGTATTTCATGGAACTACAGTAGCTGCCAAAAAACTGTCAATTTTCTTGTTTTTTGTGTAACTCTGCTCAACGTGGACGGATTTCAACGAAACAAATACCACTCTGTAGAGAGTTACTGCTGTTCTCTAATGGTGTAGCGGTTGGAGCGATTTTACATCTTAGTGTGTAACAACTGTCGATGTAAAATTTTTGGAAAGACAAAAAACTGTCAATTTTTCCAAAAAAATTTTACCGCTTGCATACGTCGCGGCAAATCATGGGCTTATACATTCCGATTTTTAAATAAAGTCCCACTGTACATAATTAACCATCAAAGGGAGCCAAGAAAGTTAATTTAGTAGACCTTTTGGTGGTCCCAAGTTCGATACCCCAAAACATGACGTTTAAGAAAAAATCAATTTTTTTCTTTGACTTAGCATTAATGCAATGCCTTGCAGTAGAAGCTAGACAACCTACAATTAAAATATAACAATGATTGGGAGCCTAAATGTAAGTCTACGGACTCCACTTGACATTCAAGTTTCTCCGGTAATCGAGTTTCTGTAGAGACTTGGCCTTGTTGCCCCCGCCTTTGTAACAACTTGCTAATACTTTATCAATACATGATCACAGATGTTCTAGAAGCATTTTATGGGCATTTGTAGGACGGCGATGCAAGTCATACACGAATTACGGAGGGTTATGTTGTCATTAACAAAAAAAATTTTTTGTGGAAACTTGCAAGTAAGCCTAAGACTTTAGAAACACGTTAGAGGGAGTGAAATTACGTTAGAAATGTCAGGAATAGCTGTAAATGTATGGGACAACATCTTGCTTGTCCTTACGCTGGGTTATTTCCATCCTATGGAGAGTGAAAATCGAGACAACAATTTTTCTTCAAGAATTCCATTTAGGAGCTTGTTATTTTACGCGCAAAGTACGGGCCTGGCGCGGTAGCGGTTCTAAACTGTTCACTGTTAACATGGGTGCCTTCTGTCGCTTTGGAACTACGATTAGAGGTGTCTGCGGAAGCACCCGGGCTGAAGTTCCACGGTACATCTACTGCCAGAAAAACTTGAATGTCAAGTGGAGTCTGTAGACTTACATTTAGGCTCCCAATCATCGTTCTATTTTAATTGTAGGTTGTCTAGCTTCTACTGCAAGGCATTGCGTTAATGCTAAGTCAAAGAAAAAAATCGATTTTTTCTTAAACGTCATGTTTTGGGGTATCGAACTTGGAACCACCAAGAGGTCTACTAAATTAACTTTCTTGGCCCCCTTTGATGGTTAATTATGTACAGTGGGACTTTATTTAAAAATCGGAATGTATAAGCCCATGATTTGCCGCGACGTATGCAAGCGGTAAAATTTTTTTGGAAAAATTGACAGTTTTTTGTCTTTCCAAAAATTTTACATCGACAGTTGTTACACACTAAGATGTAAAATCGCTCCAACCGCTACACCATTAGATAACAGCAGTAATTCTCTACAGAATGGTATTTGTTTCGTTGAAATCCGTCCACGTTGAGCAGAGTTACACAAAAAACAAAAAAATTGACAGTTTTTTGGCAGCTACTGTATGTGGTCTTACCTTTGATTTTGAACGTCTTTTAATTGATAACGCTCAGGTTTTGTTAAAATTTTTCTTGCTTTCTTTAATATGGGGCGATTAATTTAACCCTTAGTCTTGGTGTTGGAAATCACAAGTTAAAATAATTAATTAAAAAATTCCTTAGGCAGCTTAACCTACATTTTTGGCGGTATTACAAAAATCCCCCGCAATTTCGATAATTTATTTGGAAATCCGATTTTGGTTTTCAGCATATGAAAAATTCATTTAGCGCTTGTTGTTTCACGTTTTCTACCGTCCAGAAGATGAGTTGTAAGCACTTGTAGAAATATTACTTCACCGATCTAGTTTTTAATTATTTTTTTAAAGTTTTTAAAAAATCCTTTATTCTAAAATGTATATTTTACGTTTTTATTGACAATTTTGATTTGTGTCTCCGCTATCTTTGCTATACAAAAATTTGATGATAATCCCCCGAATTTCCGCAACATTATCTGATAAATCGCTTGATCGCCACCCCAAATTTCATTTTTTTTTCATTATGTTCTATGCCATTTTTCGCTTTTTTCTTCGCAAAAGTGCGGAAATCGGATCAGTGCACCGCCCTGATAAACATTCAAATGGGCCTTTTATCAAAGGAATTCCGGACGAGTTTTTGTTTGTAATGGAATTCGCTCAAAAATAAACAGACCCAATCCACTTTCACGGACAAAAATTTTTTGTTTTTGTGAGAATCCGTCTCTAACCTACACTTTCGTCTGGTTTTAAATCGTGGGTTTTTAACGATGTGGAAAAAGTTAAAAAGTTTTTTTTTGAAATTGGATTTTTCGAGGGATTGTGATTGAATTTTGAGGAATTGCGCGAGGTGGAACTTCTTCATTTATAATATTACGGATTCATGTGTTATAATCACTTAAAATTCGATTTTTTTGGCATAATATCAGTGATTTATATACGTATGGATACAGAAAGCCGTTTTGCAAAATTCTTTATTTTTTCGCAAAAATTCGCAAAGAGAAAGAAGTCATTTCACTGATTTTTTTCCTCATTTTTCATAGTCTCTTGTCTGAAAATATTGTTGAATATCTCGGCTGAAATTTATTCAAAACCAACCGCCAAAACAATGTTAATTTTTGGTGTGTTTAATTTTGCTTATTTCTGTAAAATTAAAGACGATTTTAAGGTGTCATCTTTCAACATTGCGCTCATAAAATAAGACTACACTTATTTTTCAACCTTTAATTTGCGGATCTTACCAGTTTTATGATGATTTTTTATGATTTTTCACGCATTTTCATATTTTTATTTGTGTTTCACTCTTTCCTTTCTCGACAAACAATCTCTTGTTATCAGTGGGGCTTGGAATTCGCTGTGAATTGGAGCCCGAGTTAGGTTCGTCTACATGTTGTTTTCCAATTTTAAAGACGCTTCGAGTTTTGTGGGGGAAATAGATTTTCTGCGGGGGATTTAAAGTAACGTTTTTTGAGATTACACTTTTTATCAGTTGACGCCCGTATTTTGCTCTTAGACAGTCTTTGAAACACAGTTTAGAGAAGAAAAAGGTTCTGCTGGATTGATTTGATGAGGCCAGAAAGTTACGATTAGAAGAAGGAAAACTTTCGTAAAGTTTATACGAATCTATGTCAGATCGACCAAAATTCGGGATATTTAAGGGTCTTTTGATACGAACTGTTTATCAATTTTCACTGCAGAATGACATATTTATATCATTACATAAAAAAAATTATTTTTTCCGTGCAAAATATTCAGCGATATGGCCAAGACACTTCTTTGACCGTTGTCCGCATTTTTTCTTGTTCTACTGTCTATAAATACCGATAAATACCTCGGCTACCCCTTCAAGGCGCCAGTTAAGATTTCTAGGAATCGTGGCTTACAATCGATTGTTCGTGCGTTTGGTATTTACTTATTATTCTATCGTTCGCGTTTGCAAAAAGAAGCAACGAAAGCCCACCGTATTTTAAAATGATATACTTTCAGAACCAAAACATTAACTATATCCGGAACATTCCCGCGCCATCCACAACAACTCAGCACACAAATCCGCTTTTCAGGTTGGTTTAATTTAAATTTTACACAATTTTGAAAAAAGCATTACGACTTTGCGTTAACCGCAGTTAGCTAAAAGATGGTTTGAAAATACTGCTAAAATTCCAAAAAATTTTATTGTTTACCGAGTCGATTGGTTCGAGTTAGACTTATGGACGATGATTCATTGGATAGTCATGTTATCACCCTCGGATTTTTATTTGCATAAGGAAGACAGAGAGGGTATGAGTCTTCAAGTTCGAGCGATCTGTGATGTCTTATGGCTATTGGGGATTTTTATTCACTTTGTTAAGTAAAACGTATTTTACTCCATTTTTTATGGATACATCTCAATAAAAAGGGAAGTGCTCCAAATTTCACCCTGAGATTTTGATGAAACTTGGCATTAATTTTTTGGCCAAAAAGTGCCGGAAATTTTGACATTTTTTTGCGATTTTTGGGATTATATGCCAACCTTTTGTTCAATGTTGGAGTACAAAGATCTGGCAAAAAAATCGAAACTTTTCATGCGAAATGCAAAGAGATATGATAAAAAAGCTAACCCCGTCTTCCCGTTTCCGTATTTTTCCTCATAGGTTATGAAAACCTCGGCGTTTGTTGGGATCAATTTCTAGCCTATTTAGAATTTTTCCACGTAATTTCAAGAAGATCTGAGGTCAGCATTTGAAGTAAGCCACTCATTAAACTTTATAACAAGTCATCAAATCTCATATGTAATCTTCTTGTCTTTTCACAAAAATTCATTCCGTTTTCCTAGACATTTTCGTACCATACCAACAAGTCTCAATCCCTTCGAACAGTATCCCTATTTTTGTAAACAATTTATGCCACAACGACGCAAATTGTATATCCGTCTGTGTACGTCGTTCCCCCGAATGTTATTAGCACTAAACGCCGTGCTCTCTGCGTAATCAAAGCCTCTATTTTTGTACCGTAATTTGCAAATTGAGGCGGGAAATCCGTGCTGATCGGGCGCTCAGCTTTGACGACACAATTTTTGAAATTTTCAAGTTGTCTCCGCACGCCAGTAAGCTGTTTTTGTATACAAGCGAGTGGAAAATGAGACTTTTCGCTTAAGAGGCTTGTAATAGGCTTTCCGTAAAACGACCGATTTATTAATATTTTTATCTTTTGGAAAACATTGGGGACATGGAGCACGGAAATTCAGCTATCGGAGAGAAATCTTTGGGGCTAGAAAAGGGTTTTGTTGCATTTTCAGCGACTGTTAGCTGTATTTTATTAAAAAATAGTGCTAAATTGTGGACATTTACCCTTTCTTGACCGGTAAATATAATAAAATCTTGATTGATCCTAAATTAATCCGACCGCGAATCAAATGAAAGGCCTGATCAAACACCCCTTGCTTTTCGGATATTTTTATTGCCTATGATCCGCGGCGATTATCTGTTGCCGCAAAAACGTCTTTTTGCAAACATGTCTCAATACAACGAGGTCTTTTTATTGCAAACATATTTTTCTGATCATCTGCCACTTCTTGCACACAAGTATTAAAAAATTTTGGATTCTTCCACTGAAGCATCAAAAATCACCTTCCAAATTGTTGCCTTCTTAGCTTGTCTTTCCCAGAAGACCCTAAGGCTATTGTTTGCAAGCTCTTGCGTACGTGCCGAATGGCATTTTGCAGCAGCTGAGAGCCTTGTTAAATTAGCATTATCCCGATTTCTGATCTAACACCCCCGGTGTACAAGAGAAAAGTCGCGTTTACCAGGAAGACGGCGTTAAGACGGGCTTGCTCGCGGGGCCGCCATCATCCATATAATCCAACATATAGACATACAGGGCATGGAAACTATGATACATATGCTCAATCCAATACGACGAGCCGATTATGGGCAAATTTCAACCTTGCCATACAACAAAGATGGCCTAGAGAATGGAAAAGGTTTTTGTTTCTTTAGGGGAGGAAAGGTCTTATGAATGATAGATGCAACCAGAGATTGCCAGGCTCCGGAGCCGGCTCTTGGCTCCGGCTCTGAGCGGCTCCGGCTCCGAGCCGGGAACCAGAAATTTTGGGTGCGGCTCCGGCTCCCAAGCCCAAAGTTGGAGCCAGGCTTCTCAGCGATCTTTTTAAACCAAATTGCTTGAAAAATACTGGGAAAGATGTGTTGCATACGACTTCGCTGCAAAAACGTTGATATTCATTTTCTTAGCGGCGATGCGATTTTCGATACGACAGAGAGCTCACTATTTTCCAGACAGAATGATAAATGCGTTTTCTCTCTGACCGCTCTCCACACTTCGTAGACTCTTTCGTCAAACATTGTTGAATATTTCGGCCGCTTCAACGCCATCTAAGATTTTACCTACACCAGTCTATTGCAAGGTGCAAAAAGCACGAAGACTGATAGAAAATGATAAAGTTTTTTTGTTTTTGCCCTCTAAATTTTCCCTTTTCCTCGACACAAGTTCAAGATGTTTTCAACTCTGCTCTTTACTACATACATTTTTCTCACAGTCTCAAATGCCATGGCGGCGACAAAATCGGGTCTTGGAACGGTTTCTCAAAAAAAGACCGCCAGAATTGGCCCGCTTTCACAGGAGGAGAAAATACCGTTCGGCACGTTCCATTCAACATGGTTTTGTTTCTTTTGCGGATATTGAAATGTGGGGTTTTGTGAAGCGCCGCGGCATGGATTTCGCCAAGAAAAAAAAGCCAAAATTAATTAGAATAAAAAGTAGAGGGTGGATGGATGGGGGATTGGGGGTGGTGAGAGTACAGTACCACTTAGATTGATGGGTTTTGTAAAGTGGCTTTGGGTTTAAACAAAGGCTGGTCTGCAGGATAGTAAAATTGCTTTGGATAACAGGTGTAAAATGCTAATCTTGATCAAATTTTTGTTGTAGGAAAATGAAAAATTATTATTTTTTGATTGGAAAAGATTGGGTTTTTAGTGAAAACGTTTTACTCTGTAAACGTTATGCAATTTTTCTGTCCAAAATGTAAAAAATCTTTATTTCAGGCTACCAAAAGTTTCAAAATTTTCAGTTTTTTAAAAAACTTGTAGCCTTAATTTTTGCTAAATTTCATCAAAAGCTTTACAAATAAAATTTTGTAAATCTTACAGTGAATTTTTTCGGCATTTTAAAAAATCTGTTTTTTTGTGTGAATCCATCAATAACCTTTCAAAAAGACCTCCACGATCGCCTTTGCCTCTTTCGCATATTTGCATTTCTCGAATTGGACTTATAAAAAGCGTGAAATTATATTTGATCTAGACGATTTTTTACCATGTCAGAGCCTGGCGCAAAATTTTAATGAGTTTTTTCGCCTCAGACAAGATATTTTTTCCTCAAAAAGATCTTAAAAAATCAAAATATTATAAAAATTGACATCCTGATATCTCAATGCATTCACGGTTCAAACAGCTGAAGTTGTAAACCTAAAAGTACTGTAGATTTTGAGACGAAAATCTCCAAGGTCATTGGCTTAGCGGGGTCTAAAATATTGCTGAGAACTGCCGTTAAGTGAGTAGAGAGCACTCGGATTGCACCTTTAAAGATTATGCCTCGTACTGTAGTCCAGAGGTTTGGTCTTTTGCGAGATCCTGAAGTAAAAAACTTATCTTGGCATAGAGACAAGTATCTTTTTTATAATAAAACACACTATGAACGGCCTCATATACCTGTAAGAAATAACAAAGATACCGTAATAGAAAAATTTGAGACTACAGTAGTCCTCTTCGCTTCCCTCGTTTCGTTGCACTTTTTCTCTCATTAGGCCACGAAAGGCAAGAAAATGTAAATTGGGCCAAAAATTTCTCCGGCCTTCGATCGAGAACCGTGATGATTCAATTTTCCGCCGAGTCATTGGCGCCGCGAAAACTTGCGTCAGCCCCTCAAACGGCCACGGATCTATGGCCAAACTCCGCCACTTGCCTGCTATTTCGCGTGGTTTGATTTGAAAAATCATGGAAGCTCATTGGGATGGAGGAGAGAAAGTAGAAGCACAAAACAAAACCATGGGCCCGGCCACGACCTTTTCGAGGGCCGAGGATTCAGTCGGCAATTGCTATCGGGGGATTGGGCTGTTCGATCGAGGATAATATTCGCTACGACTATTCTACTGCCCATTTAAATCCGACCGCGTCTTCCAAATCGACCGCCAGCCCGAAGCGCACATTATATTTGAGTCGAAAATCAGTCTACGACACCGAAACGCCCCTCAGTTTTCGGCACAATCAGCGCTGACTCAAATCCCGCACAACACTTCATTCCGTTGATGATTCGCCCAATTTAATCATGCCGAACAGCCAGATGAATCCGGGGTTTCATCAGCCCTCGGCTCATGACGATGCCGCGCTGACGAATGCCTCTAGTCTGGATGCTAGCCTAGTCGCCGGGACTTCCGGCCTAAATGCCATCGAGTCAGGGACGAGGGCGTTGAGTCTTGACCAGCAGAGCCTCAGTCAGCGAAGTCTTGGCCAAGGATCAAGCCGAGAGGTGATTGCTTCAGGCTTGCCGCAGATCTACCTTCAACCGATCGATGGCCAGCTTCAAAGTGGCGTTCAGCGCAATGGCGAAGACTCATCAGCTTCAGAATTCTATCAGAACATCCCCACTACTTATGTGTATAGTGGGGATGAAACTGGGCAAATTCCGTCGACCCCAACTTTTACGCCTGGATTTTTACCGAGCTACAACTACGCGCTGACCCCCACATTGGACTTGAACATGTTCTGGACTCCATGGTCTTTCGAAATGGTAGGATTTGGGACTATCGTAGAGGGGATAATGATTAGATTTTTTTGCTGTATAGTTCCAACAGGTCAATAATTTTTAATTTTACGGCATTTTTAACAGAAACATGGCATTGACTACCTTAATCCTACTTTATTATTACTTACTCCTTTTCTACCAATCTAGCACCCTTCTTGTTACAGTACGCGGCCTTTTATGCCCACCTCGTCGCAAATATAATATTTTTTCTGATATTAAAAAGCGCGCAAACAAAGAGAAATCTTTCGTTCCTTTGATTTATGCGGCTTTTCGTGGATTGCAAAGTATCTGGGGCTTAAGGCAGTTTTCAAGGTTTATTTATTCAAAAAAAAAGGTGTTATGGCTTTTATACTATAGCAAACATTGCGGGGCGAGATACAGTAAGACTTTGGCGAGTTTTTAGAAACATACTTTTTTGGCGTTTGAAAAAATTGACGATTGTTTTGAGGATTCTGAGCAAAATAATGAGTTGAGAGGTGTAAGATACGTGGAGCCCTCTAGTTTTTTGAATTGCATGCATCTACTGAGCTTCTTGGTTTACTATAATTATCAGTTTTTTCTTGCAATTTAATAAAAAAAATTGCATAATTTATCCGGCTCCATGTCTGGGTCCAACTTCCAAAATTTGTAGGATTATCTCGGCCCTAAGCGGTTACTGTAAAAAAGTAACGAATTTGAGGAAATGGTTGTAAAATGGAGACTGGCCTACAGTAATCGCAAGCGGCTTACAACTAATGCCCTATTGGCGCTAATCCTCGGAAAACGGAGGTCATCAATTTATTAACGTCTGAACGTGTACGCCCCTAACTTGGATGGAAGATAAAAAGCTGGCGTGAGTAAAATAAAGGCATTGTCTATGGAATTCGGGGACTTTTAGTAATGTTTGATACCTAAAATTTGTATAGCAAGATGTGATGAGTAGTGTAATATAAAAGGAATGTTGACAAAGTATCCAAAAGTTTTAAGAAAATCGGTAGTGGGTCTACTTAGATGGCAGAACGTCTCCTGATCCCTTTATTGAGTTCTATTTACTCTCCTTCTAACCAATGAGCTCGCAATTTCCCCCACCGTAGCCTCGCTTCCATTGGACAAACTCCCAAATTTCCACCCCTCGTTTCTTCGCGCCCCTTAATCTCCACACACAGGGTTATGACCCCTTCGCGGACCCCAAAAAAAGAGGGATTTGAGGTGCGGCAAATATGAATAAAACTCCGTATCCGAGCGATTTTTTTATTGCCGCATGTTTGACCGGTCAGATTTTCGTAAGATTCCACGATTGGCCCCGCCCCAGGAGATTCTTGACACCAGCGCCGGCGGTCCAGTCACTCCCTGTATCATGGGTTTTAATGGCGCGGCAGTGATGACGTCGCAACGATGATTCGGCCTGATGATTTCGCACTTCCAGCTGTAGCGAGCACCTAATCTCGGCATAATTAGGATTAGCTTTGTTGATACGGAATTGTGATTGGGCTGTAAGGGCAAGGTGGAATTTTGAGGCATCTTTTAGATTACGCTGTAAAAGGGCTTTGCTCTATTTTCGATTAAAGATGTGGAGATTAAGACTGTCATAGCGACTGTTTTTGCAGTTTTTGCAGTTTTTGTTTGTTACAGAGAAAAGAGTGGCATTGTCTTTACGTCACAGCAATTTACTTATGTCAGCGGTGTCCGAGGAGCTTGTGGAAGATTTTTTTCCGATGTTCTGGCTTTCTCGATAATTAGTTGTTGGTATCTCACGTAGAGTGCCCAACGAGTTGCGGCCGGCAGATGGTTCAACATGCCTACAAACTAGCGAAAAATATAATAAAGGAGGAAAAAATGTTGCTCTATTGGAACTGCTAGGATACCATTTGATCCATTTTTTAGAACCCGGTAATGCCAATATGATTTTCAATTTGCCTTCTTCATAATCAAGAGTTTTTCTTGTTCCTCTGCAGGCACTTTTTGACACTTAAATCAGGTTAATTTTTAATTCCTTTTCGTTCTCTTTGTCGATTAAAATTTGCTTGGAAATGCATGCGAAAAAAGCTTCCGGCAAAGCTCTTTTATATGAAAAAAATATCTTCAGTGGTCGTAAGATTCATCGGTCAGGTGTTTTGTTAACTTCTTCAATTCATTTTCTGATTTTTCGGGACTTGTATTACTTTACATTATCTACTAATTGATGTTGCAATAGACCTTCAATATTCCCATTCTTTGCCGAAACTTCAATGCCATCTTACAGCCTCTGTAATCCTCTCACCCCAACATACCATTCGCACCGTCTCTTGCCGCTACAGATCCCATAGAATTCGTTTGGCTGGAGCCGCGAAAACATGCAAACTCTCCTTTTTTATTTCGTTTTTTGTGTTCAAAGAGGCCACAAAAAGGGGGACAGCGGTTTTCACCTTTTCACTATTGTAATATTCCCATGTCTTGAGAGAGATTTGTTTAGCCTGATTTTTTACTTTTTTACCGATAACTGTGGGCTTTACAAATTCCATTTTTAGGAAATGATTTTTTTTGGTTTTTTCCAATTTCACAAGCCAGTTTAAACCGGCCCGTTGGCTGTTTATCTGATCGAATACTAATATTCGATATGAGTAATCTGCCATTTGGTTTGGCTAGGAAATGTTTACAATACTTTTTAAGGGAAATTTCAACTTTTTGAATGGAAATATAGATAGTGTTGCGTGTTTTAGTACGATTGTGAGGTTGCAGAAATTTTGATGGCAAAATTTCCGATCATTATGAAATTTTTGTGCCGATTTTTTGTTGGAAATTTGAAATTTTTTTCGGAATCTAAACTTTTTTTTGATTTTTTGCGTTAAAAATTTTTTTAAACGCCAAGACCTTTTTTTCGTTTTTGAGTCGATTAGAGAGTTCATTCGTATTTTACCAAAATCTCGTCTGATCTCGATTCCTCTCCGTGACAGCGTTTGTTCTCCGTTATTCTCGTCAAATCCTCAAATTTAGACGCCACTGTTCCGTTGAACGCTCTCGAACAGCGGGGCCATGGACGATCCGACCGCCCGTTTCCCTTCCAACCCCTATTTTGGGTTCTTTTCGGTTAGGCCAAGTTTTTTGATTAAAAATGGGGACGAATAGAGGTGCAGGAGACAAGAAAAGAGAGGGAAATGGGGAGAGAATACAGGTTACAGTATGCCAAATATGGAAAGTGGAGGAGAAAGCGGGAAAGTTGGTTCAAAATTGATGTTACGGTAGAAGACGTAATAAAATGCGGAAAAATGTCAGAACTAAAATTACATGCGAATGATAGGAAATGTAAAAAAAAAGAGTGATTACTGTAGGAAAATAACCAATAATTGTGCCATAGAACGCAAATTTTTTAAACAAGTTTGGTCATCAAAAGCGGCTGTCAAACAGACTAAGATAAGCCAAAATTTGGTGTCAAAAGGTATCACCGATATAAAAAAAAATATTTTTTTCAAGGCAAGGATCTTGGGAGATTTTTTGAGATCATTTTGAGTCAAAAAAGTTCAAAATATTTATGAAAAAAGGTTTTTAGACATTCATGTCTCTTTTTATGCCTTGTGATACCTTTTGATAAAAAATTTTGGCCCAAATTGATCTTCCTGCCAACTTTATTGACACCTAGGACATTTTTCAGGCCTCTTTCAAGATTGGCACTTTTTTGCTCACCAATTTTTTACTCCAATTACCACTACCATGATCCAAAACATTAATGATTTCTCTTCTCATCGGTTTCTTAATCAAAATTCCAAAAAAAAACTGATGAAAGCCGTTCGGCGGCCTTTTTTCTCGCTGGCCTTTTTGTCCCATGATCCTGGAAATACCACCGCAATATACAAGGGAAAAGAGAGAGGCCGCAAAATTACAAAAACTGAGAGAATTGATTTTTTTTTGGTGGCTGGAAATGGGAATATTGTTTTTGAAGATTTGAAGCGATAAATTGGGTGATAAAGGGCATAAACGGAAAATTGGGGGTAGTAGTGACCTTTTTAGGGAATGGGGGAGAAAAGTTTCTTCAAATTCTTTATTTGCTCAACTCGGTAAAAATTACAATGTGACTTTAAGGAAAGGTTTTTCGAATATCAACGCTACTTTAGAGACAACTTAGAGATCAAAAAAAATGTTAAAAAAGATCGTAAAGTAGCTTTAGGCCATAAAAAAGATCATAAACAGACCAAAATAAGAACAAATATATCGTAAACCTTCTAATCGTCGCTTTTCCAGATAAACGGAAACGACCTCACCTCTCCGTTGACTGAATATCAGCCCAGCTTCCCAGCGAACCCAATTCAGCCCCGACTTCCGCCACTCCAGACCGGATTACCCGACTTTCAACTTCCATTCATGACGCGATCAAGCACCTCCACCGCGCCTTACGGAATGCGCTCCCAAACGAATGCCGGCCGAAAGGGGGGCCGAAGACCCAGAGAGATCGAGGAGAAGGTAAGAATATGTGATTTGAATGCAGGTAGCAGACGAAAAATTTCTTGTAAATTTCTAAAAAAGCTATTTTTTGCCGGAAAACGTAGGAAGAAATTGTCAGAACTTTTTTTTCTGTTTCATAGTCTCGGTCGCAAAGATAGCTGAATATCTCGACTGTCTTTGAAAACCAGACCCCAAAAAATTCTAGAATTAAAAGATCGTCCAGATGGAGCATCGACACCAAGTTTGAAGAAAGTCGCCTTTTCGCCCTTCCAGAAATTTCTATTTTGTCTAAAACCAGCTACAAACTCCCAATATCCCCGGAAAATCCAAAAATCTTGTGTCCCCGAAAACGCATCCAATCCCAATTCCCGTGTGTGGCTGAAATCACCACCGTCCGCCGCTTTTATGCCCTTACATTGCTCATAACGTGATTTGTCACAAAGCAAACCCCTCCAAAAAAAGTATGTTAAGAGCGCCGATGTTTCATCGGAGGATGTATCATAGTTGACAATATCATTAACGATTATTCATATGAGATGAGTAACGGGCGCTATTCGCATCGTATTTCGCTGACTTACGAAGCCGTGGGGCTGAAAAAAAGGTTTCTGGTTGTTTGAGGACGTGTTATACGACGAAAAGTTTTCTGGGGGGAAATGCGGGTTAAGACCCATTTTTTATGTTGTTGCCCTCAGGTTACATCTCAAATTTTTCTTAAATTCTTTGCAGATGCTCTATAAAAGTTACTTATCAATTGCTAAAAGTTTGAGGTCCTGATTTCCCGGGATGATCGAGATATTCAAAGATCTTTGCAATAGACCTAAAAGACGTTGTTTCATGTTGTTCGGCTTTCCTTCTATATAATCGTATCTTCACCTTTTTCCTCTGTTTTTGTCGTCCCTTCCTCTGACGCTAATACAGTAGAAGAAAGTACTCAAAGTACGAACATCCCTTGTAACACATGTGCCTGTAAATAAACGGCTGCACGTAGCTGAAGACCTTGTGTAAACCATATCCGTTTAGGGCTAATGGGCTTTTTTATATACCAAATTAAGGGAGAAAACCACTTATGATCGATTATCGCTTTCTGAAAGCCTTTGTAATAAGCTGATAAGCTGATTGTGAAGCCTGTTATTTTTGAGGAAGGGATGGCTGAAATCTCTTGAGTAGTCTAATCGTAGGTACATTTTTTTGCAATTTTTGGTGTTTTTCTGCATAACGCGATATCACCATTCGTTCGATAGATGCATGTAGAAGTTTTAAATTTCATTTTTAACAAGTTTTTTGGGTTTTTCAAGCAATTTTTTAAAGTCATTTCTGCTCAAAACTTCAAAGAAATCAATTTTTAATCTGTCAGTTTTCACACAACTCTAGCAGATTTAATTCCCCAGCTATCCTTGCAGGACTACGATCTTCCCGACGATGAGAAGGACAAGCGTGCCAAGCGTCGCCAGCGCAACAAGGAAGCGGCCGCCCGTTGCCGCAAGCGTCGTTTGGACTTGATGGAAGCGCTGCAAATCCAAGTCGACGACTTGAGGGAAGAGAATCGGCAAAAACAACTGCTGATCGACCAGCTCACGCAGCAGAAGAACAAACTGGACGAGATGTTGAGGCATAACTGCCAAATGGAGGGCACTCAGATGATCAAGGACGACATGATGTACAACAACGGGAACGATTTGATGATGAAGGCGCAATTGAAGACCGAGGTCGAGGAGTACGAGCAACAGCAACAAATGTATCAGCAGCGGTTGCAGGTATGTTACGAATACAGTGTACGTTTCATGCGATTTATGATGTAATTGGCAAATAGGGATGCAAAATTGGATGAAACTTAGATTTTAATGAAAATTGGGGCAGGAATAGATGACAGATTTTTGAATTTTCTGTCTGGCCGGCTCCCCTCGTTTTTTATGCTCTCTCAAAAAAGAATTTTTGATTTCTCGACTGAGGATGAAAAGTTAGGGGTAAAATTTCAACGTTTACTAAAATTTATGACTCAAAATTCATAACTCACTCAAAAATTTCAAAAAATAGTTCATGAAAAATAACGTTCCCCCCATTTTCAGGCCGACATGGACCTCTACAAGGACGACGCAATGATGGGCGGGCCCGGCTCCCCCAGCAACTACGCCATCTCCTCGTCCTCCATGCTCATCAACAACGATCCGGTCATTTCGCAGGCGGCGTTGAAGCGCTCCCGCCATTCGCCGTTGCCGTCCATCAACGAGATCGAGTCAAATGTCTGCCATTCGCAGGCGAGTCATCCGTTCTCGCGGCCAACAAGTCTGCCGCTCAGCACCATGTCGCAGTACGCTCAGAATGACATGAACATGCCGTCGATCACGACCCCCAGCAGCGGATTGGGTAAGGGGTTTTTTCAGAGTCAAAAATAAAAAAAAAATTAAAAAAGAAAAAATCAAAAATAAAAAAAGTAAAAAAAATCAAAATTTTTGATTTTTTTTACTTTTGAAAAGTCTAAAATAAAAAAAAAAAACGAAAAATTGAAAATTTATCAAATTTTTTCAGGCGGAGGCTACAGCCTGCTCGACCAGCAGACCTTCCTCACCCCGCTGGTGCCCGGAGCCGTCCCCGTCCCCCTGCAAACCCCTCCACACAACGGCGAACTCCGCCAACTCTAAACGTCCCACAAATCCCAGTTGAGAACAGAACACGCTTCCGAATATCATTCTATACATATTTTTTTGACTACTTTAATTTTATTGTTACCAAAAAATTCCCAGGCCATCTCATCTTGTTTTTTTCGTCCTTATCATTTACTCCTAGTGCTAATAAGGCTGTGGAAAATCGGTCAGAACTGAAAGTTTTGGGTTTTAAAATTTGAATGTTTTCATTTTGAAAGAATCTACAGTAATTCCAGTTTCAAAACCACCATATTTAGGATTTTTACGCTTGGTTTTGACCGATTTTTCATTGAGCGTATCCCGTTTTTTTGTCCATAAACTCATCTACTTCAATACGCACATTGTAACGTCATCATATGCCCCCTTATTTTTACCGAAGACCAAGTGCACTTAAGCCTTTTTACCGTAACCTTATTCGTATTTTTGTAATTCGACTTTATTTATGACTGATAAATCAAAAAACTTGGAAGTGAAATCACTGTATTGGACAATATACACGCTGGCTTATGGTAACCATTCTGATTAATGTGAGGGTTTTAAGACAATTTTGCGATCAAATCTTCATATCGTACAGTTCTTTGGTCAGCTCGCAATATTCGGCGTAATGCTCTGTGGTCAAAGATGTTGTTACGTAGCTTTCTTTCAGCAAGAATCCCATCTTCTGAAAAGCAATATTGTCGGGCACAGTAACAGGAAGGAAAAGCGCCTCTGCGGAGCCGATCCGACAGTAGCGGACCTGACAAGATTTACCTGGGCGTCCCTCTGAAGCAGTAGAAGTTGGACAATCCGTTTTTCATCTCCATAAGTTGTTGTACAGTATTCTCTGAACTCGTCATTGATCTTTTTCAGTATTCTCTCGGCAATCGGCAGTTCATGAAGTGCGTTCGCTGTAAGGAAGATCAATCTAAAGGTATCCGAAAACAGGGTGTGGCAATTTTTTGGCCGGATTTGAATTTGCTACATTTTTTTTAGTTTTTGGCCAAATGTTAAAATTCTTTTTTTGAGGAATCGATATGTGGCCTATGCCCGACTTATGTGCAAAATTTAAATAAAATCTGAGAGTCGCACTAGGGCTAATTTCTTTGTCAGCTATGAAAATTAGAGCTTTTTCTTTGTCTTCAATTTTTACTGTAGTCTAATAAATGGGTATAACATATTTGGTATTAGACAACATGGGGACGTCTGAGGGTTCAGAGAAAAAAAGAATTTTAACACTTGGCCAAAAACTAAAAAAGTTATGGCCAATTCAAATCCGGCCGAAAAATTGTCGCACCCTGTACTACAATCTCGAAGGAGCGTCGCAGCTAATCATAAAACTGCAATAGAATTTGTGGTTTTCATGCAAGTTTTAACTGCAGAGTGAGAGATCTTTCTTCCCCATCGTAATCCTTGCCTTCGTTCCACAAGATGATCCCAGCCATAGCAGCCACCTCAAACAGAGTCACTTTCATCGTTCTAAACTTTCTGATGAACCTGATTAAATTATCCATAAATGGTTGGAACACACTGAAAACAAAGGCAATATTTTTAAAAAGGTAAAACAAAATACAAATCACTGACCGTAATGATTGCTCAATGTCCGTATCTCCGTGGAAAAACGCTCTCATATCCGAGCTGTCCACAACATCGCCATGGGTGAAAAAATAATCGTGGATCGTCAGGTTCGGGGAAAAACCTTACCGTATTGTAGCCCCATTCGAAGAAAGGGAACACCATGTCATTGTAGACACTGAGATCGGCCTGAAAGTGTCATCCCCTTACAAGCCAAAAAAAAAGTGAAAAACTATAACAATGAACAGTTGAAGGAAACTATATAATGTGCCCTGAAGCTGTTAATACTCATACGCATTATGTCCCTTTATGTCATGTTCACTATGTAATCTCACTTTCTGTAGCTCCGTGAGTTGACTGAAGCCTTCAAAATAAATGTCCATCATTTTGTAGGTCTTTCCAAACAATTTCATTTGCGCTTCAACGTGTTTTTTAATAGTGGTTGGGGTAAGATCCAAGTCATCCTGTGGCGAGATCTCCGGATGTTCGTTGTAATATGTTATACGAAGCTCTTCCCAATAGGCTTCCAGTCCTTTTATCATCCCTTGTACAACCGGATATTTCGTTTCTTCATTTCTTTGAGGGCTGCCGGCTGGAGTGAGATATGCTTCGGAATCCGAAGGAAGATTTATTCCGCTGTCGCCTCGAGGCTTTACGTGTTGAGATGGCCCGGGCGATTGCGGCTTTTGAACGATTAAAATCATTGATTTCAAGGTGATTTAAGCTTGGTTTAAGGATTCCTTTTAAACTGTTTGGTACCTCTCTAGAATACGATTCTATCCAAGCCCTCTGTATTGCAAAATGTTCAAAAACAGTTGTCTAACAAATTTCAAAGGTCAAAAAAGGCCAATTTTAAGCCAAAATGAATCTCCCTAAAACGCATTTTTTCTATAGCGAAAAATTGTTTGGCTTACTGCGTTTCGCAGTACAGAGATGTAACCGTTTTTTGACAAGGCCTTACGTTCTTTTTTCATTCCAACTACAAAGCACTTTTGAAGCCGGCATTCCTGGCAATTCGCGCGTGTTTCTGAAAGTGCTCTTGTGTAAGTTTTATTATTTATTACAGTGTTCCATCGAAAATTGAAGAACTTGGAAAGCCGACAAACCCTTATTAATCTCGCAGCTTCTCTTTACAATGCACTGGTAGGAGCGGTTATTTCTGATTGCTCTTCGAAAGAATTGACCACCTGAACAATTGAATTACAAAAATTACAGTTAGACCGAAGGTCTGTGAAAGAAAACTTACACGCTCTACATGCGATTGCTTTAAATTGGAATCCCGTAGCCTTAGCGCCACAAACACCGCACAACAACGCTCCGCTAATCGCCAAGTTCCCAGGCGTTTCATCAGGACTCTCTGAGTTTGTGGTGAGCATAATCTTTGATAAATTTTTTTCCAAATAAAAAGTCGCTGTCTTGCAAGTATACTTGAAAAACAATGCTAATAATACAAACAAAACAGCGACCAGAGTAATTGAGGAGGCCTGCCCGCACCTCTCTCATTTGCCGCATGATCAAGGATGGGCGCTTTCTATACACATTTATTGATAAAAATCACCTGGGGAGCGATTGCGGAACGCTATCCTTATCAAGTAAATTTAAAGAACGCTAGCCAGAAACATAGTTCCCAGATGTTATCAAATAAACCATACAAGTTTTACTTGTTGAGAATGACTCAAAACGTTGTTATAATTCTGTGTCGCTGAAGATAAGGAATGATTCTAATTTGAACTGTTTTTAATAAAGATATAATTTTTTCAGCTGTTTATAAAAAACTTCAAAGGCACAGGAGCTCCTAAAAGCTGTTGAATTTTGGATTTTAATCTTGCAAATATAACAAGATTGCCGTTAGTTGCAGACATTTTCACATGGCTAACAGATATTGCAAAATCTTTTGCTTATCAGTAGATGATTCACTTTTGGAATTGTATTTTTGCCACACTTAATGAATTGAACCACGCCTGGGCAGAAACCACAATTCGGAATTACATTGTGGCTAAAACCGTCTTGATAACGATGAAAAACTCTAAAAGTATATAGATTCGTAAAAAATATGTACACTTTTATTTGTATCAAATTCCAGTCAAAATCCCAAAATATAAGAAGAGTTTAGAGGAAATAGGCAAAAAGTTATTACTATATACTGCACAGTATGTAATACATATATTATAAATTGAAAATAAAACTGTTCCCGACAGACTTTCTATGATGACCATCTCCTCTCGTCTTCTTCACGCTCCAACTTGATGTTGTAGAATTGAGCGGAGAGTTTATAATAGTCATCATAATGCTTATTGTCGAAAGCACTCATAACATAGTTTTCTTTTAGGACTGTTCCCAGCTTCTGAAAAAAGTATCCGCAATACAGTTAAATTGACAGTGCGCAACAGAGGTTTATGTACAGGATGTTTCAAGAAATTTGGAACAAATTATTTGCTTATATCTTTGTGTTCTTTGCAGCTATCAGTCTGTCGGGAAAATAACGGCGGATCGTCGCAGCAAAATGTCTCGTCTCGCCGCTATCGCGCACCAAATCCCAAGCCGCGGCTTGCAGTCGTCGCAAAGCGATGATGGGCGATTCCAAAGCGCGACGACCCGCCGTTATTTTCCCGACAGACTGATATCAACGAATTTCTTTTTGCTTCTAAAAACTGACGTCGTGCTTTTTTAGAATCTCTAAAAAATTTTTTTTCGTCGGCGGAGGGCCCATTTCTCGGCGAAGAAAATTAGGGCCTTTTTTAAAAATCACATCGTATTACGTGGCGGAAACGCCGTTGCAACGGCTAAAATCAAGTTTGCGTTAAACCTCCGTGGATTTTACGGTATGCTTTTTTGCGTTTTCGATTTTGCGCAATCCGCGGAGGCGCGGCGGAGACCTCAGATTTCGGCGGACGTTGTTTTGGGCCTTCGGCTGTTGCAATTCATGTTGGAAAAGAGGTTGGGGTGATTTTTGTTGTCATCCGATGCACAGATGGCAAAAATTTCGTGTTTTTTCCCCGGCGGAGGATTCGGCGGAGGCTTTATCAAACGAAACCGCGATATATTTACTTACCTCCGCATCTCTCCGGAGTAATAACAACTTTCCGTACCGATAATTATCCTCTCCGTATTCCTTCTTACAGTAGTTTGTGAGCTCATACGCCAGCTTATCATGCATTTTGTAAGCAATTTCTATTGGATAGAGAGTTTTCACTAAAATTGCGAGGTTCTTTTATCAATGCCAAAAAACAAACCTTCAGTCCAAAAAATGATTCCAGCCATTGCTGCTACCTCAAATTTTGTAACTTGCAATTTTTTGAATTTTTTGATGAAATTGAGCAGCATTTGCGTATATGGTTCGTAGATTCTGAAACATGTACACGTATATTATATATGTGCAGTATTGCATTCTACGTAAAATATGCTCACTCCTTCGATTGTTCTGGATGTTTGTCATCGCGAAAAAATTCATCCAGCTTGCCAGCATCGACCATGTCGTCATATCCGTACAGGATTCGGTTGTCGTCGTGTTTGGGAAAGAATCTGGAAGTATTGTAGGCCACTTCGAACGGCGGGAAGATCATGTCATTTTGTTCGTTTACCCGGGCCTGCAAGGTTTTTATAACAATGACTATATCTAATATAAAGAACAATTTTAAATAACAATTTTTGCAAAATAGCAGTGGTCCTGGGCAATTTGTAGACAAAATTTAAAGCCGTAAGGATTATTCACCATACACCCAGACACATATTACAAATGCTCTCACCTTTTGCTCCGCACTCAACTCATCATAGCCCTCGAAGAATTGTTCCATCATTTCGTAAGTCATGCCCAACAATCTCATTTGCCTCTCGATGTGCGAGGCTACCGTACTCTTGGGGAACTCGTGTTTTTTATCGTCCATTCTCTCGGGATTCGCCCTGTAGAATTCCCTTTTCTGCTCCTCCCAATAGTAATCGAGCCCTTCCATGATTCGCTCCGTGGCTGAGGAGTTGAGACGCTTCCGATTTTTGTACGAATCCTTTGATTTTCGTTTCTTTTTGGGGCTTGAATCGGCACTGGAGAAGCTTTCGCCAGACAAGTTTACTCCGCTATCAATTGCGGATGTCTTACTGGAAGTTGTGCCAAACTTGTCAAGCTTCTTTTGGACTCCTAAAAATAAATGGTTGTAGCGATTTTCTTGGCGATAGTGTACAAAAAATACGGAACGTTATCGACCGAGATCAAGAAAAGGGAAGCCACTTACTTTCCGGCAACATACCAGCAGCCAAGCATTTATCGAAACGGCACGATCTGCAGACGGTTCTGTCAGCTGAGAATATACTTGTAATAACTCGAAAATACACTCATCAAATATCTATATAGCAAATCTCAAAGGGCCGAATCTCTATACGACGAGTCTCACGGGATCAAGCAAATGTATTTGTTATAGAAAGGTTTTTTTACACATACATAAAGAATGCCATTTTGGCTCGTAAGTGACTCTTGAGGCCTTATTATTTTTTAAATTACAAGGTCTTTGCAAAGGCGTTATATATATATTTTTCCACATTTAATTGCACGGAGATTTGTTTTACGGTAGTTAAAAGTATGCCTACTCCACGTTATGGGACATTCTTCGTTTTGCTGGCATTGATACGCGCGGCTGTCGGTGATGGCTCTTCGAAAAAACGCGGCACCTAAAATGGATATGATAAAGCGTTTTCATAATATTTATTTTGACCGTACAAAGGAGAACACAGGCTTCTTCTGTAAAGAAGAATTTTTATTGCTGAAAAAGATTTTTTTCTTTGCAATTCCGTTTTTTGCCACATTCGATACTTGCAAGTTTTTCTTACATGCTTTACACGCGACGGCACCGAAATGGCAGCCAGCCGAAAAGGCGCTGCAAACGGAGCATCGACTAAATTTCCTTTCCTTTCTTAGCTCCGATTCCGGACTCTGGTCGCTTACACTCATCAGTGGTGTCTTTGGGCGCACTCTAAAACTGTCAGGATAAAATTCTTTTTTAAAAGAAGTAGAAAACCAATTGTTATTTGAAAAACCGGCCACGTCTTTACCGATTTTGAGCTTGCGATGATTTTACAGTACCCCAAAAAAACCCTAGATTTCCTTACAAAACTTCAACCTCTATCATTTATGTTTAGCCATTCGCAACCTCAAATTCCCTCCAACTGGTGCCCAACTACAAAAGGCGTCCCGGTTTACATATGACGGACCCACGCAAACAGAGAATTGATAATCCAGGAAATAATTATAATCTCATGTTATTAAAAGCATGGAACATTTTAATCGAACGGCTGATTGCTTGCATACTTTGCGGGTACAAAGGGGAGTGCCCCCCTCGATTTCTCATATCGGAAAATTAACAAAGAACAAATGTTTTTGGACATGGAGACGGTAGGGCATGGGACTTTGCTCTCAATAGCTGTGCAGCAAAAGGAATTTGTTAGCTGTTGACATGGCTCCCGGGCTGAGCCGAGATTCTTAGCCCGGGCCGGCCGAGGAGCCATGTATAGTTAGCTTCCCAGAAATCTGAACGCAGATGGCGATGCTACCAGTCTCTCGGGGAAATATTATAATATGGAATCATGGACTGTGCTAAGGCAAAAATTCACTTTGTACCGTGCAAAAGGCTTCTTCGGGCTGTGGCTTCTCTGACTTTTTTGTGCCCAGTGCAAACGCCAAGAAGTATCCCAACGCCTCAACGAATGGACTAGTATATTTTACAACAATTTCCAACAAGAAAAGAGGATCATTTGTTTTTATCACGGTTAACCGCGCATGATCCTCAAAGATCTAGGATAGGCTCCACCATTTTCAGCTGGATGATCAGTACTTATTTATTTATTCGGTTTCATGTGTATATACGTATGTGTGTGTAGTGTGTGCTGCAACAAATAAACTGCAGGGTCCACAAAGATTAACCGTTTATGTTTCCAAAAAACCCATTATCACTTCCTTAATAGAATGTTGACAAAACATAGTAGGCAAGAGCTCCTTGGGCATTGTCGATAAGCTGACTTAATGCGGTCTAAAAATGGGGGAGGTTTGGGTGCAATTTGCAAAGATAACGGTCGAACTGATTATGGGTTTTAACTAATGTCACATGAGGCTTGGACGTCAAAGAATTGTTTGCGGAAAATGTGTTGCCGTCTTCCGGTGCGTCGGAGAAGAATTCCGGGCGGTGATAACGGCCGGGGAAATTCATATAGATTCGTGGACTTATCAGTACCAAGGAGTTGTCAATGCAAAATTTCTACGTAGATGACTGGTGGAAATCGCAATTCTAACCGTAAAATGGTGCATGCCCATTTACAGTGTCGCGACACCCACCTAACTTTAGCCGAGATCCTAATCAGAGATTGCCACGGCTCCGGAGCCGGCTCTTGGCTCCGGCTCTGGGCGGCTCCGGCTCCAAGCCGGGAGCCAGAGCCGGAAATCTTGGGTGCGGCTCCGGCTCCCGAGCCCAAAGTGGGAGCCAGGCTTCCCAGCGGTCAGAACAGTAAAAATTTCGTGATCTTATTAAACCAAATTGCTTGAAAAACACTGCGGAGGATGTGACTTGACTGCAAAAACGTTGGCTGTATGATCTCTGGCACTAATAACTTTAATTTTTGGAAAAATATTTTTAAAAGAACATTTTGCATAGGAGCCGGGATTCGGAGCCGGAGGCCTTTTTAAATTTTGCACGGAGCCAAGAGCCGGAGCCAGCTGCAAATTTGGCCTCTGCTCCGGCTCTGGGAGTGCCGGAGCCGGAGCCGAAATTTTGACCGTGGCAATCTCTGATCCTATTGTATGACCCAATTTCAATTTATTTACACTAATCAATTGCAAAAAAAAGTCATGGAGTGGACCATAATGGTTTCCATTGTCCGGTCAGGGTAAGATCGCTCCATCTGAGGCCATCATTCTTGCCAGAATCATCGATCCATCTCATACTGAAGCGCCCAAACGGTCGTGTATAGGGGGATGTCGAATTCACGCTGATCACTTTCGTTTCCAACGTTTCCTCCAATTGCTCCAATTTTCCCTCGTTTTGGATTGATCTAACATTGAAACCTGAAACCCATATCTGTCCCAGGAAAGGCCCCTTGGGCCCGCAACGGCATGGGTGGACAGGAAAAATCGACCGCTCTCCAGGAAGAAAAAATCGGAATCCCCTGTATGAATTAGGTATAAAAGCAATTTGATGCAAAAAAACCACAATTTTTGAAAGCTCGCGCAAATGTGTAACACATTTTGTGCACCGTGTAATGTTATTCTAAAATATAAATTTGCAAAAAAATTGTTTTTCTGTCTTCATATTAGTCATTCTTCGATATGGCACGTTTTGCTTACAAATGTTTTGCCATTTTTTCCCGCATGTTTAGCTCCATAAAAAGCGGTCGCAACGAACGGTTATCAGTAACTTGTATGCCCTCGAATGATTCACCGTATTTTCCTAAAAAGAACAGAAATATTTTGCGAGAAATCACGTTCCACGGAGATAAAATGTTCATCGTTTTTTGTACACATAATAATAAAATAGGCAATTGCGTCAGAAAGTTGAGTATATTCAGAAAGATTTGGTATGGATTGCGCTAGTGGCGAGGCGAAGAGATACAACGAACGACAGAGATCCGGCCACGAAGGGAATTATGGCTGTAGCCGTAACCTTAAGCTATCCTATGATTGCTAATAACATAGAATAGCTCTATTCTGCTTTATGTATGACCGCTTTATTAGACCTTATATCTTGAAATGTAAAAAATGACAATTCGGTGACTAACAAAAAAAATTGTATTCATGACCACGCCTGTGGCCGTTATGAAATAAAGCAGTTTCACAGAGTTAAAGCGTATCTCTCACAACAGCGTCCTAAACGCTTATGGTCTCAACTTATTCTGCCGAGTCTGTTGTGAGTGTACTTACACAAGAAATGAAAAAATTGACAATTCGCTGACAACTATTGTAAGTATTACATGTAGCACTTTGCTAGGTTAAAGCGGGAAAAAAATGATTCCTACCTCTTGATCTTACATATTGTACATCTAAATATGTGTATCGGCTGTAGAAACCACAATTCTGTTGGGCACTGACGTTCTCTCTTCATGGCTGCCTGATGAGAAGCACCTCCGTCCAATCATCTTCAAGCCGCCCTTTAGCTACCGCGTATACAAAAGAAAAAGCGTATATTGAGAAATATGCCTTGTTTATCAGACACAAATAAAATTTACAAAATCATTTCCCAATCGATTGTTTTCTACTGCGCATTGAGATCTCCGTAGAAATGGATTCAAAGTCGTTGGGAATGGCACTTTCTCGAGCTGGGTCGATGATCAACAGCATGATAATGGTGAGCAGAAATGAGAGTACTACTAACGCCGTGTTCTTCCAGACTGCAAACAACCGCTTCACTGTGCATTATGAGGATGAAAACAAAGACAGAAGTGACTTTTTATACGATGCAAGGTTTTTCTTAAAAATTCTTTAAGATGCTGTGACTCTGTGGGCTGGGGACATTTTATATGATGGAATGTGTTTTCTTGTTTTTCCAAAAAAATCTTCTATTTGGTTTTTTTGATAGAGAGCAACAAAAAAATCATCAAAACTTACAATACCCAGTGTTATTCATTGGCAATATGTCGCATTTGAATTTCCCCGCATTTGTTAACGCTACAAAAATTGGGTGTTGAATTCCATAAAACAACATGAAAAGATCGGTCAGTTTGAAATATCTGATGCAATTCGATTTCTGCACCTTCTCCATTTTGGCCATATTTACGGCCAACAAATGGCATCCGTACATTCCAAGGAAGAAAAACGGTAGCCAAGCCAGGTCAATGTATTGGGAGTACCTGAAAAACAAAATTCATAGCATAAAAAAGCTTAGCTTTGTTTCTATTCAAGCTTCGTATGTGTATTCTTAAGTAGTGGCTTATTTAAGCTCAAAAAAAATGTTTTTAAACATAGCTTACTTAAAGGCCAATATACCATGTTCGAAGTAGAGTGCAAGAAAGATCATGGTCTCAATGAATCTGACCACGATGGCCAGCAAGGCCAACCGTTCGATTCGTCTGATGTTGCGGCTAAAAAATATATACAAAACATGACATATAGATTATTGAACAACTCCAAAATAATTTCAGAAATTAAGAAATCTCAACTTCTGATTGGCCAGGTAAGTATTTGATTCAAAATAAAGCACTGAAATTTTTCAACTCACGCTGTCATCTCCGCCTCTGGCAAGCACCGCAAACAGCAACAACAAGGCGGAGTGTTCAACTTGAATTTTTGTGAATCCTTCCTCAACTCGTTTGCTACCGCCTCTCTGGTTCCAATTGTAATCCAAAAGATCTGGGTGGCTCCGTAAAAGGCGCCAATAAAGTACCTAAAATCATCATTCATAATTTTTAAATAAAAAATTTAGACTTCGCAGCTGTTAATCACTTACAAGAAACTAAGCATAGACGCGTAGAAATGAAGCCTTGGGACATATAAAGCGACCAAGCACGTAATCGAAACGAACGCCGGGGTACCCGACAGATATCCGATGGAAACTCGGCGAGTAGTGCTCGATACCCTTAGGCAGATCCGGATCATATGGATCAGATAAAGCACCAAATTCGCGAGAGTTATTAGAGTTGAAATTGCAATCACAATTGCGTATTTTGCCGTTATTCCTGAAACATTTTTTACGAATAATTTGAAAATTGACTTGTAGTAGTAAAAGCTACCTTACAGTAAGAAGGACTTACTTGAGAAAAACTCCGAGGCAAATGGGACCGTGGTGTTTAGCTGACAGTTAAATGCGGCCATGTCCGAACAAAAATAACAAAAAATGGAATAGAAAACTGAAGCCGAACCGATTTGTTATTTTGCAATTTCAAAACCCAAAACCGGATTTGCAAAATTAACGCGGTTTGAAAATTGCATAGATATAAGAGTGAGTCAATGCGATGTTGTCATAAAAGAGATCGGACTTCAAGAATGTTATTTTTATACTGCCGATGTTTGACCAAACATAATTTAGAAATCACATTGATATCTTTGGTCAAAAAGTGCGACCCCGACTATGAAATATGCAAAATCAAAACATATAATAGTCTTGCGGCCCAACTAACTTTAATTTTTGGGTATACTTGGCTAAAGTCATCTATGAACCCGTAAGTTATCATAGCCAAGAAAATTATATGGTTTCTTTCATTAATCGCTGAACTTTATTTGCAACAAGATTTCTGATTTTCATACTGTCTATGTAACAAAACAAATCCTCCCTCTTGAACTCTGCTTTTTTAAAATTCTGCCTGCAGAATCAAAAACTCAATTTTTTCTTTGCGCTTTTGATGATCTCAAGAACAAAAGTGATGTCTACTTTGTATCCTATTAACTATCCTCTGTTTGCGGAATTTATAAGAACCTTTCTCAAGAGTTTGCTCAGCAGGGAGGCTAAAAAAATTGTATCTGTTCAAGTTAAAAGATCATCTGTTAACGATGGTAAATTTTTTAGGTAAAAAAAAGCTAAAAGTTCTGCGGAACGAATCTTTTCATAGACTCTAATCCACACAATGCAGAGTAGAAACATATGAGTCAATTTTTTATTGATATTCTTGAAACATAGAACGAAAGGGAATAACGGTGGACCTGATCCAGTGGCGAAAAACGTACCATTTTTGTCGAAGTATCAAAAATGCAGCAAAATACCTCCCTCTCCATTTAAAAAACTTTGTCTTGAAGGGTGTGATTTATAATATAAAACCAATCTCAATTTACTTAATTTTTTTACAATTTACAATCTCATTTTTTACTTCTCCATTGACTTCTCAGTTGGGCTCATTGAAGTTGCAGAAGAAATTGGCTCAAAGTCGACAGTTGTGGAGCTTTCCTTGGCTGGCTTGATGACCCAAAACATGAGAATGGAGATGAAGAAGGAGATAATTACTGTCGACATGTTCTTCCAGACTGAAAAAAATACAGCAGATTTCCAGAAAAAATACAAGAATTACATGATTTTTGAACTTTGTCAAAAAATGCGAGCAGTGACATTTTATACGAAAAATATGTTTTGTCGAGAATTTCGTTCAAAAAGCTCCAAATTTTAAAGCGATGGTGTAGGTAGTCTCGCAGCATGGCAAAAAATTTCTAGACGTCATTTTTATACGATAAATTTTGTCCAATTCCTACCAAAACCGCGAATATTTAGCTTACAGTAACCCGTATCTTTCATTGGCAGAATGTCACAATGGAATTTCCCAGCGCCCGTGACGGCATCAAAGATTGGCTGTTGAAGTCCGTAAAAGAGAAAGAAAAGATCAGTCAATTTGAAGAAGCTGATGCAATTTGACTTTTTCACAATTTTTAGTTTTGCCATGTTTGCAGCCAATAAATGAAATCCGTAGAGGCCGAGGAGGAAAAATGGAATCCAAGACATGTCGATGTATTTTGCCCATCTGAAAACGTTTTGTAAAGCTCTATAGTAAAACAATTTTACAACAAGTATCATAACATCTGCTTCTCTGCTGGATATGTCTCTATACTTTCGTACAGTAATTTCAAATACCGTGATGATTTGGCAATTTTCTCTGATCTTTTCTTTCCGCTCTTAAACGGCTCCAGTGGACCGTCAAAAACGGCACAGATCAAAAAAATTACTCACTCCAAAGCGTGTTCTCCATGCTCAAAGTAGAGCCCAAAAAATATAACTGTTCCAACGACTCTGGCTAGAACACAAAGAAGAACCATTCGCTCCATTCGAATAATATTTCGGCTGAAATAAAATCGTCTTTCTGCGGTACAGAGTAAGAAAGAGACAGGTAAAATACGTCAAAGTTGTCATAAAACAATTAAATTTAGACCTTATCATATCCAATGTAAAGTAAAGTCCCTAAAAACAATGACTATTAAACTTACACAGACATCTCCGTTCCCGGCAGACATAGCATGCAGCAGCAACATGGTGGAGTGTTCATCTTGAATTTTTGGGAATCTTTTTTTAATTGGCATGAGATGTTCTCCCTTGTTGCTACAGTCACCCATATCAGCTGTGTTGAGGCGTAAAATGCTCCGGGAAGATATCTGCAAATTAAGTTGACGATTACAATAAAAATTTAATATGTTTTTTTGGAGTCTATATTAATTTACAACTTACAAACAGCAAAGAAAAGTGGAGAAAAAATGCAGTCTTGGGGCGTATAAAGCAATCAACGTTGCAGTTGAAACAAATGCCGGAGAACCCAACAAATAGCAGAGTAGGAAATGTCGCGCGGGCTCAGTAACTCGCAATGATATTCGAATGATTTGAAAAAGATATACAACCAAGTTTGCGATCGTTAAAACAGTCGAAATTCCAATGACCAACGAATATTTTGGGTCAATCTCTGGAAAAATTCAAATTGAAAATTGTTTTATATCTCATGCATCAAAAAACGTTAGCTCCAACTTACTGGATACAAACTCAGCAGCTCTTGGAACAGTGGAATTCACAGTACAGTCAAAATCGATCATATTGAGTCCAGATAATATAATATTCCAACTTGAGCAACTTTTTTAAGGACAAGCATTCATGTAATAAATATTTTCGGAGTTGCTGCAGATAGCAGATCTATTATAGTATTAGGCAATTATACGTCAAAAACCGAGCACAATTTGGAATAGAAGCACATATAAAAATAAGCGGAAGGGCTAAAATTGTTCCGTGTTTGCGGCCGTTCTCCGAGTTGCACCCTACAAATTTCAACAAACATTTTATTAATGATGTGATTGATTGTTATCAGCTCAAACGGTTAGAGCTCTGCAAAACAATCTAAATGCTTGTGGTATGCATAAGACAGGGGCTCTTAAAAAGGCAGGATCGTCTAAATCAAGTCAAAAAGTTTGGCCAAGGTTCCAAGCTTTCAACAGGCGGGTACATCCCTTTTTAAAATAATGATATATACTCCCGGACATAAATTTCTGACCACCCATATCTCAAGTAAATATAACGCAATAACTTTGAAACTTGGCATGCATACTAGTTATGACATGCAGAATCTGCCACGTAAAAATGTTTTTCATATCTCTGTTCTTAGACGAGTTATGCAGATTTTCCAAAAATATAGATTATACAAAAACAAAAAAAATTATATACAGTAGAAATTTTAAAAAATGACACAAGTTGACCCTTGGAGACTCTGAAATTGCCCGTTATGAAGAGTAATGTTTGTTGTACGGAGAGCCCACGGTCCACACTCACACAGACCGCCCAAAGTTTGCTCTCCAACATCGGCTCGACACACGTGGAATTCATGTGCGAAAAAACTTGATTCTGAGTGAAAAGTCTTGTTGAGAAAGTGCAGGAGCGGCCGAACGCTTATTTCTCAGATTATTAGACCTTACCAAACAGTGGCCTTAGATTCTACATATAAAATAAACGTATTTATATAAGCTTGAACAGAATATCCAAGCCCATTTAAAGCGAAAATTTGAAATCTTTTTGATTTTGCTCGGGTAGTTCAACAGTATTCAAACTCTAGATTAAAACAAAGGTTCGACAATATGAGCAATGATATCCTATACTGAAAAGGTTAATCATGTTGCAAAAAAGAGCATTACAACAAAATTATAGCAAACTTTCACAAAAACAAAGGAATACAATGAAAACAAGCGGACGTGCTCTGGGTGCGGCAACTTTCCCCGACTGTTATGAGGAACAGAAGATAAACCACAGGGCATAAGATGATGAATCATAAAAAGGGAGCAGCTCATTTTTACTCTTTTCTAGATTTTGTGTTTTCTCTGTTGTACTAACCAAAATAAAAGGCTTAATTAGTTTGCACAGTGCGGTTTTTACGCGTCTTGTGTCGCATTCTGAAAAGATGATTCTTCGCTGCGAAAAATGGGAATCGCGCGCAAAAATAATCAAGCATCCGCCGTGCAACGCACGTCAAACTGAGGAGTCCGGTGACCGGAATAGACTTTTCGCTGTCGGTTTTGAAGTGGTCGACAAAGGTAACGTGTACAAGAAGCCATGTGCTCTTAATGTTTAGACCAATACAACCTAACTACAACTGAATTTTTCGAAGCATAACGCTCAGTACAACAATTTTTTTTTATTTTTTTAGTTGCAAACTTCGCAGTTAGCAACTAAAACTGTCAGTTTTGGACTCTGAAAAACTACCGTTTGGATGAAAGCTGTTGCCAGCTCTGTTGAATACCGTAACAACCGAAGCTAGCAAATCATTTCATGGCCCCTTCCTCGAGCATAGAAAGTCGACTATTGTACATACAAAACAGATACTCTTCTTATCTCCATTTTGTTTGCCAGCCGTCTTTAGAGGACTGCGATTAGTTTAAAAAAGCTCTCTTTTTCAATACTTCAATAATATGATTTATGCCATAAGACATTAAGCAGATGATAAAACACATAGGCTAGATTAAAACAACCCTTTCTGTTCGTTTATCTGAGCGGGTCCTCTCTTTCTGGAGCAAGATAAAAATTTATTTTCTTCAAAAGTTCTGTACAGAGATGTAGTTTCGTGTGGGGGTTGTATTTGCATAGCAATAAACCTTTGTTCGAGCTATTTTTGCGAGAGTATCATAGGATTTCGACAAGTAGACAATGTATTTTTTTAGAATGGAACTATTTAAAGTTATATTTGAGTTGTCATGGGGATATCTACGATCTGGATGAGTGGCTGATTTCATATAAGAGCCAGAGGATGAAGAAGAGAAGGGTCATCGCGCCGGACTGATGAACCGCAGCGATCCAACCTGGTGCACCGAGGAGCTGAAATCGGGAGTTATGGCATATTACAGGGAGAAATCGTATATTACAGGGAAATGGTCTTCCTCGAAATAAAAATGACTATGATTGATGACTATTAAAAACAGTGGAAAACATTACCAAATTTGCGATTCCGATGACAATTTGCAACACTCCGAAAAGAAGCATGGCGTTCACGGCGACTCTGGCTCGTTTGTGCAAGCTGAGTTTTCGCGCATTCACCCAAGTTGCGATCACTAATCCGAATGTAATATAGGCCTGAAATAAAGCGAAAAAAAATTGCGTTTCTTTTAAATTTTTTCTTTTTCAAAAATTGGAAAAAAAATAGACACAAATTTAAGACCCATCACTTACGAAAGTTCGATGCCAAAATTGAACTGTTCCGGGATTTTCAAAGAAATTCTTGATAAACGGAGACTGTGCATACATATTCGCGGGGAACACCCTTCCATCGAATAACGGCCAAGTGTTGTAGATGGCCCCAGCGTTTAGTCCGGCCACAAACGCGCCATAAGACACAGTAATCAAAATAAAGGCAATCGTGGTCGCAATCAAACCTCTGTAGCATTTAATGTGCTGGGCGGCTTCGACGTACTGAAAAATTAAAAATTTTTACCAACTATTGAAAAAAAATCTTTCAGCCTTTTAAGACTTTTAAGGCTGGAATTATTTAAAAATACTCAAAAAATCTCGATTTTTAATCTGTTTTTTAACTTACATATACCGGTTTGAAAATATGCGCAAAAGCCGGCCAGAGCAGCCCTATGTACAGGAAAAAGCCGAGAATCAAATGCAAGAACAGTCGATACGGGCAGATCAGGTTTTCGGCCGATTTTCCATCTTCATTCGTAAGGCCTGACTTGACCACAAACCATCCAACAATCGCCTCCAACACCAATAAAACCCCACAAAACACCATGAAGAACTTGGTCCTACGGTTCAGATGTCCTTTGTACCAAAAAATGCCGCAGGGAATGAAGAAGGCCAACGCCAGGAGATGGCTGAGAGCTCGATGAAAATAGGCCATCATCCACATGGACTTGAAGCGGTGGATCGGCAGAGCCGCCGTCGTCAAACCGGAATGCTTCCTAGAATGAGACTTATATTATGTTAAGATTTATATTCTATCATGTTGTGCATAATGGCATTACTCGTCAAAAAACTCTTACATTTTATACTCCGGGAACTTCTTATAGTGCTCAAATTCCAACTCCCATTGTTTGTCTGTCAATGGTGGGATCAGAGTGTCCAACACATCCCAACGAGCAATGCTCAACCCACTGCCGGACAATCGAGTGGTCCCGCCAATCGAGAGGCACCAGACAAGGATAGTGCCACAAATAAGAAGCCAGATCCCAACGCCTCGATGACGTTCGTCATCGTCGTGCTTGCGGTCGTTGATGAAACTGTGCTTCTCGAGGTTGTCGCTGAAAATTGGGATAGTGTAAAATACGGTTTTAAGACCTTATATGACAGAATCTTATTTCAAAAATGGAAGTATAAAAAATACTTTGTGAAACAAATCGCAAGGTAAAAATTTATTTGTTATCAAAAGGTTTTTTAGTGCGGCAGGGTACAGTATGCTTACGCGGGCAACTTCTTAACAAGCAACTAGAAGAATTCAGAGATTCTGCGGGGCATGTTGGGAAATCAGCCAACATTTTCTTACAACAGGAAATTCAAACGCTGGGTTTGGTAGTCAGATCTTGCAAATGAAGTTTCCAGATGTATAAGTGGCTCCAATAGTCATCATAAGGTGAACCAGGAACTTTTAGAGGTTCAGAAACCATTTTTTGAAAACAATTTCCCATAACTTTGAAAACGGTGGATGAACTGAATAGATTACTAAACTTATCAGTACCAAGTTGTCAATGCAAAATTTCTGTCATATTAGGGTGAACCAAAAAAAATTTCCGATTTTTATATATCTTTTTGTCCAATTACTACGTGGATTACTGTAGGAAACTCGTACTTCTATTCGGTAAATGTCGGCTGCCCTCAAAGCGGTTACCTACAAGTGTCGCTACGCCATGTAAATCCGACCCCGAGCAACTTAACGTACTTTCCTCGCCGAAAAGTCCAGGTCTAGCGTTGGAGTCGCCTCTAAAGCGAGCTTGCTTCTTTGCGCTAGCCTATTATGACCAAAAAGCAGCAAATCCGCCAGCGAATAAAGCCTTCATCAACAACCACCTCTACTCCACTCCCAAACCCAGAAATCCCCTTCAACTCACTCTTTTCGGCCCCATTTGGCCTTGGTATAGAACAGCGAAGTCTTAGCGCTCATCGTTTCAACGTTTCGAATAACAATACTGAGCAAACCGAGTGCCGTAACAATTCTTTCACGAAAACGAAAACATTTCAAACATCAAAAGGGGGCGTGGCCCCGCGGCCTCGCTCGTTTTTTTGTTTATTTCCTCTTGTTTTCGAAACACCGTACTTGTTTATCACGGCTGTTTCACAACCCGAATGTTATTTCTGGGAGAGAGAATTTGAAAAGGCATTCGGGAAAACATTATTTATGGGAACAGAGATTAGAGTTTGGGAATTTAGGGGGATATTTCGGGATAAACAGGCCAGAAACACGAGGACAATTTGCATGGCCAAGAAGGAAAGACCTGAAAGACGAAATTTTAGAGTGGTTTTTGGTCGAGTTTTTGGAGAAATTCATGCAAAAAGAGAAAGCATAAAATCGATTTTTTATTCAACTCGGGCAGCCGAGATTTATCAATTAGAATTACGAGTTTTCTACTGTCATCCAGGTAGTATGATAGAAATTTTGCATTGGCAACTTCCTGGTGCAGATAAGTACACGAGTCTATTGAATTCATCCACTGTCAAAGTAATGGGAGTTTGTTTCCAAAAAAATGATTTCTGAATCTTCAAAAATGTCTTTAACTTTCAGGTTAACTTTCAGGTAACTATTCAAGCCACTTATACACCTGGAAACTTAATTCGTAACATCAAACTGCAAATCCATCGTTAGAATTTCATGTTCTAAGCAAATGTTGACTGATTTCCAAACATGCAGGCATAATCTTCGTGATTATTTTAGCTGTCCGCAAGTGTGGGCCTGCCTTAGGAATAAACCCTGTCAACATAGCCTGTAGCCAAGAGTTTGTAAATACGCTGTACTACCGAAAAGTGCACAAAGATTACCCTCGGATTTATTTTTGATGTTATATGGAACACTTCCCGATTTTTTTCATAAAGTCACAAAAATTATGAATGCAAATCTCATCGTCAATGTTTAATTGTTCATCATCGAATTCCGCAATTCCTGATCAACGATTTGCATGGTAAACAGTGAGATTGAAGAGGTCAAAATTAGAAATTAAAAAAAAGCAATAAACACTTTACCTTTCCATAACAAACATGACGTCTTAAATTTTGGTTATACTATTCTGTTTAATTTATTATTTTCTATCAAAAAAGAGCTCTAAGTAATAAAAAAAATCTTTCACGATCAGAACTTGTGTTGTGTTATTGTTTGTTCGGAGAGGTAAACAAAGGTACAAAGATAATTGCACTTGGTTGCACGACTGTCAAGAACATCTTGCAGACTTGATTAATCGCTTTGCTGATAAACAAAGAACCGAAGGGAGTAAAGAATATGACTTGTACCTTGCGGTGCTGTAATAGCTAATTTTAGACAGTTTTTTTTTTTGGTCTCAAATTGCATTGAAAAAATATCATAATGCCTTTATGACAGTATAGCGACACTGCGGAAACTTGTCCAAAAAAATGACGGTAGTAAAAACATTTTTGCCCATTCTTGTGCTAGCTTTAGCTAATGATTACTATGTTACCGAGGCTTTTACCACAATATCGATGGCGATAAAAATTAGCGACAATCTTTATCGTTATCGCTGGAGTCCCAGCCCCTCGTATGGGGCTTAATGCTAAAACCTGATTTTTTGCCTGTTTTCGAAGTCACGAAAGTTTTAAAAAATCGTTTATTGAGCCTAGTTGTATTCTACATTAATAGCCGTAAGTATTAACTGCAGTTGAATATATCAAAAAGAGCCACAGAATCTTCAAATTCTCAGAAAATTGCCGTAGGGCAACCTTCTTTGCCGTATGCAGTAACAGTGACATTAAAATAATGTCTATGAGCATACATCAGATCACTATCCAATATCTGATACGCAGCACATTTGGGGTCGAATTCGCCGGAGCATTCGACATAGCTGCTGCCTGGGGTCATGTCGTTGTTATACCAAATCCAATTCTTTTCGTGAAGATATCCGAAAATGATCGGATAAGTGTTGGTAATGGTGTCGTGAGCATGAACAACGCGGTAGTGTCCAGGGACGTATTTATTGTGGAGATCGGCGTAGTTTTTGTGACCGACGCGGGGCTTGCTGAAAATATGTTGTGTGTTTGAATCTCGGCGGTCCGAATGAACCATTTTCCTATTGATGTAAATACTTTTTTGTAACTATGTTTGGAGTTTTGGTCGTTTCTTGACAACCCACTGAAATTAGTCCTTAAAAAGGGCGTCTTTAGTCATCATTTTCAAATTTATGTGTTATACAGAGAAGCCTCTCTAGAACAGACTTCCGTAACCACAAGTCAGTTTTAGACCAAAAAAAGCTCAGAAAAGTCAAAATGCTTATAAAAAAATATTTGAACTTCGTTCTACAGAATTTTGACTAAGGCTCCCAACTCACGCAAAGGTGTAATGCTCGGAGTTACTCTCGTTCCAAGTTCCATCCAAACTCAACGCCAACGAGCCCAGCGAGGCAAGCGCTGCTCCAAGCGAATGCCCGGTGACCCAAAGTTTATAACTGGGGTAATCCTTCCTCAATTTCTCAATTTGCGCTGGTATTCCGGAGGCCCAAAGGTCCCCAAACGCGATGTCAAAGTACTTGTTGACTTTTGTATCCGTATCTTGGAAGTTTTTCGGCAAGGCGAGTCCGGCCAGTACTTCCAATTCCAACTGGTTGTGGCCAACTGTGCCTCTGGAAAATGCAAAGAAAGTAGTTTTAATAAATTGTAAAATACGGAGATCTATTTATATGTTCTTTAGCCACAAAAGCTATAGAAGAAAATTACCTGAAAACCAATGCAATTGCCTGTTCATCATGGATCAAGGCAATGTAAGCAGCACAAGTGTTATTGTCCGTGGAGTCGCAATCAACCTCATAGCGTTCAACAAGCTGAAAATTCAGGAAAAATTGATTGCATACAGTCAAAAGCCCTTTTTTTCCTTTGATTTTTGAATATTTTTTTTTCAAGTTTAATATCAAAGTCATGTGAGTTATGTAAGCCATGAATACGCCTTCAAAAACTTACCGCGGCATTTCCAAATCGATTACTCAGACACTCATTCGGATCCTCGTTGTACGCCGAGGCCGACAAGGTCAGCAAAACCTTGGCCAAAGTTTCGTTATATTCGGCGGTTACTGTCGCTGTAACCAAGAGTAATGACAACACGAGGCCTTTGACCATCATTTTTAAGCACATGAAACTTGAACCGAGGCTTCGAGAAAGCTTGAGGTAACATCGAATGTTGAACGCTTTATATATGCTTCCTGATTTTTATTAATGTTGTAAATCCACTAATTCTCGGCTTTTTTTCATCGCGCTTTGACCGTTCAACGGGACCACAAACCCCTTGTATATTTGCATAAGTTTTACATTTTGCGTGCAGATAAAAAATGTTTGAATAAATCGAGAAAGGATTGAACCCAAAAATTGCGGAAATTTATTTTTGGAAGTTTGTGTTCACACAACAACGTTTGATTGCTGGTCAAACAACACTTGTTTGATGACAAGGTGAGTGCGGCTGTTCTTGGAAGGGATGGAAAAAGGTGTGGAAGGTACTGTAGTTTGGGAAATGAAATTATTTTTTCAGCTAAAAAGTATAGGGCATTGGCGCGTTTCAAACTGCCGTATTTATTGCCTACTTCTGTCCATCTACATATAATACATGCATAAAGTTGCAGAACAACTCTCTTACACACGTTATGATAAGACCTTGTATTTTCAGAATATAGCCATAGGACATCCGGCGATACCGTAATCACTAACTTGCACATTGAAGTAATGTCTATGAGCATCCCATAGATCACTGTCCAAAAGTTGGTACCCGGCACAGCGGAGGTCGAATTCGTCAATGCAAGCAATGTAAGTGCTACCGGGACTCATGTCATTGTCATACCAAATCCAATGCTGTTCATGGAGATACCCGAAGATCTGGGGGTAGATATTGCTGATAGTATCGTGAGCATGGACAACGCGGTAATGTTGAGGAACGACGTTTGTATGGAGAGCAGCGTAGAGTGGATTTCCAATGCGGGGTTTTCTGTAAGAAGGCAAGGAAAGGAACACAAGATGCAAGGCAAATTCTTTTTTTTTAAATGTGCCCACATTGGAGCCTTGAATATATAGATTTTGTCATTCACTTTCGATCGGAAAAAATTGCATTTGCCTAAAAATTTGGGAGTTCTAAAGAAGAAACCTTCTCTCCTGGCTTAAACATTGGGCCTTTCCCTATTCGGAACTTTTAGACCATCTCACCCAAAAGTGTAGCTCTCCAGGTTACTCTCACTCCAAGTTCCATTCAAACTAAAAGCCAACGCTCCCAGAGACGCTAGCCCAGCTCCGAGGGAATGCCCAGTGATCCACAATCTATATCCTGGATATTGTGCGTGCAGCTGCGCGACCTGGTCGACAATCCCGGACTTTATAAGAATCTGAAACGCATGATCGTAGTACTGGTTGACAGTCGTCAATGGGTTTTGAAATTCAACTTGAACAGTCACCGCTGCAATTGCTTGCAGGACAAGCTGGCTATCGCCAACGGAGCCTCTGAAATTGAAGTGTTGTAAGGTTTTGAAAGCAACAAGCTGTGTGATGGACAGATCGTCCTCCATTGAACGTAAAACCCGGGTGAAAAATAGATCATACCTGAACACAAGGGCGATTGCTTCTCCGGCATGAACAACAGCAATGTAAGCAACACAAGTGTTGTTGTTTGAGACGTCGCAGAGAACTTCATGACGGTCGATTAACTAAAGTATCAATGGTAACTTATTTTTCGAGTCTGTGAATTTTTGACCTCTTAAATTTTCTTCTATCATCTATAGATATTGAACGCAGCGCCGTTGACTTCAAACGTCAACTTACGCCTTGTCAACTTACCTCCGCATTTCCGAAGCGGTTCCGCAGACACTGCGAAGGATCGTCTCCGTAAGCAGCTGCAGCAAGCGTTAACATGACCCTCGCCAAGGTCTCATTATAATCTGCAGCGTTTGCAATAGTGAACAAGGCAAACATTAGAATAGTTTCCTTCATTTTCTTTTGTGTACAAACTATTGATAGATCCTGATGAAATTTCCGAAACATTGCCAAGTATAAATACTTTTACAAGCCTGAATTATAGCTGCAAATCTGTGTTTACTGTGTTTTCAAACAGGTGGTAAAGTTTGATATCTTTGTTGGCCTCTGCCCTACTACCGAGCATGGTGACCGCAGGTTTTTAAAAAAATTGAAAGGTTTGGTTACTGCACTTGAAAGTGTATTTTGTGAAGCTTAATCGCTTAACCGTGTGATCCGAAGCCATGGGTTTTGAGTTTTCAATTGTGTCAGCCAGCATCACAGGCAAGACTTCATAGGATAAAATTCTGGCGATATTGTGCCTGTAAACGGCTCCAGGGCCCAACAGAAAATAAGGAGGATACGGCGAATGATAACACGGAATTTCAAGCCATTCTGAGCTATTGGGTAGCAAATAAATTCTTCAAAATTTTAGCTTGTCCATTCTATGGGAAGCGAGCTATTCACCAACATTTGTCAAGGAGAGAGCACGCAAAATGCGGAGCACATACAATATAATTATGCCCCAGGCGATACCAGGCTCAGAATCAAGACTTCACTTTAAATTCTGAAAATATTGTTTTTTTTAGTAATGTTGCCCCGCGGGGCAACATTACTAAAAAAAACTTACTAACCTTCAGCTGTTTTATGGCGGTACCAGCCAAGGACGAAAGCGAAATTTCGAGAACACAGCACCGACCTGCACGTCAAGAAATTGCGGGCATTGCAAAGGTTCTCACAGCGAAAAAAAATTCATAAAATCTGTCATCCAAATTGCACATAACAGCAATGTTTAACCTAATTTTTTTTATGGGAACTCTAGAGACTACTACTACTCGTATACAACTGTTTTTTGTACCGCTGGTACATTCTAAATGGGTGTCATCGTGACGCATTTTCTGGACATGGTTCGAGCTAGGCTAAAAATAGTGCAAATTTCAAGGCCGAATATCAAAAAAACTGTCCCATCAAGCGGGACGAGACCGGTGTAGATACTCGAAGAACAGTTTAAGGATTTTTTTGACGTGGAGCCTATACCCCCTTCCAGTTCTCTCTGACTCGGTATCGTCGATACAGACTTTTATTTAGACGTTGCACGTCAAACTGAGATAAGCTAAAACAGTCCGGCGAATGGATTGGCAATTTGCCAAAAAAAGACGCGAAAAAACGTTTTGTCGGGGAAGAAATGGGGAATTTTTGGGGCGAGAGAGTACGCTTTTGCGTGTCTTTTTTTCTCTCTTTCTCTGCGAAATAGACGAAATGTAGAAAACCGATAGCGAAGGGTCTATTCCGGTCACCGGACTCCTCAGTTTGACGTGCGTTGTATTCTTCGCCATGGAAAACTGTCAAAATACTATGATTATGGGTATATTTTGGTTCTATTAGCTTAAGCAGCCCTCGAGCTTTCTATTGGTATCAAAATCTTGTGATTTACTATTAATCTTTACGTCAAAATATTGCAAACCATTTGGACAAAAACGGATTTTCACAGGGCAGAATGCCAAAAAAAATTCTAGGCTTTTTCATTGGGCGCCCGTTTTTCTTTTATTTTTTCTTGACGTGCCCCGTACGATGGAAATGTGCAGGGTTGTTCAGCCAAAGATTCCCTCCTTATTTCAAGATTTCTACGCCAATAATGAACCAATTTCTATTAGCCATTGACGCCGAAATCAGTAAAAAACGGAAATGGTAGACAGATTTTCCCAATCTTTGACCTAAAACCCTCTGTTGTTTCTAATTTTTCCTGCAACGCGTTGAACCTTCTCACTTTGAAAGCTTCTCTTGTAAGCCCAGCTCCTTTTCCCGATGTGTCTACAGTATACATAGTACAATATATCCCGTATCAGCTTGGCCTTTTTATAGCCCTAATTTTTGTTCCTGCAAATATTAGATGAGACTACATTTCCTCCACAGGTCTCCATAACAGCACTTTTTGAGTTCAATGAATTTTTCATTGCATTTCCTTTTTTGAGCTGCTTTTTTACAATTTAAAAAGACAAAAATGAGGCTAATCCTTGCTCTACGGTTATGAAACCTTTCGAAAGTAGACAGAGACATGTTTCGTAGCAGTAATCTCATGAGTAACTAGCAACTATTTACTAGGGCTAAAATATCATCTAAATTCCAGAAAATAATGATATGTTACGGCTCTCCAGACGCTTCGTTGTAAGATTCGCTGTGGGACTCGTAATTTCATTGCTTGTTTTTTACAAAGTTTACCCGATAAGTTATAACAGTGATATTAAAGAGAGTTTTTACAATTTTGATCACCCCAAATTTTGCGTATTTTATGGCTATAAAAGAGCGGAAGATTTGAGGTTTGAAGAGAGTAGGGGCAATATTACCTTGGCTATTCATTCTACTGTGCATTACATGCATCTATTGCCTAGTCAGGTGAGTTTTAGGCAGATTCAAGCGTTATAGAATTCATATTTTTAAGTGTATTTATCGCTCAACGTTGATCTCAAAAATGTGATAGATTGTAACGTGTAGTGGTGTATAACTGGTACAACTTCTTTTAACATAAAGTCTTATTCGAGCTCATTATTTTAAGAGACGTTGGCTAATTAGGCTTGAAAAACCACGGAGCCTTCAAGAAGCCAAGAATCAACGTATCTATCAGCAAAACTACCGCATTTTTTGAAATTTTGCTTAAATTAGGGTACCTATTGATTCTTGAAACTTTTCTGTCACGTTTTGCAGGTGAAATCGAGATATAAATCTTTGTAGATGGGAGGGATGGTGAAATCCGGACAGTGAAAAATGGATTTTTGCCATTCTTTTCCCATTTTTCTTCTATCAATGTTATCTTCGCTAGTAGAAGACTAAATTTAGCTGAAGATTTGCATGTCAAAACTTGTTATCTTTACCCACTTTCGGACTAATAATTTAGGTTTTTTTTGCAAAGTCCTAGCTACAGATCTGGCATATCCCTTAAGAAAATTTAATTAAAGTTTGTGCCAGCATTTACCACACTATGAGTCCAGCACATTAATCGTGTTTCTGTGATTTTTTTGCTTCTTTTTTGCACTTCTCAAACGGTATAATGAATTCATATCCCCATAGTTTCAGCTTCCCTTTTCATGCTTTATTTCCAAAATTTTTTTTCCTAGGTGCAAACATTCGACGGTTTCATTAGCTATGCAGTGTTTGTGGACCGTGGAACGTTCTCAGCTCTTCGGAATTTGAGTTTATATTGGACGTGTACAAGTGCTCGAAAGAGATTGTCAATTCAAGTGGTGTGGGAGAAAAGCCCATTCGATGATCGGTGTGTTACGCCCAAAGAATTTGAAATCTTGGAAGGAGAATGCAACAATTATACGGCCAAAAAAGGTGAGAAATCTAAGGTCATTTCTGACGCCCTTATATGGGTGATGGTAATTACCAAAGATTGCCACGGCTCCGGAGCCGGAGCCGCTCAGAGCCGGAGCCGGAAATTTTGGGTGCGGCTCCGGCTCCCGAGCCCAATTTCGGAGGACTTCTCAGCGTTCAGAAAAGTAAAAATTTCATGATCTTGTTAAACCAAATTGCTTGAAAAATACTGGGAAAGATGTGTCACATACGACTTGGCTGCAAAAACGTTGGGTGTATGATCTCTGGGACTAATAACTTTTATTTTTGAAAAGTATTTTTAAAAAATTTTTTGCAAGGGAGCCGGGATTCGGAGCTGGAAATTTGGTCTCGGCTCCGGCTCAGGGAGCAAAGAGCCGGAGCCGGAGCCGAAATTTTGACCGTGGCAATCTCTGGTAATTACTAGTCCTTTCGTAAAATCGCTGGAGTGATTTTTGCTTCATGCACTGTGCGAAAACAAAGGCTAACTTTGCGCTGTGCAATTTCTTGCTTTGTGCAAAGTGCAATAGGATTTTTTGGCTGTGGCTCGCACCCGACTTTTTTCGCAAAGTGTAAAGGTCAAGAATCACTCCAGCGGCGTTACGAACGGTCCAGTATAAGCATGGATTTTTTCCAGGGGCTTAAATTCACTTTGCGCATATTGTATGGTAGCATAAGCAAGAGAAATGCTAGAGGCAATTCAGGTTTTCTACTTTTTTTTTTGCTTTTTTTGGGTGCCAATTTCCATAGACTTTTTCTCGTGCGTAGCCGCGCAGTGAAGACCTTCGACGTTCCTTTGCTTTAAAAAAGTTTAAGCCCAAGGGTTATTGTGCATTTTAAATATCTCTTCAGCGCTTCCTCGATGGTCATCACCGGTCATTCTCTACCCAATAAATGCCCTTCGGAATGCAGCAAGACGCGGCGCCGAGACGAAACTTCATATAGTCGCTGATGTTGAAAACATTTTCACTCCAAATTTCACGCAAATGGTAAAAAATGAAACCGACAAGATGTTAAATTCTACCGAGAGATACGTTCTGATTTACCGGTGAGATACTGCAATTATTTTTTTAATTTTATCTTTAGGAGATTCGAAATATCAGCAAAATCAGCTCGGCCGAAAAATACGGGAGAGTTGAGGAGTTTGCTGAGGGCATATAAGTAAGTTTTTTCAAGGTAATATTCAGTGTTACTATGCTTCTCTTAGAGCCCAAACATTCCACGCAAAAGTCTTTCCTCGAGGCCATACCATCCCGAGGCTTCGCGAGTGGATGGAGTATTCGATAAACAATAATTCGGTGGTCAGCTGGCCCGTGAATTATACGTAAGTCACAGTAGACTGTTGCAAGGCCGGCTATCCAACTTTCTCGCTATTTTTTAAACTATATGTATACGATTTGTAATACCTGTGTGCCAATGGCGATGTTCAGATCCTTTTTAATTTATGCTTGCAAAAAGGCCTCATCCAAAAATTTCAAAAATTTTTAGCTTGTGCTTTTCAGCACTCCCTTTATTAATAGTGATTGACTGGAAAGTACACTGATCTTTTCAAAATTTTTTGGCTTTAAAATACAGTATTTTTTAAATATTTTTTCAGACGGAAATCCTGGGAGCCTCAGTTTATAATGCCGGCTGATGCCCCATATCACTTTGACCGGATGCCCACTAGGATTTATGATCATCAAGTCTTGGTAAGTTTCAATTTTGTGACTCTTGACGAAGAAATCTAACTTGAGAGATCTTCATCGCCTAAACCTTCATTTTTTAGGTTCAAGAGCTGTGTCGAGCCGGTTACAAGTTTCGCCTTCTTACCCATGTCTTCAACACTCATTCCGGGATGAAAACATCGATGTCAAACCTTGAGCTGGCTGTGAAATCGTCCGGCAAATTTCGGGTCCGAGAAGCTGAACGTGAATTCAATAAGTATTTGGATGAAAAGTATCCAACTTCCAAGAACTCATGTCCAAAAGGGTATTAGTCTTCGGCAAAATATTATGTATGTATGTATTACGTAATATTTTGCTGTCAAAAATTGAATTTTCTATATGTGTTTATAAAGATATTACATACAAAATTTTTATATCATAACGTACTGGATATTCCTGGATTAAAAAGATTTTTTTCCTTGAGTTTTTCTCAATTGAGGTTTATTTTTCTCGGGGCACAAATAACATCTGGACCGAAAATGAGACAGACATAAACAGAGACTTGTTTTATTGGCTAACGCAATTTGCAATTTACTGAAAAAATGCGAATACCTGCTAGAAAAGACTGACTAAATTCAGAGAACAATTTGAAATATGTTAATAATAGGTAACGTACGCCAGCGTTGCAGAGAACAGGTTTTTTTAATTGAATAACTATCGATTTTTCACTTCCAGAATAAAAGAAAATTTTTTGTCAAATATACGGCGTAAACATGGCTACGGACAGTAGTTCATTTTTAAATATATATCATGAAGTTGGCACTGCTTGCAGTACCTCTTAGCTGATAAAACCGCGTCCCGACATTTCGGGTCAGGGACAACTCGGGTCAACGACACCTCGGGTCAACGACATTTCGGGTCAACGATGCCGTTTAATATTTTCGCTTCGGGACTGGAAAAAAAGAATTTTTTGGTGAATTTGAAAAATTTTTGAAATGTTTTCGCTTCGGGACATGGAAAAAGGAATTTTTTGGTGAATTTGAAAAATTTTTGAAATGTTTCCGCTTCGGGACTGGGAAAAAAAGAATTTTCTAGCAAACTTGAAAAATTTTTGAAATATTTTCGTTTCGGGACTTGGAAAAAAGAATTTTTTGGCAAACTTGAAAATTTTTTGAAATGTTAAAAAAAATCGTTATGTGCATACAATCATTACGACTATCTTCTTACTAAAAAAAATTTTGTTCAAATTCTTCAAAAAATTCTTTTTTCCAAGTCTCGAAGCGAAAACATTTCAAAAATTTGTTCAAACTCTTCAAAAAATTCCTTTTTCCATATCCCGAAGCGAAAACATTTAAAAATTTTGTTCAGATTCTATAAAAAATTCTTTTTTCCAAGTCCCGAAGCGGAAACATTTCAAAAATTTTTCAAATTCACCAAAAAAATCTTTTTCCCACGTCCCGAAGCGAAAACATTTCAAAAATTTGTTCAAACTCTTCAAAAAATTCCTTTTTCCATGTCCCGAAGCGAAAACATTTCAAAAATTTTTCAAATTCACCAAAAAATTCTTTTTTCCCAGTCCCGAAGCGAAAATATTAAACGGCATCGTTGACCCGAGGTGCCGTTGACCCGAAGTGTCGTTGACCCGAGTTGTCGCGACCCGAGTTGTCCCTGACCCGAAATGTCGTAGCGCCGATAAAACTACAAATTCTTCCTGCAGTTTTATTGATTTTCCTGTGCGTATTTGAGTTCACCATTGCGCCCGATAGTTCGGCAAATAAACATACAATAGAAATAAAGCTGAAGCTTTCCAAGTAGAAAAAAGTTTTGGATTTCGCCACCTTTGCATTTAAACCTACAAATTTTTTTATCTTCCTTACAGATTTTACACTGGTCATCAAATTTCTGGGCTACAAAGAAGCAGAACTCAAACAATGTGCATAGTAGTGTTGGCGGGGTTCCGAGGAGGCGGTTGCAAACCCTTTTTGGCTCGGAAAAGTTTTGAAGAAACCCGAAAAACTTTTCCATTTGCTGCCATGCTACATAATACAGTGAGGGACCGGATCCAATGGCAAAAAACGTCTCCTTTTGCATCGCGGAAGGGACCAAAATGTCTCCAAACCATTCTAGGCTAAGAAACTCCGCTTTGAAAAGCGCGCCCTTTCCTTCAATGAGACGTTTTTTGCCATTAGATCCGGTCCCTCACTGTAATTTCGGCGTGCAGAAATTTAAGCAGTTTCAAGCTGCAATAAATGAACTTTTGTTTGGACGACAACGATTTTTGAAAAGAGCCAGATCTGGCTACTCTTTGAGTGACTATACTGCTTTCTATCTTACAAGCATATCATCCGTCTTGAACAACTTTTTTGTAGTGCTAAAAGAGTTCAGAGATTTGCTTTTTGTTTATAAAAGTCGTACCTTATGCCACGTTTGATAATTTCCTTGGCTGACATTTTTTGTATGTACAATAACATTTACACATATTACGGTGGTTCTATTGAGACTCATCTTTATTTTGCAGTAAAATTAACTTCCCCTGATTTCTAACGGCTCTGATTTGTTTGTCTCATCTGACCAGTGTCTCTTCAAAAAAAGAGGGCCCAGTTGAAAAATTATATAGTGTCTTCCTTGTAAGAAGAAGTAATAAAAATATTTTCCGTCAACATTGTCTAATTCCCACTCCTATCCCCATAATTTTTCCTGTTTTGCGTCGTACCGAAAACGTAACCGTCGGTAACTCTAGGTAGCATGAAGTAAACAAAATCCCGCAGAGCTCTTAGTCTTATACCGTAGGCGGTTACACTGGGCCTAACGTTGTTATTACAATAATTTTTTTTCGGAAAAGGCCAATTCTGAATCATGTGTTCTATGTAATGTACCCCCACAGTGTTTTCGAGGTGTAAATATTTTACAAACCTTATGATATCAATGCTTTACTTTGACAGGAAAAATCTACATGAAAATATTAACAAGGAAAGTACTTCTATGGGGTATGGAGTTACAGGTCGACTTTTTTTTGTTGGAACTACTAATTAAGGTGTAGTATTAATCAAATTTGATATTTTAAGGCTTGTCAAGATGCCAGGGTTCACTTTAGCTCAAAACAAAGCTTTTGAATTGGTAAAAACTTTGTCAAAAAAGGCATTTGCCAGAAAAGTTCTGAAGATTTTTTCGCCCTTACAAACGAAAATCAGCCAGCTAACTTTTACATATTCTGAATCAGAAAAAACTTTTTTGAAATATGACTCTACTTGTAACTCCATCCCCATAGAAGTACTTTCCTTGTAAGTGCAGCAATCGATGTTTCTACGAAAATATGGCTTGCTGCAATAAATGTTTCTGATCTTTGCTCACTTTGTTCTTGGTCACTTTCACTTTCAAAAAATTTCAAAAAACTTTCAAAAAATGACTTTCCAATATATCGGTTGCGTATCTAAATAAACATACTATACAATGAACCAAATGGGCTTCTAATTCAAGTTGAACCCCGTAATGTTTTATCGACCTTTTCTCTCTCTCTCTACCGGCGTAGAGAAATGAATTTTTTTCGGATTTTATGTATTGATACACCATGTTTTTGCCCTTTACTTACTCAGCCAGGCATCAAAGAATAATTAGTGCAATAAGATTATTTGGCAGCTCAGCTTACAAATTGGCTCGCAAATCTTATTTATGTATATGGGAGGCCTCATTTTGTGACAATAATTGCGAGTTATTATACTATTATATTTGCAGTAATCACTGCAATTTTCCGGTAGAAAAATGAAGATTCAATACTTTCTTTTGAAGTTTAGGGTGTTCCTTGCAAATCGTCGTATTCTCAAGGCCGCAGACACCATTAAAACCCTTGGCCTTTAGGATTGTCTGCTGTACGTAGAGATTGCTGCCTCTGCCAAAAAAGCACCCAAATTATGTAGTCCAACGCTACGTTGTCCAAAAAATCGTCCTTCTTGACACTTTTATCGTATTTTTCCAACTTGAAATTTGTAAAAATAAACGCGCTTTTCTCCAAGTCTCATTACAGCGAAAATGTAGCCTAAGGCCGTTTGAAAACAAACCGAGCCGGCTATTGTAATAAATATCATCCGTATGCCGTGCTTGACGGAAACGGTATGTGTACTTTTTTGCATATTTTGATGACAAACATGTGATGTGTTTCTGGGGCGTAGCAAACCCTTTTTCTTCGATGTAATCTGATTTTCCCTTTGAAATTAAGAATTGTAAAAGTGAAGATTACATCCGAAACAATTTTTTCGCAAATTTTAATCTACTGGATAAGGACCGCCTTAGCTTTCAAAAATGTAAATCTAACGGTCATGGGCAAAAGATTAAAGGCCAAAACTCGGGTTTCGCCTAAAACAATGTTTTTCTTATCAACACGCCCCTTAGCACGTTGGAGAATAACTGGATTACCGCTCTAAAGTTTTTTAAAAATAAGATTGTATTCCGCGGGTTAAATAGGCAGCTCATTTTAGCCATGACGCCATGATTAAATAGCCAAATGTTTGGCGTCAATTTATCTTAAACCTGTGAGGTGGTCGGCCCGGGATTCGTATACTAAGCGCGACATAAAGTCCGTAGAATTTTGCACAGTGCATTCGACCCTTTTTTTCGCACGCACCGCGGCGATTCCCCGTTTTTGCAGTAGCAACATGCACTTTTCGGTGATTGCACCCGCGACATCGGCGAAAAAAATTCTACGGACTTTATGGCGCGACTAGTACTAGTCGCGACATAAAGTCCTGACACATTTGCACAGTGCATTTTGTTTGTCTTTCGGACCCCTCGCGGAAATTCCCCGTTTTTGCACTAGCGACATCCACTTTCGCGCGAACTTGCCACTTTTCTCGCGCGACACCCGCGACAAAATGTGTCAGGACTTTATGTCGCGACTAGTACTCGTTCACTCGAAAAGTCGCTGGAGTGATTTCGGCGGTGTGCACTGTGCAAAAAAGTGAGGTTGCGAGCGACAGCAAAAAAAAACGCCTATTACGCCTTTTTAAAACATGTGTAGACTTTTTTCGCGGCATAAAGTGCATTTTGGCACTTTTTGCGCTGTGAATTGTCTGTCGGAAGCTGAAAATTCGCGGCGACACAATTGAAAAACCTTGGACCGCGGCTATTTTTTAAACGCACGGTGCAAAGGTCTCTGCATGACCTTTTGCGCACGGTGCCGAAAGCTTGCGAAAAAAGTCTATGCACTTTTAAATAACCAAATGTTTGGCGTAGTATTGCACGGTGCACAAACCAACAAATTGCACAGTGCACAGTAAACTTTTGTTTTTGCTTTAGTGCATGTCGCGAAAATGACTTCAGCGACTTTGCAAACGGGTTATTACCAAGAGGACTTCTTATATGTATAGTACATGGCTACCGTCCAATTTTCTATTCCGTCACATAAATCATTCCAAACCTATTCATTTTTTAATCAGTTTTCCTCGAAAAAAATTGAAAATTTCATTGATTCTTATTGTACTCTTGAAGCCTCCATTGACCTTAACTTTATCGTCTTCTAAGAATGTAAATGTAAGAACTAAAGTTCATGACTCGTAGCCTTATAAAGAGTAGAGCGAGCCTTCTTTTGGCAGCCTGATTTTTCGTCTGCGTCTTGTTGTTTTGACGTCTTTGAACGACCAGAAATGAGGTGACTAAAGCCATTGAATTGAACTTGTATTAAATTACGAACCGCTCTCAATATAATTAACGGGTGTGTTATTTAATGCAGAAATTTTTCGACATTGTCACATTTTTTTGCTGCGGTTGAAAGTACTATATTAGGCTTGGATTTTGGTGATATTTCCATGGTTTTTTTAAATCTTGCGCGTGGTTGTGTATGTTCCAATGTTGCTTCAGATGGGTTTTCGTGATATTTTTTGTACTTGCACAAACTCTATCAACGTCAACTCCAAAAGATTCTAGTTTGCGCCTAGCAAGGCCGTATTCGATATATATTTTTTGAGCAGAGACTATTGCAAGTGAGGAGAGACATTTCTTTTTCAACTTTAAACTTAAGCCTTAAACTGTAAAAGCATGTTCATTTGTACATTGGTAAAAATAGTGGTCACAGGAAAAAACTGTTTTATAAATATAATATATATTATATATACATATATATAGATTTGCTCGTGAAAATAATCGTATTCTATGAAAAACATCAAAAATAGTGTATGATGTTTTTTCTTTCAGTGTAAAAAACCCTTTCATTTTTAACAATTTTCATTGTGAAATCTTCAGATCAAAAAGATGACCGACTGGAGTTACATCTTTGTGACTCTCTACAATATAAACGATGTAACGGCGCTTAGCCTCGGATTCATCTTCAATTCCATATTGATCTACACAATTTGGTGGCTGCGGAACAGTTACAAGGGCAATTACACAAAATTGTTTCTAATCAGCGCTGTCTTTGATTGGGTGCTTTCGGCAGAGGAGCTGCTTATACGACATGTAAGTTTAAGGAATCCATTGAAACAATGAAATACAGATTTTTTTGGTTTTTCAGGGATTTTTTCTTTTACAATTTTGAATTTTACTTTTTTTCTGGAAGATCTAGGCATCCAAAAGTTCAAAATCAAAAATTTAATAAAATTTATATTCAAATTTTAGCAGCCTCACGTAAAAAATCACGTAATGTACGTGATGGGCCATGGCGTGGAGCATCTTTTCCCCCATGACACTTTTCCTTACCTAATGTTTCCACATGGATTTTTCACAATTCATGGGGTATTCATTTTGGCGGTTCAATACCATTATCGATATGTCATCATGACTGAGTAAGATTTTTTTTGCAATTATAACATTTTTAATCTTTTTTTCAAAAAAAAAATCAATTTTCAGTCCGACCGCTTCAGGCCGGCAACTGGCGTTCGATCTGATACTTTCGATCAGCAGTGGCCTTATTGTCTCCCTTGGCTTGTGCTACGGGACATATCAAAGTCAAGCTATTCCATGGGAGCAATGGAGAGATAACATAAAAGATGATTGGTTTGGAGAATATGGTGCGGAACACTTCGTCTATGCCTCTGATTTGGTGAGTTTACCAAAAATATTTTTACCAAAGAAGAGATGATCACATTTTATACCGCTTATATTCAAATTCAAAATCTCAAGAACCTTTTTTCCGGTTTTTAATGCAGTTGTACCCACAAATTGTGTTTGCACAAAATATAATACAAAAAATATTATCCCATTATTGTTTTTTTTGACTGTTTTACTTTTCCTTTTTTCAGCGTTTTGCCGGGACCAAGCTCTACTTCGCCCTTGGTCTCACATTTTCCACCATCACCTTAGCCTTAGTCGCCTACTACGCCTACAAGGCCTGGAAATTTGTGAATCCCGCAAACACCGTCAGCCGTCGAACACGTCACATGCAGCAACAATTCACGCGGACATTGGTCGTCCAAACGTGCAATGCATTCCTCTTTTCGATGTTTCCAATCACTCTGAATGTGACTCTGGTGCTCTTCAACCCTCCGGGCGACCGCTACTACTCGGCCGCGGTAATGCCGCTGATTTCGTGGCTCCCCGCTGCGAATGGCTTCATGACTTTGTATGTGGTCAAGGAGTTCAGGAGATTCGCACTCAATTTCCTGTCATTGGGGAGGCTACGGCGCAAAATTAATGTCAGTGGACCGAATGGAACAAATTCTGGAGCTGAATCAAACACGAAAAACACTTCAAAGGCCAAGGCGTTACTTCCGTGACCTAAGAAAAGAATATATCGATGACTTGATATGATTTTCAATTTGATAAAAATGTATGTATATATTCAGTCTGGCGTAGTGATTCTTGTGGGCAACCACTTTGAGGGTAGCCGATATTTACCGAATAAAATCACGATTTATAATACCTCCCGTAATCTACGTAGTATGATGGAAATTTTGCATCGACATCTCCCTGGTACTGATAAATATTATACAATCGATAGAATTTACGAACCGCTTTCCAAGTTATGAAAGTTTTTTTTTCAAAAAATGCTTTCTGAACCGTTAAAAATGCTTGGTTAACCTTATGGTAACTGTTCAAGTTGTTTATACACCTGTAAACTAAATCCGCGACTCCTCACTGCCAACTCCATCGTTTGAATTTTCTGTTGTAAGCACATGTTGGCTGATTTCCAAGCATGCCCGCAGAATCCCATCTACGCCCCTATTTGGCGCAACGTTCGGCTATTTGCACTATGCAATACGAATATTATTGTTTTTTTCAAAGGTTTTACTGTGAAAAAAAGCAAGGTGCAAAGTTCGACAAATGACGAAAACAAGTCACAAGGTTATGCACTGTATCAAACCCGAGTTAAACCTTTCATCCGGAGCGTTTGTATAATGTAATTTGCAACAAATTTTCATGTTCTTGCAATGTCTACGGTGTTCTGGATTTGGCCCAAGGTTGTCTACAAGTCATCACATTGAAATGTCAGCTTCCGGCCGTCGGACATTTACTCTAAAAACGAACAGATTGTAATTGGGTTCATGTTTCTTTTTTAGTTTTTTTGTTCAATTGGGCATGTACATGCATAATAATATTATAAATATATTTCCTTTTGAACATGTACTATAAATATCACACATGTTTCGCATTCGTAGCCTCAAAGTTTGCTATCGTGCTTATTGAATTCTTGCATTTAAAAATTCAATTATTTTTTCAAGATTTAAAAGTCCAAATTCAATCAAAGATAATCTGTCACTTGATAAACTTCCGAAACATTCTCATTTCATGCTTGGCTATATTTCGTTGCCGTTTTTTATGACAGCTTATTGGAAGCTCAGAGAACGACTATTTGAAATCTTCGGATTTCCGGACTTATCATTGTAAATATGGGTGGTGACAAATGCTTGTGAATGGGGAAGTTTATTATTCATAATGACGCAGAGGAAAAAAGCTTTATATCGGTATGTAAGGCACAGTTGAGCCGATAAATGTAGTCTTTACACAAATTCTTTGTTATCATTTCTTGCGTCTTTGAAACAAGTTGAACTATTTCTTGCAAGGTAACATTGCAGTACACACTTTTCAAATCAAGCTTACATTTTTTGACGTAGTCATAAGTTCGTGCTTACTTAATGTCAAGTTTTAAATTTTTCATGTATTTTCGTACATCTGGATTTGAAATCGTTGCGTGACTCGGAGTATTAAGTTGTAATATCGCTGTGAAGAAATGTCTAGCAGCGTTTTAGGACTCATGCAAGGCCTTACAACGCAACTGTTATTTACTGTTTGAAATTCGGGGAGGGCTTGTGGGTGGCGGTTCTACAAAATTGGCAGTATTTAAGTTTGGGTTACTGTCTGGACTTCATCAAAGTATTGTTTGGGTAAGTTTGGGGGAGAACTCGAAAAATTCCGCAAGGGAATGTAATGAAATATTTGCGCAGATTAAAATCAAAAAGTCCAGTTTTCTGTATATCATGCCTCCCACGTGCAAAAACGGTCTTGTAAACACATGACGTACATTACAGTCTCCTGATCCCCTTCTATACGACCTTTTATTTTTTTAAATTATATCCGCCTCCTCTGGGGAATCTTATATTAATTAGGCAAAGAATACATAACGTCATGTGTTCAGACAGATGACTGCCAAAGGGTAATTCCAATATTTTTATGAGTCTAGAGATGGGTTGTTACAGTTATACTGTACTGGCGAATGGTGCTTTCAACTGGCCAAAATTTGTTCGCGGTTGTCTTTTGAGACATTTATAAGAGCTCAGGTTCTCTTATGGTAGCATTCTTTTCACGCATTTGAAAGCTTTTTAAAGAAGGTCCCCAAAACAGAGCCATTGTAGGATTTGTCATCACACGTCTTCTGCAGAGATTTTGTGCAGAAATAAGGGCATTTCAGCAATGACCGTACATGAAAAACGTATTTGTATTTTAATTTTTAAGGTTTTTAAGACGTTCGTATAATAGAAATAGTTCTATTTACATTTCCTGAAACTTTTAGCTCGCGCTTTGCTGGCAAAACACTTTTTGGCAATAACTAAAACAAAAGATAATTTTTTTGTGGAATCATTGCCCTCTACGGTAGAAATGGATATGAAACTTTTCGTGCCAAAGTTCGGGAAAGGTCTCAAATTTTCGCCGACTTTCGCTCTAATAATCTCGGTTTTTTCTGCAAAACGCAAACTGGATTTTCGCATATAAAAGGCGTATCCAAATCTTTCGATTCAAGTTGTTGCGAAATACAGAGGGCGTGGCATACACCCTGACTGTATACGCATATATAATACATATAAGAAAATCAAATACCAGCACAATAACTCTTCTTTTTTGGCCTGCATATATGCAGTTCTTTGCTGTCTTATGTTTTGTCTTTGCCATTGTTTGGCCTAATGAAACACTTGATGTTCCATCAAATGATAACATTATGTTAATTTGACCCCAACTTCCTACTACTAGTGCTGTTTTGTTTCTAGCCGGAACTTCTTTGCCTCAAGTAAAGTAATTCACTTTGTATTCATGACACTTTTTTTCAAATGCCTATAAAGAAATTTGCTTCTTATTCGATTTCAGACAGAATGTTTGCAAATTACAACTTGTGTGTTCCATTAAATTGTTACAATTTTTAAATTGTTTTTAAAACTTATTACCGGTTATTGTGACGGTTACACAAGCATTGTTGGCCTTTGCAATGTAAAGGCAACATACGTGAATCCGACGCGTTTCTCGTCGCGTTTTGTCCACATACTATCGATTGGTAAATAGATTTTGGGCATTAAGGTTATTTCTGAAGAGTTTTTGGGAGACGAAATTGAGTCTTGCAAAATCAAGGATGATAATGTAAAATGTCAAAAGGCCCTACAACCCAGTAACGAGACAAGACGAGATCTCAAGATTCAAGTGATTTATTCAGTGGAAAGGAGGCCTTTTATAGGGAAGCCCCACATAGGAAAGTGCAATCAAATTTGAATAAATGCAGATCGTTCCTCGTGGGAAAATCCTCGAAGCTCGGTCGTTCCGCCTCACATAAAACATTAGTGTCTTGTAGAGCGCCAGGTTTTCTCTCGGTCAGTCAATAGAGTAACAGTCAAAGATTTTTCTCCAAGATTATATTTGTGACGAACGCTACTTTGATTAAGCCTTGATGAGGGAATAGCTTCAACTACGCTGGATCGACGAGGGTTAGCATGAGCTATCTCTGACCGCATTTTTAACAGTTCCATTAAAGTCTAGGAGTGCACTTGAACGCTGAGTTTCCCAAATGAAAAAACCCTAAATAAGTTTATGAAACAACATGGCAACCCGACCTGTTTCCTGGCACCTTTATCTGATAAATTTTCGATTGAAGTCTAACGAAATATCACAAAATTTTACGAGGGGTTTTTGTAGAAAAATATTTTTTTTGGTACTTGTTCTTTTTCTTCTTTTGTCGATTGTGACACTTCGTTTGGACGAAACTCAAAAGTGGGCGGGAAATTTTTTTCTTTTATTTCTTTATTACTCCTCTTCGGGTCTACAAAATTTCCAATTTACATATTTTTTTCTCATTTGCCTCATTGACACCGTATTGTACTAAAACGAGCCCTCCTGTCATTACTCTTCTTACGATCTCCCCAAGTCGTTTGATGAGTCAGAACAGTGATGTCTTAGACTTGTGCAAAAACGCACTTTTGTGTAATTAGCTGCTTCAAAATGGGGCTCCGCGCGGGTTTGAATGGCCTTAGGGGTGGGAATGTTTGTTTTCAATTGTGGTTGCGGGATTGGGATAAAGTAAATCCGGTATGTAGATGCTCGAACAAGAGTTCTTGTAATGGACTTTGTAATTGTGAGAGTCTTAAGGAAAAGGTTATATGTATAAATACGTACGGGGATGCAGAAAATAAGAGATTTAGTATATAAGATACCATACGGTACTCCTTCATGCATATTTTTGTTTTTGTAATACATTGTGATTTTTAAAAATATAAATGCCTCAGATTTTGCTTGCGTTTGACAATATTCAAGACAAACATTTTCTAGGACGTATAGTAGACTAACAGTCTCTCTAAACGTTTTTATCGCCTCTTTTTGCTGCAGATTACCTCTACAAGAGCCGGGGTATTTGTTGAATATTTCGGCATTTGTTGAGCCAAAATTTTCTAGGATTGAGGGGTGTCTCACATAGGTGGCATAGAGATTGGAACCCAAAGATTGGGCCTCGATCATTCGACCCCCAAAGCTTCATAGCTCTCAAAATGAACTTATAGTGCAAACCCCCAAGATCCGCCTCCCAAAGATTGGACCCCCAAACATTGTAAATATTTATATAGAAATAGAAATTGGCGGGTTCTCAGTTAGCTAACGTGCAAAGGCGTAAGCTCGCCCACCACGGCATTTGTTTGGGGGTCGAATCATGTGGGTCCAATCAGGAATTCCCTTAATCTTCATTTGGCAAACTCTTTGATTACTGTTTTTTTGTTGCATAATTAGACCTCTCATCAAGCGAATACATAAGTTATCTCTAAGCTAAGCCTGCTAGATTACTTCTTTGTTGGTTCTGCCAATTTTACATGCTGCTTAATCCTTTTTTATTATATCACTTCAAATTGTCTCAAAATTGCCTTGATCTTCAAATGTATTACATTTTTTTTCGCAATTTATTTTTGGTCTTTTAGGCCGTTTGTAAGAGTCCGTATTTTACAAAAATTTAACGTTTTGCTACTCCAGGGATTTTCAAAATGTTTTCAATGAGGTGGAGCCTTCTTCTTATTGTCACAGGTAAATAGAGTCATCCGTTTTGCTTTGCTAACGCCTTATTTTAGTGCTTGCAATGATCAGCTCCGCCAAGGCCAATCCGTTTTTGATGAGTAGACTCCCAACGTCGCCCGATCGTCTGGTCTACGCGTTGCCGGTGAGTCAGAGAACTAGCACTTCTAGAAAGGGGTAAAATACGCGTGGCGGACATGGGATATTTTATTCTTCGATTTCAATCGAAAAAAAGTAGGATTTGACTTAAACTCGGCTTTTGGGACCTTTGAAACTACATGCTATGGATAGACTTTGTACAGAGGTTCTACTGGCTTTCTCTGAGATTCCTCTTGCAAAGAAAACAGTTGAATAATCTCGGCTAGAAGCCTAGACCCTCTTACAACTCTAGAAATTGTTTTTCACCACTAAAGGCCCTCGATTTCAGCAGAACGACTACCAAAAACGCGACACCTACCTCAAGCGGGGGTTTGACTACGAAGATGACGTAAGTTCGTTGATCAATTTTACTACGCTTTAATAACACACGTGTGTTGCACTTTTTCACATTTTTTTGCTGAACAAAATAGCACATACAAACATTGCGTTCAAAGAGTTCAGTTTGAAAAGATATAAATTTGTAAAATTTATTTTTAGACCCTTCTACGCTTCGGATAAGCTTCAAACTGCGGTGAGAACTCGCAATCCAGCAGCATTATAAGATACACAACTTTTGCTATTGGAGATATTCTCGACTCGCCGGAGCTTATCGATTCTAACCCCTTTCTCTACTGTTAAATATCAACTGAATAAATATTTTATATCATTTATCATGAAAATTAGAGCGGTCATTGCTGACGTCAGATTAGGCAAAGTGCCAAGGCGATCCGAAACAAAAAATTTTCCGCTTTTATTTTTATTTTACTTTGTGCAAAAAAAGTTTTTTTGTAGAAATATTGTGCTCAAGAAACGAAATGATGTTGAAATTTGTCATGCATACACTAGGTAAAAAACTTCCGGTTGTTTTTGCAAGACGAAAAATAATGAAAAATAATAACGTTGCCTATGCCTGAGAAAATTATAGTATATGTAAATTAGGGCCTTGTTTTATTAAGATCTGGGAAGTAATCTGTGATGCAGCAAAAGTCTCACGGCATTCTGTACTTTAGATCAATAGCCGAAAAATTTAGAAGTCCAATAGGAGCGCCTGACGGGAGATAGAGCAAAAAAAACGTGCGGATTCCGAAAAAAAGGAATTGAAAAAATTGTTGGAAAGTATAGGATGCTAAGCGTCGATCTATGCACCTCGTAGATATAAAAAATTTTTGTGGTTGCCTTCATTTCTTAGCCCGACTGTCCAGCTTTCTTACCTTCGCTCTGCAGAGGGCTAGACCTCAAGATGACATAACCGCACCAACTTTCAAATCTCAATCTCTGACCTCTGAAATCGCCGAATTTGCCTCCGAGACGATGTATTGGAGATAGCAATCAGCAATGCCCCCTCATATTTAAATGCGACGATGACGTTGGCTTTAAAAGCGCCAATACTTTTCAACTCAATAAACTTTTGCGGGGATGATTTTTAAAAATTTATTTCTACATGTCTACCGGTTTTTCTCAAAGTTGTCAGTAAAATTTCGGAAAGTTTTGTTTGTTGCGTGGATTATACTCTGTTTCTATACCTATTACTTACTCAGCTACAATTTTCTGAGGCTGAAAGAGTACGAAAGGGATGATTGTAAGCTTTTAACAGCATTTTCAAGGGGGGGAGGTGCAAAGTGCGACACTCAGAGTTTCCTTAGATTCACACAAGGACCTTCTTTGGCCAACGCTAACATTTTCTTTTCTTTATAGGCGTAGACTTGCAAAAAACCGGGCTTTGTCCAATTTTTGGACTAAAAATCTCAAAAGTTTCTGCAAGGCGCTAGTTAATAATTCTGTAAGCTACAAAAAAACCTCACGTATAAGAAACTAGAAGGGAATGAGCATTCAGCATGGGCTTTTCCCATTCCTAAACCCAATTCTTTTTAGTCCATCCTGCCGAATTCGGGCAGTATTCTCATGTACCAACCTTGAAACTGCACAAGGACAGTTGCAATGCTCTCTACGTTCCGCCATTTCATCCAGATGTTCTGGAGTTTGTTAATAATAGCCAAAAAGACAAACCGAAATGCACTCCCGCAAGTTTTCTACGCTCTTCGCTAAAGAGGGGCCTTCTGAAAATGCTCTACATTGAGTATGGAGAAGAATGCTTCTATAGGTAAACATTTTTCCTAAATGCAGAATTATGTAAATTCTTTATTCCTACGGCATCATCTAGACATGTTTTTCCATCACCGCAAGGATATGTCAGCCATGGTGACAGTTGGTTGCCATTGGGTAGAGATGGAGTGAAGCCAGAAACAGACTTTGTTCAGGTTAGCTGTGCAGCTAACAATGTCACAACTTACAAGTTTGTTCATTATCAGGTTTATAAACGGTAAGCCTTGCATCAATGATCGCTCGAAAAATTCGATCGGGGGAAGTAACGGAGGCTACGCTATTCTCCTTGTTATTTCCAGGCCTGAAATTTCTCCTCGAACCACAGATTCCACTAAGAAAAGGCCAGACGTCCACATTCTAGTCATCGACTCCGCTTCAATGCCGCAAGTGCGCCGCGCTCTCCCGAAGACAGTGAAATACATCGCCGAAGAGATGGGCGCCCAGTTCTTTTTGTTCCACAGTAAAAAGGCCGCCGACACGATGGGTCAATCGCACGCTTTGTTGATGGGAAAAGTCACTGAAAAACTGTGGGCAAGACCCGGTTCCGAGAGCTATCCGCACATGGATATTATGGACGTTGGAGCGTGCGCGGAGAACAGTACATATGTGTTGAAGACGTTCAGAGATCGAGGATACAAAGTGTTGATGAGCGAGGATTGGACGACGCAGAAGTTCATGAGTTGCAAAGATGAAGAGGAACTGGCGGTGGATCATTACATGAGGTATGATTTATCAGAGGGCAACGAGGCTGTTAAAAAATTACTTTTTGCACAACGATATCAGGAATAAGTCACTCCTATGGCTATATTTTGTTCTCAGACATTTACTTTCAGCGTCTACTGGTTGAAGATGAAGCAGATCTTCCCTTTCAGTCATGTTTCCGCACATTTCGGGCCGGCCGGTCGAATTCATTACCATCCAAACATGTGGGAAAAATTCTGTATCGAACGGCATTTCCAAATGTGGAATTATCTCGAGGATTTCATGGAGAAATACAAAAATTTCCCACAACTCACTGTGACATGGCTGGGCCATCTCACACACGATTATCGCGGTGATTTGTTCAAATACGACGATGACTTTTTGGAATTTTTTAAGCGAATGAAAAATAAGGTAAGGGAAAATACCAAAGATGTGATTGTTTTTCTTACTGTAGCCTAATTATACATATATGTTTGACTTATTTTCAGACCAAAAATTCGCATTTCTTTTTCCTCGGCGATCATGGAAATCGAATCTACTCGGATAAATCCATGTTTTGGGATCGGGTTGAAGATAAAAATCCTGCATTTTTCTATATTCCGCCACAGAGTATACAGAAAAACAAGGCAATTATGAAAAGGGTAAAACAAAATAGTCAACAGTTGGTGTCTACTATGGATATTCACGCAACACTGGTTGATATTCTTAAGGTAAATACGCCAAAAACCCTTAAAATTTTTCTTTCTATTTGGTCATGTTTAAACCTACTACAATATTGAATAATTACAAATAATTGCGACTTCAGAACGTCGACGACTTTGATTCACCAATCGCGCCGAATATGCCAGAATATGTTGTTGGGTCAAGTGTTCTCCGCGAGCTCTCACAACCTCGAAATTGCGACACTCTGGAGCTTTCGTTCGAGTACTGTATGTGTGAAACGTTTGGACCAAGAACTCAGAATCACTCGTTGTCCCATGTTCTGGCAAATGCTGCTGTCAGATACATGAACGACTTTATTCAAGCAAGCAATGACAGTGATATCTGCGCTCCACTAGAACTGTCGAAGGATTTCAAGCCCTATGTGGAGGAGTATCGACCGGAAGAATATAAGGATAAAGAGGAGCGAATCTACATTGTGACGCTGAAAACGCATCCGGGAAACGCTTTGTACATGCCGCATATCTCGGTAAGTTTAAATAGAACAAAAAGACCCTTAGGATGCAAAGCTCACATATTGTCAGGTTTTGATGGAAGGCACATACATATGTATTTTGAAGGGGGATTTGCATTAAATTTTCCTCGAACACGTTGTGCTTATACCAGATGCCAATGGAGATTTGAGGTCGCGCTTTCCGCGGGAAAATTCACGGTTTTTTTAAGAGCACTCATAAAGGAAACTTGGCCCAACTTTATGTTTCATCAAAATCTAATTTGGATAGATTTTTAGATCGAAAGTCGGCGAAAAATTTAGACTCATTGCCGAATTTCGGCACGAAAATTTTCTTGCTTATTTCTATTTCTACCATAGAGGGTAATGTTTCCACAAGAAATCGCATTTTTCCGCGCGAAACTAGCAAAGTTATGGCCAAAAAGTTTTTTTTCTTTTTTAAGAGCACTCCAAATGCACGGAGCGTTCTAGAAATTTATGGAAACTTGGCCCAACTTTATGATTCATCAATAGCTGACAGCCTCACTTGGAGCAAATATCCTGTCTATTTTCAGGTCAGTAATAACGGGACGATGAAAGTTGTCAGTTATGTTGGTCGGAAAAACGCGTTTGGCCATCAAGCCCGATGTATCAACGACCGATACAAAGTCATGAAATACATGGATAACCTTTGCTTCTGTAAAAATCTGTTGAACGATGAACGAGAAGTGAATAAAGTTAATAATTAGGCGGAATATGTTTATTTTTATTTAAAGTGTGCGTGAGCCAGTCAAATCACCATGTATGATAGAAATATCATTGCAAGATATACAGGCCATATATGGTAGTAATATTATTGTAAAGACTCTGGAAATCCTTTACATAAATTAGAATTTTATGGTAGGGCCTGTAGCTAAAAAATACTTTGATAATATTGCCATCTACCTATAACAATAATGTTTACCTTACATTTACTACCAATCATACCCTACAACACAGTCTATCCGATTAATTTCTGACTCATTTCACTAGTCACAACAACATTTTTATACCTGTTTCAACCACGTTCATGATCTGAGCTCCTGTTTCCGTTATTTGCCACGCCAACGCATGCTGTTTGTCGAGAGACCGGAACGAAGATTATGCAAATCCCGAGCGCACATACATAAACACATTACAAAAACCAGATCCGTGCAATTCTTGACTCGGGGCTTTGATCGTATCTCGTTTTTCAAAAGCTGTCCGGTTGTACGGGCATGAGCTTGAAAATAAAAATGAAGTGAGTTTTGTTTTCCAAAGAATAAAGGGGAAGTTTTAATGAGATTTGGCACAAATTTAGACTAATTTTTCCTGACGAGGGAATGGTCTGAACTTCCCCCAACGTTTAGGAAAATGACTAGTACAGGTGGATAGCGCAGGTCAACCTTGGTGAAAAGAGCCATTTTCCAGCTGCGAAGTAAGCCTAGCCGACGAGAAAAATCGACCGAAAGTTCCACAAAAATTTGCTCTTTCTCTTCCCTCGGAAAAGAAGAGTGGTGTCCAGTGGTTCGGTTGGCCGAGTGGATAGAGCATCCGCTCGATATTCTTTTGGGGGTTGGTTCGATTCCGGGGTCTCGCGAAGGACGGTGATAAGGCTTTGATGAGCAAGATCAAACTCTAACAACCCAAAAAAAATATTTTGCCTTTTCAAAGTCAAGTCAATTCACCAAACGAGTATAAATTCGACGTTCCATTGCTTTGAAGGTTCGGAAGCACCCAAAAAATTCATTTGTTGACGATTATTGTTTTGTTATAATGCCTCTATAAAACGTATAAAAATGGCAAAATATTTTTTTGCGTTGTTAGAGTTTGATCTTGCTCATCAAAGCCTTATCACGGTCCTTCGCGAGACCCCGGAATCGAACCAACCCCCAAAAGAATATCGAGCGGATGCTCTATCCACTCGGCCAACCGAACCACTGGACACCGCTCTTCTTTTCCGAGGGAAGAGAAAAAGGAAATTTTGTGGAACTTTCGGTCGATTTTTCTCGTCGGCTAGGCTTATTTCGCAGCTGGAAAAAGGCTCTTTTCACCAAAGTTGACCTGCGCTATCCACCTGTACTAGTCATTTTCCTAAACGTTGGGGGAAGTTCAGACCATTCCCTCGTGAGGAATATACGAGATTCCTAGCTCGCACTGACCGAAAAATGAAAGATTTTTTGTTTCAAACATTCAGGGGAAGTACCGCAAATGCGAAGCTTATATTTTGATGAAACTGGGCACAAATTTCGAATATTTGTTTCTTAAAAGATAAGCGAGATTCTAGCTCGCGCTTTGCAGAAACGACCGTGATTTTTAGATCGAAAGTCGGCGAAAAATTGACACTCTCATTAAAAGAAAAATTGACACTCTTTGCACGAAAAGTTTCTTGCTTATTTCTACCATAGAGGGTAATGTTTCCACAAGAAGTCAGATTTTTTTGCGCGAAACTAGCAAAGTTATGGCCAAAAAGTTTTATTTTCTTTGACCACTCTCCGCTTTTAATATACTCTCTCATAAAAAACAGTTGGCCAAAGGTATTTTTCTCTCTGCCCGCCCTCTCTAATTCACGTACTCTCTTGTATGCTAAGATCTTTGAATTAAAGCTAAGCGTCACCCATTGCTTACAACCGGCGTCTCCTCGTTGTGTATGTAGATAAATCTCGACTGTAGGAGATTCAGGAAATCCCTCAAAATATCTCGGGTCGCGAGACGTCTGCTCCAACGATCCATTTTATTTTCAACTCCCACGCTCTTCGAAGAGTGTTGAAAATTGTTATCTCCGCAAAGATTTGAGGCATTCTCAGTTCAACGAAATAATTTTTTAATGTCTGACATCAGCGGGTTTATAAAAGAATATCATCATGCGATTTCAGAGAGCCATTAGTGCCATACAAGAAAATGGAAAACGCTAACAGTCTTAGTTTTACTCAAATTTACCGATCTCTCTGGAGTCTCGCAATCCACACATGGAAATTGTTGTTCGTCGTGTGGCTGGTGTTGGTGGCGGTCTTGAATTTTTATTTGGGGTACGATTATTGGCCATTGGTACAGCTCGAGGAGGGTCATTGTAAGTTTGTTTTGATTCTAAAACTCGATTTAAACTTGCTCCGAAAGATCTAGCTTCCGTTTTTTTGTGGCAGCCGAGATATTCAACAATTTTTTTAGCGAGAGAGCACGCGAAATCAAGAGAGTCAGCCTGAAAAAAAAACCTGAGTTTTGACTAGACATGGCTCTGGGGCCGGACCCATTAAATTTAGAAGGCGCCTGGACCAGGTCAGGGGCGCGATTTTCGGCCCGGCCCAAAGCCCTATCTAGTCTAGGCTAAAGAAAACACCTATTTCTGTGTTCCCTGTGACAACGGGTTTCCATTTTTTGTATGCAAATTTTTATCACGCCCAAAAAATTTTTTTCAGCTAATACCTCTGGCTACGGGCTAACAGAGGTCGTTGGAAATTTACGATTACATACAGAGAGCTGCAGCGCCCACTATGTTCCGCCTTATCATGTCGATTACTTGCCAGTGATAAAAGCGGATAACCAGACAAAGGAAGAATGTCATACAAAGGATATTCCGCGCTCAACTTTAATCAATGGTACCCTAAGAATGACGAGTTTGTGGCCTCGAGAGATATGTTTGTACAGGTAAATATAGATATTTTTGTAAATATTTACTGTATAAATTTCTCCAAAAATTACCACAAATGTTTGCGGTCATTTTTGGTAAAATATACGAATAATGACTGTCGTAATTGTTATGTATTGCTTTCTCTGTTATAAAATCGGATTCTATGAACATGTCCTATGCGTTTTCAGACTGGTACTCCCGTCAAAACAGGGATATATTGAGACCACACCATGGATAAGATTCGGAACAGAGGGCATTGCGCCCGCCGGAGATATTGTCCAAATATGGTGCAAAAAGGGGTTGAGGACGACCTATCAGTTTCTTCATCATCAGATTTACAAAGGGTGAGTCGCGGTTGGGTCGGATATTTTTGCGCAAAAGGATTCTGTTCTAAATTTTTCCTTGTCCCATAAGAGCGCACTCAACGTCCGGCGCACTCTCCGCAGAGGCCGGGATTTATCATGTCCTTCTTTGTAGACCTTCGTCTCCCAGCACAGATCAATTCGCCAATCACCATCGTCCAAACGTCCACATCCTGGTCGTAGACTCCGCCTCGATGCCACACCTCCGACGAGCTCTTCCAAATACGATGGAATATCTGTCCAAAGAGATGGGCGCTGAATTCTTTCTTTTCCACAATAAAAAAGCCGCCGGTACTGTTGCACAAAGCCATGTCTTGCTGATGGGGAAATTGGTCGAAAGATATATGAATCGACCGAAAGCAAAGCCATTTCCATGGTTTTGGACAAGCGAGGTTGAGGCGTGCTCTGCGAACAGCACCTTTGTGTTGAAGCACTTCAAGGAAAAGGGGTACAAAGTGCTGTTGAGCGAGGACTGGACATGCAACTTGTTTTCGAGCTGTCGGAATAATGAAACTTTACCAGTGGACCATTACATGAGGTGAGTTTAAAGTTTATGCGGAGAGATTTGGAATTTGATGCCTTATGACTTTGGAGACCGCTCGTAGGCAACAGATCTGATGTCTCCACTTATCTTCATGAGAATCTTGATCTTTGAGGGGTGAAAAAATGGGTTTCGGCGGCATAAACTATAAACGTGAGCGGACGAAAAAATCTAGTCTGAAATGACTATAGAAAATCGACAAAAGAAAGCACGTTGCATGCACGTAAAGGCTTCAATATTTTGACATACTGTAGTTTGGTTTAAGCCTTGGCAGAGATCATAATTACGAAATATAATGGGATTTTTCGTGAACTGCAAAAATTTTGCGAATGCAAGAAATTTAGATGTTAATTGATTTTTGAGACACAAGATAACCATTTTAATTTCTATTACAATACAATTGGTTTCAATCCTCTTTACACCCCTTGTTTCAGCCTCTATTGGGTGAAACTCAAACATCTTTTTCCCGAAACGGATGCCTTGAGTAATTTCGGCCCGGCGGGTAGGATGTATTATCATTCAAATCTATGGCCTCGTTACTGCATACAACGGCATGAGGAGATGTTCAAATATCTCGAAGATTTCATGGAAAAGTACAAAAATGAGCCTCAATTTACGGTGACCTGGTTGGGGTACCTTCAACATGACTGGAGAGGAGATTTGTATCAGCATGATCAAAGCTTTCTCAACTTTTTCAAACGCATTAAAAATCAGGTGACCCTCGGTTGTTTCGATTTTTTAATTCGTATTTTAGACCGCAGATTCGCATTTCTTCTTCCTCGGTGATCATGGGAATCGTTTGTATGCGGATAAAACAATATTCTGGGACCGGGCAGAAGACATGAACCCCGCTCTAATCTATATTCCTCCCAGAGATCTCAAAAATAATCGACAAGTCATGAGGCGGATACGACAGAACTCTCAGCAGCTCGTATCCACCATGGACATTTACGCAACACTGGTGGACATTGTAAAGGTAAGGGAAGAGCTACAGGGTCTTACAAAAAACATGAAGGAATGTCGGAGGCTATAACTTCCGGCGGAGACGGCGCAAAGACTTCGTTTTTGGAGCATGTACTTTTAAGCGACACTAATTTTTGTCCCCGAAATAACAAGACTTTAGAATGCGAAATGGGGTCGCTGCGACCTTCTGAAGTAAGGGCATTCCTACACTAGTGTTTTTTGGTTGAAAATGATCCATGAATTTTGGACTTTTTCGGTTGAAAATTACCGAGAAATGTCGGATTTTTTGGGGGTTTTGTCTCCGATTTTCCTTCGCGTTTTTTGTAAGACCCTGCATATTTCTAAAGCTAAAGCATTTCAAACTCCTATGGGCCAACTTTCATTAAACTTTGAACGTTACGCTTTTGCATTTCACCTTTTTTTCTACCTTTTCCTCGACTTGAATGTATAAATACACTACGTTGATTTTAAGGTGTAATATTTTAGTGGTTCACCTTAATTTGCACCCTCTTTTTAGCAAACCGACAACTACACTTCTCCTGAAACCCAGCCACATCTGGCCGATCTGCAAAAACTCAAAGGCTCGTCGTTGTTACGAGAACTCATCCAACCCCGTAACTGCGACACCCTCGACCTCTCATATGAGCATTGCCTTTGCCAAGATTTAGCCCCCAAGACGCGAACTCATCCATTAACGGAAGTTTTAACAAAAGCAGCCATCGATTACTTCAACAGTGTGATTCAAGAGAGCGCTGACAAGGATATCTGTGCTGAACTGAAACTAGCGCAGGACTATGAGCCATACGTCGAGGAGTATCAGAACAATGTCCCGGCCTACCCGGAGGCAAAGGTTTATGTGGTGACGCTGAAAACGCATCCTGGGAATGCGCTGTTCAACCCGTATGTTATGGTAGGTTGATTGCAGAGGTGCCGCAATTAGGTAAAATACGATGTTATCGAAAACGTCTTCCTTATCTCCATCTTCCTCTTTCAGATGCACAATAACGGCACAACCGAAGTTGTCTCGTTCGTCACGAGGAAGAACGCATGGGGCCATCAAGCGCGATGTGTTCACGAGAGGCATAATACGATCACGTTCTCGGAGAACTTTTGCTTTTGTAAAAACCTACTTAATAATACCAGTGAAGTTAACAAAGTCAATAACAAATAATAAAGTGACATGTAGCCCGTTATATCGGGCTGAAAATATATCTAGACACTTTTATATTCCTTCCGATGTCTACGCATGTATAATATATTACAACAAAAAATTGTTCAACAAGCAGATTGAAGGCAAGTGAAGGTAGTCTCAGCCGGTTTGTCGTGATGATTTCCGTCTTAAATCAGAGATTACATGGATATCTGTGACATTTCTCTTTTTCCTGTCCACTCTCCAAAGAAACAACATGGCCAATTGGTCGCTGAAAGCCCTTCGATACTCCGTATTTGTGGAGTAGTAAATGAAATAGTTCGCCGCGATCCCCAAATTCGCGGGCCATCCAAAGTCCGTGTGAATCAAGAACATCGTATACGGCGTGGCATGGGCTTGCGAAGCAGCCATGCCCACAAAAGTGGTGATGAACCAGCCAAACACGAGAGTTCCCATTATATACGTCACTGTTTTTGTTAACTTTCTAGCGTATGTTGCTGAAATTGAATAAAAGTAGGTAAGTCAATTTTAGCAGAGTTTTTTTTAGCTTTTTGTTAGTTTTTTGCAACGTAAGAGCTTAATAAATGATGTGAGTCAGTTATTAACTTATTGTTAGAGCACGAGGCTTCGACGATCTTTGGATTACTTTTGGCAACATTCAAGCAGTTTTTGCCAGATTTTCTTTAAATTTATCATACTTTTTTGAGTATGCCCGGTAATAACCTTCGAAAATCTTAGCAATTTGCGTTCTAGTGAAGAAACTAGGTTAAAATTTTCTCGTCAAAATTCAATATTGATTGCTGAATTTTCCCCGACTTTCAACATAGAAAAGCCGGGGCAAAATTAATCAAACAAGAAGCCGGTTTGTGCCAAGCACTATCCCAAAAACCCCTTCACAGTACTTTACGCGGTGCCGCTGGCAGCGAAAATAAGTCGGTACGGTGAGAAAAATACTGTGCATTATCACATAGCAATCAACGCTTATTTTCAGAAAGATGATTTTTAGCACTGCGCGTGATCAAAGAGCTCATTCTTTTTACAATTAGAAATTTGCGACAAGTTTTTTGCACACTACAGCGATGTCAAGACTTTTGACATATTTTTAATATATATCTCTCACCATTTTTAATCCTAATCATCAGCCACAGCAAGCAATACGAGACCACCGTCACCGCGAACGTTATCCATTGGACGCTGTTCCATGTCCTCTGCATGTGACCGTAAAAAACGTCGGTAATAAAGCACACAACCATCTCGTCTTTCGCCGGCCCGATTGCATCATGCGCAAGAAAGAGTAGGGTTGAAGAGTAAACAGTCGGCAAGAGCAACATGACAACAAGATATGGGATACGGTAGACTCTATTCAACTGATTGTAATACCTAAAATGAGGCAATTTGCACATTTTTGAGTGTTAGAGCTTACCGCGACGGGAAAATTACGCAGCATAGTCGGTCCAGACCGACAGAAAGATAGGCAAATGAACCGAAATTCATGGCAAACACGAAGGCAATTTGCATGTAGAAACAGGAATCGAGCTCCATGAAATAGTTGATGGCAAAAAAGCGAAGAGCAAAGATGATGTGAGCAAGCTGATGGATAATGTCGAAGAATGCCGTGGTGGCTATCAGAATACAGCAGTTTGTGTGGAGAGCTCTAAAAAAAGCAACATTTGATTTTTGATGATATCCTTTTAGAGAATGCAATATTTTATTATTACACTTATTGGAACCAGACTTAACTAGCGATATTTAAAGTAAGCTTAATTAAAATTTTTTTGGTACTGCCCAGCAAATTAGGTTTACTAACTGAAGGAGAAGATAATAGGACCAAAAAAGAAAAAAATAAAGTGCAAATGTGTTGTAGGTGTGCTGAACTATCATTAAATTAAACCTGCATTATTTTTGCAGCCGGTTTAGCTATTATATTTTAACCATAGGATTTAACGTCATATTCTATACACTAGCGGGCCCAATCTGGCCATGAAGTCAGCCCCATTCAGAGAGTCACATATTCAATTTTCAGCAATTTCGCTCCGCCAAATTTCAGACTTACTTTGTTCGACACGTGGCAATGATAATATTGGCATTTCCAAAGAAGCCCACAAATGCCGTAGCCAAAATTAGAATAATTCCGGGGACTGCTGGCCATATTAGCTTGTCCTTGTATTCGGGGTACAACTGAAAGATAAAACCATTACTTTTCTACACTTTTTCGCCAAAAAAATGTACTCTAAACATCTCAAAAACTCACTTCAGACATCGTGCCAATTGTTTTTTCACATCGATATTATTGACCGTCAGAATGTCAGCGGCTTAATAGGTAGTTTTGAAAGTTAGTTGTCAGCACAAATCAGAGCGATAATTGAATGTTCTGTAAGCGATTAAAATGTAGCCGGTTTTAGAGCAGAAACGAGCAAAATTATGTTAAAAAATTAAAGTAAGCAAATCGAATCGTATATATACAACGCGGAAACAAGGTCGAATTTAAAAGAGAGTTTTTTACAAACTGAAGCTTCCCTCCAAGGGGCCCGGACATTGTTGCAACGACCATCACCAAATTTCTTGAAACTTGGCCAGTAGAAGGGCCTGAGCATGCTGATTAAAGCGAAGAATGGTTTCGCGAATTTTCAACCAGTCCGCGATTACTGTAACAATTTGGGTTTTGTAAAGCAGCCGTTGTCACGGACCGGGCGATCGCCCCACGGGGCTGAGACTTCTTGTCTGTATGTTTTCGAACATGGCCAACATTTTTCTAATTGAAACTTTTTTTGTATCTTTTCGTCTTTCGGTAGTACCGTAATCGTCATGATACCATATCGATTACTGCCGAAAATTGGAAAGAGTGTAACAAGTTTTCAAACCGGATTATAAAAGCTGGACACCCTTCCCGTAAAATGAAACAAAAAAATCAAAAATAAAAATATAAGTTTTTGAGATACTAGTCGCGACATAAAGTCCGTAGAATTTTTCGCGGCCCCCAAATTCCGTCGCGCTCCGAAATGTTGATTTGTCGCTGCGAAAAACGGGAATCGCGCGCGACAATAAGGCAAAATCAACAAAATTGCACAGTGCAAAATGCTTTTTCGGGTTTATGCACAGTGCAGAAAATTCTACGGACTTTATGTCGCGACTAGTATAAGCGTTCAAAGTTGCCATGTTCGGTTACTGTAGGACCAAAAAGGAGATGATCAATTTTCAAACGGTACGATTGATTGCCACGCCTCACCCATTAATAGATCAGCCGTAGAAAAATATTTTCAGGTCAAAAAATAAATATTTGAGGCTTTTTTTCAGGCTTTATACGATGGTTACTGTAGTTTCTAACTTTTGTTAATTTCGCTAACAAATTTATTGGAATGACGAATTTAGACAAGCTATCCGGGTCAGAAACGCGCATACATCATGGAAGGCAAAAATCAGAATCGTAATACTACCCATTCCTGAAATAGTGGGAGATTACGGTAGCCGTACCCACTTTTTTCGCTGTTTGGCCGCGGCATTCTTTGGAGCTGCGAGTGTAACAACTTTTGAGGCCTGAAATTCATTCATGATGGATAGAAGAGCATTTCAGCAAAAAATCGCAAAAATAAAATATAAGTTTTTGAGAAAATCCCGGATTACGGTAGTTTAGGAGAGGAAATCCCCTGAAATGACCGTAATCCCGAATTTTCTCAAAAAACTTATATTTTTTAAAAAATTGACAGTTTTTTGGCAGCTACTGTATATTTTTATTCGCGGGCTTTTTTACATAGGTACTTTCTAGAGCATCGGGGATGTATTTCAGGCTTCAAAAGTTGTTACACTCGCAGCTCCAAAGAATGCCGCGGCCAAACGGCCCAAAAACCCCCTAAAATGACCGTAATCCTGGATTTTCTCAAAAACTTATATTTTTATTTTTGCGATTTTTTGCTGAAATGCTCTTCTATCCATCATGAATGAATTTCAGGCCTCAAAAGTTGTTACACTCGCAGCTCCAAAGAATGCCGCGGCCAAACAGCGAAAAAAGTGGGTACGGCTACCGTAATCTCCCACTATTTCAGGAATGGGTAGTATTACGATTCTGATTTTTGCCTTCCATGATGTATGCGCGTTTCTGACCCGGATAGCTTGTCTAAATTCGTCATTCCAATAAATTTGTTAGCGAAATTAACAAAAGTTAGAAACTACCGTAACCATCATATAAAGCCTCAAATAAAGCCTCAAATATTTATTTTTTGACCTGAAAATATTTTTCTCAGGCTGATCTATTAATATGTGAATCGTAGAGATTAATGGAAAAGTTTAAAAATTGATCGTCTCTATTTTGGTCCTACAGTAACCGAACATAGCAACTTTGAACGCTTATATCTCAAAAACTTATATTTTTATTTTTGATTTTTTTGTTTCATTTTACGGGAAGGGTGTCCAGCTTTTATAATCCGGTTTGAAAACTTGTTACACTCTTTCCAATTTTCGGCAGTAATCGATATGGTATCATGACGATTACGGTACTACCGAAAGACGAAAAGATACAAAAAAGTTTCAATTAGAAAAATGTTGGCCATGTTCGAAAACATACAGACAAGAAGTTTCGGACCCGTAGGGCGATCACCTGGTCCACGACAACGGCCGCTTTATAAAACACAAAATGTTACAGTAATCCCGAAATAATGCAAATTTTGGGAAAACGTTTGACGCTTTTGATGTATGCCTTGTGGGTGTTCTATGAGCCAAATTTGAAGAAATTCGGTGATGGTCACCGCAACAATGTCCGGGCCATGCTTCACTTTGTAAAAAAGTCCGTTTTAAACTATAAAGCTCAAAAATTTTGCATGTTTTGGGACAAACAGAAGGAAATTAATTTTTTTGTGGATGAAAATATGTAGTTTGCAAAGCGATTATGTAAATATTAATTATGATTAAAGAAATTCAAAATTCAATAAAAATTTTTGTGATACTAGTCGCGGAAAAAAGTCCTGGGAATTTCTCGCGGCCGTCGCGCTCCGAAAAGTTGATTTGTCGCGGGAATCGCGCGCGACAATAAGGCAAAATCAACAAAATTGCACTGTGCAAAAGCACTTTTCGGGTTCATGCACAGTGCAGAGTCGCAGAAAAATCCCAGGACTTTTTTCCGCGACTAGTATCATATCCGTCGTATGAAGTAATTACAAGCCATCGCTTTGCAAAAACAACCGAGGATTTTAGTCCGAAAATTGGGCTAACAGGGGAAGTACCCCAAGTGCGACGCTCAGATTTTGATGAAACTTGACACAAATTTAGAATATTTTTTTCTAAAATATATGAGAGAATTCTAGCTCGCGCTTTGCAGAAATAACCGAGATTTTTAGATCGAACGTTGACGAAAATTTGACACTTTTCGTCGAATTTTGGCACGAAAAGTTTCATGCCAATTTCTACCATAGAGGGTAATGTTTCCACAAAAAATCAATTTTTTCCGCACGAAACTAGCAAAGTTATTTCGCCAAAAAGTGTTTTTCTCGCTGACCGCTCTCCGCGTTTAGCGTACTCTCTCAGCGGTAAAGATCGCTCAATATCTCAGCGACGCTTGCAAAGCGCGAGCTAAAACTTTCAGGAATTGATACTTAGTTCATGACCGACACGTGTGCAAAATTTAAAGAAAATCTGAGCGTCACACTTGGGGTACTTCCCTTGTAAATTTGGCATTTCTGTATAAGTTTACCATGGAAATATACGTCAAACTTATCTGTCGGAGACGGTAACTTTTCCACAAAAAAATATATTTTCCGTACAAAATTTACTGAGATAGCCAAAGCGGTTTTCTCACCCGGTTTGCTCTCTGAATTTTGCATGCTTCCTCGTTCGGAAAGATCGTTGAAAACGTTGGATATGTATGGCACAGCGCAGGTCAAAAATGTTAATACCTGGCACGAAATTAAAAAAAATATATTGCGTCGCATTTCGAGAACTTTCATTGTAAATGGAAACAACTCTCTGTGCCGAAAAGTTGGAGAAAATAAATTAACGTGGGAAATACAATACATCACACAGACGTTCAATTAGATAAAATTTAATTCAGTTCAAGTTTCAAGATCGTTGAATGAAAAGCAGACAGAGTGGTGGAAAACAGCGTAATAGTGCGACCAGACCACTTGCAACACCTGCTTATTATCTTATTAAAATACGCAAATTACTCTTCAAATCATTGAAGGAAGCATACCACTATACAAGACCATCCAATTTCGGGTCCTTTGAATGCGAATAAAAACCAAGTTCACTGTCAAACAACGTAATGCAATATATATAGGGTTTTTGGGGAGAGCCCACCCTCCTCGTCAAAGTTCATAACCTTTTTTTAGCGTAATAGATTCAGACGGCGGTTGAGTTTGGTTTGGGTTCAGCTCAGTTACGTGTCCTTGAATGCGTAATTTAAGCATTAGGCGGGCCAAAAAGTCTGTACGCAAAGATTATTGTCATCGCGCGATGACAATAACCTTGGCGCAACTTTTCGAACGGCAACATGTAAAATTCACAATGCGCTGCGTGCAAATTGAATCTTAACAGAACGGCAAAAATCGTATGTTGCGCCCAGTAAATTTCACAGTGCACTGTGATGAGTGCTTCGTTTTTCACTCCACCGAATTTTATCGCGCGACATCCCATCGCAACATGCCGACTGCATGTCCCGCACAGTGCAAAAAAATGTCAGGATTCTTTGGCCCGCCTACTCATAATGGGAAGATTTGTATGGAAGAGTAAATTCCATGGGCACAAACTAACTAATGGGCTTATTGACAGACTTTAGCCTTTTATATTAACGTTCATTTTGTACACCGACAAAACATTTGCAAATTTCATTTCCCGTAAATACAAATTCTTACTTGTTAAACTCAACTTCTACGGTAGTGCGGTACTGTAGTTTGAGACAGAGTTTTACAAAGTTGAAACGTTCAGCACAGCCCGCGGTTATCGTTCTGGCTAAGACATAATACGGCCCAAATTTGAAAAACAAAATATCTGTGAATCCCTGCTCGCCGTATAAGCTCCCGAATCACTTCGAAGCTAATAGCTTTGACGATGTCTATAGCTCTAAAAAAATTTTTTTTGACTCCCTTGCAATTTAGCAAAACCTCCGCAGCGTAGTATTTTAGCTTACAGAGAACTTTAAAAATCGTTGTATAGGCCAACCACAACCAGCGATAAATTATTTAGTTTACGAACCCGGTCATGTGATAGGTAAGCTATAGGTTAAACAAACTTTTCGCAATTTATTTGCTCCACCCGGTACAGAATCCCACTTCCTTGGTCCATTGTACTCCACATCCCACAGCTTTTTCGGACTACGTGTGTTGCTTCGCAGCATCAAAGACCAAAGTACTGTATCGACGAATAAAAAGTGCCCACCGTCGTCATTCCAAGTTCGAGACAACCCAAAAGTTTGCGTGTAAGGAAAGAATGGAGAATGGCCAAGTGAAAGCAAATAAGGGACCAGGAAAGGTTAAGTGAGATATGAATAAAACGGTCGCTCTCGGACAATCTTGGTGCAAATGTCGTTACCGCTAAACATGGGTATACTGTTTGTTGAGGAACGAAAAAATAGTAGGCCACAATATATGTACGTTGTGTCACAAAAAGTGAATTATGGTAGCTTGCAAAGAGTGTTTTGTGGTAATCGAAAGCACGCTTCCGTTTCAGAAGACCCTCCCATTTTTGCGAGATCTGCGGACATGTTTCTAAATATGAAGGGTGCAAGTTCTACAGTCACATTTCGTAAGCTCAAAAGCCACATATCCGGCAGAATTTAGCGACCTTCAAAACTTTTGCACACTGTTCCATACGCAGAGCACTGACTGCGTCAAAAAAATGCGAACATGAGGCAAAAGATATCTTTCGTCTCGTTGGTCATCCAGGCTTTCCATAGCCCTCGATGCCGCGATCATGGTTAAATATTTAGGCCGCAAGGTTGGGAATTTCTCATCAGAACCTGCAAAGCGCAAGCTAAAATTCTTAGGAATTGACGCGTGGCCAATACCCAAAATGCGTGCAAAACTTAAAGAGAATCTGAGCATTACACTTGGAGTACTTTTATTGTAAGTGGTTTGATGTTATACACAGCGGAGGTTTCCATACATAGTTTTGCATCCTTACAATTGACCTCCATGGCTTGCGTGTTGAAGTGGCGGTGCAAAAGAACGGTCCGATCTCTCTGGACCACGACTAACTAACCAAGAGAACCAGCACAACCCAAAAAGTCTTGGAGGTCATTTGTTGAAATTTGCATAGAAGCTTGAGAGTTCTTTTTGTAAGGAAAAAAGTTTTTTTTTGTAATTTTCTAACAAGGGAAGTACTTGAAGTGCGACGCTCAGATTTTGATGAAACTTGGCATAAATTTAGAATAATTTTTTCTAAGATATATGCGAGAATCCTAGCTCGCGCTTTACAGAAACAACCGAGATTTTTAGATCAAAAGTCGGCGAAAATTTAGGACTTTTTGCCGAATTTCGGCACGAAAAGTTTCATGCCTATTTCAACTGTAAAGGATAATGTTTCTACAAAAAATCAAATTTTTCCGCACGAAACTGCCAAAGTTATGGCCAAAAAGCGCTTTTCTCTCTGACCGCTCTCCACGTTTAGCGTGCTCTCTCGGCGGCAAAAATCGTTCGATATCTCGGCGGCGCCCGCAAAGCGCGAGCTAAAACTTTCAGGAACTGATATTTAGTCCATACCCGATGTGTGTGCAAAATTTAAAGAAAATCTGAGCGTCACACTTGAAGTACTTCCCCTGTAAGTTTAATGACTGGGAATTCTCTCCTGCATTCCTTTGCACAATAAAACTAAACTCCAAACAATGGGGATCCTTACAATATTGTCGTTCATACTGTGCCACTGTAGTCCCGATATTGTAGTTTGAAGTTTCGATGACTTTTTGAAGGGTCCAACTTGTGAATGTCTGGTTGATAAAGCAAATGTATTAAAGACTGTCAGGGAATTAGTCAGCTGGTAAATGGATTGTATCTAGCGGGTATTTCCAAAACAAAATTCCTGACATTGTAGTCCGATGGGCCGCATCTAAAGCCAAAAGTTTTGATGACTTTTTGAAGGGTCCAACTTGTTAATACCTTGTTGATACGGCAAATGTTTTAAGATTGGAAAAGGAATTGTATTAGAGCTTCGGAGGCAAAATTTGTCTGTCTCCTTTGGGTCTCATCACCCTTAAATTGGCATTTGTTTTCGTTGATAAGAGACCTTTATAAAGTGAGAACAAAGGGCAGCAAAACCCCTGAGGCAAGCTCATTATCAGAGGTCGAAGGGACGGCAGACGTTTAAATTACACTTTCCGGGACTTTGACAAAAAAGTTTTAAAACTATGAGAAATATGACCAGATTAGTGTCTCGGTTTTTTAGCTCAACGTTTCATGGGGTGGAAACTTCTGATTACGGCTACAGCTTTTGCGGGCCTGGCGCTCTTGACCTACAATTACATTACCACAGAACCGGAGAAAGTAAGTTACCACAAATTTTGTTTTTTAAACCTTCATATATATTATACTTTTAAAATATGATTAAAGCCGCAGCAGATTTAGTGACTAATTTCTTCGAGCTTTTTTTGCAATGTTACGTTTTTAAAAGAGATGATCCTTTTGCAGTGTAGAACATCTCTGTCATCTCTTACCGACTCTCCCCATTTTTCTTGCTCTCTCGAAAACAAGGAAGCTGAAAACCTAGACTGCAGCTGAAAATGTGGGCTATAGAAAAGCCTAATTTCGTCCCAGAATCCATAGAAATATCAACTTCATAGCTTGAACGCTTTACCTATGTATTGGCCTGAAAACACATTTTTCTCAAATTATTAACTCCTTTTTAGGTAAATTGGCCGACCACCGGATATTTCGGACCAGGAAAACCTCAACAAGACGATGAAAACATCCATCCCTTCCGGATTCAAGTCCCCGACGCTGCAATTCAAGATTTAAAAAATCGACTAAAGCAAGTTCGAGTAACTCATGAGGACCTTGAAGACATCCACAACTTCGAATACGGATTCTCCAAAAAAGCGTTGAACATTTACAAAAGTTACTGGCTAAATGAATACGACTGGAGAGTCCACGAAAAGAAGCTGAATGAGTTTAGTCATTTTAAAACGCAAATCGAAGGGATAAATCTGCATTTCATCCATCAAAAGGCGGTTCAAAACAAGTATAAGAATGTAATTCCATTGCTAATGTCGCATGGCTGGCCTGGAAGTGTTCATGAGTTCAGTAAAATCATCCCCATTCTGCTGGACCCGAAGGCACATGGGATTGAAAGCGATTTCGCATTCAATGTGGTGACGCCCTCTATTCCCGGCTTTGGTTGGAGTAGCGCGGCGGCGAAGAGCGGTGAGTTATATATTTCGGAAATTCCACTCCTTTGCGAATCGTAGGACCAAAAATTCATTTGTGATACGAGAGCCACAAATTTGACTTTTTGTTTACAGGGTGCGGCAAAAAAATGGAAACTTATTTTTATAGCTATATTTTTCCTAGCAATCCAAGTTCCGCAAAAGTAACGGTCATCTTCAATAATATAGAGCATTGTCTATAACATATTCAACCCGTTTTACCGCGGCTGCTTTTGGAGGCGATATAGAGCTCCAATCGTGACTTAAAATTTTGGCCTTTTGGCCGCAGCTTTTTTCGGGGAAATCGGTCCCGTTCTTGACGCAGCGATTACTTTGCGACTCCAAACTTTTGTGGCGTGTAGTACAGATGCTGGCCTCCAACTGAAAAAAAATTACAGTCCATGGGATCTATACCCGGCGAGCAGGCGCTCTTTTCGCAGACGGGGTGAAATCGGGAAAATCGGTCTCAAAATCGGTCTTGACGCGTTGTTGCCCTGTGAGTCGGCGCTGAGTCTAGTTGGAACGTCAAATTTGCGCTGCCAAGGTTCTACTGAGCCAACAGAAGCATGTGGACATCGAAGTTAACGCGGCGCTAGAATTTTGCCCGCTTGATCCACGAAAATCTCGGAATTCTTGCCGCTGGCACAAATTCCCCCTTAGGCGATGACGGCCCTTATTTTGACGGTGTTCGTCGTTAGCCGACGTGCAGAGGGCCTCATCGGATTGGACTGTCACGTTCTGTTGGTTGTGCACCCGCCAAAGATTGCACCGCGAAGGGAATGCGCTCCCATCGCGGACCTGCGGCCCGACGTCTGAATTTTCGGCATTTTTTCAGGCATACGGGCTTGATCTTGCCGATTAGGAGTTGGGCATCTCAGACCTTGCGTGGGGAGACCTTGAGTTGATTTTTAGCTATTTGGCCGACTGGTCGGTCGCTGATGCCGGTCTCACGGGCAATTTTTTCTCGAAATCGACGGATTTCGTTATTGATGACTCCGCGGCTGGCAGAAGTGTTGGCGGTGCGTTTTCTTTCGCTTACTGGACGCTTAAAATTGTCAAAAAGCTCCCTGCATTGTGTGATTACTTTGGACACAACGTGCTTTCTATGCCGGGCAAATTAACAGTTCGCACAGGTAAAAAAACAGGTCCGAAATCGAGGTCCCTCTGTTTGTCATTCAAAAAAATAATGTTAATAAACCGATATGGGCATGAAATTATAAGGTTTAGGAGAGAAAGCTACGTAGAACTTAATGGTATGAAAATAATTTTGCTACACTTAAAAATTTTTGCGTCAGGACCCAATAAAAAAAGTTTCCGTTTTTTGCCGCACCCTGTACATATACGCTGCAAAACGAAGGACGTATATTTTACAAAATTTTCCCTGTTAATCCCTCCTGGTCTTCCATAATCTCTCGTCTTCAAGGATCGTTGAAAATCCCAGTTGCGCATGCAAATTAGCCAATATTTTCTTCCATTATAACACGTCCTAATTAAGTCTGTCGAGAAAATAATGTGGACTCTTCGCGCGATAAGATCGCCCATTTCTGCCTTGCGATGATTGGGGATTTGATGCGCAGCAGCGACCTGACAAGATCACGTTATTTTCCCGACTGACCGGTAGAAAACAAGTACGAAATATCTCCAGTCGAAATATCGTTAAAATTTTTCATCTATACTCCGCCGATTTAATTTGGACCAGTCTGAAACTTGAAAACGGTTATAGATATGAACTCCATTCCTTCAACAAGTTTGATCGCCAGTCGACTCTATGTTCAACTGTAGCAAAATATTTCCTCTGCCTTGAGGCACAAGAAAAATAATCGGATTTTTTAATTTTTGCTGTCGAAAAAGTTTGGACCAGGGCAACAAAAATTTGCATTTCTTTATCACTAGGTGGGGTGAAACAGTGATAACTTGTGAAAGTAATTGTGATTCCCTGCTGATTCTAACGAGCAGGAAATTCCGAGATCAGCGCTGTGTTTAAGGCCCTGAGGGCAATTTTTAAGAAAATTCCCAAAATTCCAGAAATTTTTCGCCCTAGCGCTTGAGTAAGAAGCGTAAATCGTCTTAAATTAGTTTCAGTGCAACCGCAGTATAGTGTACATCTAATTGGATGACGTTATAAAATAGTTTTACATCCAAAATTTTTTGTTCTTGGAGGATTTGTGACTTTGAAACTTGGGTTGGCGATAATTGTGAGGCCACTGCGCTCAAACAACTGCTAAATCATACAGCGTTTAGCGTGGGACGTATGAGGGGCATGCCACACTTTCCTTCTGTGTCAGAACAATATCCGATTTACACGCGACAAATGCACAATAGACCGAAAACTTTGATAAAAAAATTTAAGAAGAGGGTGCTTACTTAAAAGTTTTCGAAAGTGAAAAAAGATGTTCCTATATGTATATTATACGTTTATTCCGCTAAGAGGTGCTAGCCAGACTTGATAGAACTTAATTTTATGCACATTAAATTGTTTTTTTCTCAACATGTTTCGACTGGGCCAACGAAAACTTTTTTTATCAAAGTGTTCGGTCTATTGTGCATTTGTCGCGTGTAAATCGGATATTGTTTTGACACAGAAGGAAAGTGTGGCATGCCTCTCATACGTCCCACGCTAAACGCTGTATGATTTAGCAGTTGTTTGAGCGCAGTGGCCTCACAATTATCGCCAACCCAAGTTTCAAAGTCACAAATCCTCCAAGAACAAAAAATTTTGGATGTAAAACTATTTTATAACGTCATCCAATTAGATGTACTCTATACTGTGGTTGCACTGAAACTAATTTAAGACGATTTACGCTTCTTACTCAAGCGCTAGGGTGAAAAATTTCTGGAATTTTGGGAATTTTCTTAAAAATTGCCCTCAGGGCCTTAAACACAGCGCTGATCTCGGAATTTCCTGCTCGTTAGAATCAGCAGGGAATCACAATTATTTTCACAAGTTATCACGGTTTCACCCCACCTAGTGATAAAGAAATGCAAATTTTTGTTGCCCTGGTCCACACTTTTTCGACAGCAAAAATTAAAAAATCCGATTATTTTTCTTGTGCCTCAAGGCAGAGAAAAAATGTTGGTACAGTTGAATATAGAGTCGACTGGTGATCAAACTTGTTGAAGGAATGGAGTTCATATCTATAACCGTTTTCAAGTTTCAGACTGGTCCAAATTAAATCGGCGGAGTATATATATACATCACAAAGCACTGTTAAATTTCGGCCAAATTTCGAAAAAAAAAATCTAATTTTTTCAACACTACCTTTCCAGGCATGAACGCAGGCGCTGTTGCTCGAATCTTCCACAAACTTATGCTCCGACTCGGTTACAACAAATACGCCGTCCAAGGTGGAGATTGGGGCTCTACAATCGTCTCAAATATGGCTCGTTTATATCCAAATAACGTCGTTGGCTGCCACTTGAATACGTTTGTATCGTCCCGGAAAGATGTTCTGTTACAATCTATTTTGGTAACCGTCGCTCCAGGGTTCTTTTTACATGAAGAACCGATGAAAGACTATAATTTCTTCAAGACGTTGAAATTTGTGATCATTCGTGGAGGGTATTTTCATCTTCAAGCCACCACTCCAGATACTATTGGTAAGAAAACGGTGTTCTTTTTCAAAGTTAATTAACTGCCTAAGGGCCTACAGCTTTTTCATAAATCTAATTTTACAGGAATTGGCCTCAATGACTCCCCAATAGGCCTGCTGGCGTGGATGTTGGAGAAATACATTACTGGCACTAACACAAAATTCTCAAAAAGCGAAAACCCGGAGGAAATTGTAAAGAAAATCTCAAAAGAAGATCTCTTGACCGCCGTTTCTCTGTACTGGTTCAATGGAAATATGCTGCAATCGGCGAGGTTTTACAAGGAGAACATGAACAGTGAATTAATGCAACTTCAGCGGTAAGAAGTCGTAAGGAGTCGCATGCAAGCGCCCGCTGAAAAATGCCGCTTGATGGGAGGGACCCGCTCAAGGCCGCGAAAAGCTTGGCAGAGGCTAGGCATGCTGTTAATCACCACTTTAATACACTATTATTTTCAGTCAATTTATCTCCGTTCCAACCGGCTACGCTTCGTTGGGGAATGACGCCGTTCCAGCAGTTCCTCAACGAGTCATTGAGACCGCAGTAAACCTAACGCATTACACTTTTGTTCCGGATTTGGGCCATTTTGCCGCATTAGAAGGCCCCAAAGTCTTAGCTAAAGACATTTTCAGCTTTGTAGAAGAGTTGGATTAAGCTATTCACATCATTTTTAACCTGGTTTAGATATTTATAAAATCTCAGAAATTGTAATAAAATTGCCCTATTTTTATCAGTTTTTGTATTCGCAGAAAACGTTGTTTCCATAAAATGTTTACATTTTTACCGGGTAACTGATTATCATCAGAATAGCATACAAAATACATAGATCAATGACCGATTGTTACCTTTCTTACTTCGAGATAAATTTAAAGTTCATTAAACGCTAGAGCAATGTGTTGTGTATGATTTGTTCGATTTAATTGTAACCTTTCACCAAAATTTTCGCTTCAAAGGGAATATAAACTATAATGAACCCTACGTTTGATAAGAGGGACAAATAACAGATATGAAGTTTCTGCAGCCCTTCAACCAGAAAATTTTCAGATAGCGTTTTGGTTCCAGCGCTTGATGAAACTTGGCGCAAATGAGGGCAAACTTTTTTTTGTGGACGCCCTCTGCGCCTAGTTTTATTCCAATTTTATATTATACACATATGCCCGCTTTTCGTGTAAAATATTTTACCTCCCACATTGAATTACAGAAGAAACCTTTAAAAAACGAAAAAAAATCTAATCGCAAAATGCGTTGACCTTTTCCAACAACTACAAGTAAGGATGCATTTTGTGCAATCTGTAAAAGGCATATCCTCTTAATTTATGCAAAACTGAAGACGAATAATTAATCAATTTTTCACTGTTTTCGATGTCAAATACGCAAATTTTCTGTTGAAACGTGTTGAAAACCTCTGTATTACTGTCGTTGAGATAAATCGTTCTCTATAATCTACCTGAAGATCAATTTTTATCTCCGCTTGAACGAAGCTACCGTTAAGATTTTTGGAAATGATATGCATGCCTATATAACTTATAGTTTGAACCCACGATAACGGTCGCGCCTCGCGCAATCCTCTCCTTGATTGCACTATCTTTCCTATCCATCGTTTTCTCTTGAAACGTTATTACTACAACTTTTGTGCGCTTACTACAAACAAACAACAAGAATTTTACAGTATCTTGCAGTTTCTTCCCGCTAATTACTGTGCTGCATTTTACAAAATAGCGTAGCCTAGTCCTCGGAACCACTCTCACAAATTATCAGATAAGCCCTTCTTCCATCCCTCCCTCCAGGGGTGTTCCGAATTTAGAAAAGAAAAACAGAACGCACAAGGCTCGGAAAGATTACACAATTTGTTACCTTTAAAACCTCGCGAAACAATCGGAAAAGGTGGACCAGCCCCGAAGCACAACAAGCGATGTGGACGCTGCTGCTCGTTCCCTCAATTTTGATTGGGGTTATTGCTTATTACTTGTATAGCTTCATCTTCATTGCTTATGACAAGGTAAGAATTTAATTATTAATGGAATAGGTGGTAGTCTAGACATAGCTTTGGTTTCAAAACGTATCGCAGAAACCGAAAGACAGCAAGTTTTAAACAGTGAAACATGAGGTTCAAAACAAGCAGTCATTCTGTGCCCCTGTGGTACTTTTTGATACCAACTTCGTGCATAGTTTGATCTCTTTTTGGATCTTACTGTTACCTAATATGCGCCTTACAAGGGAAGTCATTTAAGTCACGGATCGATTTTTAAAAACGACTGTTACGGTAATGGAGAGGGTGGAATGAGGATATCGAATCTGGAAACCGCTACCTCCTCCGGCCTCTGGGAGCTGAGGTATCGACCAACAAGTTTGACCAAAAAAAGTTGCCTCGAAAAGTCCTCCTTTCCATTCGGTTCTGTCCTTTCGCTTTCGAAACGGAGAACTTTTCGGAGGGAATTTGGTCAAACTTGTTGGTCGATTATCTCGGCTCCCAGAGGCCGGTGGAGGTAGCGGTTTCCAGATTCGATTCCGCCATTCTACCCCCTCCATTGCCGTAACAGTCGTTTTTAAAAATCGATCCGTCACTTAAGTGACGTCCCTTGTAAGCAGCTCTGTCATCGAAGCTTTCCGATAATACAGTTTTACAAAAACGTTGCAGCACAACTTCCCTACTGATGGCTACTTCGGCCCAGGCGCTCCAAAACCGGATGATGAAACCATCTACCCTTTCTCCATCAATGTTTCCGATGCTCAGATTGAAGACCTCAAATCCAGACTCCGGAATTCTCGAGTCACTCACAGCGATCTCGAAGATACCAAGGCTTTTGAGTTTGGGTTAAGCCGAAAAGCATTGGACGACTTCCGAAACTACTGGCTAAATGAATACGACTGGAGAGTCCACGAGAAAAAACTAAATGAATTTAGTCATTTCAAAACTCAAATCGAAGGAATCGATCTGCATTTTGTCCATCAGGAAGCGGACAAAACCAAGTACAAAAAGGTGCTCACTATCCTATTGGCACACGGCTGGCCTGGAAGTGTTTATGAATTCAGTAAAATCATCCCAATTTTGGTCGATCCCAAGGCAAATGGAATCGAAAGCGATTTGGCATTCAATGTAGTGGCGCCTTCCACTCCTAACTATGGATGGAGTGGCCCGACGCACAAAACTGGTGAGTAGCTCGGCCAGATCTGTACGAACAAAGTTCAAATCTGCCAAGGTTTTTGAGGAATCTCTATATCTCACACCAAACCCCATAATTCCTTTCATTGAAGGTATGAACACCGGAGCCGCCGCTCGTATCTTCAGCAAACTTATGAAACGTCTAAACTACTCAAAATACGTCGTACAAGGCGGAGATTGGGGATCTTATATTGTGTCAAACCTTGGCAGACTCTACCCAGACAACGTCATTGGAGTCCACTTGAATATGATCCGATCACTAAGACGGGATGTCATTTTCCAACAGATACTTTGCTCCATTTTCCCCAGCCTATTAAAGGGAGAGCCGTTACAGAATTATACCTTTATGTCAACCATAAAATTCTACTTGCTTTCCGGGGGATACTTCCACATTCAAGCGACCGAACCGGACACTTTGGGTGAGTTTTAGAGTTCAGCTTGAAAACTGACTTGTTTCGTATAGATTTTTTTTTTAAAAACAGGGTCAAACTACGTAAAAAGTGGTGTAATACAATTGAAACCCCTAAAAACAGCTAGAACATACTGAAAAGAGCGCGTAGACCCCAATAGTTTCCATAAAAAAAGGCTTTCAGATACCAAATGAGACTTTTAGGTAAAAATTACCCTAAAATCCTAGAAAGCTCGCTATAACAAAAATTGCTTCCAACAAATAACTCCTGATGCAATTTTACTACCCCTGTTATTTCAGGTGTTGGCCTAACTGACTCCCCAGTCGGCCTTTTATCCTGGCTTATGACCATCTACTACAAGGGAACCGACCTCCGACTCATGGAAACCCCCGATTACGAAGAAATTTTCAAGAAACACGGTAAGGACGAGCTCTTCACAGCCATCTCGATCTACTGGTTCAACGGGAACATCTTGAACAGTGTCAGAACTTACAAGGAAAACGTGGGAAACACTGAATTGGAAAACTTGCAAAGGTAATATAATTTTGCGTCAAGATAATCTTGTAGAACCTACATCCCTGTGCCAACTGCTTACGCCGCCTTAGAACTCGACGCTGTGCCAGCTGTGCCGAAAAGAGTCGCCGATATTATCGGGAATATTGTTCAATACAGTTATGTGCCAGATCTTGGACACTTCGCGTGCCTAGAAGGACCGAAAAGAATGGCCAAGGACATTTTCAAGTTTGCCAAGTTGCTCACAAAATAAAATATTTGTCTTATAGTTTACTTTGTAGTTTGAATAAACGTATTTTACCGTCTCCCAATTTTTCATTCTAAGTCCCATCACGGAAAATTGAAATGCAAAAACATCTTGGCATTGTGTTTTACTCCTAAATTCTTCGTTCTTTTTTGTTATTCTTCTCGTTTCTTAGTTCTTCTTGTTTCTACTTGCATATTCGGGTTGATTGTAGAGGATGCCTCGTTCTGTCAAAGCTGTGAAGAGGTCCAGAGTGAAGAAAACCTTCACCAACAAGAAGAATGCCGCTAAAAGACAAAAGGCCAAAGCCAGAAAGAAGGTCGGGCAACCTGGACCCGGGTAAGTCTTTTTCCCTTATTGTTCTACCGTTTAGATTGTAAGAATATTAATATTTGTCGTCTATTTTTTTAGCCATGTGCTCCATGAAGTTTGGGATTCAAAGAAATCTGTTCGTCAAAATTTGAAAGCCGCCGGTTTAGTGTTCAATCCTAACGAAGTGGTCCCAATAGAGAAGAAAAAGAAGGATATTGTCGTCGATATGGTCGATTTGGATGCTGTTAGCAGTTTAGCTTCTTTACAAGAGCAAAAGGTAAGCGGATGTCAAGTATAATATAATTTCGCCAAATTCTTTTCTGATTTTTGTGTTTAGGTGAGGAGCAAGAAAGCCAAAGGCTTGGCGAAGAAAATTGAAGCTGATGCAAAGGCAGCCACAGCTAAACAGAGCAATCGGCCTCCGCCAAGGCTACGTCAGCCCGAGTTGGAGTTCTGCACAAAAATGATCCAGAAACATGGGGTTGACTTCGAAGTGAGTTTGATTTTACCTACTTCACAGAATTAACAAAGCCTTTGGAATGTTGAAACCTCACTGATCGTTCCACTTCAATGAAATTATCTTGTTTTAGGCGATGGCTAGAGATCACGAAAATATCTATCAGAACACAGCCAAACAGATCCAAAGGAAGATTGAGCTGTTCAAAAAGTCCCAAGCATACAAGGAAGTCGTTGGCGAGGCGATGGAAGAGTGATCATTCGATTTTCTTAATTAAATTTTTGTTGATTTTTCGTTATTGTTATATAAATCATTATACATCTTGAGTTTGTTGATGCTGTTGAGAAGGAATTAGTTCTTTGTCTTGAAAATATTGTAAGGTATTTAAGACGGGTTGGGTTTGTCAGCATTGTCTCAAATTTTCATTATAAAATGCGCCAAAGAAAGGGTTTTTCTATTAGATTCATGTGGATGCCATAACCGACTGCATTTTTTAGAATGGAAAATGTGCCACCAAAAGGTCTCATTGTATTTGCCGAAGCTTCAGAGCATGTCTCAGCGATTCCTTTGTTAACGGCGACCCTGAAACGGCTATCTCAACAGAGCTTTGAAATCGCTGCCGTTCTCAATTTCTCGAGGCAAAATAAGATCCAAGAAAGATTCAATAACGCTGGGTAAGGCAATTTCTGGCTTGCTAAAGCTGTTTAACCCCTCTATCTTTAGAATATCCTCTGTAACGACGTTATGTCTTCCTGATATTGAGAAGATCCCTCAATTTTTCTCTGAAATCCCTGGAAAATTGAGTCATCTTCAGAAACCCCTGGTTTTTGTTGAAAATCTGAACGTCTACATCGAAATTATTGGTATCGATGCTACAATCAGAGAGCTCATGAGGCTGTCGGCTAAATTTCCAGTGTATACTATCGTCAAAGTTGAAGGATTAGACGATCTGAGCAAAAATCGACTAGACTTTGTATCAGCTGCTGTTCTCAATCTTAAATCGGATAAATCTGGAAGGAATCTATGCGAAACAGTGATCCGCAAGAAGGACGGGAGCCTTAAGACCACTGTAAGTTATCTTTGATACATAGAAGTACTAAATTTGAGAGCCTAGTTTTATATTATCCGATGTCATGGACAATATAAAAATCCATTGTAAACGGCGTCTAAACTCTCGTATTTGTAGCTGGAAGAATACACAATCGAACCAGCATCATTTTCAATTGAATCAAAGAAGTATAAGCCGGAAAAAGTGAATTATATTGAAGTAGATGCACCTGAAACTTCCGCGGCCTCTCAACTCCCAAAGACCACATTCGACATGGGTCTGAATTTACGAGAAGACGAAGCCAAGGCCAAGAAAACCACACGGCTTCCGTATACCAACGCTCAAAATGAACAGGGCCTGGTGAATTTGAATATAACTTCAGGTAGGAAGGTCAGAGCGGGCGGACAAATCATCTACACGCCTGATCGCGATGACGACTTGGATGACAGTGATCCCGACGACGATTTGATGATATAACCTGTGATTCTCTTCATGTTATTTGTCGATAAATTGCATTTTGACCTTGAAAATTGTTTAAGATAGGTAAAAACTGCCGTTTATTGCAAGCTGAAGATGTTTGGAGGGCATTTTCGCCTTTAACACGCCATTTGAATGCAATCCCAGCGTTTTAAACGACCCTTTTCGCATTACTTTAGGGGATAATTGAAAAGAACGCAATAAAAAAGCTGGATAACTCGAGGTAATAAGAAATTTGGGTCCAAATGCTCGCAATTCGCATAAAACTGTCTAATTCCACCTTAAAATGCAAAATTCAAATTTTTGCGGTACAAATTGCACATTGCAAGAGAATTTTTTTATTCCACCTTGTGAACTTTACCAATTCGAAATTTTTAGATTGCACTGTGCATCCATTTCTTTGTTCTGTGCACAACTCGCAGAGAAGTTGCACTGCGTTGCGGCAGAACTCTCCCCCCTTTTTGAGCACTCCCCCTTGAATGAACCCTCCCCTTTTTGAACACTCCCCCTCATTTTGAAAATTGAAAAAATTAGGTGTGACATGTTATACGATTAATTTTTTTTCAAATTGAAAAAATGAGGTGTGACATGTTATACGATGGAATTTTTTTCAAATCATTTTCTCAATTTGGCGGAACTCTCCCCCTTTTTTGATTTGCACCAAGAAATCTGAACTCTCCTCTTTTTTGAACACTCCCCATTTTGAAAATTGAAAAAACGAGGTATGACATGTTATACGATGAAAATTTTTTTCAAATTGAGAAAAGTGAAAAGGGGGAGAGTTCCGCCTTTTTTGGGGGAGAGTTGAAAAAGGGGGAGAGTTCAGATTGGGGGAAAGTTCAGAAAAGGGGGCGACTTCAGGCTCAACCGTTGGCACTGTGCGGATTTGCAAGAGAATACCAAGAATTGGGCGGGTCCCAAGCAGAAAGAATTTCGGCGCCAAAACTCGTCCTCGAGTGGGTGCGGCGTTTCCGCGTCCGCATTCACGGTCAGTTCGTGGGCAGGCTCCGCTGTCGTGTAATTCCCAGGTTTTTTATTGTTGTTTTCTAAATTTTAGGCATCAGCACATCATGTCCGACGGTCCCGCAGCTTCTCCCAAGCCAGCCGCCTCACCGAAACCGGCCAAGGCCGCGAAAGCCAAGCCCGAAAAGAAGGCGGAGGCCAAGCCAAAGGCCGACAAAGCCCCCGCTAGCCACCCCGCCTACGGGATCATGATCCAGGACGCCATCAAAAAAATCAAGGACAGGAAAGGAGCCTCTCGAGGTGCCATCCAGAACTACATCACTGCCAACTACAAAGTTGCAGGTGTCACGAAATTTGTGAGTTTTCTTCTTCTTTCTGTGTTGTGTTTAGATGCTGTTACCTTCTTTTGATTTCTTTCTGAAGATTCTAAAGATTTGTATCAAAAAATTGGCATGGATAATGTGATATTGGTCATAAAGATGTCTTTTTTGAGCTAAAATTGTGTCAGGAACACTCGTTTTTTCTGTTAATTACTGGGCATATAAGTTGAGACCACATCTGAGGTGAATTTTTGATATTACACTTGATCAATGAAAAAATTTGATGGTTCTTTTTTTTGCGGAATTTGAGGTTGAAACCTGTATAAGAAAGAAGGTGTTGCAATCTGTTGCTTTTATGGGAATTTTCGGTTGTTTTAGACGAAATATGGGCATTTTGGGTATTACTTTCAATAGTTTCTAAGTCTAATAAAATTTGGGTATGCTACACTCCTACTGTTTTATTACGTTTGTAATTTTGGCACTGGGTTCCTATTTTTCTGTTTTGAAGTTTTTAACTGCCCCTACTTTTCATCTTGGCATAGAAGACATTATTCCAATCGGTTATTCGGATCTTTTCAGATTGTCAGTCAAATCCGCAATTCTTTGAAACGTCTAATCGTGTCTGGAAAGATCGTTTTGGTCGCCGGAACCGGTGCACATGCTCGGTATGGTCTGTCTGGATCGGACAAGAAGCCTGCTGCCAAATCGCCAGCCAAGAAGGCTGCCGCCAAGTCCCCGGTCAAGAAGGGCGCCGCCAAATCTACGCCCAAGAAGAAGGCGGCTCCAGCAGCCAGCGACAACGAAGTTGCTGCCGTCGCCGAGCCAAAAGCAGCCGCTAAGAAAAAGGCCGCCGGATCAAAGGCAGCGCCCAAAAAAGCCGCCGCGCCCAAGAAATCGCCCGCGAAGAAGAAGGCCGTCGCCGAGACCGACGTCGCTCCCGAAGCCGTCGCCAAGCCAAAGACGCCCACCAAAAAGGCCGCCGCGCCAAAGAAATCGCCCGTCAAGAAAGGCGCTGTGACCAAGAAGAAGGCCCCAGCGAAGAAGGCGGCTCCCAAGAAGACCAAGGCATAAAATGATCATCCGTAATTATTGTTGTTGCTCTCACGTTTTATTTATTATTGTATACAACCTCTAAATTCCCATTAATACAAGGATTCTGCCATTCTCCGACCTCGATCTCATCCTGTTGCAATGTTTCCGTCGATAATAAATACATGATCCTAAAGGAAGGACGGCTGATTAGCCATGGATAAGAAAGACAAAATGTATTCAGCTCTAGAAAGGTCTGTCCTCTACATCGGTGATCCTGGTTTGTGTAAGGCCGAGTTTAGGGACTTGGTTTTTACGTAATTAGGGCTCTGTTGAGGATATCATGCGTCCCTGAGGCTATTCACTTGTCTTTGACTAAATTCGGTGGTTTCTGACCTTGTACTCGACTCTAAGCAGCCACAAGTTTTAATTCAAAATGAGAGAACGTTTGTTTCCCAAAAACTTGTCAAATATAACATCGCTAATATTATTTTTTCAAGTTATGGTATTTTAGGACCCATCATGACCCTAGTAATTCCGTTTATGACCAATTATTCCCCCGAAATCCAATCAAATTCCGCAAAATCCGTTTTCAAATTTCCCGCCAAGGGTTCTGTAGGGAGCGTGGGAAACAAGTGGGCGGAGCTTTCCCACGCTTTTTCTCGGTCGATTTTTGTGGCCGCACGACCGTGAAAATGATGAACGTCTTCCAGAATCACCGCAGGTAAGTGTAAATTATTGTTTTGCATTGTTCTTAGGACATTCTTCGAGGAGTTGATCAATTTTTTGGAAGTTTCTAACCAATGGACTGTATAATATAAGGATTTTTTGATTGAAAATTTGTGTTTTTGCTAGGACATTTGCAAATTTAGGTAGTATTCGGACTGCAGGAGAAGTTCTGATGTGCTTTTGAGATTGTTTTTGGTTTTAGATACCGTACTGTACATGAAATTACAGTAGACCAACAATTTGCAAAAGCGAAAAATTATACCTTCTAATGTCTCTGAACAAACACTGAGAGTTTTTTTTTGTGTTTTACACCCTAGATTATCATTTTTAGTCCCTCACATTCCAGTCATCTTGTGCCTTCCACCTTCACCGCCCCAGTTCAGAAGTCAAATTTTGATGTCTTCGATAAACTCATGGCTCAACAGCCGAAAGGGTACGTCTAGTTTCCCTCTGCTGTATTTACGATCGCTTTTAGACTACATATTATTACGAAAAAATTGCTTTTAGGATCAAATTGATGATCAAGCCTCTTTCCATTCCCTTGGTCCCGCCGGAGCTTCCCGAAACCCTGGTTTACTCCCCAAAGGTCTTTCTTGGCGGATTGCCGGTTGAGTTCTCGAGTGCTCAGCTGTATCGGGCTGTTCGGGGATACGGCGATGTCGAGATTATATGGCCAAGTATGGCGGGAGGTGAGTTTTTTTTTTGATTTTTTTGGCTTTTAGATGAATTTTGTTGATTGCGATTAAAAAGAAGATGATTTATGTGACTCTCGTGACGTAATATGTTTTTTAATGCAATTTCATAATTTTTGAATCTAGTTCAAACTTGTTTTTGACAAATTTTATATTCATCATCGTCATGATGAATATAAAATTTGTAAAAAATTTTGAATTTTGTCCCTTTTCACTTTAGCCCTGCAATTTTTGGTCTCCCAAATTCTTGCTTAACCCCTTACTCGACCTTTTTGGTACCTTAAAACCTTGATTTATCAATAAGTTTCCTTAAAATTTCCCTTTTTCAGCCAGAAGCGGAGGAGGTTATTGCTTCCTCATTTTCTCGTCTGACGCCTCTGTGAACGCGTTGATCAAGGATTGTCGAGTCAACGACGATGGTTACTTCAAGAGTTTCCGCTTGGAACACAATCGTTATGCTCAAGTTCAAGTCCGGCCCTGGCTTTTGGCCGACGGAGATTACGTCCCCGATCCGAACGTCAAAATCGATTCCAGATTGATTGTGTTCGTTGGTGGTGTACCGAGAACTGTTAGAGCGGGTGAGTTGCGGGAGGATGAGGGGTAAAAATTGAAGGGAATGAAATTTTTCGTAAGATTTTTGGACTGTTTTAGGCTAGATTTGATGATTTTTTGAAAATTTTTACAACTTTTGAAAAATTACCGATTTGGAAAAGGTCTAATGGACCCCTGAGGCCTTCTTGAGCCCTATAGTTTATTTAGAGCGCAAGTGATTTGTTATAAAGGAAAAATTTTTGACGATATTTGCGAATTTTCATGATTTTTGCCTAAAATAAGGTAATTTGATGGATTTTTGAAATTTTTTTTGCTTCTTCGCCCAACTCAAAGCCTCCTAATTTAGTAATTGAGCCATATTACACCTAAAAAAAGTGAAGATCCAAAAAAATTTCAGTTGACATTGCCCTTGCCATGTCCAAATTTGGAGCCGTCGCCTACGCCGGAATTGACATGGATGCCGAACACTCCTACCCAAAAGGCGCAGCTCGCATCGCGTTCGTCTCTCCGAAGGCCTACATCAATGCCATGTGCTCGAAAACCGTAACGATCCAGGTGAAAGGCGAAAACAAGACGCTCCAATTGAAGCCGTACTTGATCGAGGACGCGGAATGTGAAGAGTGCACCGGAGAACTGCCGATTCCGAAGCCGGGAAGGTACTTCTGCGCCGAAGTTTCCTGCCTGAGCTACTATTGCCACAGTTGTTGGAATACGGTGCATTTCGAGAAGACTGTGGTGGATCGCAGACAACATACGGCCTATGTGAGAGTCGGCGATTTGGTGAAGGTGGGTTTGGAGGGTGGGAAATTTGATGGAAAGATCTAAATACTGAAAAATTTGAATTTATTTTTTCAACTTTTCAGAGCATCCGTGTCGACAAGAACCGTGATTTTGATGAGCGTTTCTAAGTGTTACAAGTCCATCCCATATTTTGACAAAAATCTCACAAACCATCCAGCATGTTGCATACAATCCCAAAGCTACATAATCTCCCTACCGTTAATATTTTTCGATATTTATCCCATGTTGTTGCCTTTAATTTTGAGGTTGGTTATAAAAAATTTATTGGTTTTTTGAAATGTTCTAAAATTTGCAAGTGGATGATAAACTTGCCATCAGAGATTGCCACGGTCAAAATTTCGGCTCCGGCTCTTAGCTCCCAGAGCCGGAGCCGAGGCCAAATTTGCAGCTCCGGCTCTTGGCTCCGTGCAAAATTTAAAAAGGCCGTCGGCTCCGAATCCCGGCTCCTATGCAAAATGTTTTTTTAAAAATATTTTTCCAAAAAGAAATGTTATTAGTGCCACAGATCATACAGCCAACGTTTTTGCAGCCAAGTCACATCCTCCGCAGTGTTTTTTCAAGCAATTTGGTTTAACAAGATCACGAAATTTTTACTTTTCTGACCGCTGGGAAGCCTGACTCCGACTTTGGGCTCGGGAGCCGGAGCCGACCCCAAAATTTCCGGCTCCGGCTCTGGCTCCCGGCTCGGAGCCAGAGCCGCTCAGAGCCGGAGCCAAGAGCCGGCTTCGGAGCCGTGGCAATCTCTGCTTGCCATCAATTATTCAGTTTAGAAGGATGACTCCACCGTTTTTTCTGCTGATTGTTTTGATCATAGCAAAAAATTTTTACCCTAAACCTTGACGATTTTCTAGGGACGAAGTTGGTCATCTTTGAAGCTTCATAAAAACCGCTGTGTCACGCCTTACCATACAAAACATATATCAAAAGATAGCGTTTTCAAAGTTCTTTTAGAAGATCTCAACAGAAATTTTAAAACCTTACTGCAACCTGTAAAAAAATCAAAACAAAGAAACGGCGGAGTCATACTTCTACATAGGTCTAATATTTCCTAAAAATTTTAGCCCGGATTTTTCAGCGGAGATCGAAAATATTTGGATCGTATTTCGAGAACTTTCCCTTCGTAAATTTTCTTTCTTTATTGCTATAATACAGCCCATTTCAACATCAACGTAATCAAGGCCGCAATAACTCCGGAAACGGGCAACGTAACCACCCAACTCAACGCCACATTCCGGAAAATTCTCCATTGAATTCCGGCACCGCTTTTTACAACCCCCACTGCGACCACTGAGCCCACCAAGCAATGAGTGGTCGAGATCGGCAATCCCATTTTGCTGGCCGTTAGCGCCGTCACAGCGGCTCCGAATTCGATGCAAAACCCGCTGGCCGGATGGATTTGGGACATTTTTTCGCCGACGGTTCGAATAACCTTGTGGCCGAGAAGACATAGGCCCACACTGATGGCCAGAACTCCGTACAAAAGGACGTAGATTGGAGTGGGGTCTTCTTGAAGAACACTTTGGTCTTTGTAGATAGCTATGACCGCCGTTAGAGGGGCTATTGCGTTGCTAAAAATTTAATTTTTTGAATGAAAAATTTTGGATTCGTTTTTAGCAGGTATGCTCAATGTCCAAACTTCAGATATGAAAATTGAAAATCAGAGCTTCGCATTCACCGCCTTTGTTATTAATGTTATTACCAACTCACCTAACGTCGTTAGCTCCATGCGCAAAGCCGGCGAAGCAAGCGGTAAAAACTTGTAATGAACTGAACAATTTCAAAGTTTGCCGATCTTCCCGTCGTGTAGGAAGGGGTAACAACCATTTTATGAAACCTTTGAATGCTAAAAAACCATTTATTATACTTTAGTCATCAAGATTTGGCAAAAAATTCAAATTCAAAATTTCCCGCCATTTTTTGGCATTCTGTTTCAAGCGCTAAAATTCTCGGAAATGATGTTAAAATAGGCCACAATCAAAGAGAGAGCTAGTTTGACCTTACTCAATTCAAAATGCTGTGCTTCTCCGTATGTTGAGGCTCTGGATCGACGAAATGATGCTCCTCCCAATGAATTTTCTGATGCCGCGAGGGAATTTGCGGCTGAAAACTGTTAGCTAAAGATTCAGCGATTTGTAGACGTTATTTATAGAGTTAATAAAAGGGATACTTCAACTTGATTACTGCTTTAAAATAGTCCTTAAAAACAGTTTTCTGACCCTGCTCCCAACTCACGCCTGAGGCCATCCACACCTTCCACCGAATTTTTCCGATTCAAGTGCTCAGAATTGGCCTCCAATGCAGTTGCATCCAACGAAATCTCCGAGAACTCCTTGTCCAAATGATCTCTGGTCGGAACGACAATGCCTCCCAGGTTCAGCGTCACCGTTCTCTCCCGTTTACTCGACACTCTTCGCGGAATATCGGCGCCGTTTTGCCCGAACTCCGCGAAACTCTGGCCCTTGTTTCGAATAATCGAGACAGGCGCTGGCGGAAGGGTACTGTAGCGGCGGAGAAGGTCATTATATTCGCCGTCAAAGCGATTTTCAATCATCGGAATCGTGTTACGACCTGGAATTGCAAGACTCTGTTTAAGTAACGTATTTTAAAAAAGTTTGGAGCGGTTTTGAGAATGTAATTTTAACAACTTACGATCGATCCACCCCACCAGCCGAGGTTTGACCAGAAATTGAATGGCCAAGGAAACGGTCAGCGCAATGGCCAAGCTGATTAAAAAAGCCACCCAAATTGGCAAGGTGGCCAAATGGAGAACTGAAAAAGGTTACTTATTACAAACCTAGAGGTCGTACAATATTATTCTAACAGGGGAAGTACTCCAAGTGCGACGCTCAGATTTTGATGAAATCTGGCACAAATTTAAAATAATTTTTTCTAAGACATATGCGAGAATCCTAGCTCGCGCTTTGCAGAAACAACCGAGATTTTTAGATCGAAAGTCGGCGAAAATTTAGGACTTTTTGCCAAATTTCGGCACGAAAACTTTCATGCCTATTTCAACCGTAAAGGATCATGTTTCTAAAAAAATTAAAATTTTCCGCACGAAACTGCCAAAATTATGGCCAAAAAGCGCTTTTTCTCTCTGACCGCTCTCTACGTTTAGCGTGCTCTCTCAGCGGCAAAAATCGTTCGATATCTCGGCGGCACCCGCAAAGCGCGAGCTAAAACCTTCAGGAATTGATACTTAGTCTATGCTCAACGTGTGTGCAAGATTTAAAGAAAATCTGTGCGTCGCAGTACTTCCACTGTAAATCGATTTTAAGATTTTTTCGATAGCTATGGCTATTTTTTAAAATCAGAATTAGGCCAAGAATTTTTAAAATCATTTTTTCTTTCATCTGAAATTGCAAAGATAATATTACAACTCACTTTTGGATCCTTGATAGCTGACTGCAAAAGTTATAAAGATCACACAGAAAAAGTAGAAAAACGGAAGAACTCGGAGCCCATTCACTAATGGGCGCCTCTGAAATAAGATTATAAAAAGATCCAACAGTATCAAAAAATAAAAAAGAATGCAAAAATCCACCTTTCTCAATACCAAATGGTCGACAATCAAATACAAAATTACAGAAATGGTACCGGATAAAATTGGAGAAACAAACCAGGAAATAACTGAAAAAAGTAGTTGGGTTTAGGTCTAAAACTATTTTTGAGGCTTTATTTTCACCTCAAATTGCCATCAATCATTTTAAAATACGCCATTTCTTCTAAGTTTTCAAATTTTTGAATTTCCCGCCAAACCTTGGCATTCTGTTTCAGGCTCCGAAATTTACGTAACTTTTTTGAAATGGACTGAGAAGACGTTTACGAGCTTTAAAATATATTTTTTCTCTTCAAAATCAATCAATTTAAAAAAAAATTATATTACACTAGACTTCAAAAGTCCCAACTTGCCAATATTCGCAATTTCCATCCATCGAATCCCCTCAAAACCTCTCAAAGTCACCGAAAATCCCACCGTAGCTCCCACCACACTCTGCGTTGTGGAGACTGGCAATTCCGCGAACGTTGCGATCAGCAGCCAGACCGCGCATCCACTCAGAATCCCCAATTGCCCGATTAATAAGGCCCTCGGCCGGTCTTGATACACTTCCACATCCACAACGCCTTTCCTCATTGTGTCCGTCACATTGTAGCCCACAAGAATTGCGCCCAAACTCTCGAAGATTGTGGCCAAAAGATAGGCCCATTTCAGAGTGAGGACCTTGGAGCCGACGGAGGTCCCAAACGCATTGGAAACATCGTTGGCGCCCATTCCAAGGCCCAGGAAAAAGGCCAAGACGGCGGCGGCAATGAGGACCCATAGGGTTTGCGACTAAAAATTGAGATTTTAAAATGTGGTTTGAGGGGTAAAATACGGATTTCATTTCCTTTCTTTGATTAAAAATTTTTTTCGAATTTGAGATAAAAAATTTAAATAATCTAAAAAAATTCATATAACATTAAAAAATCTCAAACTCTGCTTACCTGGAACTCCTCTAGCGGCTGGGTTTGTGCCAACACGGCGATAACGAACAAAAAATTAGTTAGTATTTGGATTTTCCTCATCTTTTTTTGAATCAAAAAACGTTATTTTGGACATCCATTGGTAGTCAAAAACAAAATTCAAAAAATACTTAAAAAATCAGTACTTTAAAATTGTTACAATCGAAAGTTAAAACGCTGTCAGTGGCCTTGTCAACATTCAAACGAGTGTTTGAGTGAGGGCGTTATCAGTGGCGCGTCCCATGATAGGGAACTGCCGGAAGGAGGCATGGAACGGTTTATTTTTCCTTTGATTAATTTATTAATTACTCTTGATAAACGGGTTTACAAATTTTATGGGCGCTATGCAAGGCTATCGTCATTTTGGTCTAGTTCCATTAAAAAAATTTTGGCGGGAGCTTTGATAAAAAAGAATTTTTAAAACGGGATTTTTAGAAAATCTTTGGTCGAGTTTAAGCCTCCAAAACTAATTTTATGGAAGCTTCGGATTCATTCTTCAATTGCAACTGCAAATATCTGCTGAAAACTTATTAAAACCCCCAAAAAATCATAATTTATTCGGCTTTTCGGATCAAAATTGAACAAAATTTTTTAAAATAATTAACCTTCAAAATCCACTGTTAATCGCCCGTTGTAATGAGTCCATTAGGACGGGTTTGATATGTGGAATGTTGTGCGATAAGAGGTTGACGAACAAGTGACGTGTTGGAGCGTATAAAAGACCTTCGACTAGATGAAAGACACCATCTGATATGTTACCTAAAAGCAAAAATTCTGGTGAAAAAATCGGATCTAATAAGTCTTCAGGGTGTCTTTTGAGCCATTAACAGTAATTTTTCGTAATTTCAGGCCTTGAAACACAATGCCAAAATTTGGCGCCAATTAACAAATTCAAAAAATTAGCCTCAAAAACGCTCCAAAATCCCGCCTAAGGAATCCATGAAGTGAAGGAATAAGAATTCTCACCTTCCTCCACCAAAATTGTGCCCAATTCCATCTCCAGAAGCGCATATTCATGTTGCTCTGCGGTGGTCAGGAATGATTTTTTGAAATGCAGATTCAAATTGAAGTCTTTGAGGTCCACCTTTCTGATGGGCCGTTTTCGTAGTTCATTCGAGTAATATCTATAGAGTATTGTCGCCGCTACTGCTAGACCACCAGCCAGCGCTAAGGTTATGGAGATTCGGGTCCAATCCAATGAATTCATTTTTAAGCTCTATGAATATGGCATAATGGCTAAAAAACAGCGTAATTATTCAAATCTCCCTCTGATTTGTTGTTTCGAATCATTTTCTCGTATTTTAGGCGCGTTGAAACACAATGCCAACATTTCGTGGTGGGACCCAAAAATTCAAAATCAAGTCGAAAAGAATACTACTACTAAACTTTGTACTGTTAAACCCTTATTTACACCCATTTCCCGAATTTTAAATCAAAAAAATTCGCTTTCCAAAATCTTTCAAAAAAGCTATAAAAACGTAGATGACCGCATATTAATAGAATCAAAATATCGTTCTCAAATTGACTTTTACAATTATTTTCCTCAAAAATTCTTACTTTTCTAACAGCACGAATTTATTCAAAAAATATTCAAATCAAAAATGAAAGAGCAAAATAAAGTGAGGTTATGACAACATGGTGAGTATAAATTACAAATTTAAAATGTAGCTTTGTGCTAAATCACAACAAAACAGGGTTTACAACCCGAGCTAGGGATCAGTTTTGGATAATATTGAAGATACGAATAATGTAGTATTCCAAGTGAGCAAATTTCAAAAGAAATTATTGACAACTGAGGCAGGGTTCATTTTCATCATTGATTTGAGGGTCCACTTGGATCCTTCCATCTTTATTCCCAACCAGAGTGTTCTTCTTTTCGCCGCTGGTTTTGTTATCCTTGACGGCTCTGAGAACGGTGCGATCCAGGGTGAATTTGACGGGATCCACTGATGGTTTGGAGCGAAGATAGTACATTCCAGTCTTGAGGCCCTGAAATACGCCACAATCAATAAATTTTATTTCAAAATTGTTTACTTTTTTGATTCTGTAAGCTGCGCCCTAGCATAAGTTGCAACATAGGCTAGGACCAGCAAAAAATTTTTTTTTTTTTAAATCTCATAACCAGACTCTTCTGATCCTAGAGTGTTCTCATTTCACAGTTCTGGAAACATAAACTATTTTTATTCTCTCTAACTCAAACCCAACAATTTACCCCAACCTGCGCCCTACCTTCCTCTAACAATCCCAGAGTATCCCTCAAACACCAAAAAAATTCTTCCTTACCAATTCCCAAGACTTGAAGTGAAGCGTAGTAAGCTTCGGATAGTTCGGCGATTCCACATAGAGGTTCAAACTCTGACTTTGATCAATGAACGGCGCTCTTTGAGCGGCCATTTCCACCAGCGCCGTTTGTTTGATCTCCCAGACCGTCTTGTACAACTCTTTCAGTTCTTCCGGCACATCCGCATTTCTGAGGCTTCCAGTGGCAGCCAAGTGAGTGCGTGTTTCGTGGGTCCAGAGTCCAAGTTCGCACAGGTGCTTGCATAAATGGGGGTTCACAACTTGGAAGTCGCCTTTGGTGACTCTGCGGGTGTAGCAGTTGGAAGTAAAGGGCTCAAAGGACTCGTTATTGCCTAAAACAACATTTTCAATGAAATCTTTGCAAAAAATTTTTTTTTTTAATCCGGCAAAAGTTGGCATTCTGTTTCAAGCTCCCAAAATGGTTAAAATGGCTATAAAATGAAATCAAGAAGACTTTAAATTAGCCAGCATACATCTTATATCAATTTCACGAGATAAACATTCAAACTTAAGGTTTTCCCGCCAAAATTAGCCCTATTTCCTACACAAAATTCAACAAGCAAAATCACAAAAACTTTTTCCTCAACCCACCCAAGATCTGAGCAGTCGAAGCAGTTGGCATTGGAGCCACAAACAACGAGTTTCTCAGGCCACGTTGAGCGACCTTCTTCTTCAGCTCATTCCAATCCCACAGATCAGTCGGAGTTGCATTCCACAAATCGTACGAGAGTTGTCCCTGAGCGGCTGGACAGCCACCATTTTCGTTGTACGTCTCATATGGTCCATGGACGACGGCCAATTCAGTCGACGCTTCCACGGCTCCGTAGTAAATGGTCTCGAAAATCTGAACATTCAAACGTCGGGCTTCCTCGGAGGTGAATGGGTGACGGAGAAGTTGGAAGACGTCGGCAAGGCCTGAAATTGAAGTTTATATCCATTTCAAAATACTTGAAATTCTAAAAAATACTTCTTCAAAACTTGGTTCCACTACAAAATTTACATTATTTCAAGAATCCTAAAATTATCCAAATTGTCTTTCTGGTCCTAGTTTACTCAAAACATACAAAAAAAATCTTGATTTTCGACCATTTTTAAGTTCGCGACCTGCGCCCTAACCTTCTCACGAGGAAAATACTTCTGTGGGGTATGGAGTTACAGGTCGAGTCATATATCAAAAACATCGTAAAATTTTTCTGATTCAGAAAGTGTAAAAGTTAGCTGCATAATTTTGGTTTGTCAGGGTGAAAAAATCCTCAGAACTTTTCCCGCAACACCACGTAAACTCCTCTTTTTTATAACAGAACTATTAATTAAGGTTAATCAAATTTGATCAAATTATTAATCAAATTTGGTATTTTAAGGCTTGTCAAGATGCTAGGGTTCACTTTAGCTCAAAACAAAGCTTTTGATTTGGTATAAACTTGGAAAAAAAGGCATTTACGTGGTGTGCGAAAAAAGTTCAGAGGATTTTTTCGCTTTTACAAACTAAAATTAGGCAGCTAATTTTTACATATTCTGAACCAGAAAAATTTTGCGATTTTTTTGATATGTATTGACCTGTAACTTCATACCTCATAGAAGCACTTTCCTTGTCAAAACAAAAAAATCTCGATTTACGACCATTTTTTAAGTTCGCGACCTGCGCCCTAACTTCTCAAAAAATCCCAAACAAAAAAGTGGACCGACCTTGAACTCCAAGTCCAATGGGCCGATGCCTCAAATTGGAACGTTTGGCATCCGGAACTGGATAGAAATTCCCATCGATGATCTTATTCAAATTTTTGGTGACTACCTTGGCGGCCTCTTTCAATCCCTCAAAGTCATATCCATTGCCAGAAACGAACTTGGGCAAAGCCAAGGAGGCCAAGTTACAGACCGCAATCTCGTCTTTGTTGCTGTATTCGATGATTTCCGTGCACAAATTCGAGGACTTAATTGTTCCGAGATTTTTCTGGTTCGACTTTTCGTTGCATGCGTCTTTGTAGACCAGATATGGCACTCCGGATTCTGACTGAGCATTTGTTATGGCGCGCCAGAGATCACGAGCTTTTACTTGTCTTCGGTAGCGATTTTGGTCTTCATAACTGAAAAAAATAAAAAAAAATTATATTGTACTAGGTGACTAATGTCAAAGCTTGAACTAAAATAATGTCCGATAAGTCTAGATAGAGCACCAATGCCCCTGAAGTGCTTCAAAAAGCTTTAATTTACTCTTAAAACACCTCTTTCGACCCAATCAAAACGATTTTCCAATCGAAAATTCAAAAAAGAAAGAAAAAACCCCGATTTTCGCAAAATTGCTTTCCATTTTTGCAAAATTGCATCCTCACCTGGTATACAACTTCTCAAATTCCTTGCCATAGACTTCGTCAAGGCCAGGACAGTCCAAGGGGCACATCAGAGACCACATTTTATCTTCTTTGACTCTTTTCATGAACAAATCGGGGACCCAAAGAGCATAAAACAAATCTCTGATTCTCATGCTTTCCTCGCCAGTGTTAACTTTTAATTGGACAAAGTCGAACACATCGGGGTGCCAGGGCTCCAAATAAATCGCAATCGAGCTGGGGCGCTTGCCTCCGACATTGGCAAACGATGCCGTTCCATTGAAGAGTCTGGAAGTCACGGATAACATAAAAAAATAATTTTTTGTGTAAAAAATCCTCCACATTCACTTCTAATTAGCCTCTAAAATCCCCAAAATTCCCCTCAACTCACTTCAACATCGGTAAAATCCCCTTTGAATATCCATTGGCCCCAGCGATCAACGAATTTTTGGCTCGAATTCCATGAATGTTGACGCCGATTCCTCCCGAATACTTGATTATGTTCGCGCATTTGTGCAAAGTCGCAAAAATCGCTTCCATAGAGTCTTCTGGGATAGACACCAGGAAGCATGACGACATCTGAGGATGGGGTGTTCCGGCGTTGAACAAAGTCGGCGTGGCGTGGGTAAACAACCCTTTGGACATGTAATCGTATGTCTGAAAAAATCCACAAATATTTTCGAACTCTTATTACCCCTTTTTTATCCCTATTACCTTACAAATTGGTCGAAACAAACATAAAAAATCAAAATTTTCTACATCTGACATACTACAATATAAAGAAGCCACAAATTTTGACCTTACCTCCAACGCGGCGTCTACATCGTCCTTGTGGATCCCCAGAGCCACTCTCATTATCATATGTTGAGGTCTTTCGATTGTTTTGCCATCCAATTGCAGAAGGTATCCGGAATCCACCAGAGTGCGAAATCCAAAATAAGCATAATTGAAGTCCCTGTGATGAACAATGGCACTATCCAATCTCTAAAAGCGAGTTTGAATTATTTAAAAAAATAAGATTAAGACCAGTCAGCGGTACACTATAATCATTTTTCGATATTACACTAGACATCTAGTTCAACATCAAATTCATCAAAAACATAGGTTAGTCCCTAAATTTTTCCCTCTGACATCAATTGCTTTATTATCCTCTAACAGCTCTATTCCACATTAAAAACCACCTTAATTTATCTAAACTTCAATGAAACAATGAAAAGTTTAAAACCAAGTACCTCTTTGTGCTCTTGAACAACTTTGTACACATCTTCAGCAATCAATGGCCTATCCTTCCCAGTAACTGGATGCTTGGCATTATAGAGTATCTCCACAACATCCGAGAACTTCTCATGTGTCGTTTTGTGCATACTGGCAGCAGCAACACGGCCGGCCAGCAGATTGTGATCCGAGTGTTCGATACACAAGCTGGAGATCGTGTTGGCCACATGGTTGGCCAAGTCTGTGGTGTTCATTTGCTCCGGAATCGAGTGAGCGATACATTCCGCGATTTTTTCCTGAAATTGGAAAGATTTTACAAAATTTATAATATTTTAGGTATAAAAATTATACACACATGCTGATTTTCATTAAAACAACATAGTTTTTCTGAAACTAATAAATAAAATTAATTTGCTAGTTATCAAAAGTAAAAAAGACCTCCTTCGCCACAAAAAAACTTATTGCACTTGATAAAATTTGGGTCAACTGTTGCGAAAGACTTGACCCCTAAACTTACCGGATTGACAAAGCGTAAATCAAGTCCATCGGTCAACCTTTCCAAAGACTTCTCCAACTTCTTTGCATCAAAATTCTCTTTACGGCCATCTAAAACCAAAATAATCATTTAATAAAACATACCTCTTTTGGTGATGACAGTATTCATCTTGTCAAGACGGGCTTTCTTCGACGGTGTCGCTTCTTCCATGTTCACTTTTCGGTTATTAGGTCAGCGGTTGGAGATGATGGATTGAATTGATGCTCTGCTTGTTGTTGAGAAAATCCTGAAAAGGTCTGTTTAATACCTAAAACAAGGTAAATTGAGGCCAAATCGCCCAATTTTACCGTTTTAAAAAGCCCACAGGCTAAAACGAGAAGTTAAAACGACATGAACATCAAGAAACAATAGATTACAAACCAAAACACATCAAAAATTTCAAGGATATTGTAGTACCTGTAGTAGATGGAAAGCCGGCCGCGAAACAGACGTCAAATCGTATCAATTAGCGTAAATCATATTTTTTTATAAAGACAAGGCTTTGACGGTTTAATAAAGGCCTAATCGTAACATAACTATTCCAAAAAACCTCTTTTCCAACCTTATTTTAGACATCTGATTAGCCAAAATTTTCCAGGATTACCACTGCTCCATAAACCATCCGCGACAACCAACGAAAAGTCTATCAGCATCCAAGACGACTGAATCAAGAGGAATTTCCCTCAAAGAACCATCAAATTCAAGAGAAAAACAATTTTTTGTCAATAATTTCGTCAAAATAGGGACAAATTGAAACAATCGATTGAAATGTCGAAAAAGCATTGCCGAAAAGATCGCCTGCGAAATTGCTCGGGAAGAATATCGAATAATCAATTTAGTTTTTTTGAAATTCCGATTTCCGCCGCAAAATTTTCCCGCCGAAATTTTTTTTTGAAAAAAATCTCTGCTTGTGTCTAAAACAAGGTCAAAAAGAGGGAGGAAAGGGTGAAAGTGGAGTGGGTGACGTAAGAAAAGTCTAATGGAGGCCATGTGAATTGTTTTTTATAATGTGAGAAAATAAATATCAAAATTTTGCCATGGATAAAATAATCGAGTCCTCAAAACTAAAACTTATATTTAGACCCTTGTAAACAGCACGTTAGATCTAATGCGCTGTTTACAGTATGACACTAGACCTCAGTCCAAAATTTCAAGCCGGATTCGCTTCGTATTTTAGGATTTTCCATCAAAAATTTAATAAAACTAAGGTCACCTAAAATGAGGTCAAATCCTCTAGATCTTGCATTTTCTTGTTTGATTATGATCTACAAATCCGCCGGAACTGACTGTAGCTGAGTTAAGATCTGTGAAAAGTCCGGTATTGACGAATTATTATTTATACCGAGAAAATCGGGCGTTTTGACCCCAAATTACTTTAAACAAGATGACTACTTTTAAGTTCCGATATTGCAAAAGTATGGGGCGAAGATTGGTGGTGCTGGGTCGGTATCATCCGGGCTTAGTCATATTTGTCTTGAAAGTGATGGCAATTCTGTGTTATGCATATTACTTTTGGTATTTCTGGCCAGTTAAGCGGGAAGAATGTAAGTTAAGCGGGATTTTTGATCCTTATTATGTCCGAATTGAGTAAAGAAAGGTCTAATGCCCATTCTGGTTGAGGGTCAAGACAAAAATTTAAAAATAAAAAGTTGATTTTTGAGTCCCGCCACGAAAACACGGAAAATTGAAAGTTCTCTTGTCCGGCAGGAAAATCATTAATTTTTGAAAACCCAGGATTTAAACAGTATTTTAATGAATTTTAGACCACCCTCTTACCTATGGCCTCAGGGAAAAAGTTCAAAATATAAAACTACATCATCAAAGTTGTGATGCTCAATATGCCACGCCGCTGGCTCCGGAATTGGAAGATGCCATTGATAAGGAGCAAAAGTCTAAAAAGGAGTGTATACCCAAGGAAAAGGTCCGATCAACATTAAAAAACGGACTTTTGAGCATGAAGAATGTCGGGAATGGCGAAGTCTGCAAATTCAGGTAAGGATAACAAAAATTGGTTGTAATGTACTGTATCATACTCGGCAATTATGACTTGTTTTTTGGCAACTTTCCGTTTTAGAGCAGTCCCTTACGACATTCAGGGGTCCCCTCGAGGCTCTGAGGTTTGGTACGAATTTGGAGTCCAGGGAAAAAAACCGGAAAGTGATTTTGTTCAAGTAATGTGTCATGATCGAGATAAGATCACTTATCAATTCCTGCATCATCAAATTTATCGGAAATTGTAAGAGAATCCTTGCAACTTCAAATCAAAAAAACTCGAATTTTAGGCCAGAATCACGCCTAAAAATTGAAAATCCCCCGCCAGATATCCATATCATCGTGACTGATTCCGTCGCGATGCCTCAAATGCGTGCAGCTCTCCCGAAAACGATGAAACTTTTGGTCGACCAATTCTCGGCCGAGCTGTTTTTATTCCACAACAGAGTCGAAGGCGAGACAGCGGGTCAGAGTCGAGTTTTGTTGATGCAGAACCGGATAACCAACATGACTTCCCATCCGTTGGGACAAAATTATAGTACCATTGACGAGATAAGGTTCAATGTTTGCAACGCTGAGGAGTTTGCGTTCAATATTGCGAGAGGAAAAGGGTACCGGACGTTGTTTGGTCTGGACTGGACTACGTACTTGATGTGGGGATGTCAGGAAGGAGACAGGTTTCCGGTTGACCATTTTATGGAGTAAGCTTATGATTTCGGGAAGTTAGCTTACGAGTAAGGTGTGCCAAGTGCAACGCTCCACGTCAATCCAGCGCATTTACTGAACCGTTTCGAAAATTCGTATCGTTTTCATTGATTTAAAAGAGAGACGAAATGTCGCGAAATTATCGGCACTTTTTCTCGCCCGGAATAATTTCTTTTCTCGAAAAGGAAGAAGAAAGATAAGAAAATGCGTTTTATCGGGTAGTGACATTTCGTTTTGAACGAATCACCAAAAAGGGGCGGGAAATTTTTTTCTTCTATTTTGGATTGACTTGCGCTCTGATTTTCGTTAAATTTCGCACAATTGCATTCTCTAGGCTGCAATTCAATTCCTCAAAAAAAAAAAAAATGACTCGCTTTTTGCAGGAGCAGCTGAGATTCTCATATCCTAGCCGGCGAGAGGTTCGCCGATGCGGAGAGTGGTCAGGAAGAAAAACAGCTTTTGGCCATAATTTTGCTAGTTTCGTTCGGAAAAAGTGATTTTTTGTGGAAACACTACCCTTTACGGTAGAAACAGGTGCAATACAGGGTGTCCCAAAAAAAAAGCTTGATAACCATAGTAAGCGTCCAGGACGTAAAAGAAAACGCACCGCCAGCAGTTATGTCAACCGGGAGATCACCAACAGCCAAATCCGCGATTTTCAAGAAAAACTTGCCCGTGAGGTAGCCATCAGCGACCGATCGGTCACCCAAATAGCCGATGATGAGCTGTACCTCACGTTGTATAAGCTGTAAAAAGTTCAGATCTTCAAAGCAGACAGCAAATGCCTACGGTTCCAAAAATGTCGAAAAGTCAAGGCCCGGGCCGCAGCTCAGACACGTGAGCGCATTCGTTCGTGGTTCACTGTTTGGCGGATGCACAGCCACCAGAACAATAGGATCTTCTTAGATGAGGCCCTCGGCACGTCGGCTAACGTCGAAAACTGTCAAAATCCGGGCCGTCATCGCCTAAGGCGGAATTTGTGCCAGCGGCAAGAATTCTATGGTCAAGGTGGCAAAATTCTAGCGCCGCGTTAATCTCGATTTTCTCGTACTTCTGTTGACTCAGCAGAACCTTGGCAATGCAAATTTGGGGTTCCAACTAGACTCAGCGCCGGGTCACAAAGCAAAATCAACTCAGGACCCGGAATGGGACCGATTTTCCCGATTTTATCCCGTCTGCAAAGTAGCCGTCTGCGCGCCGGATCTGAATCCGACAGACCAAAAATTTTTTTTAATTGGAGGCCAACGCCCGTACTACATGCCACAAAAGTTTGGAGTCGCAAAGTAGTCGTTGCGCCAAGAACGGGACCGATTTCCCCGAAAAGAGCTGCGGCCCCGAGCCCGAAATTTTAAGTCACTTTTGGAGCTATATATCGCCACCAAAGGCAGCCACTGTGAAACTGGCTTGACACGTTATCAATAATCCTCTATGTTACTGATATCCATCGTTAGTTTTGTTAAATTTTGTTTGGTATATAAAATGCAGGCATAAAAGAACATGCATTTTTTTTGGGACACCCTGTATTTTCCTTGCCGAAAGCATGAAGTTTTTGCGGACTTTTGATCTAAAAATCATGTAAAAAATTATTCGAAATTTGTGCCAGATTTCATCAAAATCTGAGCGTCCCAGTTTGGATATCTCCCTCAAGCTTGATTAGGTTCTGGACGTCGGAAATCGGACTCTTCTGGAAATCTAACATTTCCAGAAAACCATTTTCAGTGCCTACTGGGAACAACTGAACAAAATTTTCCCGGACGCTGAGCACAATCCAGAGTACGGCCCGGTCGGTCGCATGTTCTACCGCTCCAATTTGTGGGGCCGCTTTTGTTTGGAGCGTCACAAAGAAATGCTCGATTACCTGTTCGACTTTATGGAGGCCTACAAAAACGAACCGCAACTTACAGTGACGTGGTTGGCGTACTTGACGCACGATTATCGCGGCGATTTGTACAAATACGACGAGGATTTTGTCGAATTTTTTCAAAGGCTCAGAGCAAAAGTGGGTTGTTGATTAGACCGGACCCTAAAGCCATTACATTTTCGTTGACAGGCTCCGCATTCGCATATATTTCTGATGGGAGACCACGGAAATAGGCTTTATTCGGACAAAACGTTGGCATTTGATCGGATCGAAGAGAATAATCCAGCGCTGATTTATTTGCCGCCAGAGGCTGTGAAAAATGATGAGGTGGTGATGAAAAGGATCAGAAAGAATACTCGACAACTGGTGTCAACGTTTGACATCTATGCCACAGTGGTCGACATTTTACAGGTAAATTGGAGAAAGGTTCATTTCGAAAAAATGGTTTCTGAACCTTTAGAAATGTCCGGTTTACCTTATGGTAACCCATCCAAGCCACTTATACACCTGGAAACTTACAAGGGAAGTAGTCCAAGTGCGACGTTCAGATTTTGATGAAACTTGGCACCAATTTAGAATAATTTTTTATGAGATATATGCGAGAATCGTAGCTCGCACTTTGCAGAAACAACCGATATTTTTAGATCGACAGTCGGCGAAAATTTAGGCCTTTTTGCCGAATTTCGGCACGAAAAGTTTCATGCCTATTTCAACCGTAAAGGATAATGTCCCTACAAAAAATCAACTTTTTCCTAACGAAACTACAGTGAGGGACCGGATCCAATGGCAAAAAACGTCTCATTTTGCAGCTTTCTCTCTCTGACCGCTCTCCACGTTTAGCGGGCTCTCAAAAATCGTTCGGTATCTCGGCGGCGCCCGCAAAGCGCGAGCTAAAACTTTCAGGAATCGATGTTTAGTCCATACCCGACGTGTGTGCAAAATTTAAAGAAAATCTGAGCGTCGCACTTGGATTACTTCCCCTGTTAATTCGCAACATCTAACTGCCAAATCATTTGAATTTCCTGTTGCAAGCAAATGTCGCCCGATTTCCAACCGGCAGAATCTCCGTGTTTCTTCTAGCTGCCCGTCAGGAAACTGCCCGTGTGGGCCCGCCTTTTTTACGTAAACGATGCCTTTCCGATAGATTTGTCATGATAAAGCTTGCCAGTATGACAAAAGCTTTTCGCCAACTTTCGATCTAAAAACTCGGAACAAAAGTCAGGATTTGCTTGTATTTATGCCTTATTTCAACAAAAACTGAATATTGCACATAAACAAGAAGCGCCTACTTGTAAAGCATTTTTTTGTAATGAAATTTGAACTAGGTTCCTCAAATCCGAGTGTCGCTCCTTAAACCCGTCTCCTACCAATTGTAAACTCTGTCCGCCTTTCTTTTCATCTATACACTACCAAACTTGCAGAACAAAAACGATCTAACTTCTGCGCAAGCTCCGGAACCTCCCATAAAACTCGTCGGCGCCAGCCTTTTCCGAGAGCTGCCTCAGCCGCGAAATTGTGAATCTCTGCAGCTCGGGTTCCATCTGTGTCTGTGTCCCCAATTAGGGCCGGAGATACGGTTCCATCCGCTGGCAGAAAAGCTAGCCGAATTCGTCGTTCAGTATGCAAACGGCTACATAGCCGCCTCGGAGGACTCGGATCTTTGCTCGCCGCTCGTTGTGGACCCGGACTTTGCAACCGTCGTTGAGGAATACACAGGAAAAGGCAGTGAAGAAGGGGAAAAGTCGTATAAGGTGACGGTTCGGACGTTCCCCGGAAAAGCCGTTTTTGACCCGTGGATTGCGGTAAGAGCAAAATATTTTTCAAATTTTGCTGGGAAAACAATATTTTTTCGACGCAGTGTCTTGACGAGCCAGGCGCTTTTTATTTTATCTTCCAGGTCTTCCCTAATGGAACAATGCAATTGCTGACTATTCCGTACCGAAAGAACGCATTTGCCTTCCAGGCCAAATGCATACACGACCGCTATAATACGGCAAGATTCACGGAGCATTTCTGTTTCTGTAGGAATCTGTTGAATGTGACCAGTGAAGTTGAGAAAGTTAATAATTGAGTAAATCGAAAGTAAAGGCTAGAAAGTGTAGTCGGTTGTTCATGCACATATATGTGACTATTATACATGTAATTGCGCGAAAATGAGGATTGTTTTCGCTACGAGAACAAAGAAATATTTTTTTCAAAGCAAAAAAAGTTTAAATTTCAACTTTTTTCCCCTTTTCTGTGGCAAAAATGTCCATTTCACCTCGAAAACAATCCTTATTTGGGTATAATGTTATAATAAAGAAGCTTATACTTTAAGAGCTTCTCAGACCCGGCTGGACGGCTCCATGTGCACTCTAAAACTTTCAAATCCAAAGTACTATATCAAAGGCATCTTTCCTTTAAGCCGTTTTTTCATAATGCCATTTTTTGTGACGTAAAAAGTTTGGCAGCGCTTTCCTGTTGAACCATGGAATCTCCCGTGTTCTTTTATTGTTTTATCAGCTGTTAATCGGACGAGCGTTTTTCACACTCTTTGAACAAGCATTCTTTCAACTTTCCGGGTTCTGATAAGCCCTCGTTACTCCAAACGGGCTGAACTTTGAACATGGCTTTATCGCTTCCTCTTCAACGCGTGTTTTGAGAAGAAATTTTGTTTTTCATAACGTTAAATAAACTCCGTGACGATTTTTATGAAGCTTTGAAAAGTTTTGCCTCTAATTTGAATCATTTCTCTCCTTTGTTGCCCGTTCATTTACAGTAGAAAGTCCATTAGGTAAAAGCAAAAAATCTTTTTGAATTTGACTTGTCTTTGGAATTTCACTGCGAAAAATTAAGACAAAACTCCGAAATACGTGGTTCTGTTTTTTCATTTTGTTTGCACGGACTTCCATTCAGAAAATTTTTGCTTTAACAAATAGATCCTTGAGGCTTATACCAGAAGTCTTGTGCAAAAAGAATTGTAGGCTTACCTATTTTTGTCATGTTTAATACTTCTTGAAACTCGGCTAGAAAAGAGATTCATTCTGACCGTCTTTAGTGCGACCAATTTCTCCTACAATTTTTTCTTGTCATCATTTTTTATTTTTTATTTTTGGGAAATATAATGTATTTATAGTGGTTTGAAGTGTGTTTTGTAGATTCTAGCCATCTGAACGACTAATTTTTCTTTGCGAACGCTTGATTTTGAGGCCTTGTCGAATTAGATTTTCGTGTCAAAATCCGCTATGGCCATGCCGGTCCGGCCTGTGGGCTGAAGTGGTCAGGCAGGCATGAGATTTTTCTATTTTCTCTAATCCACCTTGCGCAAGGACGTAATAGGTGCTAGTCTGGGCTTTGATGAATTGCAATCCTAACCAGGCCCCTTAAAAATCTATGAAACGTTCCACGAAAATTTGTATGTACCTATGCCGTTTTATCTTTACAAATGAAAGTGTGTCAGTCGTTTCAACTTTGTAAAACACATCGCTTTTATCTTCAATTTATAAATATAATAGTTTTAGGTGATGCAAAACAATGACTTGCACAACGAGTCAGAAGCAAAGTTACTCCCAGCCGAATCTCCATCTGAAAAATCCGAGAAGTTTGAGCTGACATCTGATTCAGTTTTAAATTCCTACGGCAATCGAAATGCATATCAATTATTCGTATTTATCTCTATGGCCTTGTGCTGGTGCTGGACTGCATTCCCAGCAATGGTCATCACTTTTGCAGTCGGTGACATTTGTATGAACAAAACCGGGTGTAAACTCACACCGGGAAGCATAATCGAGGATGTAAGTGGTATGATTAAAAAAATCAAGCTTAAAATTATTAAGGAATGATTAAAACCCTCAAATTTAGAAGGATCAGTTTACATCTATGAAATAATTTCAGTTTCACTTAATCGGCGCTGACTCTTACAAGGCAGAAATTGCAATTACAATCTCAACCATTGGTAACTTATTTGGCTCTACTGTTTTATCAAGGCTTTCTGATATGTAAGTTAGCTGTAGCGCCTCATTTGGCCGGGTTGGCTTGTTAGTTATGTAGGGAAAATTGGGAAAGAAATGAAGCTGCCTAAAGGAGAAATGGCAAAATTTCTTGAAGCTTTCAAATGGGGCAGCTAACCAGTGACACGCTTGGCGACATGGTTTAAAACCACCTTTTCAGGAAAGGCCGTCGCCCAGTATTAATATCCAGTTTATTTCTTCTCGGCCTCCTTGGCGTATTGTCATCGTTTTCTCCTAATATTTATGTGTTTGCCTTTCTTCGGCTAAGCCAAGGAGTATTCTCATCAGTGAGTTTGATCACAGAGCTAAAGAGCAAAATGTACCAAAATTTTTAGGGAATCGCCTCATCCAATTGGGTCCTAGCTTATGAATCCACTTCCATGGGTCTCCGCTCCTATTCTTCGCTGGTTTTCGGCTTGGTTTGGGTCGTCGGCTATGTCCTTGTAGCTCCTTTATGCTATTATGTCACTTATTGGCGACATCAAATCTTGGTTGCCTCATTGCCTTGTGTAATCTCGGCCATAGTTTACTACTTTACAATTCCGGAAAGTTTTCATTTTGCTGTTTCGAACAATCAAAAAGAAACCGTGAAAAGATGGTATTCAAAAATGAATGGAGGCAGAGAAAATGGTAGAAAGATGGAAGAAGTCGATTTCTTAATTGAAGAGCATTTAAATGACAAAAACGCAAACGAAAAAGATGGGGAAAACAGCGGATTATTCAGTGCGTTGTGGAGAAAGAAGAGCTTCTTGGTGTACTTGCTGGTCATTTCGTATGTTTGGTAAGTAATTTATAGCAATTCACTGGTTAAATGGCTGTATTTCGGGGAAAAGAATGCCATAACAATTGTTGAATATTGAGACACAGCCGAGATATCAGTTCGTCGGGAAAATAATGTGGACTTGTTGCAGTAAAATATCTAGCTTTGTCGCAGTTGCTCATCAAATCTCCGGCAGCGGCTAGCCATCACAAAGCAATAATGGGAAGATGCGACAAATCCACATTATTTTCCCGACAGACTGATATTTATAAAAAATTGGCATTGACTTCCAATTTGGGGTCCGTGTTTCAGGGGCCCTAGTTGTAAGCACTTACATATAATGGCAAAATAAGTATACGATTGCTATGTCTGAAACTAAGATAGATTCTTGGACGTATTACACGTGTGCATAATTGATCACTTTATTTTTGTACTGTAACATAATAGGGCAATCAAAAATATTTGTCTAGATTTCACTGACGACCGTTTAAAATCTGCACAAAAAGATTAGAACCAAAAAAGACGGCGTTTAATTCAACCCAGATTTAAATTGACCGTCAGTTGGTACATCTATAAAAAATTTTTCCTTAATTTTTAAATTCTTCTTTTTTTCTGAAAAGGCCAATCTTCCGGGTTAGCCTGGGACCATGTCTACTTTAGTCCGAGCGAAGTCTCATCCAAATCTGCAAGTCAGACCACTACAGTTCTCCATAGAAAATATTTTTTTTCAGGAGCTCCGATTCCTTCGTCTACTCCGGGCTTTACCTCATCTCCACAACCTTGGCGGGCAACAAGTTTTGGAATTTCGCCCTCACCGGATTCGCCGAGATCCCCTCCTACATTGTCTCGCCTTATCTTCTAGAAAAGATGGGCCGGAGGGCATTTGTTTCCGTAATGCATTTACTCACTTCGCTCGCATTTATTGGCACGATTTTTATTGATCACGAGAATGCTTCTTTCGGCTGTTGGTTGATTGGGAAGTTTGCGATTTCGTGCGCATATACCGCAATTTTTGTCTATTCTTCGGAAGTTTTTCCAACGGTTTATCGAAGCGGTTGCATTGGCATATGCATGTTCATCAGCTGCTTTGGAGGCGCGGCTTCGGGGAGTGTGAGGAGCATGGTGAGTTTTTGTTAATTTAAAGGTAAAATACGCTGTATGGAGCTAATTCAAGACTTTTTTGCGTCTGAAGAAATAAAACTTTGCAAACTATTTGATTACTAAATACTCCCTAATTTTCAGAATGTAGTTTCTCCAAATTTGCCGAACATTTTCTTCGCTGGCGCGGCTCTGTTGGCAGCCCTTTTGACCTTGCTTTTGCCGGAAACTCGAGGGAAACAATTGCCCGATAGCACAGCAGAGGTTGAAGGTTTGAGTATCGAAAAGGAATCGGGATAATTGATTTGTAAATAATTCCTATTTGGCAATAAATTTTGAGATTTCTGGTCTAATTTTTCCAAAAAGTTTCAGTTTTTTATTTTTCAAAAAACTTTTTAAAAAAGCATTTTAAATTTTTTTTCATTTTTACCATTTTCCACTGCCAACCGGTCAAATGAATCCCTTATTTTTCATCTTCTCCTTGGCTATGTTGTTCAGTTTTGCAGTAGAAAAGCGAGAATCTGCAGGACTGTCAAAGAGATTTCTCGGCAACTGGACTGTGGCCTATGATGAGAATTTCGATGAGTATTTGTATGCACAGGAATACGGCTACTTTCTCCGGCGGCTCTTTCGAATGGTCACAATCTCCAAGTCCTTTCAGGCGGTCAAGGGAACTAATGAAAGAGGTAAGTGGAAAGCCACATTTCTAGAGTAATTTTTTGGGTCTCGGTGGTCAATTTTAGGCCGAAGTAAACCTCGATACAATGAAGACCCTCTATAACAAATTTTTTTTTGCTATTTAAGATTTTTTGTAGAGAGATTTGAGTGTCTCTCCAGATCAATAAACCACCAATTCTAACACCTTATTCTCCCCTTTTCAGACCCTCCAAAATACAAGTACAAGCTCCGCGTCGGCAGTCACACCATCAACTGGGAATTCGAATTGGATAAAGAATTTATCGGCGAGTACTTGGATGGAAATAATCACAATGTTACCTTCTCATACGACAACTCAACGAAAATCTTGAGAGAAACTCAAATCGCTAGTGACAATCAATATAACCTGAAGCCGACTGTCTTCGAATATAGGATTGTCAAAAAAATGATGAGAATGAAATTCCCACATGATCAATTCAAGGTCTACAAGTATTTTAAAAAAGATGAATAAACGCTTGTTGAGGATTTTTATTATTTCGATTTTCTTCCAATTTTCTAGCAGAGGAGAGATCTTCTCGGTGGAATTACTGATTTTTTTACAGTAGGATCACAAAATTTGTGCAAAAAAATCTCAAAATTTTTTTTAAAGAATTTGAGACTTCTGGCTAGCGGTTTGCAGAAACAGTTGAAATTTTCGGATCAAGAGTTGATTTCAACCATGGACGTTAACTTTTTCACAAAAAAAAACAATTTTTTCCGCACGAAACTAGCAAAGATATGGCACAAAAATGTGCTTCTCTCTGAGTGCTCTCCACGTTTCGCGAACTCTCTCGGCCGCAAAGCATTGCGGCAGAACTCTCCCCCAATCTGAACCCTCCCCCCTTTTTCAACTTCCCCCTTCCGAACTCTACCCTTTTTTGAACACTCCCCCTTGAATGAACCCTCCCTTTTTTTGAACACTCCCCTTCATTTTGAAAATTGAAAAAATGAGGTGTGAAATGTTATACGATGAATTTTTTTTTCAAATTGAAAAGAATAAAGTGTGACATGTTGTACACTGGAAAGTGTTTTTCAAATTGAAAAAATGAGGTCGAATATCTCGTCTGTCCCTGCAAAGTGCAAGCTAAAGCTTTCAGGAGCCGATATGTGGCCTAATGTAAGCCCGCATGCAAGATCTGAGAAAAATCTGAGCGTCGTGCTCGGCGCCTTCCCTTGTTAATTTCTCCCACTCCTCAACGAAGTCTAACCTTCAAGTCGCGATGACTTCTCCAAAGTTTAATCATACTTTTTATTGCTCCGCGATTCGTTGTACCCACACTTGCAATTAGTCATAAACGCATAAAAACCCCTCCGTTTTGCGGCCGTTCATAGTTTATATGCGGGGTGTTCGTTGGGGTCGCCGCGAACGCTGAATATAGTTAGCGGCTCTCTCTTTGTTATAAACAATCTCCGGCTTTCCGGAATGGGAGAATTGCGAAAGTTTTTTTATTCCGTTTTTTTTGCAAATTTCTCCCGGATCCGACCGTTTTGTGAATCCATCAAACTTTTTATTCGAATTTTGTAGTGGACAAAGAAGTGAGTCAGAGGGCAGTTTGCGGGGCTCTTTTCTAAACGCCTTTCCGTTATTGTAATGGACGATGAGGCCTGAAAGTTTGAATGGGACGGCTGCGGATTTGATGGGAGGTGGGCGAGATGGTACTTTTAACAAGGAAACTGCTTCTATGGGGTATAAAGTTACAGGTCGTGAGATATTTCAAAGAATTCGCAAAATTTTTCTGATTCAGAATATGTAAAAATAAGCTGCCTAATTTTGATTTGTAAGGGTGAAAAAATCCTCTGAACTTTTCTCGCAACACCCACACAAATGCCTTTTTGACCAAGTTTTTGCCAAATCATATGCTCTTTTTTGAGCTAAAGTAAACTCTGGTATCTTGACAAGCCCTAAAATATCAAATTTAATTTGCACTACACCTCAATTAGTAGTTGCAATGTTAAAAAAGCGCATTTCCATGGTGTTGCGAGAAAAGTTCAGAGGATTTTTCACCCTTAGGCAGCTGATTTTTACATATTCTGAAGCAGAAAAATTTTGCGATTTTTTGATATATATCTCGACCTGTAACTCCATACCCCATGTAAAATAAAGAGCCTGAGGGAAGCTACGCCTGGAATTTACGAACAAAATGTTTCAAAAATGCCTATGGTACTTCTCTGTAATTCTTTTGCTGATCAGTCTGTCGGGAAAATAATAAGCGCTCTTTCTTATTGAAAGTCCGCATCACCGCAGAGAAAAAATAGTTTAGCGACAAAATCAAATTGATTTTCAATCGACATTGCGCTTATTATTTTCACGACAGACCGATAAAAATTTAATTGGGAAATTTTTCGGTTTCACTAAAACTACTGGTCGATTTTACCCATTTTTTGTAGTAACAAAGAAAAAGAAAATAATTTTTTTCTTCCCTGCCATTCCTGCTCATAGCCTATCTATGAGTTCACAACATTTTCGCTACCTAAACTTCATCTTTCAAGTTCAAATTGACCTCTTTTTTCATCCCAAAAAAAGTTTCCCACGAACTCGAAAAAACATTCCAACGATCGTCGTAAAAAACATCGGGTACCACCACCATGATACCCTCTCGTTTTTCTACTCCATTGCCCCTCACCCAGCGTTTTTTGTGTGATTTACAAAGTCTTTGCACTTTAGCGGTCGAATAATTAGATCAGTCGGGGTCGCCGGCTATATAAGGGAATTCTAATTAGGAAAGGACACCTTCCTCGGGTTTATGTTGCGGAACAGATCCCATGTTACGTAACCTCAATAAGGGAACGGAATTTGATCGAAATTCAAAGGCTTTTTTTTGGAATTTGATCGTAGTTCGAGGCCTTTTTGGAGGCCCCACATTGGTTTTGTTGAGGATTTTGGCATTTAAGATCAAAGCTTTTTATTTTTAGTATATAAAATTGAAATTTAGAAGATGACTCAAACGGAAATGAGAAATGTTAATATGAGTATAAAAAAGGAATTTTTTGGATGATTTTGTCATAAGAACTCTTCAATTTGAAAATTTTGGGGGAAATTTTTTGGCCGAATTTGATGAAAATAATTTCCTCAGGCATCTGCAAAATTCCTGGCTGGGGTTTTGCAGAAATACCGGGGCAGGGGTGGCAAACGGGCCTCTTTTTCCAAATTTCAGGCCCGGGGCACGGCCCGGCCCGGTAAAAGCCCGGTTAGGGCGCGAGCTGGAAATGTTCCTTTGATCTTACCGGCTCTGTGGTGCTGAAATCTGCTAAGAACTATCTTATATGTATTATATGTTCTAATTTGGACCTTATATTATAACATATATGCGAAAAAGTACTATAAAGTAATAAACTATTGTAGAACTTGATATACTACAAACCTATCCAAAAATTTTTCCGGCGCGAAAACATTGACTCACTATTTCCTGTAATCTCTTATAAACAAGACCTTTTGAACTCGGACCACTGGAATTAAAACTTTTTAGAATAAATTCGGCTAGCTCAGTACACATGCACTTTTCGTTCCAAATTCGTACGCAATTTGTCTTTTTAGAAACGGAGATTTCTTTTACAGCCCCAGCATCTGCCTCGCCTTACCATAAAACCACAAGTGACCCTTGGGATCCTCCGCTTTTTGTGGTAAGCAAAATTTTCCAAAGTTCAAAATGATGTAGAAGTTGGAACGCCCTCTTTTTTTATAAATAAATAAAACGAGCAGTCTAATTCGTGGCCGTCTGTTAGGTACGTAACTGAAATTGATGGCTTTTTACTTTTATCCAACCTTTCAACGGAAACGATTTGGAATTTTAACGGGTCTTTCTGGTATTCTAGAGTTATAAAAAATTTTTTTTAGGTTGAGCTAAAAAAACTAAAGAAATATATAAAACTGCCTGCTAAAAAAGCAATTTTGACTTTTTATTAGTCATTTTAGATAAAACAGATTAATGAAAGGATTCAGAAATTTTTGGTTTAATCGAAAAGTCATCATTTTTGTAGAAAATTTTAATTTTTATTAATAAACTTTTCTTACAATAAATTAAAAAAAGTTTTTTTGCTGTTTCAAATTTTTAATAAAACTTGTCCTCAAAAATTCGGAAAAAAAATCAAAAAAAGTTTTTTTTTTGAAAAAAAATCTTCCAGCTCCAGAAAAGCCTTGCCCCCGTCAAAATCTCGATCTCTCTAATTTGTGACATTTTGACGGGGTTTCTGGCTGGTAAACGGCCATGCAATTAGCACTTTGAGAGGATGAATCTCTTTTTTCTTTTTTTTTTTTATTTTTGGTTGTAAATTTTAATTAAATTTATGGACAAATTATTGTTTCTAATTTTATTTCCGATGTTTCTAACCACAAACACTAATATTTTTTATCCCAAAAAATTCATGTTAACTATGTTTGCAATTTTTAAAAATGTAAAAAAATTGGCCGGCTAGTTGTAAAGAATTGTTTACAGCTCTAGAAATCTTCAATGGCCCAAGAAATTAATCAAAAAATCGAAAATTTTCCCCTTTGTCAAAAGACGGATCACTTTTCAACATTTCCCGGGCGTCTGTTTTTTAGCCATTTTCATGCTGTTTATTGTTTATTATCTGCTGATAAGGCCCAAAATCTGATACAATGGAGTCGATCCAAAAAAAAAATACTAAAAATTATGCGCCATATTTTATTTTACCGTACTCCTTGCCCTATCGTTCAATTTTTTTATTTCCCAATGACTAATCAAACATTCAAAATGGCTCGTCTTACAAGGAAAGTATACTTTTATGGGGGTCCTACTTTTTGACGGGACATATCTCAAAAAAACAGAAAAAATATGCTAATCAAGGAAATATAAATCTTAGCTACCCATTTTAGGTTCTTAGGGGTGAAAACTCAATCGGAAGTTGACTTAAAGTCTTATATAAACCCCTTTTCGCTTAATTTTTCACGGGTTTACAATTTTTATTTTGGCTTAAAATGATGTTTATTGAATTTCTAAGACGTAATAAATCAGTCTTGGCCCAAAAATTTATTTTTCCGACCTTCAACTTCAAAAAAAGTTGATTCAGCCCAAAAGGGAAATCGAACCCGTGCGGCGTCCCCCTCTTGATTCCCAGACTACGGCACTAACCACTCGGCCACACCGTTCGCTTCCGAAGGAAGAGAACGACTGCGATTTTTACCGCTTCGAATGCCTGCGCCTTTTGCAGGGAAATTAAGCCAGTTTTTGGGCATTTTCACTGCTAAAAACCCGAAATGGGAAGCTAAGATTTATATATCCTTGATCAGCACATTTTTTCTGATTTTTTGAGATATGTCCCGTCAAAAAGTAGGAGCCCCCATAAAAGTACTTTCCTTGTTAGCACTAACTAGGGAAGTGTACAAACGAACCCTCACCAAATGGCAAGTGTTATACACCATTGGAAAGCCCTTGAAAAATGGTGAAAGGTACCATTTTCATTTTTTGCAGAATGCCTCAGGGCAAAAAATTTTAAACGGTTGATTTGTTCCTTGAGTAGTTACAATATCTGCTGTGGGGCAAAATAAATCTTATTTCAAAACGCTAAATGGTAAATATTGCTACTAGGTTGGCCTAAGAATCATTATGAAGTTTGGCGCTTTCCAGTAAAACCATTTTACATATGATATTTACTGGTTTTAAACACCCATAACGTGAAAAAACACTTTTAACTTTTTTTAATTTTGAAAACATGTAAGTTTGATGGTTTTAACCGTAATCGACCGTTTTCTAGAAAAAATAAAGCGTTTGTAAAAGTTTAACTCAAATATTATCCTAACTGTAATAACGCAAAACGTTTTTCCCCACGCTGAGAACCGAACCTAGCTTGGTTTGGCTTATCACCCTGCTCCGCAACCACTGCACTACTGAAGCAACCCTCTTCAAGGATTTTTATCCGCTCAAGAGAAAGAAAGATTTTTGTTGCGAAATACCTAAAAATAATACAATTTACAGTACGCCGTCGCGGAAAGGCATTCTGCAAAAAATGAAAATGGTACCTTGCACCATTTTTCAAGGGCTTTCCAATGGTGTATACCACTTGCGATTTGGTGAGGGTTCGTTTGTACACTTCCCTAGTAAGTGACACGTTCACCGACCCGAATCTCCAATCACAATTTTAAATTTATTCTTATAAGATTTTAGGTTTTTTAGAAGCTCCCATTGCAAAATTTTTGACCATGTCCTTGAAATTTCTAGTTACAAAAGAAATTTTCCACATTTCCCGGATTCGAAATTGGCTCCAGTTTAAATTCCATTCCCCGTTTATTCATTTTTATTTTTCCCTCCGAGTTCCGGCAAATTGAGCGAGACTTTCCGAGGGGAAAGGAAAAGGCGACATTCCACAGGAAGTTTTTTTGTAAAAGCTGAGTTAATTTTTTTTGTCAAAAGCGCGAACACTTCTTTTGATCGCTTCTGGAGTTCGAGACTTTTGAGATTCTTGGCGGAAGATCATTTTAATTTTTTTGTTTGGATTTTGAGGGTAAAAGCACCGATTTTTTACGATGAAATTCGGCGCAAACCATGACTAAATTTTCTAAGAAATCAAGATTTTTAGCTTGAGCTTTTCAAAACCATGAAGGTTTCAAGGTCAAAGCTTGCCAAAAAATCCTTTTTTGAACTGTTTGGCATGATTTTTTAACAAAATTTCAGTGAAAACTTGCTAATTTAAGTCTTAAAAGTTCTCCGTTCCTTTCTTTACATTTTTATTTTTTCATCGCAGCCAAGGTATGCTAAGACTGTTACACAAGGGTGGATGTCAAAATGACACTAGATGATCAGCAAAAAACGTCTTTGGCTATTCATTTACTTACTTTTTTTGAGATGTATTACTTGATGTATACATCAAACCTAATTAAAATTTAAAAAGTTACACATCTTTTACTTGAAAACCTTCCTTCGCCAAAAAAAGGCGAATTTCGCAACTTTGAACCTAAAATTTTCGATGGTTCCTTCAAAGCGCGACCTATATACAAATCTTGTGTTTCTGTCTGCTTTATAAAAGCTTAATTTTTATTTTAACTTACAATAAAGTTATTTAAAGTCACCTAAAAATGAATGCAAGGTTTTTGGAATTTATAAAGTCTTATGGACAATAAAAATTTTGTTCCTTTGAAGCCAAATTTCTCTAAAATTCTCTCTTTTTTCATCACCGTACTCTACAGTTAGCTTATTTTCGTGTTTTCATTTTAAAAATGATTTTATTTCAAAATATGGTCTTTAGCGTATTGAGGATCCAGTTCTTCCCCGACCCGGATCTCCCAATCGGACACCCATTTGGGGTTGAGAAAGGTCCATTCTTTGAGTCGATTTTTTCGGACGACCCGGCCATTTGTGATCTAAAATGGCCTAACGCTAAGTGCATTCGCACTTATTTCGAAAGGTTTTCTGGGAGAATTAGGGTGTAAAATCGTGAAAATTTAATAAAGTCATCGTTTTTTGGGGCTTCCGAAAAGAACTTATGCCCACTTTGGTTCGATAGTTCTGAAAATTATGACAAATTGGGGCTTTTCTGTAGGGCATATAAATTTTTTAGCCTATGCTTTGCAGATACAACCGAGATTTTATCTCGAAAGTTGAAAAAAAATTGATTTTTTTTTTGAAATTTTAGGCTTGAATGCAAAATTTAAAGCAATTCGACAAAAAATGATGAAATTTTTCACGAAACAGTCAGCTGTTTTCCAGCTATTTAATTTAAATATTTTTTGCCAGCAAAGTGGTTTTTCGCTGATAAAATCAAACACCAAAGATTTTATTCAAACGGGGCCATTTGTTTCTTTTTTCGGCCATTTTTTTAAATGCGTGGGGCACTTTAAAACATGGTACTATCATAAAAACGCTCTGTTCCTTGACGAATAGCCTGCAGGAAGTTGGACTTTCTTACGTTTTTCGCCCAAAACGGACCATTGTTTTAGATCTCCGGTCTGCTGAAAATTATAAACAGACTTGTTCCGTCATGGGTTTACATTACTTATGTCCCATGTACTATAAATATTATATTGTTTATTCGGCTGCTTTTTTGTTTGCAGAGCCATATAAATTAGCTATCTTGATTAGTAATCAACCAGGAAAGTGAGGGAAAAAATGTGATCGCGATGGAACGGGCAATTTTAATTACTTCTCGTTTTTCGAATCTTCATGTCATCATTTATAATATAACTCATTTTCCAGTTTACATACGGGTGTAAAATTGCCTCCACAGTACAACGAATCAACTTGGCAATCTCTGAATTCTTCGCAGAAGAAATGCTCAGCAGGTATATTGGCATACTTTTTGTGATTCTTGTTCTTCTCGACATTGCAATCGGCAAATCTCTTCCCTCTTCGAAACAGACAGCTAAACCGCACAAATTGGATGTGGAAATTCCAATTTATCATCGACCTGATGTCGCTGGTAAGTTATAGAGCCTTTATAGAGCATTTATTTTATAGTTTTTGAGAGTTTGGCAATGTTTCCCTGATCTTCAGGGATTTCGTGGTGGGACCCAAATTGGTTTTTTTTCAATCCAGAAACTTGAAAATGCACTAGGATATCTTAAAATTCATAATAGTCAATCCTAGGCCAGGGTTCTCTCTTTTTTCATTTTTTTGGGTCTTACCACGAAAACCCTGAAAGTCAGGGAAGCTCTCCCAAACACTTTGAAAATTAGAAATGATGCTATTCAATATTCCAGAGCGCCCTGCAAATTGCCCAAAAAGTCAGATGAGCGAGATTATCAAGGCATGCACGGACGAATGCAAAAAAGATTCGGAATGCCCGTCCCGCCGGAAGTGCTGTTGGAATGGCTGTGCTCGACGTTGCACAAAGCCGCTGATCAAGGACCCCACCAATTATTTGAATTTGCCCTTGTTAACGAATGATGATTGATAACGACTGAGATTTTCGACCGGTCGATTTTTAAGACTTTTTAAAAATTCGCCAACTAGTTCTTTCGTATTTTAGGAACGCCTTTTCCGCTATTTGGATGTTTGTTTGAGTCTTTCCGGTTGATTTTTAGCCTTTTTCCCAAATCGACCGGTCGATTTTTCTCTTTCGAAAAATTTTTTTTTTTGTAAAACTTCCGGTCGAAAATTGTGTTGCCAAATACTTTCTTACAAACCAAATTTAACTCGGTCTCTACGTGTCTTATTTATCCCGAAATTCAAAAAAATATGTCATACGACGGACTATTTGGGTGCTCTTTCAAGTCTAATATTTTTTATGTTTTACCTTACAATTTGAAATATAATACGTCCATTATTCTTTCAATATGAAACTTAGTAAAAATAATCGATATGAATTTGATGGTCGGCGTTTTTCGAAATTTAAATTTTAAATTTTGGTTTTTCCGCAATTTTTGGCATTCTGTTTCAAGTCGATTTTTTGGTCGGGGTGAATGGAAATGGATTACAAACTTCAATCATTAGCTACAAGAGCAACAAAAACGCAATTTATTTCCAAATAATTGAAAAAAATCATCGAAATTCTTCTTATTTATCCTGAAATATGTATTTGAAATTTTTGTTGTGCAGCCTTTGATCCCCCAAATTTCATTTCCGATTTCCTCTAACTATAAATTGTTTATAACAATAACGAAAGTCGCGGAAGATAAACAATTGTCAGACGGACTCAAAAAACATCTTGGGCCCGGAGACGCGTGGCCAAAACAGATGACAAAAACATATTATTCGTCTGAAATCGCGGCTATTTAACGCAATGTAAAGAAAGTTTTGGCGTCAAAATAGTGAGGATATCGGTGATGAGGCTTTTTGATTCAGTCACAATAGGGCTTTTGATCTCGTTGTTATGCGAATTTGTTAGTGGAACCACGGAATGCGAGGCGTGCGAGCAGCTGGTCATCAACAAGGTTGGAGAGAGGAAATGTGTGCGAAGAGCGCAATGTTGCGAACGTAAGTTGATGTTTTGAAAGTTGAAAGTTTTCTTGACAAAACAAGGCATAAAGTACCTTCATGAAACTTACGAAGTTCCACAAAAATTAATGCGTCATCATACATACAGGGAGTCTCAAAAAAATTAAAACTTTTTTATGGGTCCTGACGCAATGTGGTTAGGTTTTCTTTCACTTACTGGACATTTAAAACTGCTGAAAAGCTCCTTGCAGCATGTGATTACTTTGGACACAACGTGCTTTCTATACCGGGCAAATTAGCAATTAGGTTAAAAAACAGGTCCGAAATCGAGGTCCCTCTGTTTGACATTCAAAAAAAGAATGTAAATATTAGGTTGGCTAAAAAGTTCTTGAAATTTTTTACGATTTCTTCTTTGTGCCAAAACTTGTTCGCGGTTGACAAACAATAACTGCTATATCCATGCTAAGTAACTGTCACATAGTCCCTACAATACCAATGCTGACCGACGTCTTCAGCAGGCTTATCAAAGGAGTTAGGCTTAAAATCTTTTTTTGGAGTCACTTTTTGGATGTTCAAATGTATTAAAGTTTCTGCCCTGAAGACAGTGCGCCAGTTTATGGAACTGATGTCTGTTACAGTCGCCGATGCTCAAGCTGTAAAACCGTCGGGGAAGTGGATCCCATTCGAAATGTTTAGAAACTTTTTACTAACATCTTTGTGGCGCATGGCTTTCCGCGTCGTCCCGGTATCCCAAGCGGCGGTTTTCTTTTTGCCGGTTGCCGGCAGCTGGCCAAGGTAGCATGTATAAACACCCTTCGTAACTGTGTTACCATTTAGTAATAACGGCAAGAGCGTAGGCCTATGACAATTCCAAGAGCGACTCAAAAATACCCTCCTGGAGATGGACCGTTGCTTGGATCTGAACTTCAGAATCCTGCACGTCAAATCATTGGCTCTTGTTTACATGGTTATAATACAGGACATACTTCTCATTAACGAGCACTAGTTGGGCTACTGAGATATATGTTTGGCTAAAAGGCAGCAGTTTTCAGATGGACTCCCTGTTGAAAACCCGTCAAGCCCTAATGATAAATTTGGTGATATCTTCATATTGTGTGCAAAAGATGGAAATGTTTTTGCGTCATACGATACACGTAAAGCTGCACTGTGTATTAATTCACACAAGCTTCAATAGCATTCCTTAACTATCTTCAAAATGGTCGCGCGGTCTTACTATGAACTAAAGTCATAGCCGCCGTTAGTGAGCCTTTAGGACCAGTACACTACCGTGGCATTGTTAACGATGTTCAGGCCTTATACACTGTTTAGTTGGGCTATAGAACCGGTGGGTATCAGACCTCTTTAAGCGCTCTAGAAGAAACCACCTCAAAATATGATCTTTTTCAACATGCCGTTATAAAACCCTGGCAAAGGCTGTGACCTGGTTGCCTCTCTACTTGACAGTACTCAAGCTCTACTACAAGTTATATATTGCTGTTCTTGCTAAACTGTCCCAAAAAGACCGTGGTGATACAGAGAATAAAATTTCAAAAACTTATTAGCCAACCTAATAAACCAATGTGGATATGAAATTAAAAGGTCTAATAGAGAAAACCACGTAGAATTTTATAGTTTTAAAATAATTTTGCTGCACTTAAAAATTTTTGCGTCAGGACACAATGAAAAAAGCTTCCATTTTCTGCCGCACCCTTACAGACCCCATACTTGTGGCGCCCTTAAACTCCCTCATTTCAGACCACGGAGTCCAACTGACCTGTCTGATCAACCCCTGTTTCAACTTCAACAACGCCTGTCCCCGCGCTAAGCATTGCGTTGCAGCCTACTGCGAAAAAATCGGCTGTACGGCCTTCTACTACGACAGCTTTTACAATCCAATCTCCAACGATGAGTGTGAGGTGAAGGTGCTGAAAATTGGGGATATCGAGTTTGACGGGTTCATCGGAAGAGCCAAACGATTTGTCAGGAATCTCATTGATCCTTCGCTCTAGGTGTGGACATATGTGTATATATATTACTATTAATTGACACAATAAAAGGTTCTCAAAGTAAACTAAATAACACGGCCTTGCAATTTTTGATATTGTAGTTAAAAAGTTTACTTTCTTAACTTTTATAAAATTTTTTTATCATCTTTATACATACATAATTACAGTTGAACCACTCAAAACACAAATTACAGTAGCCTGCTCCTTTGATCCTTTTCATTTCTAGACAGCTTTCAATTCCAATTTAGACAGTCATTTATCCTAATTTTGATTTACAAATCACCCACGGTCCCATTTGTCTCCCCAACTACGCCACGTGTAACCGGGATACGCAGCTGTATTAATATTTGAAGCGATTTCCGCCTCTTCAGAATCCCAAAAAGACCAACGAAATTTTGGGAAAAGGCAAAGACGAACCAAACATTTGAACCTCATTTTGGACTTTCGATGGGAAGACACGTGGGCTGCTCTATGGGGATTTTTGTAGGATTTATGGGAAGATCAAATTGCACACGTGACAAAAAGATCCTTGGAATTTTTCGCGGCCCCGAGTTCTTCCCAGACCGTTGTAGGCGAACTCTCCCCCAATCCGAATCTCCCGCTTTTTCAACTCTCCCCCAAAAAGGACCGAACTCTCCCCTTTTTTTCACCAAAAAATCCGAACTCTCCCTTGTTTTGAACACTCCCCCATTGTAAAAATTGAAAAAAATTAGGTGTGACATGTTATACAATGAAAATTTTTTCTCAATTTGAAAAAAAAACTTTTGATCGTATAACATGTCACACCCAATTTTTCTCAATTTGCAAAAATTTTCCATCGACCGCGGCATTGTACGTTAAATTGAAGGTCGTGAAAATGGAAATCGCGTGCGAAAAAACGAAGTTGCACTGTGAAAGATCACTTTTTCGGGCGGATGTATTGCGACATATAAATTTTTGCGCCTTTTCCATCTTGTCAAAAAATAAATTTCTTGAATGCAAAGTTGGTAAAGATATGACAAAAATCGTTGTACACTCTGGTATACATATTCGTTTTGTCCGTTGTATACCCTCTTGTTGGTAAACAGTTGAATTTCTTGGCTCTCCCTGCAACGCAAGAGCTCAAATTTTTAAGGAAATGATATGCAGTCCAGACGGACCAAGTGTGCTTAACTAATTGTGAGAGAAAATTTGAGCGTGCTACCCCAAAACCAACTCATGTCATCGCGGTTTACTATGAAGTGAATCCTGCGCTTTTATTTGTTTTCTAGCAATTGCAAGTCGTTTTTTTCGTTTCAGTCAGACTTGACTACCTTGGATGATATCAATGGGTGACATAGGGCGACTGCGACAAAATGTAAACGTCAACAAGAATGCGTACGGCGGGAAAGTGTGTGTGGTGTACAGTGAAAGCCTGGATTTCGAAAATGTAAGTTGAAATTTCTTTATAAACTAGGCTTTTCCATTTTATTTCAAGTTTTTCTACTCATTATTTGCAGGAAGGCCCGCAAAAAGCAAAAACAATCTTCAAACCAAATGACAAAGTGATCACAGAGCAGCCCGTCAATCGATATTGGGACAATATATTGGTTCCTAATGGCAAAAACAAAAAAGTAAAAGATCCGGCGAACGGAGGGAAGGATCCACACAAGGAATTTGTGGAAAAGGCGGTAGCGGACGAGAAACCGGATCTAAGCGAGGACAGAGGTTACTATTGCTGTACATAGAATTGAATAAAAGGATACGAAAAAAGCAGGGACGACGTCAAACTGAGATAAGCTAAAACGGTCCGGTGAACGGATTAGCCATTTGCCAAAAAAAGGTGCGAAAAAGCTTTTTGTCGGAGAAGAAATGGGGAATTTTTAAAACACGATTTCTGACTCACTGAATCAGCCGTGTGCAAGGCCGGGACATAGGAAATTTTCGATTTTGAGATTTACAGCTGGATATGACCGAACCCATCATATAAGTGTGCTACTGAAGCCTTTTGCCCTAATTCTCCCGTTAACCTAGTTTTATTTACAATTTAAGCAATTTACAGTAACGTCAAATAACTCAAAATTGAGAAGATACAGAGCCGTAAAACTGTTACCATGTATGTTTTTGGGCACTGGGAATCCAACGGAGGTGGTTTTGGGTCGAAAGGATTACTGTAACATAGCAAACTTGCGCTTCGGTCGCATAAAATCGGCCGTAAAAAAGTTGTTTCTGAAAACCCACAGCTGAATTTTTGATATGTTGATCAGCATAAAATTCTGCCCTAGAAACATTAAAAAAAAGTCCAAAAATGCGGGGGGCTATTTTCGTGGTATAGTGGATTTTGACAAAATCTACCAATCTGACGGCCCGAGTTCGAGTCCGGGTGGACGCAAATCGCTTAGAATTGGTCGGGAATGACTTTAAAGGCGCGGATATAGAAGATTGAGTTTATTTCAGGCGAGTTTGATAAGATTCTGGCAGTTTTCACATTTTTTGGTGGAAAAAAGGCGAAAATACAACTTTTTGACAAATCGTATTTTATACGGCTGTTTTGCGTTCATGACAGAATAAGAACTTATATGTAGTGTTTTTAAGGTGTTTCCAACAAGTAGAAACCATTTTCTGAGTATTTAGATATTACACTAGGTACCTGTTAATTTTGCCTCTTTCAGGCATCTGTAGTAACAAAATTTGGCTAATGACAACGTAATTCACTGTTTTACGACCATATTTCACATGTTTTTCAGAAAATGGTTCATCATCGAAGTGATTTCGCTTTATAGAAAAATCGATGAAATGCGTAGAAAATTTCATTTTCAAACTAGATTTCTTGTAGTTACCCGTCAAATAATTTAAATTTTATGCCAGTTATAACTTTTGCAGACAATTTGTCAAGTCAGAGCGAAAAAAATTACAACCTGGAAGGTCCATGCACTGCTTGCTTATCAGATGTCAAGTACAATATTAAAAAAATTTTTTTTGACGGGTTTAATTGCCGAAAAACCCTTCAAACGATTAAATATAAGTTCTTATTCTGTCATGAACGCAAAACAGCCGTATAAAATACGATTTGTCAAAAAGTTGTATTTTCGCCTTTTTTCCACCAAAAAATGTGAAAACTGCCAGAATCTTATCAAACTCGCCTGAAATAAACTCAAGCTTCTATATCCGCGCCTTTAAAGTCATTCCCGACCAATTCTAAGCGATTTGCGTCCACCCGGACTCGAACTCGGGCCGTCAGATTGGTAGATTTTGTCAAAATCCACTATACCACGAAAATAGCCCCCCGCATTTTTGGACTTTTTTTTAATGTTTCTAGGGCAGAATTTTATGCTGATCAACATATCAAAAATTCAGCTGTGGGTTTTCAGAAACAACTTTTTTACGGCCGATTTTATGCGACCGAAGCGCAAGTTTGCTATGTTACAGTAATCCTTTCGACCCAAAACCACCTCCGTTGGATTCCCAGTGCCCAAAAACATACATGGTAACAGTTTTACGGCTCTGTATCTTCTCAATTTTGAGTTATTTGACGTTACTGTAAATTGCTTAAATTGTAAATAAAACTAGGTTAACGGGAGAATTAGGGCAAAAGGCTTCAGTAACACACTTATATGATGGGTTCGGTCATATCCAGCTGTAAATCTCAAAACCGAAAATTTCCTATGCTAATTCACCGAGTCAGAAATCGTGTTTTAAGGCGAGAGAGTACGTTTTTGCGCGTCCTTTCTCTGACTTCTCTGTGAAATCTGGACGAAGTGTAAAAAAACCAATAGCGAAGAGTCTATTCCGGTCACTGGACTCCTCAGTTCGACTCGGAATTATTAGCGATTGAAAGCTGATACTAAAAATTTTATTTGTGCAAATAAATTAGATTTTGGGTTGGCCAAAAAGTTGTAATTGCTTTAACTAGCAGTAACATCAGCCTTCTTGTAGATGCAAACCTTGCCATCGCCATCTTGTCCCTGCTTGTAAGAGGCCACGCCTTTTGGCTCAACCTTGTTGTCGTTGACTCCCTTGAAGTTTTCGCAAGCCGTACCTCCGGCTGGGATTTTCACATTGGTCAAGGTGGCGGTGTCGCCGTAATTTCCGTTGACACCGGCGAGGACCAACATTTTGCCGGAAACGGTGACGCCATCCATCACGACGTGACGATCGAATCCGTTGTTAACGCAGTTTCCGCAAGAGCGGTAGAGTTTTCCGATGTCTTGGGCCTAAATGCAAGAAATTAGAGTCACAAACAGATTCTAAATCAAAGAGTATTTTGAAACTCTTGAGCCCCTCTTCAACCTACATCAAAGTTCTTGATGGTAACAGTGCCGCCTCCGTTGTGTTGGAAGACCTTGTCGTCAGCCTTCTTTGCGCCTCCGCCAATGATGTTGTACTTGTCTGAGGCCTTGCCTTTGAAGGTAGCGGCATCTTCTCCAACATCCTCCCAGAAGACATTCGTGATGTCACAAGCTCCCATACAGTGGATACCATCGGCTGCGGGGGCGCCGATCACAACGTTCTTGATGGAAGCTCCGGCTTCCAGTTCAAAGATGGGGTCTTGTCCTTCTTCCTGGTCGCCACCGCCCCAACCGCTGACAAATCGCTGGTTCTTTCCGTCGAAGACTTGACCGGCTTTAATCACCATCTTCTTTGGGACTTTAGTCGGTCCGGAAGGGCCGGCTAAAGTCACATATTTGTCGTGTTGACTCAGCTGGATTGGTGGGTGAAACACTGAGGGCACTTTAGAATAACCACGGAACGTTTACAGATGGTCCAATAATAACGTTCTCAAAGCGGTTTATTAATAAACAGCTATCGAGATGCCAGTGGAAAGTTCAGAGGAACGAAGCATAGTTATGTTTGAACAGGATATCACGGAAGATCTAGCAGGCTGAATACATATTGATCATTCAGAAACGGCCGGTTCGCTTAGTTGTGAACTGTCTGAGGTGAGTACTACAGAACGTGAACATTGGCGAGCCATTGGATGGGCAAGATGGCTTTTTGGAAGCACTGGGAACGCACGGCAACCCGAAGTGTTTCCTGGCTACTTTTGACAGTTCGCCCATTTTGTATCCGGTTGAAATCCAACGAAATGTCACAAAGAAATTTTTCGTGGGATTAAAGACTTTCTCATCAACAACTCTCTAGAAGTTTTCTACTGCCATAAGGTACTCTTCGAACTATAAAAATTCTCTTTGTATCTGACACGAGTAGAAGCTCCCACACAAGAATTTTAACTCAATCAACCAAAAAAACATTTCTATCTCTGACCGTTCTCCGCACTTTCACTCTCTCGTCAGCATCACCGTTGAGTATCTTGGCTGGTCCCTGTGAAACACGAGCTACAATTTTCCAGACCTGGTAAATGACATATTTACAACCAATAAGACAAACACATTCTAACCAAAAATCACCCTCCTTACCGTATCAGAATTCCATTTATTTACCGATCTTGTCACCCCGACTTTATTCATTTTTTATATCCGGAAAAGTTCGTCATCAGTGATTTGTTCTCCTCGGGTTTTATGGTTATTTCTTGAGTGATCTGAGTCACCGTGCAAACACAAAGATAGCCGGTTATATAAGGAGCTGTAAACTTGACTCATCTCTGTCATTTGAGATAACCTCAAAAATGAGATTGCTTTGTAGTTTAATTTTAGTGATTTTACTGGTCGATTTTGCGGTTGCTAGCTATGATTGTTACAGAGGTAAGGAAAACAATTGAGGTTTTCAATTTGAATATTTTATATTGTTCATGACATTTTTTACAAAATGGCTGTAATTCGATGCTTCTAACAAGGAAAGTACTTTTATGGGGGCTCCTACTTTTTGACGGGACATATCTCAAAAAATCAGAAAAAATGTGGTGATCAAGGATATATAAATCTTAGCTGCCATTTTGGGCTTTTAGGGGTGAAAATGCCCAAAAACTGGCTCAATTTCCCTACAAAAGGCGCATGCATTCGAAACGATAAAAAGCGCAGTCGGTCTCTTCCTTCGGAAGAGAGCGGTGTGGCCGAGTGGCTAGTGCCGTAGTCTGGGAACCAAGAGGGAGGATGGCGCACGGTTCGATTTCCCTTTTGGGCCGAATCAACTTTTTTTGAAGTTGAAGGTCGGAAAAATAAATTTTTGGGCCAAGACTGATTTATTACGTCTTAGAAACTCAATAAACATCATTTTAAGCCAAAATAAAAATTGTAAACCCGTGAAAAATTAGGCGAAAAAGGGTTCATATAGGACTTTAAGTCAACTTCCGATTGAGTTTTCACCCCTAAAAACCTAAAATGGGCAGCTAAGATTTATATATCCTTGATCAGCACATTTTTTCTGATTTTTTGAGCTATGTCCCGTCAAAAAGTAGGAGCCCCCATAAAAGTACTTTCCTTGTAAAAAAATTTGTCTTTAGGTGAAGAACAGGACGGCTCGATGACTCCAGCATATTGTGCGAAAACTTCAAATGGATGTCTAAAATTTGTTGGATTTGATGGAGTAAGAGTTTCTCGGTAAGTTTTTCAAAAGATTGAAAATGTAAAAAATTGGTTTAAGCATTAAAAAATTGCCAAAAAATGACCCGTTTTTGGCGATCTTAGCCCTGAAAATCTCAAGTTTGATAAGTAATCCTGCCCGCAATTTTTTATGAAATTTTCAGTGACTGCGCCCGACCCGACGAATGCGTTGATCGGACGCAAAAAGTGATCCCTCGCAACACCGGGACCGTCTATTGTTGTTGGTCGAATTGGTGCAATTCTTCGCCGGTAATGTCAGCCAGCTTGTTGCTCATTTTTTCGGCCTACTTTTTATTGAATTGACAGTCATTACTATAGAAAAAGTTGTTGTAATTTAAAACAATAAAAACTCAAAAACTTTGTCATTTTTTATGCCTACTTTTTACAGCGCCAATGAGTCACAATGTAAAAAAATGATTGAAAAAATTTGTTCAAAATCATCGGCAAAGGGCGTTATTTAAACCGGGGATGCCTCGAAAACAAGCTACAGTATTTTGAGAATGAAATCGCTAGTTTTGCTAGCAGTTATTTTATATATTTCTGTGTACGATGAGACCGCCGAAGCCGTGAGAGAGTGCTTTCACGGTGAGGATGAAAGCAGAGACCCGGACAGATGCAGAAACAATCATGCTCATGGATGTATCAAGTTCGTCTACAACACAGGACATGTGACTCGGTGAGTAGGAAGACAAGCGTTGAATACAAGACAAATCCCGAAAAATCCGACTTTTTTTGATGATTTTCAACCGAAAAAATCCGAAATCTCTCAACCATTTTCAACACTGCAGTGCACTGGTTTTCGGGGTAGAAATGCACCTACTTCAAAAGGTCGTAGCGACCTCAGTTTACACTTTGAAATCTTGTGATTTCATGCACAAAAATTAATGTCGCTTAAAAATAAATATTCAAAAAGCGAAGTCTCTGCGCCGCTCCCACCATAACTTATAGCCACCGAATATCTTGAAAGGCCCTGTACATACAGTGGCGGGCCTGGTCCAGTGGCAAGAAAGGTATCATTTTGCAACCGGGAAGGATCAAAAATGTGGCAAAATGCTTCCCTTTCAAAGTGGAAAATCTCTGATTTCAATTCGTCTCTTTTTGTGCGGGAAACTTTAAAACGGAGTTTTTTAGTTGGAGAGGGAGACATTTTGCTAAAATTTGGATACCTCCCGGATGCAAAATGGTACGTTTTTTGCCATTAGATAACTGTATGCTTACGCATAGTTTGCACAATTGAACTGATTTTAGATCTTGCGCTCGATACGATGAGTGTCGTCGAGATGAAGTCCGAGAGCTCCGGCATGGCACAGCCCATTGCTGCTACGATGACTTGTGCAACTCGGCGCCGAAACTGATCGCCTCGACAGTCCCATTACTCGCTTTGGCAAGAATTTTCCTCTGATTTTTGGCTTGTAAATACCTTCCTTTAACATCTCCATATTTTATGTAATAATTTTAATATTTTCCAAAAATTCATTTCGTTGTTTTCACTCGATAAGCCATAATGTCAGCCAAATAAAAATCGTTTGTTTCCATTTTGTGGAACGCGATGGAGTCCTCCGAGAACTCCTTGAACCCAATCGACATCCGATCCTTGTAAAACTCGTCAAAGTGAATGGTCGACCCGTTGTACGCATTGTAGAGATGTCTCACCGGATACATGTGGAATAGTCCTTGGTCTCGTTCATCTCGCGTTGGAATTGGATAAATTCCCTTGGTGGCAAGGCATCTGAAAAAAGGGAAATGTTTTATAGCGAAATATGGGTCTGAGACTTTGAAACCAGAGTTTTTCACTTGGAGAGGGAGGTATTTTGCCATATTTTTAACACTTCCTGGATGCAAAATGGTACGTTTTTGCCACTGGATCAGGTTCCCTGTAGCAGTATTAAAAAATTGCAGCACAAGAAAGGAGACGGAATTATTTTGTAAGCAGGCCAAATACTGAGAGATCAAATTAAAGCTGTGAGAATTTAGCAGCCTTTTTTATAGTTTTCGAATATTTTAGAAAGTTTTTTGAGCTCCTATCAACCGTTTTCACACTAAATAAAATACCCTATCGACCACAAATGGGCCGGTTCGAGCCGGGTCGAAGACTTTCCGGAGGAACTCCTACCGGCCTTGATTGCAGCCCCTAGAGAGCCATGCCCATTTCTAGTCTATCCGAAAAGTTGCAGGGGTGATTTCTACAAAATGCACAACGAGAAAACAAAATTTAAATTCGCACTGTGCAAATCGCTTTTTTGGACATTTGCTCGCACTCAGACTTTTTCTGCGCAGTGCAAAGGAAAAAATCTGTAGATAAAGACATCTCTCAATGCTTTCGGCTCCTTTCTTTTTCCTTACCTCCCCATCTGAACGTCCTCATACTCATAAAACGGGCAAGCCGTCGTATTTGGGAACACTTCTTCAACCAAAATTTGAACCGCCCTTCGACTTAAAATGTACATTCCACCAGAATTGTAGCCCTTTTCCTGCAAAATAAATTCAAATTTCCTTTAAAAAAATCTCGTTTCCCACTTACAACGAACAATTTAAACCTGAGGCCCGCGTAAATCGGCTCATTCGGATCGAATTTCCTCAGGAATTTATTCAAATTCTCTGCCAAAATGTAAGTGTCATCGTCCGCTTTGATATACCAATCAAAATCCTTTGATATGTACTTGTAGCTGTATTCGAATGCGCGTTTTGTCTTGTGAAATAACTGGTAATAGTCGTCGCTGAGTCCCGTGAAAACAGTTCGAAATGGAACGCCTGTGGCGTTGATTGGTTGGGAAGTGAAAAATTCGGCGTGTTGGACACGATGAAGCCAGGTTACGTTGATTGCTGGGACCTAATTTTGTTTGTGTTTTTTTTTTTTTTTTTGAATTAATGGACAGGGTTGTAGCTCGGGGGGACAGGACGTACCACCCTGATTTTAAAAGACGATTTCTGAGTCAGTGCATCAGCCGTCTGTTAGGGGTGGACATAGGAAAAAATCGATTTTGAGTTTTTGCACTAAAATGGCTGTTGGAAGGTGCTAAGCAAAAGCGAACAATATTTTTTCCCAAAACCTTCATGAAGGTATATTTTTTTACAATTTACTGTTTTAGAAGTAACCGCGTCCAGCTGTCGTATCTTACCTTACTGGGCGATGATTTGACGGTTACTGAAGTTTTCGACCCTTGCGATGACGATGGTATCATTATTTTTCCGTTTTTCCTACTGTAACATACCGTAATACTGTATCGACCGCTAAAAAACGACCGTAGAATCTTTCTTTCTGAAAATTTCACAGGCGATTTTACGATTTTTGGAATCAGCATAAAATTCTGCTCTAGAGGCAATCAAAAAAAGTTCAAAAAAAGCTGCGACAAATTTCGTGGTATAGTGGTTAGTGGTCGGGACTACCAATCCAGCGACCCGGGTTCGAGTCCGGCTGGGTGCGAATATCGAAAAGAAGTCGGAAATTAAATTTATTGTGATTCAGAGGATTGTATATTTTGCCACGAGCAATTATTAATGTCAATGGTAACTGGATTCGAGGTTAAAACGGGATTTATATAATTTTAGGGGCTCAATACATGAAAAAATAAAAGTGCTTCAAACCGGTTGAAATTGATAATACTTATTCTAAGGGCTATTCTAAGACACTTTCTCGTTAACTTTTTTTGGTAGCTTACTGTTCCATGCACTACAGTAAGATAAAGATTTTGTACTTAAGCGGGATTTTCTTCAAGATTGTTGCATCCAGTCTCGAGTTTTTTTGACTAGGTCGTTCAAACAGCAACGAAGGTCCACTATACGTATACAAAATAAATTTCCGCTTCACTTCCAGTGTGTCTTGATATCATCGCTATCTGACAAAACTTCGTGAAATAACCCGGTTGTTTCAAACTGTGCGGCCGTAAAAAAATTTTGTATGCAAACCAACTCGTTATTAACCATCTCTATCAATATGGCGATAGTCCGAGCTGTCTACGCCCCGTGGTATGCGAAAAATAAAATTGGATTTCATGTCACAGTAATCCATGTTACAGTAAGTTACGAAAAAAAGTTAACGAGAAAGTGTCTTAGAATAGCCCTTAGAATAAGTATTATCAATTTCAACCGGTTTGAAGCACTTTTATTTTTTCATGTATTGAGCCCCTAAAATTATATAAATCCCGTTTTAACCTCGAATCCAGCTACCATTGACATTAATAATTGCTCATGGCAAAATATACAATCCTCTGAATCACAATAAATTTAATTTCCGACTTCTTTTCGATATTCGCACCCAGCCGGACTCGAACCCGGGTCGCTGGATTGGTAGTCCCGACCACTAACCACTATACCACGAAATTTGTCGCAGCTTTTTTTGAACTTTTTTTGATTGCCTCTAGAGCAGAATTTTATGCTGATTCCAAAAATCGTAAAATCGCCTGTGAAATTTTCAGAAAGAAAGATTCTACGGTCGTTTTTTAGCGGTCGATACAGTATTACGGTATGTTACAGTAGGAAAAACGGAAAAATAATGATACCATCGTCATCGCAAGGGTCGAAAACTTCAGCAACCGTCAAATCATCGCCCAGTAAGGTAAGATACGACAGCTGGACGCGGTTACTTCTAAAACAGTAAATTGTAAAAAAATATACCTTCATGAAGGTTTTGGGAAAAAATATTGTTCGCTTTTGCTTAGCACCTTCCAACAGCCATTTTAGTGCAAAAAACTCAAAATCGATTTTTTTCTATGTCCACGGCTGACGCACTGACTCAGAAATCGTCTTTTAATACATATAACTGCAAGCTGGCAGAAACAAAAATAAAAAATTTATAACTCACCCTATCATAATGTCTCCCCGGAAAAGTCATGACAAAAATAAAAGTTTTGGCGTTTGGAGGTAATGGCAGTTTCTTTGCTGCTTCTGATACAACAATCTGATCAAAGACATCTTCTAATCGTAAGACGTTCTGCGAGGGACGCCAAAAATTTCGGAGGTAGTCGAAGCGAGGTCTGACTAGAGGATAGAGAAGTAAAAGAAGTAGGAATACAAAAAATACGGCGATGGATTTGTAGCGACGATAAAATACGAAGCTTTTTTGGTTCACTCTCATCGTCCAAGCAGTGGCATTATGCTTATGAATTCTGGAAAAAATGATTGGCGCTAAATGCAATTTTAGGAGTAAAAAATGAATTCGAATTATAAGAGGTTGGTTCGATTTCGGGGCCGCGCGAAGGACCGTGATAAGGCTTTGATGAGCAAGATGAAACTCTTAATAACCCAAAAAATATTTTGCCATTTTTATACGCATTACATCAAAAAAAAAAATCGTCAAAAAAAGAATTGTAAGCCTTGTAAGCCGTAAACTCCATTCTCTTATTCACCGTTAAAGTAACGCCTGCAGCGCAAACCCAAGCTCATTTAAAATGCGAAACCTCAACGAGCTCCTGTCATTCTTCCCGGTAGAAATACAAAAAACTGCAAAATGAGTTCCGCTAACAAACATCAACAATAAATCCGCGGCGTTTTCGAAACACGTATTCAGAATGGAAATCCCGTTTCCGAATCTCTATGCCCTCCCTCAACCGGGCCATCCCGGAGAGCCTAGCAACAATTTATTTAATTTTCAACACAAAAAACAAAGAGAAAATTGAGGCTCAAGGTACACACGAATTAGTGGGTTCAATTGTGGGAAATTATTTAATTTCGCATGAAAAAAGATTGATGTTTGAAGCCGGCATTCCAAATACAATGAAGGGACCAAAAAATTTTCATCAAGAAGAATTTGTTGCAAGAGAATTTGATGATTTTGATGAAACTTTAAAAGTTTTGAAGCATCCAAAAAAACTGTGAATCACTGGCATGTTTCACAAGCAACATAGATTTTCTTTAGGCTTTGGATACACGTCGAAAAAATTTCAAAAAGATTTAAAAATACGGCCAAGAAATACAAAGTAACATAAATTTCGTGGTTATATCTCATTCCGGGCCGTTTCCTGTGTCCAAAAATGCGGCCAAAGAAGTGAGATAAATCTGGAGCCGATTCCAAATCCATTTTTACAACATTCAACAATTAAAAGGTCACAAATAGAGACCTTTTTTACCGGTATTTTCGCCAAGAAATAAAAATTTTTGTTCATTTTATCTTTTTCTAGCCTACATTATATTCAAAAAATCCTAAAATGCCCGACTACCCCCAAAATTCCGAAATTTTTTACAATTTTACTTTTATTTTTCAATTTTTTTTACAAGTACAATCACATTTTAGGTATAAAAATTAACCGAAAGTACTATTCAGACAGACAAAACAATTCAATTCGAAAAATTACACGTTTTTCCAGTTTTTTGGATATTTCAGCTCAAAAAAATTATGGTAACAAAAAGTTACCGTAATCCTCGATGAGAACTATTTACAATTAAAAATTATGGACATTATTCTACAGAGGGGATAAAAGTCAAATCGAAACTCAAAAAGGATAATTGGAATTGGCTTAAATTACTAGCACTATCAATAATTACATTGTCATAGTACTACTTATTTACTTTTCTCCGCCTCCCATTTCTCCCACTCCGAGTCTGGGGTGGATTCCTCTTCGTCGGTGGCTTTGGGTGTCAACGGGCCCGTCACGGCGTCGCTAAAGACGGTTGAGGAGGTTGTTACAGTAGCCTGTTCATCGGAAGGTTCGTCTGGGAACTCGGCCAGGTCGTCAGCACCGGATGAGCAGACGCTCCAGGATTCATTTTCAGTCACAGAGGGGCTCACATCTGGAAAATTAAAGTCAAAATTTAAAAAATTGACCTCTATTTTTCAATATTATTTTAAGCAAACTTGTCCTTCACCTCGCCATTAGCCTTCAATCAAAATTTTATCAAAAATACCCACTATTTCTATATTACTTTAGGTAAGTCCAATAAAACACCCCTTCTTACCCTTCTTTTCTCCACTCGACTTCAAATCTTTCAACCCAGATGACTCAGCACTCGTATCCACTTGCAATTCTTCAAAGATTTTCCCCTTATTCTGCCGCAATTCCTGCTCCATTTCGGCGATGTAAACCTTGAAGAAGTATCGATTCCAGAAAGTGTGGTTGTCCACTCGGCTTGGGACGAATTTGGCATAAATTTCACGTAATTTGGGGTTATTTCCGAGCAGCACATTGATCTCCCCATTGTATTCGGAGAGCTTGAATTCTTTCAGCCAATCCTTATACACTTCAATATTTTGAGTCGGGGGTTTCAGAAAAGTAGCCTCGGAATTTTGGAGCTCCAAGAGTTTGATCTGAAACTATCCGATTTTCAGTCTTCATCTCTTATCCTGCCTAAAATTTGAAAGACAAAAAATAAATTAATCAACTCACATGTTCTAGAACTGAATTTCGAACGTTAGTTGGGACAGTATCGGTAAAATCGTATTCATCCTTGGCAGTGTCCTCGATGGCCATATTCTTGACCGTATCTACGACTGATTTCATCCATCCGAATCCAAATCCCTAAAGTTTATATTATTTTAGGCACTAAATTGGTTGACTCTTAAAAAAATTCGAAAAATATATCCAGGTTTTTCCTAAACAACAAGAAAACATATTCGAATTTCCTTACAGACTCCTTCTTTTCCAATTTCGGCTCTTCTTTTGGCTCGACCGGGGCTGGTTCCTCCTCCGGATTCTCAGGAGTATCGGCATCGGGAGTAGTGACAAATTCTTGGAAGAGTTCCGCTTGTTTCTTTACACTCTCTTTAATAATGGCAGCTTCGGTGTTCACGGTGTCGGAGAACTCGTTCAAGTCCTTTTTCACGGCATCCAAAGTCTTCTCGACCTAAAATTTGGACATTATACTTGATTTTGGTAACAAGAAGAAAAAGTCGACGTCAAAGTGTACATCTGGACGGAACATGGCACGAGTACATGCTAAAGCGAGCCACTGTCATGAAGAAGAAATATCAACGAAAAGTAATTTATAGATTTACAGTTTTTGCGGATAACAGCACAAACTAATTCACTCTCAAATTAAAGAATTTTTTTGGTAAACGGTGTCCCAAAATCAATTTTGCAGCAGGTACATTATAAAAAAGACAGAACACACTTTGATCTTGTAAATTACATCAACTTCAAGACCTAAAATCAAAGAAAAAAATTAAATTCTAACCTGCTCCTTGGCCTTCCCAACCCAATCAGCGCCAACCGTGCCCAGATAAGACGAATATGAGGAGAACCATTGAGTGGGACTAGTCAAATCCTCCTTCTTCTCTTCTTGAGCGGCTTCTTCAACTGGTTCCTGAGGGGTTTCCTCCGGAACCGGAGTTTTCTCTTGAATTCCTTCGGCTTCCGGGGACTTCTGCTCTTTCTCCGCCATGGATCTGAAAAAACTCGAGGAATAATTCTTTTTCCTGAAAGAATGAAGAGTACAAAGTGTTCGGAGCGCGTTCTTCTCGAATGCATGGCGGCGGAAACACGTGAAAAAATCGATTAGAGCGGCCTCTTCATGCATAATATAAAAAAGGCAGCAAATTCGAAAAATGCAACCAAAACGCAAACAGGACCCGAGGTTATTCCAATTAAAAAGATGGAGGGTTATGGAAAAACAATCCTTTGGATTTCAAATTGCTGTTTTTGGATATTATACTAGGCAAAAATTTTAATTTTTTGAGCAAACTGCGCCCAGAGACATTCGTAAATTGTGAAAAATCATGATAACACTAATCTGTAAATCCAATAGAAGCTAAAGAAGACAGTATCACAAAACGCCCTGATAAGTGTGCATCACGTGAGGAATACATTAAAAATCTAATATATTCGTCGGTTTCAAACGACACTCCGTTGAAAAGCCGTTGGAAGTGAAGAAAGAACGACTCAATTAGCCCTTTAAAAAGTTTTGGGTATAAAATTCAATTTGAAGGGCGAAGTGAGACGGGTAGATTCTGGAGATAAGACCGGCGAACTGATTTGGTCTCGGTTCCACATTGTTCTAGGACTTTCGCAGACGCATATGGCCTTCAAATCGTCACAGACAAGTTCTCCGTCAAATAGACTACCTTAATTTGCCGTAAAATAGATTAAAAAAGGCAAAAACTATATTACACTAGGGAAAACTCGCATATTTATAATTTAAATCCTAATAAGAAGGCAAAGAGAAGACTTTGGCCATCCAAAAGCTCGCGTATAGCTTGGAATATAATTGCGGAAGCACCCCGAGACCATAAACACGTTTTTGGTCGAAAATCCTCGGTTCTTTTCGAAAAACAAATTCCTGGCCGCTAATTCTGCCCTTAGGAATGTTTACATTCGAAGACCAACGCGGAAATCTCCTTTCAGAGGATCAAAACATGCCATATGTTCTAAAATGCAAAGGATTTTCCAATCCCAGAGTATCAAATTGACAAAAAAATCATTTCACAATCTTCTCCATGAGGAATCAGAAAGAGAAAATGCAAAAAATTAGACTCGACCACCACCCTGAGGGCGTTTGTTTTGAAGAAACATGAATAAAAACCGACTCGTCCCCGCTTTTGCTCACATGATCCCAGAAATGAGCTGCGTTTCGGGGGAGAAAACATTCAATTTCGCCTCTCCCGTATATCATTTTAGGGGGCCTCGAGGGGAAAAAATATGGTCTGAAAATGGCGTCTTCTCTGGCTATTTTGGAATAACTGCACCCTCACGCATCTATTAGACGAAAAAGATGAATTTTAGCTGGAAATTTTGGATATTCACAGAGACTTCTTTTGAAGGTATCTAAAGCTATCTAAACCAATACAAAACCGTCAAAACCTGGTTTCCCACTAGTAAAATAAAAGTAGGAGATAGCTGAGGTCCCGTATTTTACCTAAAACCCCCCAAATTCCTATTATCATTTTCACAAAGTGTCTGGACATGTTTTCCCTGTCGCACAGTGCATCTTGAACTTTTGTCGCCAACGCACTGTGAATTTTTGCCTTTGCGCACCGTGCAAACCTCAAAAATGCCGATTGCACAGTGCACATTTTTGAGCAAAGTCGCAGCGGCGCAGTTGAGAAAAGCTTACGTCGCGTCGCAGCGATATTTCAAATGCACAGTGCAAAACCAAAAAAAGGTGAGTGCACGGTGCATAACTCACAAAATTTTTGTGCACGGTGCGGATGACGGGCCTTGGACCCACGACGTCCAAGGCCCAAAAACTTTGAAAAAAGAAAAAAATTTCCCATGAGTTCGCGCTCACTCGGCCGTCATAATGCGACAGCAAGATCCATAGAACATAAACATCTCCAATTTTATGTGTTTTTGCAATAAAAGACGGTCTTTCTGGCCTTTTACTTTATTTATGAGATTATAATGGTAGAAAAATACGGCATAAAAACAGAACAAGGCAGAATAAGGAGAATGTCTAACAATAACGTCCTTTACTTGACAAAAGTCCAAGTTTTTTAGTTCATTAGACAAATTTGTTTGGGGGTCTTGGCCGATATTATCCATGATAAAAAATTTAATTTTTTTAAAGGAAAATTATTTCAGGAGGTCTGATCACCTCCGTGAGATACTATATGACCCCCGTACAAGCCAAAACAACACATATTTCACCCATTCTCACCATAAAATGCATGTACATTATAATTGAAATTTTTTTCTTCAACATGAATAAAACCCCCTTTCCCCGAGACCAGAAAACACCAGAAAAGACAAAGTAAATACTGGTTATTACGTGAATTCCCCATTCAGGTAAACAAACGCCTCTAGGGCCGAGCATTTCCACCTAAAATATTGTTTTACCCGACTTGAAAGCCAAATAAACGTCGGAAGATTAAACTCGAACCGGTTTGGCCCTGTTGGGCAGGTATAACATACGTGTGACAGGAAAGGAACCGATATCTTGTTCAACATCGACGAGAAATCGCAAAGAAGAAAAATTCGAGAAAAATGTTGGGCGCAGCTCGCGGATATGGAACTGCAGGCTGCGAAGAGGTGATAAATGATAATAAGGTCGATTTGCAAATTTACAAACTCCAAGGGCGACAAAGAACGACAGAGATCATATTGAACGTAATTCTGACAGATTTAGATTCTAGGACAAGAATAACCCACGTATTTGTGATATCAAATATTAGAAAGGTCATAAAAGGTTACTGTAATATAATAGTTTAGTAATCTTTGAAGACCTTGTGTTTATTGGTCCACATAAGCCAGTATTGCTCCGAAAACAAGATTTATGTCTTTTATTTGATGATAATTTGGTAATTTCTAGAAAAATAAGGCAGTTGACATTGAGTATCTGGAGTAATATATCTCAGGGATACGATGACTTATTCCTTTGTCGATTTCATTATTTACAGTGCAGATAGTCAAAACTTACTTCCAAAAATTTCAGACTTTCAGCTCTTTTTTGCTTTGAGATATTGTCAATTAAAGATTTCATTACTTCATCTACTAGGTATAATATAACTTTTCACAGCAATGTTAATCTTTGGTTTAGCCAAAACTTTTTTTCCCAGAGCCTTGATTTTTCCTTCAACTACGAATATTTGTTTTCCATGTCCCTCGCAATCGATGTAAAATACACGCAATCGGGATTACAGTAATCCCCTTCATGTACGTGTTGAGATGCTTTTAAAGTTTAGCCTGCCCAAAAAGTGGTCATCGAATATGTAGCCCTTGGAATATTTAGGCTGGTAGCCATCGGAAGAGGGGTCTAATTGACGTAAAAGATATAAAACTTGGTATTAAATTGGGATTAAGGATGTGGAAACAATTGAAGGTCTTGAATGAGAGCGTAAACAGGATGAGTTGTATATAAAGCGAGGGGCAATAGATTCTATAAGGTATAAAAATACGGACAAAATTTATATTTCAGATAATATTGGACGGCTGGAATCATGGTGAGTATCAGTTGCTTTGTTTAATATAATACAAAAAAGTATGATTTATTCAATTTTGGCGTCTTCTAAAACGAAAAACATTGATTGTAGATAGATATCATTCTAATGAAAATTTTCTAGTACGGCTACATTCACGATGTGATGAAGTCCATGATCCTCGAATCCCACGGAGAAGAATTCTGGATTTCCGTTTTGTAAGCTAACAGACTAGGAATTGCTTACATGATTTTTATTTTTAGAGAGGATTCCACCAAAGATCCCAACACTGAATACTCATCCAATAAGCATTATGATGACATGGATACGTTCTCGTTGTTTGCCAGTATCAGCAAGTTGACCCGTAAGTTTAAAAAATTTTTTCCGGCTTTTTCATCACTATGTAAGCCTTTTTTATTAAACGTTTCTAAACTGTCTAACAATAAGTGACTTCAAATTTTCAGGGATTCCAAAAGAAGAAGTGTTGGAAAACTTTGGCCGTCACTTTTGCCAGTATGTGATAGAGAATGGATACGATGAATTGCTCAGAAGTTTGAGCCCTGATCTGAGGGTAAATAAAATTTTTTTTGTGGCCGTTTGTAAAAAAAATTAACGCTCGCTTTCCAAGAGCAGTCGAAATATTTGACAGTCTTTTTCGACGAGAGACAGGGAGGAATGCGGAGAGCGGTTGGAAAAAAACAACTTTTCCGGCCCGCCATTTTCAGAAACACACCTATTATTTTTTTACATGGCCTCACAATTTGATAAGTGTCAAATTTACCGCAATTTTGGACTAAAAATCTCGGTTGTTTCTGCAAAGCGCGTTTTGAAGGCTTCTAATTAGTCTTGGAAGAAATTGGCCTAATTTTGTAACAATTTGCACTGTAATGACTTTAAAAACCTGATCATCTCTTTGCAGGGTTTTCTCAACAACATGGACTCCCTCCATTACTTCATCGATCACGTCGTCTACAAAGCCAACATGAAAGGTCCCTCGTTTCGTTGCGAACCCGGCGATGGCAGTCATATCACGTTGCATTACTTGTCCAGTCGAAATGGGCTTTATCCCATCGTCAAAGGGCTCCTTCGTGAGTTGGCGAAGAGGATTTTCGATATGGAAATTGACATCAACATAGCCGGAAGAACCCAAAAAGTGGTCCAGTATTCCAGTGGAGAGCGCACTGAAGAGCATGTGATCTTCAATATAGTGGTAAGGAGTATCAAAAAAGATGTGAGCAGCATGCGTGCTTACCATGGTTTTAGACGAAACAAGAGAGTGAAAAGACGAGAAGTGCCACAGCATCGCCTGCCATCCAACTTGACAACACTGTAGATTGGCAGCTGATGGTCAGTCCCGACGATTTTGTGGACATGATGCCGTATCACTTCGTGGTCGACAGAGATTGCAAATTGGTTCAAGTTGGGAGTAGATTATGGTGAGAAAAGGTTTTTGAGATTATGTTCAGCCCATGATATAATATACTTGGTTGTTTCTGCAATATTGATCTTGCTGTTATGTAGAAAAATTTAATCGCAATTTTTTTGTTTTCAGTGAGCACATTTCTGAGGATCTTCTTGTGGTGAGTTTTTAAAATATAAATCATTTTCTTGGCCGTTTGTTTATTGCAATAATTAAGTACAGTAGGGGACCTGATCCATTGGCAAAGACGGTACTATTTTGCATCCAGGAAGTATCAGAAAATGTAGCAAAATACCTCCCTCTCCAAGTGAAAAAAAATCCGATTCAAAAACGCACCCGCTCTTTGGCCCTTCAAAACGAAGTTTTTTCACTTGAAGAGGGAGGCGTTTTGCAACATTTTTTGATACTTCCCCGATGCAAAATGGTACGTTTTTTGCCACTGGATCAGGTCCGTTACTGTACGTCCAATAGTGACGATAACTTTAAGGTGGGAACCCCGATTTCTCGGATATTCGAAATCCATCGCCCACAAATCACCTTGGAATATGAAAATATATGCAATTTCATCAACGGCGTCTTCATTTTGCAATCCAGATCCATTCCACTGATGGTTCAAAAACAACAAAACCCCGCGCCCGGCTCGCTCCCAAACTCTAGGGCTTCCGGACATTCGTAAGAAAATGGGAAAAGCTTTCAAAAAATTTAATTTTCTCGATTATAGAAACACAGGAGCAGCTGAGGAAGGTGGTGTGATAAATGCGCAGCATTTGAAGCTGAAGGGGCAAATGATGCTGATTGATAACGACAATATCATCTACCTTTGTTCGCCATATGTGAGAACGTTGAACGAACTGGATAACTTTGGCCTCAAACTGTCATCATTTTCCGTTCATGATTCTACGAGGGATTTGATTCTGCTGAATCAGCAAAGAACCAGCGATGTGGAGGGATTGTAGGTTTTAGAAGATATATACTATCTACAGTAATTCAGTGGCAAAAAACGTATCATTTTGCATGCTGGAGGCATCAAAAATGCGGCAAAATGCCTCCCTCTCCAAGTAAAAAAAACTTTATTTTGAAGCGAAATGAAGTTTCCCTCACAAAAAAGCGGGCGCGCTTTTGAAATCGGAGTTTTTTTTACTTGGAGAGAGAGGTATTTTGCCACATTTTACTGTAAGACTGGGCTTGAAATTATCTGAAATTGAATAAAGGTCGATCCAGATTCTCTATGGAAACTTTGAAAAAAGTTGGGTATACTTGTTTCTTCTTCCGCAAAACAAATTTTCAGAGCAAAACTCGAGCGTCTCAACCAAGAAATCGAAGAAGTGGAGGCAGAATTGGGAGAAAAGGAAGAGTTCCTGGACGCTCTTCGTCATGAAACTTTCCCTGGAAAAATCGCTCAGCAAATGTCTCAAGGCAACGAAATAACCACGCGTAAGATACCTTGGTCATTCAAGTTATTAATTTGACAAAAAAAAACTACTTTTAATTTCAGAAGTGTTCGACCTGGTTACTGTAATGTATGTTGATGTTCCCACTTTCCAACTTCTCCTTCGTCAATACAGTGCGGCCGAAGTAGTGGGGATGATTGAAGAGCTGTTTGACCGATTTGACCGCTTGGTTCATATGAACGACGTCTATAAGATTAGCGGGGTAAATTTTTAAAATCTGTCATCTTTCGCCTGGTACAACATAATTTTTGCCCATAATCGCCAAGAAATTAACCTGAATCGCTCTCCATACTATCCATAAATCCCATTATAGATCGGAGAGACCTATGTATGTGTTGCGGGGGTCCCAGAACCAACCATCGACCATGCCGAGACCATGATTCATATTGCACTTGGTATGGAATGGAAGGCTCGGATGGTGGTGGACCCCAAGAAGAAGGAGAGCATGCTGGTCAGATGTGGAATCCACACGGGCTCGGTGATTGCTGGAGTGGTCGGAGAGAAAACTATGAGGTATGTATATAAGTTTTTCATTTTTAAATTTCAAATTTCCCGCCAAAACTAAAAATTTTTTGGCATTCTGTATATTTATTAATTACAAACTCTGGACGTATTCTACAACTCTGTACAACATTCTAGAAACGTGTCAGCGATTTTATTTTGTAGAATTTAAATTTCCCGCCAATTTTTTAAATCCTTGGCATTCTGTTTCAACCTGGATTATTAACCAACCCATTAGATCACCGTATTTTAAAATCCGCCGTTTCCTTTCAGATACGCCGTTTACGGCGAATGCATGAACGTTGCAATGAAAATTCCCCAAGACTCGGCGCCCGGACGAATTGTAATCACCGAAACGACCCGACAATCAGCCCAAACCACCGGAAGATTTGATTTCGAGCCCCGAGGAATGACCGCGATTCCTGATCATGACAATATGGAGACATTCTATGTGAAGAAATCGTACAAGAAATCCGTTTTTGAAATCATCAACAGAGCTAGAGGTGAGCCGAAAAGAGGGCGTATTTTACTACTGTAGCGGGCACTTCAAGGCCTAAAATTGGTTTTATTAGAAAGTATCTGACTAGGTCTTTCTTTCTATACCACATTTCGCGCAATGCCACTTTCTTATCAAAGCGTATTTTAGACGAGAACATTGACAGTATCGATGGCTATGCCGAATTGGAGAAGATCTTACAGGGCGTAGGAGACAAGGTGATTCTAAAACAACAGAGTTCTGCTTGCCGCATCCTTTAATCTATCTAATAATATAATTTATCACAAAAAATATTAATATCGTCTTCCCTTGCCAGCGTATCTTATACTATACCCCATGTTTAATATAAATTCCAATTTTGATACCAAAATCAACATAAACAATCCCCAAGAAAATATTTATAGTGTTTATAATCCATAATCTTCAGAATGACTACATTTCAACCATCGGTATGTTCATTAGACACAGGACATAAGGAAGTTTTTCCTCGATGCATGATAATATAAATTACAAAATAACTCACGGAATGGTTGTAAATAGCACTTCACAACAGCTTAGCAAAAACTAGACACCAAATAAATCATAATCATATCAAAGACATTCCGCTGAAAGGCGAAAATCTGACATAAAAATTAGTTACAAAAGATAGATGTCTAATACCTACTACAATATCAAAAAAATCAACTTCTAGATGGATCTAATGAAAAGGAATCAATATAAAATAAGTTATGATTAGATTGCAGCCCCAGTGATATAATATTGAATCTACTTTATAATATAATCTACGGAATAAATTAATTATTTCAACAGTGAGTTCACCACGGCGTTCGCGTTCAAACTCTTCAGATCGGTGTAGGTTTGGCCGGTGCCGACAAAGACAATGGGTTGACCAGTGATGTAGGTCATGGAAACGGCAGCGCCGACCTAAAAATGGCAGTATTAATACCAAAATAAACCACATCAAATCTCATATTATACTTGGTGAGCAAGTAAAAAAGTTGGTCTTACTTTATCATCAATTGTGTCAAACTTGGTAAGAACGATTCCATCGATGAGTCTTGGGTTCTCGCGGACTGCGCTATGGTCTGCCAGAGCTTGGTTGAACTTGACGAGCTGGTCGACGGCTTCGTTTCCGACCAAGGCTTCGCCGACAAAGAGTACCATATCTGGGTTATTAGTGTGGATCAGCTGAAAATTCAACAGTTTGACCTCATATTCGTAATGAAAACATCATTTTCAATCAAATTTTTGAACTTCCCGAAATTTTTTTAAATTACACTAGACAAAAATTCCAAAATTCTTTTTTCATCCCCAAATTTCAACTTACACTGCTCAACGCGGCCATCAGAGGCGCATTATCCTGCATTCTACCGGCCGTATCGACCAAAACCACATCAATCTTTCTTTCCTTGGCAATCTGAATGGCTGCTTTGGCCAACTTCGCCGAATCTCCACCATATCCCTGCTCATAAAGTTGAACACTTTCCGGATGGAGGTTGTTCAAATATTTGCAATGGGTTCTGAGCTGTTCTACGGCACCAGCACGGAAGGTATCACCAGCCGCAATCAGAACATTATGGCCGTTTTCATTCAACCAGAAGGTGATTTTAGCGAGATTCGTCGACTTTCCGACTCCATTCACTCCACAGAATACGATGACATATGGGCGATTTTCGGACTTGGCGTGCATGATATCACGTAGAATGTCGACACGGCGTTTGGGGGTCAAAAGTTGGACCAGGGATTCACGCATGGCCTCGCGGACAATGGTCTGGACGCGGCTGAAGGAGCTCACAACTTTGCCGACCAGCTTCGCTCCGACTGATTCGCAGATCTTTTCGGCCGGCTCGGTGGCGACGTTCTTCTCTGGAAAGCAAAATTTATGAGCCTTTGTTCGATTGTATCAAAATTTTCTTCCATAACCTTTCCAGACCTTCTTCATGCTGCCTAAACTTCAAAAAGAACAAAAAAATCGACTTACGAATCAAATTGGTCTTCAAATTCTCCAAGACAGGTTCCACATCCTTCTCTTCCAATTTCTTGTTGGAAACCAGCGAAGTTAGGGACGAAAGCCATCCCTTTTTCTCTGGTTTGGCTTCAACTTCATCCATGGTCAAGTCTTCAACCTCATATTCGTTTTCGTCCAGCCCTGGGAGATCTCCTTTGAATTTTCCGACCATTCCCACCTAAAATAATATTTTTTAGGTACGAAAAAATATTATTCACATTATACTACATTAAAACCCTTCTAAACAACTCACATTCTCCATGTAAATCTGCTCGGCCTCCACATCTTCTCGAGGTTTCTTTCCATTTTCCGCTTCGGGGCTACTGTAATCCAGGACGGCTTGGTCTTGTTTTCCACCGGAGAGGTCCCAGATTCTGGCAGCCTTTCCTTTCTTGCCTCCTTTGCCCTTCTCACTCTTTTCAGGGGTCTTTTCCACACTAAATTTAAAGAAACTTATATTGCAAATGACACTTACGTCTTCTTCTTTTTATTAAAGAAAGCCTCGCGGTTCTTGAGAATATCCTCATCTTCTTCGGAAAGTCCAGAGCGCGGGGAGCCTGGAGAAACATCAACAACTCTGAAAATAGCAAAAAAATATAACAATAAAAAATAAACTTTCCGTTCGAAAGTGTAAAATAGGAAGTCACAGTCGATGCAAGCAAGGAATATACTTACTTCTTTTTTCCCTTGGTCGCTTCGACATTATTAGCAGGCTTTTCAATCAACGAAGCAACGGTTTTCTTTGATTTCTCCGATTCTTGATAAGTCTTCGGCTTCTTATTCCCGGACTTGGCGTTTTCAAGCTCAACTCTTTCCAATATCCTAAATCAAAAAATAGACCACTTATTTTACAATAAGCCGGTCAAAAATATCAAAACCTTACTTCGGGAATTCCTTTCCAAATCCGCTGAAGGTCCGCGGGCCTTTCGCCAACATAGCGTCGGTATTCAAAACATTCTTGTAAAGATCTCGGAACCTAAGATTCACTTCTGTTAGCAGTTTGTCGGCATACGACATTTGGACAACACTTTGGTAGACTACCTGAAAAACCGAGATTTATATTATTTTAGGTAGGTTTAAAAAATTGGTCAGTGTCGGAAGATTTGAAGACTAAGGAAAACAAACTCCCAACACCTCCGCAAACATGCTTTTTACTCTAAACTTACTAAAAACACCAAATCAAACTCGTTGTCCAGCTTGTACTTGATGGAAACGTCCTCCCATTTAAACACCCCAACATTACGTTGCTAAAATCAGAAGAATTTCAATGCAAACTTCCTAAACTCACTTGTAGCAGGACGTCGCTAATTAAATTGTTGACGGCCTCCTTGAAAAGGTTTTGGCCTTCCTTGAAGCACCAAAGCACCAGACCGCCCTTGCCGAAAATCGCAAAAAGCTCGATCATCTCTAAAACAATACAATAAGGTGCCCGACTGCGAAAAAAACGAATATAACCGGAAATATTCGATAACACGAATAGAAATTGAGTAGACGAGCTATTTGACGTATAAAAAATTTCCGCGTGGAAGAAATTTATTGCTAGTTGCGGCCGTTCTTTTAGCAGACTGCGAAATGCGGGCGCAGCTCGGAGCGTTTATTTTTTATGAACGTGCGGTAAACACGAAATACCTCGTTTCAGCCTACACAGGATTGTAGCACGTAGTGTAAAATCGTGTTTTCGACCTCAAATGCTTTGATTTTCTCAAAATAAATTGTTTTTTCCTGTGCTGTTCAGATTATTTTTTCAGACGGGTGGAAGGGGCCGAGACATGGTCCAGTTCAAACTTCTATAACTCTTTTCTCGACCGCACTGGAGCTATGATTATGGTATCCTTTTAATGTTGATGACTTCGGTTTCTACGCCGAGATTAATTTGCAGCTTACGCTTTAAGTCCGACTGACTTGCAGACCCTGGAATACCACCTGTCATACCTATTCAGTTATGCCTAAAGTGATATTCCGTAAGACCTGAGCTTAAAATCTATTGAAGAGGTGCTGAATTTGTATATATTTTGGCTACCGTAACGGCCATAGTCATCAAAATGTGCGTTTCTCACGAGATTAGGACAAGGGGAACACTTGGCACGTAAGGCCACATGAGTGTGTCAAGTGTTCCTCTTTTGAAAAAATGGGGGATTTTTGAGCGAATACGGTATCGTTGACAGAAAATTATATATGAGCGAGGATGGGAGAATTATACACGAGCAATCCGGGATTTTTCATCTAGATAATGAGGTTGCATATTATTGGGTAGTGTAATATAATTATACTAGGTAAAATGCAACTCATTTGTCTTGCTCTTCTTATTGGGAACTGTTCAACTTTTTAAAGTTAAAATACGTTTAATTTACATGTATTGAAATTCAACTGAAGATAATTTTACGCTGTCTTTTGTAAAATATATCGGCTTGTTTTTCCGAATTTTGGTGTTTATGTCTAATAATAATCATATTCAATGTCATTTTTACCCTGGATATAAACAATTATATTTACACTTTATTCAATGACCAATTTTGTCGTCTTTTTCCAACATTTCTGGCAAATTTCCCACATAGTGGAACAGTTGACCCGTAGTCGTCAAGTCTTCCTCTTTCCCTTGGTGAGAGAAACGCAAATCCCCCTCGAAGTGCGTGCGTGCAGTCAATACAGCTGATGTGAATGCCTGTTTTATCTTCGGTTGCACAGTTTCCGTCTCGTCTTTATCAAGGTACCGTAACCGCGGTAATTTAGTGTCTACTGTATGTTGCCACAGTCGTGTGCGCAGTCTTTCCGGCTTGTATTGACATTGGAGTCATTGTGGTTCGATACGGGGGTTGAGAAGGGCTGTGGGGGTTAAAGGAGCGCAGTGTCGGCGAGTTTTATAGAAGTGGGGGTTTGGATTGCATGGTGAAGATGTAATCGAAATTTTTGCGTGTTACAGTAATCAGGGTGACTCAAGGAGGAAGGTAGAAGTTCTTTAGGTACTATAGAATACTATAGAACATATTGACCCGCATGGTCCAAAATCTACACTTAATTATTGGATTTTTCAGTTATCTGAATCCAAGGTGGTAGAACAACATAGTTTTTAGTTAAAATACGATTTCATAATAATTGTTAGCTTTGTTAGGTGATACTACCTTTACTATAGAGGGTACAGAACTTCATCAAGATTAATTTGTGGATGTTTGAGCAGCAGATAGTTTTTATATGGACCTTCAAACTTAACTGACTCTACAATTTGATGGTAATATCTTTTGTAAAAAAAGTCTGCTTCCAAATTGGAGATACTTCCTGTTTAAAGTTATAAACAAAGACGTTCTTCTTCCCTCTAAAAATACCTAAAATAACAAACTCTTACTACTTCCCATAGTAGCAAAAACAATTCGCCCTGAGGCGGTAAATCCCACAAGTCGAGCGGTTTTTATCAAGATAATGTTTCCATCCCAGAATTTTTTAAAAAATGGGAAAAACATCCACGAGCCGCCCGGAAGCTCAGCTGATTGCTTTATCACCTCAAAAGATCGAGACCTGACCCACATTCCAATTTGGAATTGGGCGAAGTTACAAATCACCGTTTTCGGAAGCAAATATAATTGATCTGTTTGTTTGTTTGTTGTCCTTTAGCGATTAGGGTCCAGGAAGCACGTATTGCGGGGAAAGTGCAAGGGTTTGATCGGAGTTTTTATGTGGTTTTTTTTGGAAATTTGGGAGCAAAACGGAGTCAAAATTTAGCGATGATATCAGATAGTGAAGGTGAATATATTTAATAGATGCCTGATGGATGTAAACTGAAGATGTTTAATTTTATCAGACAAATGAGGTCTTAGCTCGGTACTTTTCCAATCCCGGCCAATCATGAAAGATTTTACACAATAAATAAACAATTATATTGTACTAGGCAGTTTTCCCTAAAATGTGGTCACCTAACCTACTATTATGGGATTTTTTGACCCGCACGAAGCCCAATTGCTGTCTCTAAACAGCTACCGTGTCTAATTGAGATCAAATTTCAATCCTGAAACTAAAATTTATATTCCGCTTGACCTCAGAGCTCCTATAATAAGGCCGTGAGAGATAAAATAACATAGCCCCATAGATGGTCTCATAGCCTTCTGTACCTTTTGTATGCTCCAAAATGAACGGCTAGCACTCGGATTCCTGAAACCAGTTCCCCTCTCCTCCTTTATTCCCCACCCGCAATTCCTTTCTCCTTCAGGGTTTCATGTTGTTGTTAATTGAAAGGAGAGCCCGACTTTTTTATGTGAACCACGTTCTTGACAAGGTAATCGAAGAGGCTTTTTGTGATAAAAAATTCCTGCTGATCAGACAATTTTTGGGCCCAATTTTGATGAGTATGGGGATTTTATTGGGAAACGGGAATTTTTATTCGGCGATGATGAGATAATGACTTGGTATATGGGATTTTTATGAGTGCATGTTTGTGGGGTCTTATATCTTTTAAAAATGTTTAAAAGCTACGGCAACATGTAAAAATCTCAAATTTGAGGTTCTTTGAGGACACAGATAATTTGAAAAATGTCACCAAGAAGGGCTCCTAAAACTAGCCTGCTCAGTTGTCCACATAAAAACCAAGTCTAATATATTGCACTTGCCCAATCTTGATGGCCTCCATGGTTCATCTGATGGCCCATAACCTCTCCCAGCTTTTGCCAACAAGGCCTTCAGTTTCTCATCAATGCAAATTCCCCTCAATCGCGCTCACTTCAGGATTATGGAAAGCCCTTATCGCTCGCGGCGCGCAGAGAGCGCTGCGCGCGCGGAGTGCGACCCGACAATGATGTTGCATTGCGCATGAATAAAGAATCTTTCGGAATCGATAGATGCTCGCGGTCAGATCGTCCCCTTTTGCGAAACCGCCGAGAAAGACGAAAAAAGTTTGGGTAAAGGAGGGAGATCTTGGCGCAAGGCACCAAAACAAACGTATCATCGCGTGATAGGTGCAGGTCGAATTTTAATGCCGGGACAGATCGCAGCGGATAATTGGGGTGGCAGTGGGCTTATGGAATGTGTCAGATGTCCGCTTGACTAATTTTTTGGTGATTCTTGGAGCTCTGAGATAGGTGACATTAGTGTCACGGATAATATCACAAACTGTTGAATTTTCATGTTGCAGTAGAAAGAAGGGCAAATTCGGGTTCGGAATGACCTTTTAATCAGCCTCAAGCCGCGATTTGCGCAGTTGATGATTATTTAGGGAAGTTATGAGGCTCCAATGCTAATGTCATGGGTAATATACGGAAAAGCCATATAACATTAAGTAAACACAAAAAATCAACCTCTTATATTTTGCAAAGTCTGGTTGAGATTTTGGAGTCATCGTTGAGTTTTTTTTTGATAATTTCGTAATATCACATCAACCTATTACATCCACTGATCAAACAAAACACCTTTTCTTGGCCTCAAATAATATCAATTTACATGCCTTTCCATTTTTTCTGCCAATGAATGGAACAAAAATCAGAGCCCTAATCAACGAACCCTTAATTCACAGACAATTTCGCAAACGACAGACCAAAATAATCTGCATATACGAAGAAATTCGTTTGGACTTTCCTTTTATGTTGGATAATCGTTTCAAATCCCGTCTAATCCGCTCCAATACAACCACTTGAATAGTTGTTTTTATGTTTTTCGTACTGTTTACCTCCAAACTGACCTTGTGCGAGTGGAAAAATACGGTATCCTACCGTGTGTTGGGCCGATCTACCGTAATTTCGCTCCTAATTAGGTCATTCCGCCCTACCTTATTTTTCGGTGGGCTTCCGATCGATGCGAGCGAATATTTCTTCGCCCTTCGCTCATTAGATTAAGCCCGCATCCAGCTTCAAAAGGGATTTCGATTGTCTTGCGCATACAGTCCGCAAATAGGGGAGATGAAACAGACGAGGAAGTCGTCTGAATTTATCCGAATTTTAAAAAATTTAGCAACTTCTCGCGGCTGGGATGAGTAATTTACTAGCATTTTGGGATTATAAAACCTTAAAAAATTATTTTTTATCCTTTCCCAGGCCTTTGGCTTATTTTATTGACGTTTTTTATGTTATACTTGACATCTGATATTAAACTACCCATAACTTGTCTGCCAACCACCAAATTTGCATGAAAATAATTTCGTTAGGCCTCGCAGCCCTCAATACATCCAGTTACCAAAAGTTTTCCCAATAGGATGCCTAATTGCGAGAATCCGCCCACGCAGTTCGCGCAACCGTGGGCGCAGCTCGCGCACCGAAATTCTCCTATAATTACGGTGAAATCCCTCGGTACCTTGGACCATCTGGCACAGCGAATTGAAAGCCCTATAACCGGCCTCAATATACGCAAAATATTTTATTTTGTACTTTCCTTTATTGTAATACCGTGCTTTTCTCGCCCAAAACTCAAAATCGGCTGCTTGGAGGGCGAGAGTAGTTATTCGATCTCGGCCGCTTTTCGTTTTTTTTGTTGTTGTTTTTTCCAACGTGCGGGTTGGACGCATGAAGACGGAGGAGCCAGAACAAGTGTTCAAAAGACATGAGATCGGTCGGAGTTGCATGGTTAATATTGTTGTTTTTCGTAAATACCCCACCCATTTTGTTTTGTTTTCCCAGACGAGAGTGTAATCCCGGTTGTTTGTGTTTTTATTCGCTAACGAGCCGCAAATTCAGAGGAGGTTGCACTTTTTGTCTAGTGTAATATAAGTTTGGCAATTTTGTTTAATCTAAAACTGCTTTTTAAATTATCGAGTAACTCTTTACTGGTTAGGAGAATCACGATAGGGCGGGTATGATTAATCTTGATTAGTTTCGCAATTGATTAAACATGTCATGATGACGGGTTTTTTGGAAAATAATTGTTTTGATTTTAGGTAAATTATCGTAGTTTATGTTGATTGTTTACTATTAATTGACCGAGTATGTTACTACGCGTATTTTAATATTGAAAACTACGTATTTAGTTTGTAAAACTTATGATTTTCAGGATATCAAATATACACCATGTCTTTCGATGAAGCCGATGAAAATATTCCACCTCCACCGACGATAAAAGTAAGCGTTTTGTATGTGATTTCCATCTTTAGGGTCTCAACGAAACTCTGAACGTATTTGAAGCCATTTAATACTGATTGATACTTATCTTGACCTTATTTTAGGTCCAATTGTCCGAAATTTTAAAGATTTTAAAATTTTTCGTCACAGAAAGACCTAAAGTTTAATTTGTCGTGTTTTAGAGCGAAGATGGCCTCATCCTCGACCCCACTGATCAGCCAACTACCTCTGCATATGGTTCAGATGAGAGTCAAACCCCTCCATTGGTGCCGAAATCCCAATTTAGCTGGTCTGAATTTATGAAAATCCGCGCTTCTCTTCCTGCCACTTGTTCCCGACTTTCCGCACACGCCCAACATCTCGAAAAGACTCTGGCAGAGGTTGTGTTCAGTCCAGGCACACAAGTTATGGTCGGACATTCGGCGGACATGATCCCGGCGGTCATGAAAAGCTTGGTTGGGGATATTGCTTATGTCGAATTCTATGATGAGACCTCGTCGATGGAAGTGAAAGTCGACCAGCTGGTTCTGGCTGTTACTCCGATGCCGTTGAGTGGATGGGCGTAAGTTTTTTGATTGGAGTTTGAGGCTTTAGGAAGGGACAGGATGACTGCACAGTGCAGTCGAATTTCGAGTTAATTTTGCAAAGTGCAAATGATGGACTGATGTTTTGAGAGAAGAGAAGAAGAATTTTTAGACTCATCTGCATTTTTCCACATTTTTATTTTCTAAATTTACCAGTTGTTTGCACTGTGCAACGTTTTTTAAAAATTTTCGCACAGTGCAGTCAAAATTGAAATAAATTTCGCACAGTGCAAAGTTAAAAATTTTAAATTTTTGACGCTAAAAAGATGACATAAAGCTATTCCAATTTCAGTATGGACAATGTCGCCGGAATCCCTCACGCACAAATGGAGCAACTCGATCAAAAAGTTGTGAACTTCATTCAAAGCGGGCATTATTTCGAGTACATTGATCCAAAAAACCCGCAAACTGTGAGGATAGTGAAGATTGTGGAGAATCGGAATGGGTTTGTGAGAGCAGTCGACTCCTCTGGCAGGCAAATTCGGACCTTTATGGGATGGGAGAGATGCAAACGCCTCGGATTTTCTTTGATGTCGGATAATGAAGGGGAGTTCCGATTGGAGCCCTTGCCAGGGGCCACAATCAAAACTACGATCCCTTGGTATGTGTTCTGCCGAAGCAACTTCAAGAAGCACTCCATGGAGGTGAGTATTTTATTTTTTTTGTTGATTTTTAGAGAAATTTTCGTCATGGATAAGATGATTTTTGATGGAAAATTCTTTTTTTTGTTCCTTAACAGCCCGATTGATGGATGAAAAAGGCATTATGGGTCCTGAAAATAATTAATGTGATTTTTAGGAAGGCCATATCATCGAGATTATCGACCCTTTCACCCGTTTCCGCTTCCTCCCAGCTGTAGTGGTCGAAGTAATCAACCGCTTCTTCTACCGAGTCCAGGTCCTCCTTCCGCCAGATCTCAAAGACCACGAACCTTGCTTCCTCACCCTCCACAAGGCCTCTCCCGACATTTTCCCGGCCAACTTTGCCTCCAGGAATGGAATGCGGCTCACAGCGCCGTCAGGACACGATGAAACAAATTTCACGATTTACAAAATTAAAGGAAGACCAGCCACAGACACTCAGTTTGATATCCCCAAAAATGTGGAGCGCTTCGAGACAGGCAGACATGTGGAAGTCTATGATGAAGTTCGCGATCTGTTTATCCCGGCAACAATCATACGACAACATAGACATTTGCTGGTTCTCAGGTTCGAAAATGAAGCCAGCATGAGCACTCCGAAGCTGTTTTCTTATTAGTAAGTGTTTTGAAGTTTGTTTTTTGTTTTTAGAGAGAAAAGGTGCGGCTAAAACACGAGCTTTGGACGTCATATTATCCATGATGACATGGATAATATAAATTTGTATTGATTCTTTATAATTCGATTCTTTTAAGATCTAATATCCATTTTTTAGTGACGAACATATCTTCAAAGTCGGCTCCGCCGAATTCTACGGCCGTCCCATGGCTCCAATCGCCTCCTCATTCGAGACTTGGACCTTCTCCACTGCCCCAAAACTCACCTCAAAAGTCCTGGAAACGGACCCCGAAAATGGAGTCCGATTCATGATCAAAGCCTTCTCGGACCCGAATCAATTCATCCCCCGCCTCTACCTCAACTTTGACTGCTACAAAGGCCCGTTTATCCATCCGCAAAAGTCGAGACATCTGGATTCGTCCTTCCCTCCAAGCCATTTCCAGCCATTAATGCACCAGATCATCAACGATATGCTGGAAGTCCTGGCTAAAACAGAGTACCAGAAACTTTGCGAGGCCTCAGTTCACTCGAGAGCTCCGAAATTCGCGATAAAGTAAGGATTTAGGGATTTTTTAAAATATTTAACTTCTGGCTGTTTTTTTATAAATTTGAAAAAATTTCGTCTAAATTAGGTGTTATTTGGAAGATTGGGGATTGCCGCTAGATTTTTCTGCGACTTAAAAACGTTTTTTGGCTGTTTCGGATATTTTTTACCATGACTTATCATGGATAATATAAGTTGATGTCGAATTTTCGGGTTAGGCTTGAAAGAAACTATTTTAATTTATAAATACCGCTTTTTCAGGCTTGTGAATCCCCGCTCGGACGTGCGCTCACGCGTCTTCGAAGTGGAAGTCTGCGAAACGGCCGCCGAATTCCCGGGCTGGCTCCGGCAATTCCTCCTAAAATACGACATCTGCCCCAATTTCATATCACCCACGAAGCTGGTGAAGGGCCAGCCATGCCCCTTCCACTGCGAACGCATGCATTTGCTGCCCCATATGCGGCCCAGCGCCCATCTGAATGTCCCAAATTCGGTCTCAAAAACGGATGAGATGAGAGCGAGACGACTCAATCTCCAAACAACCACAAATCCCAACCCGAAGAAGCGCGAAAACCCGGACAAACAGATCCAAAAGACGGCCGAAGAGTTCACCGACCTCGATCAACCACTGCCACTCAGAAGAACGCGGAGAAACATCATCCCGACCAAGAGAAAGGAGATGCAGGACGAGCTGAATGACAACCTGAAACAAGTAAGATTTTTGACGAGTTCGTGGTTGGTAGTATAGGAAAATGTGGTATGAATAGAAAGCTTATGAGATCATCTAGATGATAGATGAGTAAAATTTAAGAATCGACTGGTCGATTTCGGAAAAAATGGGGTTTTTGTCAAAAGTGATTTTTGAATTTTTTGCTTAAAAAATATTGTTTTTCAATATTTTTTGGAGACCACTAAGTAAATACAGGTGTGCTTTGATGTGCTTGTGCTTTTGTCTATCGAAAACTGCCAAGATTTTGTCGTATGTTACCTTTTTTTCGTTTAAAAATCGTAATTTTACCTCTTTTTGGCGATTTTTTTGTCTGAAATTGATGGAAAGAAGTGTTACGGTTCTTTTTCTGGTCTGAAATTGAAGTCTGAGTCTGTGCCATACTGTAAAAAAAGAAGTAACTCTAAAAAGTCAAGTCTAAAATTGCGTTGAATCCGTCTAATCCCGTCTTTCATGTCTCTGAAGATGACCAGAAGCAGATGGAGCACGTCCTACAATCTGACCATCCAACTGGCCTCCGCCCAAATCCCCATTGAACGAATCCTGGAGGAGGTGCAGTACTGTTGTCCCAGGTCGGTGCCGAGCATGAAACGCCTGGAGGAATGGGTGGAAGAAGCGACCAAACATTTGGAAGAAGGGCGGTGTGTGGAACGAAAAAGCCGCCGGCTTCAGGATAGAATTATCGATCAGGTCGTCGAAGATGTAAGGTCTTACCGTAACTCCAAGATTACGGTAGTCTAGTCTTGAAAATTGAGGAAGTTGTGTCTGCCAAAAATTGGATTTTTTTTTGAATTTGATGGAATTGCGCTTGGTCTTTTGATATTTTTTGGGGGAAATAGAGGAGTTGGGTGGGAAATGGAGTGGGAATTTAGGTTATAGTAGTCTGAGCTACACAATTTCCATTCCTTCGAACGATATACTTATGCTTTTATATCGCCGTTCTACCCATTTCTTATCTTCTAAACCCAACTTTTTACCTAAAACAATATCGGAAATCACCAATTTTCTGATGCTTCTAAAAATCTAAATTTTGCTACAGTGGCGGACCTGATCCAGTGACAAAAAAAGTGTCATTTTGCATCCGGGAAGTATCAAAAATGTGGCAAAGTGCCTCCCTCTCCACCTAAAAAACTCCGTTTTGAACTGCGCGCCTTTTTTCTCACAAAATAGAGTGGGCGAGCGCGCTTTTGACATCGGCGTTTTTTTCACTTGGAGAGGGAGGTATTTTGCTGCATTTTTGATACTTCCTGGATGCAAAATGGTACGTTTTTTGCCACAGGATCAGGTCCCTCACTGCAGCAAAATTTAGGTTTTTAGAAGCATCAGAAAATTGGTGGGTGATTTCCGATATTGTTTTAGGTAAAAAGTTGGGTTTAGAAGATAAAAAAATGGGTAGAACGGCGATATGAAAGCATAAGTAGACAAGTAGACCGTTCGAAGGGATGAAAATTGTGAACGTGACGGATTTTATAGATTTTGATCTAGAAATTGATGTATTTTTATTTTTTTAAAAATTTTTGAAGAAGAGTTAATTTTTCAAAATATTCTTTTTAGTACTTCAAAGACAGCCGGAAACGCGAAGCATCTTCCGTGATCTCCGACGAGCCTACAAAACGCCGCGCCGCCCCGAAAAATGGCCGTTATTCGGACCGAAAAGCCGATTCCCAGCCCCCTCAGCTGGACGCGGAAGGAAATTCGAACGAGTTGATCGAAATGGCCAACAAAATTGACACTCGTCGGATTGCGGCTCAAAATTCGGTCAGATTGAATCACTCCGGGCCGAGAGTTTTATTGCCTAAAGGCCACTCCGCATCGGATTCGAATTCGCCTCCTTCGCTCTCGAGATCTCCGTCGCTGACCTCGAAACAGCCAAGCCCGGACAACAGAGAGTCCCCAAGTGAACATCAGAAGATTTGCCAGAAGCTGGGAATCGGCGAAAACGAAGAGCCCCGGGAATGGACCACCCAGAGGCTGGTCCAGGTGGTCAGAAAAGCCAAATTGGACGTTGTCGCGGATTTCTTGGAGTCTGAAGTGAGTTTGAATTTGTTTTTGCAGTTTTTTATTTGATTTTCGAAGATTTTTGGACACTTATCCTGATCTTCAGGGTATTCGTGGTGGTGGGACCCAATAATTGGGAAGTGGGTCAAAATGGAGTTTGGTCGTATTTGGGAGGTTATTAGAGGATGTTTTTATCTAAATTTTAATTCCTTGACTGAAAATTTAAATGATTTTTTTGAGTCCCACAAAAAATTTATGAAAATTTTGAAACTTGAAATTCTCCAATTTTCAGGAATTTGACGGCGAATCCTTCTTCCTCCTCACCGAAGACGACTTCAAAGACCGCATCCAACTGAAGACCGGCCCCATGATCAAAACGATGCGCCTTCTGGCCGAGCTCAAGTCCCTCTCCCCGGATATGCCTCAACTCGGCGCTCAATAAACCCTTAGGGCATACACCTTTCTTTCATTATTTATTAAACCTAGCACGAATGTGATAAATCTACAGTACTCTGATATTTCATTGCCATTCTTACCGTGTTCTTTTAATAGTTTTCTCTGTCTTATAAATACTATCTCTTCTTCTCTCTGTGTTTTAATTAAATGCTAATAAATCGTGGATAATACTGCAAAAAGTACTGGCTGGAAATGTAATTGTACTCTTAATGAAACTATCAACGTATTTATGGGCAGTTGAGCCAATTTTTGACTTGGTTTGTAACGATTGTTTACGTTATATTATACATGACAAAGACGGCCATTTTTTGAAATATTGCAGTAAATTTTTTTCCTTGAACTTGAAAGATTACCGCAAATCACGATGCAGTGAGTAATAACACACAGAATGACGTCAATTATAGCCCGTTAAAACGACGAAAAACAAAGGGGTTTTACTTGGTTTAGGCTATAATGGTCAATTTCCTCGAAAAATCGGTGAATCACTGTCATGGTGGTATTCTTTTAACCGTAGCAAGGACAATGACATTATTTTTACCGCAAATTTTTGGACGGTGAGTCAATTATGCGAATTTTCTGACAATTTTTTTTCATCGATAACATAATTTTTTGGTCATAAATTGAAAAAAGAATAATTTTGCGTGGAAAAAGGCAAAGCAGAGGTTCCAGTGAGATCTTAGTCGTCTATAAATAAAGGTTTGGTTGCCGTCCTGCAATCACGTAATCAATAATGACCCGCTTAACTAGTTTGTCAGCGGGAAATTTGTTGCAAATCCGAAACGAGTTCTCTCGGATTGAGTAACTCCCACAACATTCGATTCGCCATTCTCGTTTGATTTTCCGCGAAATGCCGAGGGAGATCGGTGCGGAACGCGGAAATTGCATAAATGCAAATCAACCGACAACATAAAGAGGTGATAAAGGGTGAAAAAGTAGGGGAAATAGGAACAGTAATTACATGAAAATTACATTAAGATATGATGGCTGAGATTGCGACCTAATTCCAGTCGACAAGCTTATCAAAATGGAGGTCAAATTGAGCCCCAATTCACAGCATTCCGAACTTTTTTCGCCGGTGTCCAAAAAAATGAAAAAAATAAAAAGTGGTCATTATATTTTTATACGTGTACGGCTAACCAGAAGATATACCGGAAAAAAGAAAAAGTCTGCGCATAGAGTGACCAATTTCCTTTCACAATATGTAAATTTTGCCACCAGAATACTCGCTACCGTTGAGAAAATCGACACTGAAAAAAGCGAAAATTTCGATTTTGAATGCCAAAAAATGTACTTTCTTGGGGGCAACAAAAAAGATAGTGGAGTCCGAAGAGAATTTCAAGGGCTACAACATATTAAAATTTCAAGATTTTTGTGGGGTTTGAGATAGGTTTATTTTGAAAGAACAAGGGAGATGGTTATAGAATTTAAACTTATTTTTCTAAAGTCCGCAGTCTTTTTGTCTTTCTGTAATACAAATTCAGACTCGATTTGGTCGATTTCTCGACTTTTTTCTCGACCGGATTCGGCTAAAGCATTCTAAAGCCGAATTTCAGCCTGCTCTGTGCAGTATTTATTTATCTGTTTCACGCAGTTACAAGTCCTCTTGAATATCCGAGTCTAATTACTCGAAACTCTTTGCGTTTGCCGTTAATTTGCTTGAGGTTGAGCAAGACCAGGCTTGAAACCAGAAACAGAGTTGGGCTGATCACCGTTTCTCGGGAATTCCAACTCGTTGGCGCTGTGGAATCCGTGCCGTCTTTTGATCGGGCGTGAAGGAAAACAGATGAGAAATGCCGTGGTAATGATGATTGTAGGGAAAATGCAGTTTGTTGTAGCGAGATGGTGGGGGTTTGAGGTGCTTATAGGGACAAAAAGTCATCAAAAAAAAAATAATAAAATCCGCGGCCACATGAAAGATCTTCGTAATACGGACTAACTTGGAAGCAAAGGGAAAAAATTGCTTTAAATTTCAAAGCTCTAGTTTGTCGGCGAAATAACCTCTGTACGTCTTTTTAATTTGCAACACAAGCGCTGCAACATTTGCAATTTGTGGTGAAGTCTCTTACAAACTCCTCGGGGATATGAGTTTCTATTTATCGGGCTTTATTTCCGCATCTGTCACACTTGGTCACTTCCACCTTGACGCACTTGATCCTACTTTAATACTCTAATCTAATGGCTATATTCCGACCTCATAAAGCCCAAACTCGGCTCACGGCTCCATATTTCTCATGGTCAACCCATTCTTGCGTCACTCCGCGACTCCGCCCCGTTTTCATTAAAGAAATCAAAAACTGACCACACCCATCAATTCTGATCTCATCAATTCAACTCCCTAAGGCGCTGCTCTCTCCATCTACCCAATATTTTTGCTCTACCGGGCTCTCTAGCCCGCATAATGTTCAGGGAGACCATACATGGTATCTCGTTTGAGGTTCCGATCGTCTTTTTTGCGAGGGAGTAATTACTCATCAACGGGTATAAATGGATCTGCCCGGCTTTCCATGAGCCTTGTCGACGGTTGATTCTCAACTCAGCAACCATGTTCAAGGTTTTAGCCCTTGCTCTTTCGTTCAACGTCCTCGCTCAGGTTAGTATTGGCATAGGTTTTGGAGGATTTAGAATAGATTCGGCATGGCTGATAAAATTTCTTTGGCCATGTTTGGCTTTAATCTGGGTTTTAACTTTATTATTGTTTAAATTGCATTTCTTGCATAGAAAATGCAAATCGATCTTGCACTTATTTAGTCATAGTTTTCGTATTATTCATGGTTCAAGTTTTGCCAAAGAAATACAAAGGTTTCCATATTCTTTTGGGATTTAGCTTCCTCACATTTTTGGCCTTACTTAGCCTTTATACATTGATCTTATTGTCGTCATTTTAGGGATTCCTCTTCCCCAGTCTCGGCGGTGGCGGTGGTGGCTGCTGCGCTCCCCCAGCTCCTTCTTGCTGTGGAGCTGCTGCTCCAGCCTGTGCTCCAGCTGCCGGAGGATGTGGTGGAGGTTATGGTGCCGCTTCTAGCTCGTACGCCGCTCCAGCCTACTCCCAATCATACGCTGCCCCATCCTACTCCGCTCCAGCTCCTTCTTATTCCGCTCCAGCGGCCGGAGGTTACGCCACTGCTCCACAAGGTGGTGCTAGCTATGGCCCTGCTGTCGGTGGAGGTCAAGGAATTGGCGGTGGATATGCTACTGGACCAGTTGGCGGAGCCGTCGGTGGATATTCGTCCGGAGGCGCGGTTGGCGGAGGCGCCGGAGGGTATGCTTCTGGTCCAGCTGTCGGAGGAGGATCCGGAGGATACCAGGGCGGTCCAGCTATCGGAGGCCCCGTTGGAGGCTATGCTTCCGGACCATCGGTTGGTGGAGTTCAAGGAGGTGCCGTCGGCGGAGGATATTCCTCAGGACCTGCTGCTATCAATGGAGGTCAAGCCGGAGGATATAACGGCGGACAAAGCCAAGGATACGCTCAAGGCCAGACTTTGCCATCGTTGAACTTGCCAACCGAGCAGGCTCAGCCACAACAGGGCTCTTATCAAGAACAAACCTCCGAGGCTGCCCCGGCTCCAGCTCAACAATACAGCGAGCAGCAAGCCCCAGCCCCGCAAAGCAACTACCAGCCTCAGCAGCAACAAACCTCTTCGACGACCTATACCGAACAAGCTGCTGCTCCCGCTCCCGCTCCCCAACAACAACAGAGCTACAGCGAGCAGGCTCCAGTTCAAAGCCAGCAATCCACCACCTACAATCAGCAACAGACTCAGAGCCAAAGCTACAGTGAACAAGCTCCAGTCCAGAGCCAACAATCCACCAGCTACAACCAGCAATCCAACTATCAAGAGCCAGCTGTCGCCACCACAACCTATGCTCCAGCCACCACTACTCAAACTTACACTACTGTTGCGGCGACCAGCGCTCCAACCAACCAGGCCAGCTATGGAGGCCAGAGTGCCGCCGCATCCAACACCAATGCTCAAGCCTATGGCGGCGGAGAGGATGAGGACAATGTTTATGATGATATTGCGGGAAGCAACAACGGTGCTGCTACTGCTCAGATCGCTGAGCCAGCTGCTGCCACCGAAACCGAACGCGGCTACAACAAGGCCAGAGTTCATGCCGCTACTTTGGCTGTGCCAGCCGATACGGGAAAATGCAACAGCGAGGAGCTGAGAAACTTGATCTTGGAGGTGAGAAATAGAGACTTTTAGGGGATAGAAAGCAGTGAGCTATGCAGTTTAAGAGGTTATTTTTTGGCTCAAGGGAGTGTAGGACATTGCGGAAACTTAACAACCTTGATATCAAGATATATTGCTAGCACAATTTTCGCATCTTTACGTTGACCCCGTGCGTAGCAAGTATATTTTCACTGCCTTTTAAACCACCATCATTTCCAGAACATGGACAAATCGCCCAAGATCTCGAAGCGTCAGATCCAGAAGAACGTGACCGCCTCCCTCGGCGGCAAGATCGACGTCATCTGCTCGGAGTCCGTCTTCTCCTATCTGGTGAACACCGAGCAATACTGTGAAGTCGAGAAGGACGGAATCACCTGCTTGGCCTTCAAACAAGTCGCGTAAAGCGTCTAGCCTCAACGCATCTCTCAAACGGGTCTCAAATGTTTCTCTCGGATTTTTAATCGATTTTTGAAAGGTTGTGGAAAACTAACCCCCAGGGCATTTTTTGGGTCTTCTTATTCTTGAGAAGACGAGTTTTTAGTACTAACAATTGTTGAGTTTGTACAGTAATAGTTTGTTTTGTAAATGTTTGTGGTTATGGTGCTAAATAAACGCCAGTTTATTGACTTTTTGGATTTTTGCAAAGAAGTATTTTCAAATTTCAACAGAGTGAAATTGAACTCACAAGTGCCCTAGAGCATTTCAATATTTTAGAAGTCATATACAGCCCTTCTAGGACACAGAATTTGTCAAAATTTATACTAACCTATACCGTTCTTTGCCTATTGTAATATAACTTTTAACCTAAGAATCCCAAGATTAATTCAGTTATATCCTGTAAGCCTTGATTTTCACCCCTCCCTTAAACATACAGCTACTTCATTAATCACGACCAAATCACCTCAAATCCACTCTTCTTCAATCCCAAAACCAAGAAAAGTTCCCTCGAAACTCATCAGAAACTGGTCTCCGATTGCTCAACCTAAGTTTGTGGCGATTCGTTAGCGTTATAAATCCCCCCGAGGGCACGAAATGAGCAATATTCTCCAGGCGCGGATTAATTGTTCAGAGCGATCACTTCCGCTGGATGCATGAGAAGAGTGATGGCGATTGCGTCGATGAATGAGTGACGTTCACGTTTGTTTTTTATTCAGTGGCGATTGGAGAAGATGTCGTTCTGGAATCGACAAAGATTTCGCCGGTTTTGGGGTATAAGCTGACGGATAAGTGAAAACATTCTGTAAAAATAACATATTAAAAACAACGTCGATGCCTTGTGCCAGGTGGTAACGCACCTATAAGAAAGGATGTGAAAATAGGTGCTACTACAGTGCGCGACAAAATTATAACCGCACTTTAGAAATTGCTGTAACTTTTTTGGTTGTCAATAGAAATGTGTCATATTTGGCTCCAATGTGCACTAATGTCTCACGAATCATGTATAACAAACGAAGAATGGCAAGAGGATTGGGCAGTCGAGAGTCGAGAAGATATCGGCAAAGGTTTAGGTAGTCGACCGGTCAAAGGGAGAGAAAGTTTATTCGCACCAAAGACGAGGGAAAGAAATGATGCAACCGCTCAAGAGGAGCGGGAAAAACCGACTTCTGAGAATAGGTAAAATTGATCTGATGAAGACTTTGTCCTTTGATTCTATGCAAATTTGTGGGAAAGAATTGGCGGTTTCAGTGAAGTCGCCAACACATGTGCCGAAAAATTATTTCGGGAAATTTCCCCAATTTGGAAAAAATTGGAGCCAAATATGACACATTTCTATAGATAACCAAAAAAGTTACAGCAATTTCTAAAGTGCGGTTATAATTTTGTCGCGCACTGTATTTTTCGGATCAGCGACAGCTTGGGCTAACAATGCTAACTATGGACCGCATCGGTTCGTTGTTGCTTGTATGGATGAGGCTAGGATAATCTCCTAACATGGCTTAGTAAGAAGAAATAATAAGATTTATTGGGTCCTAGGATGGCTTATCACCTATTTTGAGGTATTTTGCATGTACTCACACCAATGGTAATATCTATGTAAAAGTTATAACAGCCAAAGCGAGAAAAAATAGACATATTGCAAGTCCTCGCCAATTTCTCTCTCTCCCTCTACGTCCAGCGGGTTTGCCAGGCCTCGTCGGCACTTCCTGCAACCTTTTTTTGGATACCCACCTGCCCTACGCCCCGTCTCGATCAATTTTGTGTTGACCCGAACTGTCGTCGACCCGAAAAGTCAGACGCGGTGATAGTGTATCATTCCGGCTTTGAGCATTGCAATGGTCCTGTTCGGCAGGACTGGGAGAATTTCAATATTGCGGCGCGACGCTAGGTCGTTTTCTTCTGCCTGAATTTATCACAAAAAACACTGTACTTTTGCGAATCTTAAATCCACAGTCATCCAAGCAACAATTGAAAACGTACTTTGAACACCTAACCTCTATTCAACAAAGAGAAAACAACAAAAGAGATATTTTAGTGCATATAACTGTAACATAACAAAAGACTACAAATCTATTATCTGAAAATTGTTGTGATCATTATTTTCCATAAACTTTCATGCTACCCTTTTTAAAAACTCCAAACTCTCGGAAGCCATTCTTTGTATGTAATTAGCATTTTTTCGCACTTTTAGAACATTAAAGTTTAAAGAGAAAAGCAACATTATGGCAAGCACATAGCATACCTGACATTACATTACCCTGTGGCTTGTACTCTCCCCCATAATGCGAATTATACGAAATTTGTATTTTTTGTATTTTACCACCACACCAACGAACTTTGTCGTTTTTACACACAAATGACCCTGAATTACGGAACTGTGGCAACATTAGCCGACGCTTCGCAAATGCGTCTCCGAATGAATTACTGTTGTTTGTACAAATTGAGTAAAAGTACAAAAGATGTTTGTGGGGTACTCAAAAAAAATTTTGAGACAAGTAAACGCGCCTTGGCAGGCATGAAGATCAAGAGCGTAACGACTTGCCTTTGACCGTATTTTAAACATTCTGGCTTCCCAGGCTACCCGATATTTCCAGGAATCTCTCTGCCCTCAATTTTATAGTCATCCGACGTCGCCAAAAATACAATAGCAGCCCAAAACACAAACACCATAGCAATTATTTCGTACGCACAAAGGGCAAGTCTGACTTTGAAACTGACTCCTAATCCCGATGGCAATTTTTTTTTGTTCGAACCTTCAATTACCGGGCTCGAACGCGATGATCGTGAAGGGACGGAACTCAAGTGTTTCGACGAGTTTATTAAGAGAGTCTCATGTATTCATCAAGTAAAGGACGAGGGTGATCTTGAGACTACTTGTTTTTAAGTGAATTACAGTGTTTTTTGGAGTATTGGCAATTTTTTTATTGTTTTTTAGTTGGCAAATTTACATGCATGTTTTTGACCGGGCTTCCCCTTTGTCGTGAATGCTGTTCAGAACCACTGAATATTTTGTGGCCTGTAGAAAAAGCCATGCAAAGGCCTATCACGTGGTGGGCCTTGGTAGACGAAGGTCTTCGAAATCTGAAGAATTTTGAAGTGGAGCTCAAAGTTGAAGGGGAATCGAGGGACGTTAGACCACCGATCGTTGGGGAACAAGTACACACACGAAATCACAGAGTTCTTTTATTCATGGCAAAGGGAACAACCGAAGAAGATAATGAGCTCATTGGTGATAAAGTGTTCCTTTTATATGACTCCATTTATGCTAATTTCCGTGGGAATTGTGGAGACCTTTGAGGCTCTACAACTTTGTCATCCTGATTTGTAGCCCTTGCATGAAATCATGATAGCAAATATGAAAGTTACCTTTGTCATCATGGCAAAACTTGAAGTCGAACAAAGTACTCTGAGCACTTTTTCTGTCAGAACACCGCCAACCGGTCGAGCTGTCGGATCTTTGGTTTCTGTGATGACAAAATTGGCCGGCTCTATTTTCTACTCATACTCTGTAGTTTGCAGTTCCCTCGGAAGAGTCCGAATCTTCCCTCTTTTTTTCTCACTCCATCACAACTCGTACTTACAACCATCAGCCTCCACAACCTTTACAAGAGTTACTTTAGGACCTCCCACTGCTACTCTAACGCCTTTTTAAGGCACCCTGACTTGTCGCAATCGCCGCGTTTTTACAAACTACACTCCCTCTTAAGCATTGCAATCTACCGTACTCAGACGTTTGCCCCAATTTCTCGGCCAATTACCGTCACCTTCCTGCAAACACAAACCACAAGCCATTACCGCAACATTCCTTTTTCGGATCCCGTCGGCTATAACCTCACGATTACCGTCGCGAATCGCGCACTCATGCGGAATAATGTCTGACGCCCCGCTATTCACGCGCTCCTTTATAGCCCAATGTTTTTGATGACTTTTGTCATCAGATCAAAAATTTTGTAGCAATGGGAGTTGCGTTCTGTTGATAGCGGGGGTTGCGGTAACGGTGTAGTCGTAGGAGTTGTCGGTGAGGTTCTTGGGACTTGAGAATTTGGTTCAATAAGACTTTATGCCAATTCAGCTTATAAATATTTTCGTATGTCATGTTCGAGATTTTTACCTTGTATCTTGCGAAAAATTAGTTGACTTTCAAGACCTGCCGAAAATCTGATTTTTTTTATTTGTTTTTGCAAAGCACAGACTTTTGCAGGCAAGGCTTTGGCAACGGAAGACAAGACATGGATTATTCAAATTTGGAGAAACTCTGAGTTTGAAATTGGTATTAAAATACGGCCTAGTAAGATCGACCTTCCCTTTGTCATCTTGCCTGTTGCTCCATCTACCAAACGCTCTTTTGGCCTTTTATCTATTCATTGCCATCCTTAACTGGACCTAATATACCTAGTAAACTACCTAATTTTACACGCTTCTTTAGTGGTTCCTCTAACCTATACTGGCTGACAAAATTTTCTTTCCACCTCTATCTCGGGAACCGTTGGGCCTAGAACCTCCAAATTCGACATAGAAACATTATGGGGCAATCTAACATCACACCCAAAAAATCATATCAGTTGATGCACTTTCAGTGCACTTTTTATGCAAACGGCAAAAACGTGATGACAAAATTTTCTTTCCACCGCTTGTAAATCATAAGCCAGAGGGCGCTATGGCATGATTGTGGTGTCGTTGTGATCGCAAAGAAGTCCTCTTTCGATCCGTGGCACAATTTTACAGGACCTTTCGTTTGTTCGCCCTTGGGCGTCTGCCCATCGTTGCCTTGTCCGTTTTCTGCCAAATTCGTGGCCGAGAAGCTCGCAGAAGGCCCAAGGAGATGAAACTGCCCTTAAAAAATCTGGTATTTATGTCTGCAACATTGTTTACACCGGCAGTAAAATTAGATTCAATTTAAGTGTAAAATGTGCACTTTCAGGGTTCGCGAAACCAGAAAATCGCTTATGTACAGAATGGAAAAGTCCAAATAACATGCGTTTACTAGACATATGGCGCATTTTAGGTATTATACAACAGTCTGTGTTGAAATCTACTACCTTATCTTACCCCCTTCTGGTCTATGTCGTCTTTAGAAACGCAGGTTGTTGCATTATATGACGGGGAGGAATTGGCATTACTTAAGCTTGACATATTGGAACTTTTGACTACCAGACTACCTTAATACATTGACTTTGTCCTGCATTTAACGTTTTTGGCACGACAAGTTGCTTGCGCGGGAAGCTTAGGGTTGCAAATTTTGCACATGAGGCATGCGGAATCTTTCTTCTGCTCAAACCTAAACGCGACATCAGAGACTAAAATCGTCACGATTTTGTAGTATCATAGAAAACATATCAGCAAAAAAAGTTACTTGAATTGTCTGCAGTGTTCCCATAATAACGTAATTTTCTGGTAACGAGAACCCTGGAAGTGCACATTTTCCTATGAAACACGCTTAAATTAAATCTAATTCTACTGCCGGATTAAACAATGTTGCAACCATAAATACCAGATTTAATAAGGGCAGTTTCGTCTCCTTGGGCCTTCTGCGAGCTTTTCTGGCCGAGAGTTTAGCTGAAAACGGACAAGGCGACGATGAACAGACGCCCAAGGGCGAACAAACGAAAACTATTGTAAAATTGTGACACGGATCAAGAGAGGACTCCTTCGCGAACACAATGATACCACAATCATGGCTTAGTGCCCTCTGGCTTATGATTTACAAACGTTTTTCCAAAGTGGAAAGAAAATTTTGTCATCCCGTTTTTTGCCTTTTGGATAAAAAGTGCACTGAAAAGTGCATCAAATGATATGATTTTTTGCGTATGGTGTTAGATTGTCCCAGGATGTTTCTATGTCGAATTTGGAGTTTCTAGGCCCGGCGGTTCCCGAGATACGAGGTGGAAAGAAATTTTTGTCAGCCAGTATATGATGTGCGATCCAACCCTCACGGTTTTACCTCTCTATACAAGTAATCCAAGGCCACGGTGGAAAATCCTGTCACATTTTTTTTGACTCCAAATCTCAAACGCAACCTCTAAAAGGGCCTTCATTTCGAGCGTGAAGGCTTTTGTTTTTAGTAACTTTTTACAGTTCCGCACTCGTTCTGTTTGAACTCTCATTGGAAAAAACAGCGGCTAAAAGCAACACTCCGTTTTTACGCTACGAAATGAGTGGTTACGGTAAATGATGGGAGAGGAAATTAGGAGGGGAAATTCTTGAAGTTCTCCGAAAAAATTTAGATGAAACTTTGAGTGTGTGATTTGCTGGGCCATATATGTATTAATCATTGAAAATTTTAGCTTGCGTTGGAGATTCAGCTGAGGTATTTATTTAGCAGCTAATTTTAAATCTCGCGCTTCGCGGCTTAGAAAACGAAGTGTCCAATAAAATTGTTCGCCATTTCGACTGTAAATAGTTTTGGCAGCGGGAGACAAAAGACTTTGTTGGACATTTCGTTTCCCAAGCCGTCAAAATCCTAATTCAAAACTCGCCGTATTGGCGATTTAGCGACTATCAAGGGCAAAACACTACAGAAAATGGGGAGAAGAAGACGGAAAAGCAAAGTTTTTAACGATATCTGTGCGAATTTTGTGGGGAATTTTTTTTATTTCTTGAAAAGACGGTGTAACAGTCACCACAAATGCCAATATCCGACATCGATCATAGCAAAAAGGTTATTTCGATAGTAAAAGTGTCTGCAAAATATAAAATATCTAGGATACATCTTGTAAAAAAAACATTTGGACCAAATTTGATCAAAATCAAAATACGACATGATGACTTCCAAAAAAATCAAATTTTTCCAATTATTCTGATTTCTTCACTTGAGTTTGTTTTCTTGTAAAAAACGTTTGATTGATTACCGATTTGCTACAAAAGTAGCAGACCGCCCCACTCAATTTTCTCAGTATTGTTAGCAAGCTTGTGTGGTCGTTTAAACTAGAGAAATATAAAAATCTTGCACTTTGACTAAATCACTTCTATTTGCTGATCTCCAATCTACTTTCTGTAATCAGCTGTAACTTGTTGATTGTAACCAATAAACCTTTACACTTTGAGTTTATTCTTTACAGGACTTTTTTGAATTGAAATTCTTTCGTCGAAAAGTTAATTTCTAAATTAATGAGTCCATTATTTTTTCGTCATCGAAAGTTTTTTAGCGCGTTAATCAAGGGCAAGAGGAATAGGGGCGAAAGTTGACGGTTTTTGGGAAATTTAGGTTCCAAGTTCGCGGTAGAGGAAAATCAACATTGAATCTTGATTTTGTAAGCCTTTTCTAGGGGTCCTAATAATCAACTTTGGAAAAAAATTAAACTCCATACAGCAAAGATCTTTTATAAAAATGTATTTTTTTTTTGTTTCCTTGCGATTTGCAGTGCAGAAATATGGCTACAACCAAGATTTTCAGCAACTTATCTATTCTGGGGATGGCTTGGCCAAAAATTGTGGCCTAGCCAGCCGGTGGGGTTCGCACGGCGTGGTTCAAATCTGGCTTCGTTGGACGGCCTGTGGGCTGCAAATGGTCGTCTAGACCTATACAAAGCGCAATTAAATTTGTGCTCGAATGCTTTTCCCTCCACTTGTCATCAAAAAAAAGCTTAATATGTCACAATTTTTTTGTACTTTAGCTACCAGTAATTTTATTTCTTGGCACCAAAAACCATAACTCAATTTCTATTTTTACAATTCTGCGAAAGCCATATACACGGTAATTGGTATGTTCAGACCCGCATCTCTAATTATACAGATGTAATAGAAACAGTAGCGGTAACTTGCGTAATTGTACTTGCAAGAATAACAGTAAGGTGGTCATATGTATGTGCAGTATATTAATATAGTTGTATGGAGTAGCCAAATTCCTTTTGCTTTACGTTTGACGCGTTGATGTCTGGTAAGGCATTATTTCACTAATGATTATTATGCAGTGCTTATTTCAGGGGGCCAAAATAACCATATTCCGAAAACGAGAGGCTTTTCTTGAAACGCGAGCAAAATGGCGGTGCTTTCTTATGAAGAGGTGAGTTGCAGAACTGTGATATAATATAAATAATACAACAATGAATGAGCAAATCTCAATATTAAATCTTTGACCCATTGGATCATAAAATTTCTTCTTCGGAAATGCTCTGTTTCACTGCTAAAATCAACAAAAAATATTCGTTATAGGTGATGGCGATGCAACGCAAATTCTACAACTCCGGTGCCACACGACCACTTGAGTTCCGCAAGAAACAACTCCGCAAACTGAGGCGTCTAATTGAAGAGGAACGTGAGCTCATCGAGAAAGCCGTATACAAAGATCTCCGGCGTAATCCCGGCATCACCAACTACCTCGAAATAGGGCCGTCGCTCACGGAAATCGACCATTTCTTGGAGAACTTGGACAAATGGGCTAAACCAGAAAAGGTCGCCAAAACTGTCGCTACAATGCTGGATACCCCAATGGTGGTCAGCGAGCCTTACGGAGTTGTGTTCGTAATCACAACCTGGAATTTCCCGGCGTTGATGTACTTTTATCCGATGATTTGTGTGCTGGCTGCGGGGAATACAATGATTATAAAGGGGTCGGAGTTGTCCGAGGCCACAACAAACTACTTGGCAAAGCTGATCAACAATCTGTTTCCTCCAGTAGGTTTAGTGGCAACAATATAAAAAATAACGTAGTAAAATGGCTATAAGTAGTGTAAAAACTTCAGGAGTACGTCACCGTCTTCACGGGTGGTCCAGAAGTGTCCACAGAACTTCTGAAGCTTCCGTTCGACAAGATTATGTATACTGGAAATCCGCCAGTAGGTAGGATCGTCATGGAAGCGGCTGCGAAACATTTGACACCCGTGGTATTGGAATTGGGAGGAAAATGGTAAGGATATTTTACTCATAGCCAATATTTTCCCAATACCTTATTGCAGGGCTTTTCTGCAAGCTAAATGCCTGTAAATTTCCATTATTACGCACCCATTTTCAGCCCAGTAGTAGTCGTCAATGATGCAGACATTAAAATCACAGCTAAGCGAATAATTTGGGCCAAATTCACAAATGCTGGTCAAATCTGTATCACGGTCGATTATGTCATCGTTACTGCAGACGTTGCCGATCAGCTGATTGAAGAGATGAAACACTTCCTCACCGAATTTTACGGAGAAAATCCACAGAAAAGCGCCGACTACGGACGAATCATCAACCAAAGGCACTTTGAGTGAGTTGGCCGCTTATAATTTATCTCTGATACAGATTTTATTGAGGCACACAGTGCTAAATGACTTTGTTTTCAGTCGTTTAAAGTCTCTGCTTGACAAGACCTTGGGAAAGGTTCATGCATCCCCAGGGCACGCCGACCGAGCCGACCTTTACATCCCTCCAACGATCGTTGAAGTCGAGGCGTTTGACATCCTGATGAGCGACGAAATTTTTGGCCCCATTTTGCCAGTCCTGGTCGTTAAATCATACGAAGATGCTCTGCAATACATAAAGTCAGCGCCTCCTCCATTAGCGGCCTACGTTTTCTCCAAGAACCAGAAGAAAACCGATAAATTTATCGCGCAAATCCAGTGCGGAAGCATAGTTGTCAACGACCTGTTACTGCAATACGGTCTGGATACCCTGCCATTCGGTGGGTTCGGTACGGCAGGAATGGGAGTCTACCGAGGGAAGCATGGATTTGACGAGTTCTCGCACAAAAAATCGGTCTTACAAAGAGGCTTCTTTGGCGATCAAATCGCAGCGTAAGTTGACAATGACATAAAATTTAACTTTACTAATATATTCCTTTATTTCAGCGCCCGCTATCCTCCATACACCGAGAAAAAGTTCAAACAACTTGCTTTTCTGTCGAAACGACGGAATTACCCTCCGGCATTCTGTAAATACCTGCGCCCTTCATTCTTTGGCATCTTGCTCGGAGTACTCCTTACACTCTTAATTCAAAAGCTCGTATCCTCATATCATATCTCATTCCCATTGTGGTCTAATGCTTCGTCGATCTAACCAATAAACAAATTGTTTACTCCGTTCGTTTATGCGGAATAAAATTACAGAAGATTGCTGACATATTATGCAGAGATTCTATGCTAGAGATTTTGACCTCCGGCACACAACTCTTTTACATCTGCGCCTCGTATGTTCTTCATCCTTTGATATCTGACATGTGGGAGGTTCTGGTAGTAATTTGTGTCTAATCGATATCGGTACTTCTCAAGAAACGTTCGATTATAAAGAAGCTCCAATAAGCAGACGGGAGGACGAATATCATATCCCTGGACAAATTTGTTTGCATACAAATGTGGCAAGTCTATTAGCCAGCTCAAATGGTCCACCTCTAACATGCACATGCTATGGCGGATATTCTGACAGCCAGTTTTGTTCCACAGGGAGAATCTAAAGAATCTAATCTCAAAAGAGCCGTGTTATTATCAGTAGGAGATAGTGACAGTCTGCCGGGAAAGTTCTCGACAGACTGATAACGGTGCAAAAGAAGTCACTGTTAGTTGAGCTGCATACTCACCGTGTCACACCTCCAGTTTCAATGCCCTCTTCCAAGCACTTCGTCGTGAATCCGCCAGGGACATTCACAGCATCCATAGAATTTAAGCTTGAATATAGCACCTCATCGAACCCATAATAACTCTCATCTTCAATTTTCTGGGCTAGCTCGCGGATATTTACCTCATCGATTAGAAATTCGACGAACTCTTTGGTCAAGCTGACTTGAACCACGCTTTTACTAAAGTTGAATGTCGGTGAAGTACCAGTTAACGTCTCAACGTTTCTAGCAGCTGAATCTTGTGGTATTCTAACTTTATATTGAGCTTACGATCTTTGAACACGTTCATGTTCTGTAACGTCCATTTTGAAGCATTTGGAAGCCGGCTGAATGGAAAGTTCCTTGTCGCCACATCGTTGGCGCCGTTTAAAAGTTTCAACACTTTTATCATCTCCAAATTTGTTTTCAACGGAATGTCATCGTTCTATTGCCAAAGGGCTGAATTAAATTTAACCTCTCAGTTTCCATACCTGCAGTAACTGCACGTACTTCCACTCGAAATCTTTTATCAGCTCCAGACAATCCAGCTGTGCTGCATACATTTGATGGCCGAAACTTGTCACAATCCGCTGTTTTGCGGACACAAGAACGTTTGGGAAACATGAGGCCATTTGCAGCATGCGGTCGCGGAATTGCATGCCAGCTTTATAGTCAATTGAATAGCAGTAAGTGTTCTGAGGTTGGTATTGCACGGATAACATCATTTCCTGGAGGAAGTAGTCCTGAAAGTAGCTGTTAAACAGGTTCGGAGATCAGGAAAATATGCGCCTCAATATCGAAATAAAACACTTTGGCGTAAAAATAGAATTTTCGTCACTTCTTACCTTGTAGACCAGCCTCACAAATGCAATTGGAAAACGCCTCTCCGCCTCTGAAAGTGGAGTTGGAGAGAAGAATCTTCGGCGTTTTATATCCGAACAATTCGTTGGCATAAACGGAATATCGTTCAACGGTATGCGGTCATGCGCCCTGTTGGCCACATACCCGCTGAAAGAATTGTCGAACGCAGGGCTGCAGCTAAACCTTTCGTCCGAGAATGGCTTCAAAAACGGTGGACAACACTTTCTTTCTTCAGTTTTAATATTGTCATCACGGCGTGTCCATCGAGATACTAGCCACATCAGGCAGAGTAATCCAAAAATTACGAATATTCGAGAGGCAACTACAACGGATACTAGTCTTTTTAATACCCGCGGTTTTCTCCGGTGCATCACGGCTAAATCCCATTCATGATTGTATAAAACTCCGACAAATCTCTGTGAATGATGTTTTATTTGTTTCAACAAGAGACAAATAATCCCTGATTGAAAATACAAGCGCATATGGCAGTAGATGATCTTTCAGAAAGAACGGGTAACATTGTGATTGAAATCATAAACGCTACAAGAGATCCGACAGAGCTTAGTATCCCGAGGCGGCAACTGGGGCGGCAGCTGGGGCGGGCTGCTCAACGGGAGCGGGGGCAGCCTCAGCGGGAGCGGCTTCTGGAGCTGGAGCGGCTTCAGCGGGGGCGGCCTCTGGGGCAGGGGCGGCTTCGGCGGCTGGGGCTTCTGGAGCTGGGGCGGCTTCGGCAGCTGGGGCCTCAGCGGCTGGGGCGGCTGGAGCTGGGGTCACTGGCTCATCTCCATAGCTGTTGTCTCTCTTCTTTCTGTATCCGGAGGCGGCAACTGGGGCGGCAGCTGGGGCTGGCTGTTCAACTGGAGCTGGGGCAGCCTCAGCTGGAGCGGCTTCTGGAGCTGGCGCGGCCTCAGCGGGAGCAGCCTCTGGGGCAGGGGCGGCTTCGGCAGCTGGAGCTTCTGGGGCGGGAGCGGCTTCAGCAGCTGGGGCCTCAGCGGCTGGGGCAGCTGGAGCCGGGGTCACTGGCTCGTCTCCGTAGCTGTTGTCTCTCTTCTTTCTGTATCCAGAAGCGGCAACTGGAGCAGCAGCTGGGGCGGGTTGTTCAACTGGAGCGGGGGCGGCTTCAGCAGGGGCGGCTTCAGGAGCTGGAGCGGCTTCTGGGGCTGGCGCGGCCTCAGCGGCGGGGGCAGCTTCTGGGGCAGGGGCGGCTTCTGGAGCTGGGGCGGCTTCGGCGGCTGGGGCCTCGGCAGCTGGGGCGGCTGGAGCTGGGGTCACTGGCTCGTCTCCGTAGCTGTTGTCTCTCTTCTTTCTGTATCCAGAAGCGGCAACTGGGGCGGCGGCTGGAGCGGGCTGCTCAACTGGGGCTGGGGCGGCCTCAGCTGGAGCGGCTTCTGGGGCTGGGGCGGCTTCAGCGGCTGGGGCCTCTGGGGCTGGAGCGGCTTCAGCGGGAGCGGCTTCTGGGGCTGGGGCGGCTTCAGCAGCTGGGGCCTCAGCGGCTGGGGCAGCTGGAGCTGGGGTCACTGGCTCATCTCCGTAGCTGTTGTCTCTCTTCTTTCTGTATCCGGAGGCGGCGACTGGGGCGGCAGCTGGGGCGGGCTGTTCAACTGGAGCTGGGGCAGCCTCAGCTGGAGCGGCTTCTGGAGCTGGCGCGGCCTCAGCGGGAGCAGCTTCTGGGGCTGGTGCGGCTTCGGCGGCTGGAGCTTCTGGAGCTGGGGCGGCTTCGGCAGCTGGGGCCTCGGCGGCTGGGGCAGCTGGAGCTGGGGTCACTGGCTCATCTCCGTAGCTGTTATCCCTCTTGTACACTGAAATCACGAGTCTCAAAATAAAAGCGATAGCACTTACATGACTTGGATTGGATTCCGATAACGAGAACGGACAGAAGGATCAGGTTCAGAAAACGCATTCTGTTCTTGGTTTTTTCCTTTGCAGTAAGAAGGAAGAGAAGCCAAACAATGTTCTGACGGTTCGGGGCGCCGTTCCGGTGCTTAAATATGGGAAACGGTTTAAAACTACAGAGGACCCGGCCGTTCACTTCTCCCGGTCCCTCGCCCGCCGATGTGGGCGTTCACGTTTGCAGTAAACGGGCTAGGCGTAGTAAATTTTGCGATTTCTCTCGCGCGCCATGATATTTTTTCCGTTTTTTCTCAGGGGACTGTTTCGATTTTTTTACTGGGCTTGTCTGGACGTCCGTATTGGGTTATATTTTTTAGGGGTTCAGAAATTTCCCTTTTCACGGGTATCTATCATCTATCAAAAAAGGGGTGATCCCTTTCAGGTTTCCCCTCGGTCTATGGAAGTAGGTTTTGCGGAAAAGACGTAAGACTTTCCAAGAGGCTGGGAAAGGGTTGTTTAGATGGAAATGACAGAACGGCCACCCAACAAAAAAGTTTGAAAATACAAAAGCTTCTGTAGAACAAATCTGAGGGGACGAAGGTTTGATTTGGGGTTTCTATACGATCTCTTAGCCAAATATCTGCGCTGGTAAGTGAAAACAGTCCGCTTTGAGTAGGGTTTTATCTAAGAGTGATTTTTTATGGAATTCTAGCCATCTTGAGGTCAGTGTCTAGCAAAATACAAGATCAATGTAAGCCATAAAAAGTTTTGGTGAGAAGTTTGGTCAGAGATTCTCATCCCCAAAAAGGAATTCAAAGAGTTTGTCATATAATAAAACAACACGCAACTCTTTGCAGGTGACGATCAAAAACTAAAGTGAAACCTGATCAAACCGCCACGACCAAGCTTTCAAATTCAAGGTCGTAGAGATCAAGTTTTCATGTTCTAATAAGGCGATTATCTCCTTACAAAAAATCGCTGTGTTCCAAATCCGGAAGGTTTATCTTTTCCATAATCGTCTCGATTTCTTTTCGTCTCTGTCGCAACTTTTTGGGTTATTGCGCAATAGTTTTTTTTAACTTATTGCTATACTACATTCCATAAATGATGTGCAAAAAACTTTGAGGAACGCGCGATTTTTCGCTGTTTATTTTAAAATGAGTACGTATTCGTTAATATGCGCCGATGATTAATGATCTTTGAAGTAAAAACTTTTGGGAGAGTGATAAACAAAATGTGTAAAGGGTTCAGAAAATGCGTTAGACTGACGTGGTTCCTAGGGAGGCTTTCGAAAACCACTGTGATTTGAAGCTCTCGCCGAGCTGAAGTTATAGGGCTTGCCTTGCATTCATTTCAGGCTTTAAAAGCATGAGTTTAGGTATATCTGAATGCCTTGTCAGAGTGGATATTGTTAGCCCAAAATTGGGGTCTTTAAGAAAAAAAATTGTCGTATAGACATCGACAGTTCATGTCTCGTATCAAAAATGACATTGAAGTTCCTAAACATTATTGTAACCCTCCGAACAGTGATTCAGCGTTTTCGAAGGCAATTTTAAAATTTTTTTCTTACATCGCTTTTCTCTTTGCTTCCCTAGGATCAAGACGTTTACATTTCATTTCCAAATTTTGCGTTCTACTTCCAAGCCGATCCATAATTTGCCTTGTGTTTTTATTTTCTCCAATTTCCTTTTCTCAGAACGCCCTCTATTTGCGTCATTGCCGTCTGGAACGTCTCAAAGTTACAATTAGAGACCAAAAAAATCTCTTTAAACCGCTTCGCAAACTAGAATCAATCAAACAAAAAAGTTGTTCGCACTTCAATTTTTACAGTTTTTCATAAAAAATTTTGTAAATTTGCGCTTCCTGAAACTTTACTTGTTAATTATTATAACAAACAACTTGACGCCGAAATTGAGACAAACCTGACGTTCGTTTAAAACTGAAATTTATTGCGTCAAAGTAGCAATCATCGGGCTTCTCAAAAAAGTTTTTTTATCGTAAAGAATTAAAGATTGGAGTCTTAAAGAATGATAATTGCTTCCTGCTGAAAGCGAAAGTGGTAAAGATTTTTGCGTGAACATTTACAAGTGTTATTAGAAATGTTTTGAGTTTGTGGGTATTGTTTTTGGACTTGTTATACTGTTAAACACTTGAGAGGTTAAACAACGCAAGTTTGGTGTGAAACAAATAACGAAAATGGTCAATGTATTATACATCAAGATACGAAATAATTTTGAGTGGTTGAAATTTAGGGCTAAAGTCAACTCAACTACATGATCTCGATTGCTTAAATTTTGACCCAGCGCAGTGGAGTCACAGCCGAACAGTGACTGAAAAGGATGCTTGCTTTTGCCGATCCACGGCAAAGGAACTCTCCCTCCTCGTTTCGGCACTTCGCACACCCAGTATCGGTCGAAATTCACACGAAATGTCACAACAGAATTTTTCGTGTGGTTTTTCGATGGAAAAATGTTTTCCTCGAAATTATTTGATTGCTTTTGTCAGTTGTGACACTTTTTTTGGACGAAACTCATAAGTGGGCGGGCGGCATTTTTGTTTTATTTCGGTTTGCCGTCACTTTTGTGAAAGCGCTCAAGGAGTGACGCACGTCAAACTGAGGAGTCCGGTGACCGGAATAGACCCTTCGCTATCGGTTTTTTACACTTCGTCTTGATTTCGCAGAGAAAGAGGGAAAAAAGACACACAAAAACGTACTCTCTCGCCCCAAAAATTCCCCATTTCTTCCCCGACAAAACGTTTTTTCGCGTCTTTTTTGGCAAATTGCCAATCCATTCACCGGACTGTTTTTGCTTATCTCAGTTTGACGTGTGACGCTCAGATTTTGCTTATGCTTTGCTTACACAATGGGCCATCTCACCTATCATTCCCGAAAATTTTAGCTGGCTCTTTGCGGGCAAAGCCGGTATATTCAACAATCGTTGCCGAGGAGAAAGTACGTGGGATATTATGGACAGAAATCCGTTAGATGATACTACCCGGGGCTGTAGATTCGCTGGCATGTTTATAGACCAGCAAGTTGAGTCTATTATATTACAATAGCAAAAAGAAAAAAAATACAATAACAAAGAGAAAAAATTGTAGTAGAGTGAAATAAAAGTAAGGAAATTGTTTTTTAAACGTATGAAATGATGGTCAATGTATTTGGGTTGAATTAGGAGCTATTTTTACAGTTGTTTTCGGTGTTTTTACCTTGCTCCCTTTTCCCAACATTAGCGAGAAGGCCCGACTCCCTGCTGCTTGAGGGCCGGGCCACCATTTTTGGCTCGGGCAGGCCGGAGAACCATGTTTACTGTAACTAAACAAACAAATATTCCTAATTAAAAAATTACAAATCCGCTTTACAATAAAAGATACGAGATTTTTGCCTTAATCACATTACTACTAAGGCCATTAGGATTATTTCCATTCATCCCCTTCTGCGAATTGGAAAATAATCCATCTCTTGTTACAACTTCCATTTTTAAAAACCATCTTTTTCTCTGCTGTGTTTATCCTTCCTTTGCGACCTTGCCATTCGCAATTTATTTTCCTGTTGATACTTCCAAACATACCGGTTTTGGGGTCCATGGAAAAAACATTGTTTTTGTGAAAAGTTTTTGTAAAAAGTGAAGGTCTTTCCTGGCAGTCTACAACAATTCATCGGAAAAAGGGAGAACAGAAAAACTTTTGAAACCACTTTGATTTTTGTGGTTTGGCGAATATTAACTTTTGCAATGAAAGAAATGTAATCGTTAGTCTAATATATATGCAAAAAATATTAAAAAATCAGTGATACAGTTGGCTTCTATCTCGACGAGAGAGAAGCAGATGCTAAAAATTACACATACAGGGGAAGTACTCGAAGTGCGACGCTCAGATTTTGATGAAACTTGGCACAAATTTAGAATAATTTTTTCTAAGATATATGCGAGAATCCTAGCTCGCGCTTTGCAGAAACAACCAATATTTTTAGATCGAAAGTCGGCGAAAATTTAGGACTTTTTGCCGAATTTCGCCACGAAAAGTTTCATGCCTATTTCGATCGTAAAAAATAATTTTTCTACAAAAAATCAAATTTTTCCGCACGAAACTGCTAAAGTTATGGCCAAAAAAGCGATTTCTCCCTGACCGCTCTTCACGTTTATCGTGCTCCCTTGGCGGCTAAAATCGTTCGATATCTCGGCGGCGCCCGCAAAGCGCGAGCTAAAACTTTCAGGAATTAATGTTTAGTCCATACCCGACGTGTATGCAAATTTTAAAGAAAATCTGAGCGTCGCACTTGGAGTACTTCCCGTGTTAATGGAAAGATTGAGGAAAACTGTGATTCGCTTTTCCTCTACATGTGCCGTGGGTCATAAAAATGTGAAAAAACCCAACATCGAAAAAAATATTTTTTGACCTAACTACATACAGCCCGCTTCAGTGACTCAGAAACCGCCTTGTAAATGACATATTTATTCGACCCGTATTTGAAATGACATGGTATAAGATTGGAATGAGTGCAAGCTTTGACAAGAATAGATACAGACAATAAATTTTGAATTTAAATACTCTAAACATCTTCAAAAATACATTAAACATCGTCGATTGGTCCAGCTTTTTTCCAGAATTCCCTTGGCATCAGGATGTTCCATCTTCGTTCTTTCGGCTCCTCGTAGTCTTCGTCATCTTCCGAATCCACCGTAATCGCATAATAGTCTTTCGGAGTGGTGTAAACTGGCACTATGTCGTCTCTGGCGGTCTTTGACATCAGCTCATCGTATTTTGCCACCATTTTTTGCGAATTTTTCGGTCCAAATCGACAGTTTTGGATGATTTTGTAGAGAAGGAACCCGGCCAATACCCAGATGATGAGATCGACGACGAGAAGAATAGCCATGTAAGAGGTTCGGTTGGGAAACTGAAAAAAATTGAATAATTTCTGAATAAATTTGTATGAATTTTTTAAAATAAGTTTAAATATTAGCTTCGTAAAAAAATAAATTGTATTTTAATGTAGCCACAAGTTTTGAAGTCTTTGATTTTACAGATTGAAAAATTTAAATTTCAAATTTCCCGCCAAAAACAAGTCTTGGCATTCTGTTGCAACCCTCAAAAATTGCCAAAAATTAATTTGTAAACTATTATAAGGTGTAAAGAAAGTTTACTTACACTGTCAGTAACTTGAAAGACATCGCTTCGGACTTTCACAACATCTTTCCCAACTGATTCAATCTCCTGTGTAAACGCGCTCAAACTCTTGTCCAATCCAGCAGTCAAATTGGTCATCCCGAAAGCCAAGTCATAGAAGATACGATGAGCTTTGACCAGCTGATCTTGGATATTCTGAACTTCAGCATCAATTGAACCTTCGGACATTTTGAAGAAATCTGGAAAAGGATGACATATTACATATACTGTAGGTCATAAGACATGTAAATAGTGATCGTTTCACGGAGGAATTTGAAGCAAAATGTATGTAATAGAAGGAAGTTAGAGTAAAATTGCCGGATCAAAAAAGAGCTTTGCATATATTCAATAAAAAATATTAATTTTATATTGTTGATGCCAATAGTTGGCATGTGTAATATACCTTAAACCATGGTATTAAATTTGTTTTTGAGCAAAAGAAAGTAATTCTTAGTATCTACACAGTCTCAAGGCGCTATTGAGTAAAGCCGCATTCAAGAAATTAAAAAGGTTTTAAGAACAAACATCAATTTTGTATTGGACTCCCCATTAGATCAAGTACAATATAAAACACTCCAAATCATCAAAAAAATCTTAAGTTATAGACCATCTCTGGTCTCCCGGCCTCAACAGACAAAACGAAATCGTCTCGGACGTCTTAAGATTTGTGTAGACAATGAATCCGACATGATACATTCGACTAATCTCTTCAATTACCCTTCAAGTAATCCGCTCAGGTAAACGCGAGAATTTCCGAAGAATTTAACATCAGAAATACAACAAGCCAGCAGACGGATATACCGTATTTCAATATCATATTTCACTGCAGACGTCTGCCAAGATAGCTATGTGTTTTTGGAGGTGACTATTATGTTTACGACATTTTTGATGCTTAATGGGGACATTGGGGAGGTAAATGACAAAAATAAATAAAATAAAAAAAATATATTTTTGTGGTGTAGGTTGTAGTATGGTCGTACATACAAAACTTTTAGGTTTAAACAGATTTTGGCAAACCGCATGAAGACGTCAAAAAACGAAAGTCTTGTTAGAAAAGGGTCGCGAAAGAAATGTTTTAGAGTTCAAAGACCTTCATGGTGCTTTAACGGACCATAAAATCCTTACAAAAACTCCAAGGGCATTTTCGGTAAAGAAATATCAAAAAATCTCAAAATTTAAACTTGTTCAAAAATGAAGTTGAATTAAGCAATGAAAACATGTTTCATGGCGATGAGATAACTAAACCCACAATCAATGGTAGTTTTCATTCTCTATTGGTTCCAAAATCTCTGTCAAAAAGTCCGAAATCCTAAAAAATTCCAGATTCCAGGACACCAAAGCGGAAATTGAATTCCATTCAAACCAACTTTCCAGACTGGTCAAATCCTCGTCGACGGCCGCTTTTATACCGCCTCAGGGCATTACGTAGCGCAAATGTTAAACCCGGCCTCAAGGGCTAATCCGCTGCATGCTTTGGGGTGCATCCAAATGTTAATAAGTCGAGATGATCGGGGGGTGATTAAGAGGCGGTTCGGTCGGGTTGTGACATGCGTCAGGCTTCCTGTGACACTCGGCCGCTGAGTCAGACGGAAAGAGGAGGAGCTGAAGGGGCTATTGTAATGGAAGCAGGAGGAGTTTTTCGCAGCAACAAAGAGGATTGCAAAGACATTCGCTGAAAGCTTTGCTATGGCCTCCACTTGCGCTAGTGGACAAAGGAAAAGGATTTGTCATAAATTTTCAAGGATTAGATGTATGAACCGGCGGTTCAAATTGTCTTGCAGCCATATAGTATGTACTAAAAAAGGAAAGAATGCAATTTCTAAATCCCTTACAAATCCGTCTTTAATTGCGGACGATGCAACAAAGATCTGCAAAGGACTGCAACAATTCCAAAAGGGTCAGAAAGGAAAAGGGCAAGACTGGATGACTAACATATAGTAATCATGCCATAAATCCCGTAGGCACAGGGCGTTCACGTTTCGCGTCGCTGCGACTTCTCGTCTTTGGACTTGCGACATGCACTTTTCTGCTAGTGCATCCCGCGACGTTGACAAAAAAATCTACGGCCTTTATGGCGCGACTAGTGCATAAATAGCAAGCCAAAAAATAGCACAAAATTTGTTTCATTTTTGGTAAATTGGCGCATCCCGCCCTTATGCTGTAGAGGACCGAACTGGCAGCCATCAGAGAGGCCTACGAAAGTGTGTTAAAAGGATGCAGATCTCCTCTTCGACCTTCTATATACATACTCGAATGAAACAAAGTACTGTATTGTAAACGTCCTACAATTTCATTTTTTTACTGGCATGAAAAAACGTACTACATCTTGACCGTAACAACAATCTATGGTTTGATTTACAATGCAACAACCATCAGCTCACGCGATCTCCCTGTCCCAACTTTGAGCAATCTACAAAAATTTGAAAACTATATATCCGCGTACAAATCCGCTCCAAGAAATTAATCTACTTGTGAGCCTTCAAAACAACTCAGACATTAAAACATACAACCTTATGAGACGTATGACAACACGATAAGACCCTGTTTTCGACGGAAACAGTGATGAAAACAGGAAGATATAGAGCTTAATGCGGGATAAAGCATAGATTTCTCGGTATCGCTTGGATATTCTATTAGGGAAGGGTGGAGATAAGGGGTACAACAACAAAACGTAGGCAAGTGGAGGTTAACATTAAGCGGCGAGTACTTAAAAATACAGAGCAGAGAAGGGTTTTAAAGAGTGTAAAAGGCACAAGAGTGGGATGAATTTTTAGAATTTTATAATTTCTGAAGTATGTCCCGATGCACTTAAGCAGAGATCATTATACATATTATGTATTATAAAATATACATTTCAGAATTTGAACTGAATTATTAATACGACTGGGGAACAAGGAGTAGCCGCTTCAAAACGGCGTCACAAAGAGCCATAGCTAAGAGCTGGTTCTGTGTCAGTCGATAAAAACGTCAAAGACGATTCAAAGTATGCCGAAATTTGAAATGGAACACTTCTAAAGAGGTATCAAATTATGTTCAAAATTAAGGCGCATCTTGTCTAGTTATATCAACTTGGCCTCTGTATAAGAAAACCATTTTGTAAAAATGAAATCCTTGATGACTTGCGGATAGTCGTGCAAATTCTTTGAAACTTGTCAGACCTTCTTGGCAACTAGTCTGAGTTTTGTACCGAGTTCTTTGACATTTAGTCCTTCAACTTTCCGAAACACTTTTAGCCCCCAAAGTTTAAGCGGATTACCCTCAAGTCGCCTTATCCACTGACTAGTCCAAATCTAACCGGAAAAGATTCCACTCATCTTGTCTCTTTGACTAGTCATTTAGATCGTTCTCTGCAAGATCCCCCTTTTTTTGACTTTTCTATTTTGGCTACAAAACTAATCCTCAGCCCATGGAGAAGTCTTTGCAAACGTCTTCTTGCTGACACTCTGACGACAAAGGAGTTCCGTTTCTCCAAAAGTTCTCAAACTCTTTAAATAAAGCTTTAAGCCAATTACACTTGATGTCTTCTGTTAATCCTACCATCTCAGACATTTGGGATAATTATGGAAAAAAGGGGGGCTTGCAAGAAATTAAAGATTGGAAATTCAAGTAGATGATGGAGGAGAAAAAGTGTAATTTTAAAGGAAAGTACTGGAAATGACAATTAAATGACCTGTAAGGATCGGAATAATTTTAAATCAAATTTTTGAAAGACCTATGTGAGATTTCCGGCTTGCGCTTTGCAGGAAAAACTGAGGTTTTTTGTAATACAAGATTTTTCAATTTTGACATTTTTACGGGTTGTTCAGCTATAGAAAACTTCAACATTTTTCGACCGCTGAGAGCAGCACCAAGGCAAAAATCAGTTGTTTCCGCTCAAAAATGACTATTATATGAAAAAAGTTTTCTTTCTGACCGCTAGAAAGACTTTTACTAAAAATTTTGCGATTGGAAAAGATGGAATATCTCGTCTGCTCCTGCAAAGCAGAGGCTAAAATTTCACAGAAGTCAACTTTTAATCAATCCTGCTTTTCTCCAGTCAAAGACTAATTCCTAAAACTCTCGCATACTTCATAGAAAAGCCTAATCTTACACGTACAAATTCCACATAATTTTACGAAATTTTCCATAATCAACAAAGCGCATTTCCCATCCTCCAATCTGACATTAAAAATTTCATAATCGGAGGCGTCGCAAATACGTAACATCCATATTTATGCCGATTGTAAAATATAATATTGTGCTCTTTCTTGACACCTTGCCGCGCTCTACGCACATATTTCATCCGCTTACACATCAAAAAGCATACTTCCGCGGTTCGTAAGATGTTTACGACACCGGGGATTTGACGACGAGAACGACGTGGAGAAAACAAAGCCCTGCGGCGATTAGCCGCTCGAGGTCTTTTGTATGACATGTAGGTGGTAAATATAATCAAGAAGGATGTAAAATACGTCATACCGACTTGGTCCTACAAAGGAAAAAAAACAGAAATTAATTATTTCTTGTTGAAAAAAAACTTGTTTCAAATGAAAAAAGTTGATACACCAACCGGACATGCAAACGTTTTACAAGCCAAAGCGAATTTGAATGACATTACAGACGTTAAGTTGCTCACGCAAATAAACACCAGTAACCTTTGAAACAAGACCAATGGCACATTTTCGAAAATAAGGGAATGACAAAAAAATTAAAAAAATAAAATGGTGAAATTTCCGTGAAAGTATAAAAAATGGTCTCACAAGGAAAGTACTTTTATGGGGGCTCCTACTTTTTGACGTGACATATCTCAAAAAATCAGAAAAAATGCGCTGATCAAGGATATATAAATCTCAGCTGCCCATTTTAGGTTTTTAGGGGTGAAACTGCCTAAAAACTGGCTTAATTTCCCTACAAAAGGCGCAAGCATTCGAAACGATAAAAAGCGCAATCGGCCTCTTCCTTCGGAAGAGAGCGGTGTGGCCGAGTGGTTAGTGCCGTAGTCTGGGGATCAAAAGGGGAACGCCGCACGGCACGGCAACCCAGAATAGAACAAAAATGTCTCCCGCCCACTTTTGAATTTCGTCCAAACGAAGTGTCAAAATTCACAAAAGAAATAAAATAATTCCGAGAAAAATGTTCTTCGGTCGGAAACCCGCACGAAAAATTCATTTTTGACATTTCGTTTGAATTCAACCGATACTAGGTAGGCG